CTGGAACTGCTTCAACGAACCCATCGTCTTCCATACACCTAGATCAAGTTCTATCACGGTCGAATAGATTGACATCCCGACTCACCTGGCTCAGCGGCGCCCAGAAACACGGCGAAATGCCCATGAAGATGAGGTACACCGCATTTGATAGGTTGATGATCGCTCTGATGTCATCAGCACAGCTTTCGATCAGAGCCCTCTTAGACCAACCCGGTCGTGTGATATGTGCCGGCGACTTCTGGGATCGCAGCCAGCACCGTCGTCGACGAAATGGGAGCGAGGAAGCCGCACAGCGCGAGCACGGCGGTGATGATGGCCTTGCGGTGCGGCGGGATCTTGTCGTAGACGGAGTCGTCAATGCCTTTCGTGTCCGGGGTCACAGGTGCGTCGTGTATCGTGATGTCATGCGAGACGTGCGACTCGACGGGGTGCAGCGCGCCGCTTGCGTTCGCGGCGGTGCTTGTCGAGGAGGTGGTGGCAGAGGTGGGCAGGGGGTTAGACATGGGAGTTGCGGAGGATGTCTAAATCCTGTCGAGTCAGGACGGCCCTGCGCGAGGTGATAGCGGCACATAAATGAGGCGGGGCACAGCGGAGGTCCGAAAAATGTCATCGAGTCCGAAAAAAGACCCGGCTATCAAAGACGGGAGAGACGAAAATAGACTTTGTGGAACTGAGCATGGGGAAGAGGCGTCGGCATTCAAGTTCAGGATGGTGCGGCGCTAGACAACACGCTTGGACGCACTTCAGACAGTTGATGGTCGGCATCTGGAAGAGACTGGGCAGCAAGTACGTGCGCATATAGCTGGAGCGTGCACCGGCGGCACCAAGATACGAATCTCCCTCGTTGCATGTATCGAATGAGACGCGTGCCTTGAAGATGAAAATACATTGGCCCAGAGGCTTTGAGCAACTTACTGAGTGTTCGAAACGCCAGACTCGGCCAGAGTGGCCCCAGCCTTGAGCTTCACTGATAATTCTTTCACGCAGGGTACAGCACAATCCAAAACGATTGAGAGTGAGTGGCCATCATCCGCTCCCAAATCGGTCAGGAGGGAGCAGCCTAGCTATTCCAGTACACTGATTATCTAATCCTTTTCGCCGTCGGAGATCGTCGAACCGACGGACCGGGGCCCGATCTGATTGCGGACATCTCATGTGCAATTACGTCACTCCACGTGACTCTATAGCCCCATTCTCCACTTTCCTCTTCCTTTCACGTCAGATTGCTTTTGCCTTTGTTTGGGTCTAATTCTCGCGTCGGCATCCATGTCTTCCAATACCATCCCAAGCGTAGACGAAATCTTATCTGGTCAATTGTGCCTTGGCAAGTGAGTTTCCTCCGTAGCGGCAACTTGCACACAAACCGCGCGCACGGGCGTTCTTGTTTCCATTGGCCATTGTTGATGCATTCGTACAGTTTGCCTGCGGCTACTTCCTCAAAGCTTCGCACGGAGCTCGGCATCACGCATGTTCTTTCTGTCTGCCCCGACTACCCCTCGACGGGCGACGCACACCATATGACCGTACCCGTCAACGACTCAGAGTACGAGGACCTCCTGATACATTTCCCCGAGACGTGTCGCTTCATCGAGGACGCACTAGCCGACGGAGGCAAAGTCTTGGTGCACTGTGTCATGGGGGTGTCCCGTAGCACGACTGTCGGTATGTGCTGGCTCCAACTTGTGTGCGGGCAGTCGCTGACGTGCGACGCTTCTTTTCAGTGGCTGCGTACCGTACGTCATGCTCCAGAGACTGTTCTCACGTTCCTTATTGCTTCCTAGTAATGAAGAGCAGGCTCCTGTCTTCCTTGGATGCCTTGCAGCTCATCAGGACGTGTCGGTAATCTCACCCAACCGCCGCACTGAATCTGACGGCTTCCAGGCAGACCCCAGGTGCAACCTAATTACGGCTTCCGCAAACAACTAGACACCTTTGCCGATTGTCAATATTCTCCTAGCGCGTCACATCCAGCGTATCTATCGTGGAAGCGGAAGCACAAGCAAGACGTTACGAACTTCCTCAATCAGATCGTGGACACTGTGACTATGGTGCCGAATGCCCTGTTCCTCAACAGGTATGCATTGCCGCTTGCTTTGTTTCGCCTGAGCTCACGGGAAGTCCAAGTGACTTGCCTACCGAGCCCTATCAAGCTGAACTGCTGCTGTACGAATTGAATGTGACGCATCTGCTGACGCTAGCGCCGGCGGACATTTCCTTCCCGACGACGGGTCTGGTGTGCCGACACATCGATGTTTCTCCCGAAGCACTGGAGGAGTTCCTGTTTATGCTCCCCGACACTTGTGCGTTCATCAGTGATGCTATTGCCGGTGGCGGGCGTGTTCTGGTTCACTCGCAGGTCGAGGCCAGAGCCTGCACTGCTGTTGGCGCGTACTGTACGCCCGCTCAAGTTTCTCGTCCCCGCTGATGTACTAAGCACCGCCAGTGATGAGTTCCCAAAACCTGACACCCGAAAAGGCAGCAGCAGCCATCTCGGCTGGTCAGTTTCTGTCAAATGATTTAGCTATCGCCATCTTCTGACGTGTATTCGCAGCACTTCCCCTGTTTGAGCCGACCACGAACTTCAAGCGGGCCTTGTCGCTCTTCCGTGCCTGCAAATACTCTCCGACCCCAGATCACCCGGCGCTGGATGACCACAAGGGTAATTCGGGCTACGTGTCCTGGGGATCGTCGCCGGCGTCTTCCAATCCCAGCTCCCGTCGTCCGAGCGGGTTCGCCGCGCAGGACGCGGACCTGATGATTCGGAAGGCGGCTGCGGTGATGACTGACAGCGGGATCGATATGAAGGCGTTTGGGGACGCGCTGGTCTCGATCCAGGCTAAGCCCAGCCTGACCCGCGCCGCTGCATGAGTGACATGTAGACCATTCCCCCCCTACCTCGACACTTGACTGACTGTGCTGCCTTTTGACAATTCCGTACATACATACATACATACTCTAGAGAAGCTGGTTTCGATGGAAACCGAGTATTAGAACGTCCCTAGTCCAATATGTGCTCGACGCGTTCCGTAAACGGATATGTCAAGAAGTACATACTTATGTTGAAGTGGGAAATCCGAACCCATCATGAGGCATGGTAAGTAGGCGACCGAAGGTCCTGTCGACAGCGACGACGAGTTGTCTTCCTCGTCACCAAGGAAGCTGATCATGAGGGTCATCAAGTTTTGCAACATAACAGCAAGTGCTGCTCATGGGTCGGCAACTGGGCACTGGGCAGCCGCGGTCTCTGCGAGAGGATACTTGGCGTCCATGATTGTAAGACGCTAGCAAACAGATCCAGTAGGTCAGATATCACACATTTCACGTAGATGGCGAGAAAGTGGCGTCCCGAGTCTGAGCAGGACCGAAGAGAGCGCGTCCCTCTCCTATTGTCGGAGGGCCATATGTCCTCGGCGCTTTGGGTCGCTCGGTCAACTGATCAAGTAACGCCACGACATGCGCGGCGCGTGCCACTTCAAACGCCATCGGGAGCAAAACGCGTCTCGTCACAATGTGCTTCCCGCGTGACACATGGGTCACGTCTGATTTCAGCAAGTGCGCTCTAGCTGCTTTCCATGTACCGGGCATGCAGTGATTCCACGAGAAACATATGCCTACATGTCAGGTGAGCTAATTCAACCCTATTCTCTTTCGGACTTCCTCCATAGTCCTAGAAGAGATTTCTCGGGCCTTCACAGCGCCCTCCTGCGCCACCTGATCCACGTATCCAGGATCGGCGCACAGCCTCTCAAACTCAGCGCGTGGGCCGACGAAGAGCTCCTCAATGGCCTCTGTTACAGCAGACTTGAGCTGCTGGGGCCCCCATCCCTGGCATTGGCGCACCATCTCCTCTACCTCGACGTCTTTGCACGCAGCCAGAATGGAGATGAGGTTGGACGTTCCGGGGCGGCCTTCTGGGTCGTATGTGGCGCCAGTTGTTATCGAATCTGTCACCGCGCTGCGTATCTTGGATGCGATCTGGTCCCGGGTGTCTGTTAAAAGGATACGGGAGGCTGGGGCGGGGTCCGACTTGGACATCTTCGCAGACGGATCCCTTAATGAAAGAACGCGCTTAGCAGGCGCTGAGGGCATTCCAAGTGAGGGATTCTGGAAGCATAGAGATAGATGCCTGTTACATACTGATCAAGGGGGTGGGAAGCGGGAACATGCTGGTCTTGTCTTTGAATGTCCGATTGAATGTCTGGGCAATGTCTCGGCTTAGTTCTAGATGCTGCCGTTGATCGTCGCCAACAGGAACGTGGGTCGCTTTGTAGAGGAGGATATCGGCGGCTTGCAGCACAGGATAGGTCAGAAGGCCGGCGTTCAGCAGTGATTCGTCTACTTCAGACTCGTCATTCGCGTTGCGTGATTGCGCTAGACGCGTCTGCAAGTCAGTCAGGAGAGGAGCCAGGAGGCGTGGTTCAGCAGAGAGCACACCTTCCAGGATGTCATCCTTCGTAGCTTGCCTGTAGGCGTCAAGCACCCGAGAATCCAAGCGAGCTCAGTATGCATGGCATTCTACGGACAGTCAGCGTGCTGCGAGCCACAGCATGACAAAATAGGCGCACTGAGTCTTGATGGAACAGAATCGACCTCTTGGGGTCTATTCCAACGGCAAGGAGAGCAGCGAGCATCTCCCGCCGGGACCTGACCAGGTCTTTCGGATTTTGGGGCAGGGTCAACGCGTGCCATCCGACGACGGAGAAGAGAAGCGTGTCGTGCGGATTGTCGTTCTGGAGCTTGACCCAGTTCGAAAGGGCACCCAAATAGTTCCCTAGCTGTCCGTTAATTGAGAACAAACGCGTGCAGTCTTCCGGAGGGAACGCACATGCGGTGTTCCCGTCGGCTGAATCCCGGAGAAGACGACGCGCGGTCTTCTGGGGGGCGCGTCGGGTGAGTGATTCGGAGACGTAGACGCGGCAGAGGAGTTTGCACGGCGGAGAGTCTTCCGAAATCGCGGCAGGGAGCGCCCCGAGCGCGACAGCATGATGATCCTAGAAAAGTGATTTGTTTGTCTTCCAAACATCCCGGCCCTTGTCACGTCCCGTCTGCTGTTGGGTACATACCCGATTTCCAATGGATGCTTCTGACCTCCCGGGCGGTTCCAACTTCCGCGATGTTACACAACTGTTTGTCGATGCAGCCGCTGGTGCGTCGCCCCCCGCTTCGATCAACCCTTGAATGATGATGTTCATTACCGACAGACATGGAGCCGTCCGAGGTGGTTCTCATGCCCGGATTCACCCTGCAGGACGCCATGTGCGCGTTTGAGGTGGATATGCATATCGTCTCCAGCAGGACGCTCGCTTTTCTTCTCCCCAGATCGGAGAGCCGCGGCTAGATAGCGGGATGACGCCTGAGGGAGAGCAGCGACCACTCTTTGATCCCTGGGCGCCCATGTTGCCGGAGGAGATATGCTGGATCATTGATAGGATGTTCACGTATGAGGTGCGTTGTGCTGTGACTCTGCACAGTGTGCTGAGAACTTCGGAAATTAGATGCTTTGGCACGCGGGCAACACTCTCGTACATACCGTGTTCACATGTCTATACGGTCTTGCCATCTCGGAAATCTGGCCGGATATCATACCATACGATTCCTTCCCCGATACCCAACGACTGCCGGAGCTCGTACCGCTGGTGTTACGCGCCGCTGTGGCGGGGATGCTGAAATGCTGCGATCTTTCATGGCGCGAGCTTTCCAAGGGCTATGTCCAGGATGTCCGTCTGCCCCATCTGGACTTTGAATGCGTTCGCTGAAGTCTCGTGTAGACAGAAGACTGGCACAGTGAGAAGGGCGACATATCTCTCCTCGAGGGAACATCGACTGCCAATGTTGTCGCGGATATCGATACCGCTGTGGCATGGCTGATTCGGTCGAGAAAGGGTGCGTTTCTCCCGTAGATTTTTTTCAAATCCAACGCCTTTCCAGTGGCAGACCCGTGGTGTACAGGTCTAATCGCTCGCTTAAATCTACGCAAAGTGCGAGTCTCCAAGTCTGGGATGGCGTTGGCTCACAGCGGGATATAGTCACTCATACAGCTGATGAGCATTAACCTATTCAACACTCCGTCGGACTTTCTCGACCTCCTCAACATTGCCCGCAACCATCTCAAGACGGTGCGAATGTACCCCTCACATGAACCCACACCAGACTCTCCTGCACACCTCTCATTCGATCCGTACATCGCGAGAAAACTGAACAGTTCCGTTCCCATTCGTATCATCCCCGTGCCACCGATAGCGGAGACTTGGGATGCTTTGGATACCTTACTGGATGGTTGGGATGAACAGCGTCTGTTGTCCATGACTCCGACCGTGACAACTTGGGAGGCGAGCACGCCATCCGGCTCGACCCCTCCTCGAACTGACTGCGAGTAGCTTGTTGGTAACTTACGGATTTGGCTGCCCGGTCCGCCACTACGGTGTCCCTATCTAAGATCATCCACGCAAGTAGGTATATGTGCTTCAGGAACATGTGTGTGTGCTGATCCACCTCGTCTCCAGTCCATCTTCTATGACGGGCTGTTGGTCCTGAACAAATTCAGTCCGCAGTGGGTCATGGATCGTTTCTTCTTTGAAACACTCGGCGTCGGCTACCAATCGGTCGTCGCGTACGTCGGGCAAAACTCTACCGACCAATTCTGGGGCGATCTGCAGCGGGGGCACTTCAAGGTGTGCTGCACGGCCATGCATTCTGGAGCCCAGCTTTGCTAACGTGCGCACCAGCTGATGACCGAGTATGTCAGAGCACTGTGGTACAATCCTCCGAGGCGACGACGGTTCTTGGCGAAGATGTTGACGGACCTCCACTTGTACTACTCTAGAATGATGGGGATAGCTGCCAAGTTTCCGGTGCGCGAGTATTGCGCTTTGCAGCATGAGACAATTCGAACTTATGCTCCAACCTAGCCAGATCCTTCCCAGGCCGTATACCACTTTCCCAAATGCGTGCTGCTCTGGCGGCTTTCGGTCGTGCGCGAAGTCGTTCTGTCCGGGTTCCAGCTCGAGCTGTACACTTCAGAAGAGAAGTCGTTTGCATATTGGTATGCCTCACAGGTCCTGCATGCCCATCTCGAATGCCTCGATGAACTTCTGTCTGCGGTGGATCCGAGTGTGTTGTTCGGCGACTTCGGCTTTCTTTCTACTTACGTGTTCCAGATTGCCCTGCCGGCCGAGAATTGCGCTTCCAGCACAGCTGGCTGAGTGCGTTGCAAGTCATGACGCTATCCTCTTTTGCAGTGTGTGATGCCACTCTACCTTCTCTGTACGCGACGCTGATGACGGCAGCTCTCCATGTCGCTCATGTCCTTCAACTGGCGCCAAATGCAAGCCAACTTCTTTCGGCGGTACAAATGGGCGTTTGGCTCAGGGTACGAGATCGCGTCGGTGCCGGTCGTCGCACTACCCAGCTTCGATGGATTCATGGGACTGTGTGGCCGTCTCCTTGAGGTGCGTTACGGCTGTTGCATGCACCGCGCCGGCGCTCAATCGCACCCAGGACCCCCAGTTCTCACCCTCCGCGTCTTTCCAGCTCGCCGAGACCATCCTCGAAGGCCTGATCACGTCGCGAAACGTCGGAGGGTACTCTGGGTTGTGGACAGATGAGCGGATAGCGGTGCGTCGCCTCCCACTTGCTGTCGCACCACTGATGATTGATTGATTGACGTCCGGACCAGTTCCTGCGCGGTCTATCGGCTGCATGTCGACGTCTGCAGGACGTGCCGAGCTCGATGTCGGCTGTGCCCTCGTTTGACGTCGGTCTGCTCAAGTGGGACCCGACAATACATCCGTGGTTTCCTGTCTTGACGGCTGATGGTGCCGAGTGGCGACGGAACAAACATCGGAAACGTCGGACGAGCATTCATTGAGATTGGATTGTAATCAAGGACGCTTCTATAGTCTATTTCGACACATTTTCTGTAAATAATGATAGGTCCAGGTTAGAAAGGGATCGTGAAACGACTGGCATGGTCGAAAATCATCATAATGTATTCTATTTGCGAGGATAGCGGAGAGTTGAAGCTCTGCTGAAGATGATATGTCATCAGCGCAAGATCGGGTTGCGAGACGCACCCATCACACCCCAGGTCGTAGGCGCTCAGTCGTGCCGGCCGAGGTCAACTTGCCTCGAAGAAAGGCCGCAGACGTTTGGATGATACGAGCCTATAAAGGATGCGGCAGGACTGGAAGGAAATGAGGGCTTTCGAAAGTTCCATGACTACATTCTCAGCAGCATTGACTTGGAATGAGGAGTCCGACCTCCGAAACTCGTATCTAACAGTACCTCGTTCAATTGATTATCTTCACTCTACGTCTTCCAGTCTCCTCAAGTCATTTTTCGGAAATGGTGCTGGGGTTCAAGGGTGAACAGAGCGGAGAGTACGCACGTGATATATTCGATCACACCTGTCACGGGTCTGGAGATCTGGATTATAATAGTACGCTTCCGTCACCTTTCGTTTCTTCTTTGATCAAGCTGCACACGTTACAGTCTCTCAGAGTCGGAATCAATATGGCAACGCGCCGGACTCGACTTCAGTCACGCACCAGCCCGTATGATTCCACGGTTACTCTCTTCAAACTGGAGACAACGGAGGATGAGAAACCCCTTCTCGCTTTACCACAAACGCCGCGACGCGCTCGAGTGAAGACAGAACCTGCCTCCACCACGACCTCTGTAGAGCCTTCGCTGAGCCCCAAAAAGAGGGCTGCGACGCGTTCTCCCACGAAGAGCAGGTCGACGCCCACCAAAGCCAAGAAGGCTCTCGCGAAACCCGATCCAGAGCCGGAAAAGTGGCGCGAGGTGTACGACGCGATCACAGAAATGCGTTCCAAGAGGGATGCGCCGGTGGATACCATGGGCTGCCATACGGCACAGAGATGCGAAACGGATCCCAGGGTGTGTCGTGCTTTCGGCGCGGACTCTGGTGTTGTCTTGACTTTTTGTCGGCTTAGAACAAAAGGCCGGTGCTTTGGGAAGTGCTCGGATGGATGCTGATCGTGGAATAGATATATCACGCTCGTTTCGCTCATGCTCTCCCCTCAGACGCCAGACCAAGTCACGGGAGCAGCAGTGCTCAAGCTGCAAGCTGCGCTAGGCGGCTCGGTGTCCCTCGAGGCGGTCCTCGCTGCTGATATCGAGACTATCAGAGGTGCTGTTAACAAAGTCGGAATGTGGCCCAAGAAGTCGGTGTGCGTATGGTTCTTCTTTTGTTGAGTCGGTACCGACATGTTGTGCATACACAGTCAGATCAAAGCTGCAGCGGAGCTCATACGTGACAATTTCAACGGCGACGTACCTCAGACAATCGAGGAACTCATGACGCTTCCCGGAGTCGGACCCAAGGTCGGCTTTCTGACGCTTCAAGCCGCTTGGCAGATGTGCGCCTGCCAGAGTGCCTGGACCCGATCAATTTCTTACCATAGGAGACAGAAACGTCGGGATTGGTGTGGATGTCCACGTCCACCGGATTACGCAGCGCTTGGGCTGGCACCACCACGACAAAGCTGAGGATGCCCGGTATGCACAATTCGTTCCGCCTCGAGCAGCACCTGACGCAAAGCAGAGTCAGTCTCGAGTCTTGGCTTCCGAAAGAGCTGCATCCCGATATAAACTCACTCCTGGTCGGATTCGGACAGGTGTGCCACAACCGCGGCTGCTTTCCCGAATAGAGGGCTGAGTTCTGTGCCAGACTATATGCAGCTCCAGAGCTCCCAAATGTGGGCAATGCACGCTCAGCTCGAGTGGGCTGTGCCCCAAGATCGGTGTCGACTGGTGAAGGGAGATTCTTCTTGCTAATGGTATCTTGCTTTTCATCTATCGTAACTTGTATTATAGAGCACTCTGATCTAAAATCCCTGCTGATCGCGCAGGCTTGACTCGGATCATCTACTCCGGTTCATGACTGCGTAGAATGTAGTCATGGAGCTTCTGGAAGCCCTCATTTCCTTCCAGTCTTGCCGCATCCTTCAGACGCTCGTACCATTCAACGAAATTGCCGTCAAACGCCTCCCTATCGGAAGCCGTAGCATCGGACACTTTCAACGCTCGCAGGAGGTAGTACAGATTGAGGGGCGAATCTCATGGGCGTGCATCTTGATCGCCGGCGCCTCCCATGCTGATAGACCGACGCAGCTCTTTGAGATCCTCAAACTGTTCGTTCTCCATCCTTCCTAGGATCGCATCGTTGAACAACACGTTGTTGAATCCACAGTGCAGTGTCCAGTCCTAAAGCGGCCCGACCGCAGACCCCTCCCAGTCGAGCATCCCAATGATCTGCGTTGGGTCAGAGGGAGAGACGTGGATGTGGGTCATGTAGAACTCGTTGTAGAACGCGAAGCACTCGTCTTCGTCCGTCAGCGTCAGCGCCGAGATGCCCTCGGTCGCAAGGCCCAGCCATCGGATCGCATAGTTGCAGAAAGCGACGTCGGCGCCAGCTGCTGCGCGGTCCGTGTAGGCCTGCAGCGATGAGCGGGCGTGGGCGAGCAGGTAGTCCCGCGAGGAAGAGAACGGGCCTCTGTGCTCGGGGAGCAGGGGATTTGGGTTGCCGTATTGACAGCATAATTCACCCAGTACTCCGTGCTCGTCCACGAGACTGCCGATGGCGGGGAAGCGCGTGTCGAGAAGCTGTTTCTCGAGCTTGCCGGTCTGAGAGACGAGACTGCGCCGCGATTCCGGGGGCAAGTCGTCCCAAACAAAGCTCAGTCTTGGGCCGGGGACCTTAGTTGTGGAGTTGAGACTCAGGGGGATATTCAGAGTTCGAGATTCCACTAACCACATCCATAATCATGTACCGTGCTCCAACGGCATTGTGGGGATCTGGATCGTAGTAATGGAGTTTGGGGACGGGAATCGACGTGTTCTGTCGCACATATGCCATGGTGGCGATCTGGTATTACCTTGAGCAGGGCTTTTTTGGCGAGTGACAGTTGATTCTGACCTCAGAGAGGAATCGGACGGATAGATCGTGCTCGGACAGTCCCTGGGTACCGTACCTACTTCCTCCTAGACGTGCTATGAGGTTTGACGCGTCTCCAAACTCTAGAAGATCTGTCAAGGCGTCGGTTAGTATTCGAACAGGAAAATGCTACTCGTTGTGCTTGCTGGATTGAATCCTCCTCCTAATAAAGGTTAGCTTTTATGCATCTCTTGTCCACTACCCTGCTCGCTGACGACAGAAGCTCGGGAATGTTGAATGCGCCCAAGGCAGCCGCCATGTCCCCGATGGCGAATTCGTCTTCGAAACGGGTCAGCATCTCTTGAATCCAGGGCTCCGTGCGATTGGGAGGGGAGTCCAAGGAAAGAGGCCAAAGGGAAGTACAGTATGTTCGAAATCATTTTTTGAGCGCCCCGCCGATCAGTGTGGGCGCTGCAGATTCTCACGTTGTCAGACGGGTTCCAAGGAAGAAGCAGTTACACAACCTGTATATTTCAGGCATTTATTCAATACAGGGCGCACACCAGAACTCCGCGTCAAGCAGAATGTTCAAATATGTGCCCTCTCAATTGACAAGTTGGGTGGCGACCGGAATCGATGACAGAGCTCGACATCGCGCCGGGCCCCATGAAGCCTAATGTTCGCTGTAGAAAACATTGAGGGAGAGCCACTTAAGCAGCCAGCCACATACCACATATTGAACATCTGAACAAAACAATGAGCAAGAAAGCGCTAGAACCAGCGAATCGAACGAACCCGCGAGAAGTATTCCTCATGGACATGTTGTATGACGACAGAACGCTCCTTCATCAACTCGTCTCTGATACCGTTCGCCTCGGCACGCGTTCTGACCCCCGGCACGCAGGATGCGATGTAGTCGAGCAACTCGATAGGGAGCAGCGCTAGGCGGGAGCGCGGTCCCTAAGATCGGAGTGTATGCTTGACGATCGAGAGTTGTTGCGGCGGGATTTCCGTGGCGGACACCTCAGTTACCACCGCCATCACCCGGTTGCACCCCCGCGGGGGGATTTGGTCCATTTGGGGCAGGGGCATATGCGGGGATCAGCAGGGGGGGTGCAGGGGGGGGGGGGGGGGGGGGTCTGTACATATCATGTGATTTATCATTGGGAGCGGGCAGGTGGGCGCGAAAAAAAAAATGAATCACATGACACATCCAATGGGCGGGATGGCGGCTGATGGCGGGGTAAAAAAATCACGTGATGCACCGCATGAAAATTATCAAAGATGGCTAGCAGGGGTTGGCGGGGGTTGGCGGGGGGCGCTACTGTCCCCCCGCACACCATGGCGGGCAGTGGGCGCATTATCACGTGACTTTTGGGGCACCTTTTGTGCACCATTCGGCATGATTTCGAAGGTGTTGCTTGATCCATTGCATGCTGTGGCAGACAATGGGCGCATAATCACGTGATTTTCCGCCCAAAAAATGGAAGCCTTCCCAAATCATCCTGGTATCATTTCTATAGGTAAATACACTACTTAAGCATGAATTTGAGCTTGGAAAGCCCAAAATGCACCCTGCACAATGGGACTGGTGATGCACTTGATCCCATCATTTGGCGGGGTCTGCTGCGGGGGGTGCCACGGGGGGTGCTGCGGGGGGTGCCGCAGGGGGTGCCACAGGGGGTGCCACAGGGGGTGCCGCAGGGCCCGCTGTGGGGTCAACCACAGGAGCAGGGTTAGGGGTGCATTGCATTATATTTTGATCTATCTATTCTCGCTGTGGTCATAGCATGCAGCATAATTATCCTTCATTTTGCCAGGAGTTTGGAGGCTGTGTCTGGGGGTGGTCTGCACCTACAGCCGTGTGACTCCCTGATGCTTCGGCAGGGGCTGGGATATCAAAACTGTGCAATATTTTCTGCAGAATCCAGGCATGTAGGGTTAAAAAGAAAGTGTGATTTGTTCATTTTTTGGCTGGCAGGGTAGGTGGGCTGACATCATGGGCTGCATCAGGTCCACTGTCAACTCATTGATTGTTTTGTCTGCTCATTCCATATACATGCCCATTGGTAAGCTGATCATGCTGTAGGCACAGTCTAATCTTACCCTGTGGATGATACCACACATTAATTACATACCTAATGTCACACTTCCTGTCTGGGACTCATTGAAGTTCATCTGTTCTGTGTTACTTTACAAGCAGTTTGCTTCAGTTGCAACATGAACAGATGTAATAGTGGATTTGACATGCCCTGAATTGATTCCTAGGTGGAATATGAGACAATGGATTCACCAGCAAGTTGTCTCACAATAGTCAGAGATTGGTAATATTTGAATTTCAAATTTCATATACAACACTCTGTGCACTCAGAGCTCGTATATTTGCAAGATAGACTGTAGAGACATAGATGGTTACTTTTACTACCTCTGGGGCTGCACACATCCTCGCCATGACCCACTGCCTGCACCCCCGCTGGCACCCCCTGTGGCACCCCCGCTGGCACCCCCGCTGGCACCCCCGCCAGTCTAGCACCCCCCGCCGCACCGGTGCCTTGCTCCTGTGATTTTCTTATATGTAAGATTATGTAAACTGACAGCTCGGAACACGTCAAGTCACTAGCCAATCAGAACCTGTATAAACGTTGTACCTAAGTGTTTACTGCTCTTCTAACACTGTTCTTACAGTTATGCAGCTGAAAACCATCGGAATAAGGTCTCCATATGCTATTCTTGTTGAATATGTAGGTACTTCATATCCTTTGTCCACCTAAAAATCGAAACATGAAAACAGTTCACCATTGCTCAAGGTTCCTATGTAGACAATGGTTCAACATGGTTCACTTTGAGTATGGCAAAAAATATTTTTTCTACACACAAGCAATTCAATACAGCTGAATGATATACTCTTTGGCAGTGTCTGAAACAAATTCTGAGAGCCCTGGACCCTGGAACCATTCAAAAACTTGAAATGAGTCCGAAAAATAGGGTCTTGATAAACATGACATATGGGCTGGTTTGAAGAGACATGGGCCACCGGTCATGTTGAATATAGTATTTTACAATGTTTCGGTGCCCTACCTCTCATCACATGGCCTCATTTCCGACTAAGAAGCGCACATACACACTCAAGCTCATAAAATCAATTGTCACCCAGAAACAAGAGCAGTGAAGTTGTTTCACTGGGATTGGGTAAAGGTTACCTAGAAGTCACTTGGGTTGCAGTACAGAAGCTTTGGAAAGTGATTTTGTAGTTGATCCACATTTGGTAGGCTGGCAGATGCTTGTGCACCCCCACGGCACCCCCCGCGGCACCCCCTGCGGTTGACCCCCCCCAACCCCTGCAAGGATTTAATTGACAAATGTCCTGCTCAATCCATTGTAAGAGTCTACAGTATTATTGGATTCAGTAAAGGACCCAAATGCTATGTAGACAAGAAGTATGAAATCCGGAAATCAAGAATTATGACACCTCCATGGAATATGCTGCAAATGGAGAGGAAAATTTGAGCGCAGACAGACTACCTGAAGCAAACAGACAGAGAAAAGAAACATTAGCCATTTCTTGTTGATGATGTTGGCTGTCCCTGGAGCATGTACTTGGGAGATTTGCCTAATAAATCAAGTTGCGCATTTTTCAAATTTTTAGTTTGACCTGACAGCTTGAGCAGACCATGCCAAAATGAACCAAGTCATATATATCAGTGCCCCAAGCCAAGCCAAAAGATTTAGGTAATATTGCACAGTTTTGATATCCCAGCCCCTGCCGAAGCATCAGGGAGTCACACGGCTGTAGGTGCAGACCACCCCCAGACACAGCCTCCAAACTCCTGGCAAAATGAAGGATAATTATGCTGCATGCTATGACCACAGCGAGAATAGATAGATCAAAATATAATGCAATGCACCCCTAACCCTGCTCCTGTGGTTGACCCCACAGCGGGCCCTGCGGCACCCCCTGTGGCACCCCCTGTGGCACCCCCTGCGGCACCCCCCGCAGCACCCCCCGTGGCACCCCCCGCAGCAGACCCCGCCAAATGATGGGATCAAGTGCATCACCAGTCCCATTGTGCAGGGTGCATTTTGGGCTTTCCAAGCTCAAATTCATGCTTAAGTAGTGTATTTACCTATAGAAATGATACCAGGATGATTTGGGAAGGCTTCCATTTTTTGGGTGGAAAATCACGTGATTATGCGCCCATTGTCTGCCACAGCATGCAATGGATCAAGCAACACCTTCGAAATCATGCCGAATGGTGCACAAAAGGTGCCCCAAAAGTCACGTGATAATGCGCCCACTGCCCGCCATGGTGTGCGGGGGGACAGTAGCGCCCCCCGCCAACCCCCGCCAACCCCTGCTAGCCATCTTTGATAATTTTCATGCGGTGCATCACGTGATTTTTTTACCCCGCCATCAGCCGCCATCCCGCCCATTGGATGTGTCATGTGATTCATTTTTTTTTTCGCGCCCACCTGCCCGCTCCCAATGATAAATCACATGATATGTACAGACCCCCCCCCCCCCTGCACCCCCCCTGCTGATCCCCGCATATGCCCCTGCCCCAAATGGACCAAATCCCCCCCGCAGGCCCCGCAGGGGGTACCTGTTGGGTACCCTCAGAGCTACGTCTGAGGGTACCCAGTAGGACCCCCGCGGGGGTGCAACCGGGTGATGGCGGTGGTAACTGAGGTGGTGGCGGACGGGATGCGTCGAGTTGGATCGACAAGAAAGAAGACTAGGATCCTTCGTACACCAGGTTTGCTTGCGTCGATGAGCTTGAAGGGAGAAACCTATGAGAAACTGGTGAGACTCTGCAGTAGTACGGAGCAGCTGCATTAGTGTCCCTCACGCGATGGTGATAAACGTTAGGGAACGCGATGCAGTGGCCACTTTTGGTCTGCACCGAGCCCACGTCCTGGATAAGAGCGTCTTCACTGTGGGAATCGAATTAGTTGCAGAGCAATCTGTGGCCTGGATTTTGTAGCCCCACCGTCGTAGATTGTAAAGCATTATCATGCAGGCCACGTCATCTTGCTGGTGGTATGGAGGGGATGCCACAGCCTGCCTGAAACCAAGGGAAGCGGGCTCGATATTGTCGGAGTCGTAGTAGTAGATGAAGGTCGACACGATGGATTCGTTCCCCATGCCTATGATGCCTCAGTTTCTGAAGGTTATCCAGTGACAAACTTACCCTCGACGTGCCACACACCACCGGGATATTCAGGTTTATCCGGGGTCAAGACTATATTTGCCAGCTTCACTATTACCTGAATTGGTCGTTCGCGCAGTGTAATCATCTGAGCATCATCTGGAGCGTCGTAATGGTCGAGTGCGTCGGGCAACGTCAAATTTGCGCGCAGGACGCGAACGCGAGTCCATTCAGGGAAGGCAATCATATTCTCGGCCCTTGCTTCAATCTCCTGCCTCTCCTTCGCCCTCTGCCGGGCCTTTTCAGTCTGGCGTTGGGCGACACGGACATCATCCTTGTCTTCATCATCATCCTCTTTGTCTTGGTCTTCTTCGTCCCCCGCATTCATGTCGTCTTCATCCCACACACAACATGGATCACGCACTCTGCGGGTCCTACTCCCTCCCAGCTCAGAAAGCACGAGCTCCCACATGGGCACTGCGCGGCTCATGACGCGTTTGATCGTGGGGACGAGCGCATCGTGATGCTCGGGAGAGATGTTGTTAATGTAGGGCGAGGTGAGCTTGACTGTTCCTTCCGCAGAAACCATGAAGTCAGACGGTAGCCACTGGAACCGCTCCGACAGGAACACAGGGTCGATCTCTTCCCTCCCGTCATCCTCCTTTTCATAGGAGAACGTCTTCACGGTCCCAGATGACGTCCCCCACGACTCGCTGTAGACGAGAGGGCAGATGGAGGGGTGAACGAGGTCGATCACGCGCTGGTCAGATCCTGGATGCCAATCCTTCTCGGCGTCGGGCACATCTTCAAGAGGTCTTACTGCGTCTTTCAGTTCTTGAGTGAGAGAATCTGGGATAAGACAGTCGGATTGAAATATCATGTCGAACGGGCCTGGCTAGCACAGGTTGTCAATTGGGAGCTTGGGAAGGAACTCTTGAGCCTGACCTCGATCCCGAGCTCGGCGTCACGTCGGTCGGCATACGCCCTAAGCTCCTCGATGACAAAATTCAGCTGTGGGTCACGTATCAGTTCAGTCATTGCGCGTCCAACACGAAGACTTGGAGATGATATACCATATTATCCGTCAACTTCTCCCACTCCCACATCCCCTCCTGCTGCTGCTTTACCTCTGCGATCCACCTGCTCGTAATGGACGCGTCGCGGCACTTGTCCCACCACCGATCCTTCTCGCGCAGCTGCGCTGACAGCCGGCACATGCGCAGCTCCGCCGCCGTGACCGGATCCGGGACGCCCTCGGGCGCGCTCTCGCCATCTGCGGGGTCAAGGTGGAAGGGGTGTGGGTAATCCTCGTCGGGTGGGGGAAGCGACATAGTATTAAGCGTTCAGGGATACTCGGAGGAGCTCAGGAGCCTGATATGCATCACTGTCAATGTCATTTGGCCCTAGGCAATAAGGCTGACACGGGTCGCGGAAATGTGAGCAATACTGGGCCATAAATGAGCGAGAGCCAAGCAGGACGCATCTTCTGAGATGTGGCACTGGCTTAGAGATTCGTCCTGTTTCTAATCTCGTGTTTTATGTCCAGGTTCAAGTTAGCATGTCGATCAGAGGTCCATCGACCGATGCTTGTAGGCGGCCTTGGAGGAGAGCAGTCAGATATGATACTCGCCAGAGTTATAATATGGGTGACTGGCGAAATGGCATCGCGTCTGACTACGATACAAGTGTCATCAGGAGATTGTAGGTTCGACCCCTACGTCGCTCATTTTTGTCATCAATCCCGATTGAGCTTTGATCGCATTTGTCTCACGTCTCATGTCTCACCTTGTCCCAACGTGCAAGTGATACCGCTCATGGGTCAAGACTGGCAAATCGTCAACCTTACTCAAGAAATCTCTGAACTAGTGGGCAAGCTAGGAGAACACTTTTTCGATGGATACCTAGCGCAGATGCTGGTAAAGAGGATTCGCCGCCCTCAATACATCGAATTGGATTCAGTGGTGGGGATGTGCAAGCCAGGTTCCGTTGCATTCAATGGAAAGTGGACAAGAGCCCTGTTTCCGGTCAATCTCAAACTTGATAAAAGCACATGGCTCTGTCCGATGAGAGTCGAGCAAAGGTGCATATTGTGTTGTGTCACTGACTTGCTCTTGTCTCATCCGTGCCCTCGCCAGCTCTGAGCGTATGCTGCTACACAGTCTTCCCTTCGAGCTCTTCAGCCTGATCTGCGAGGACCTTGACAACGAGGATCTCATTTTCCTCTCTGTGACGTGCCAACACCTTTGGGATCTGTGTCGGCCCTCACTATACGAGCGTATCACGCGCCTCTGCAACCGCCGTTACTGGAGTGGACATCGATTGGTTTGCTTTGGAGATGGAGTCGCCAACAACGATATCCCAGACTCCATCCTTTCTTCGGACGAGAGAGCAAAGTACCTTGTCATCACAGACGGGCAAGCAACCAACGATTACCATTCCACCGTGACTCTATACAAGTACGAATTTACCAGTGCCCCTTCATTCGACAGTTCGGTGAGCCTCGACTCCGAACTGCTCATGAAGGCCCACAAGCGCAACTGTCATCGAGATATCCTCCATGCGCAGACCTTGTGTCATTCCCTGCATCATATCTGTTACAGCGACATGGTGGTCAAGTCCACTACTGCCTCCACCAGTTGCATTCTCCGAAACCTCACCAAGCAGCAGTACGTGCGCGAAACCGAGCTGTTCAAGATGAAAGACAAGTATTGGAACCCTCACCCAGGGCGCCATAATAACTTGTCTCTGGGTCACATTGTCTTCGGGCGCATATGCTGGTCCTCGAATTCCTCCGTATCCATGGGTCGGGACGATTCCATTGAGCTCCACCGCGGCGTTTGGGCTGGCGACCGGTTTGACATCATCTCTGATTCAGATGAGGAGTGGGTCAAAGAGCTGCAGCAAGAGACGTCACGGTGGAAGGATGTCAGCAGAGATGCGGTTGATGAGCTTGAGCGGATTTATCGGTGGGAGTGTCTATCATGAACTAGGAAGGGGAGACGCGAAAGGACCCAGCTGCGGTTTACCAGGCCGGGGCGGCTGACGAAAGCGACAGTCAATGCTGAAGCGGAAGGACGACAAGCGAACTCACCATGAGAAGGCAAATGGGCTAAAATACTGCTGAATGTATTCGATAGGTTAACGAAGTGCAGCCACCACGAATAATGCAAGAAACCAAAAAGCTCATTCTGTTTCACTTGCCGCCTAACTGGGCTTCCACTCGATTGTCGTCGCAATCCATGATCGGACGGTTTCCAGAATCCTGATAATAAGTAGGGGGATAATCTATGTTTGATGTCCGAGCACTAGTCGTTGAAGCGAGGTATTCCATGGCCGATTGTAAGTGGGGCCGCTCAGTGTTGTGCGTGCTTGGAAATTAGGTGGTCCGGTCCTCCGCAGTAAATTTGATTGCACGAGGTACCGAAAGTTTGAGGCAAGTGAGGGCGTTCGCACTTATGCTGTACACAAACTCTGTGACCGATTTCCATGCATTAGCACAACCGAGATGGAATTATCAAGTAGTGGTGTTCTCGAAGGGGGGGACGAAGTCAACACTTGCAAACAGAAGAGGTATCCATTTTACCATCACTCTCTTCTTCGCGTCTCGTGCGGTGCCCGACCAACTGTCTATATACGATGGCTAACGCGCCCCCAGAAATACAGAAAACAACTTCCAATGGTAGCAGCAGTAATCTAAAGCGCGCCTTTGACGATGGGGAGAGCGGCAGCCATCATCATCAGCACAAACGCCGCGAACGGGATGTGAAGGGGTCCCGGGACTGGCGCGATGTACATCTCGGCAACGGTGGGGGTTCAGGCGGCAACGGTAGTGGCAGTGGCCGGAGCAGCCGCGTGGGTGAGAGGGATAGAGATAGAGAGCGGCACAGACGAGAGCGTGACAGGAGATACCGCGATCGCGACTACGACCGGCCGCGTGAGCGCTCGCGCAGCCCGCGTCCGCAGGCATCTCCAACTGTGTGCTCCGAGAAGGAAGAGGGCGAGTAAGTCTCAGTCCGCTCGCGCGGGGCACGTTTTCACAGCGCTCCACAGAATCTCACCCCGCCCGCGCTCGGTCTCGATAGCGACTCCTCCGCCTGTGACGCCAGCACCCGAGCAGCCTACGATGCAAGTTGAGCCGGAGCTCGAGCTCGAGCTCGCCCCATCCCCACCGCCTGTGGAGCAGACATTGGCTGAACGGCGTGCCCGACGTGCAGCAATCCTTGCCCGTCATACGAGCACTGGTACGTATCCTTCCGGAGAATCCCATTTTACTCATTTCCGGCATGTAGCTGCCCCGCCGTCGGTTGCACCTAGTCAAGGTAGGCTTCTTGTGTTTGCCATCTCGACGCGTATCTGACTCGTTTTGCATATATAAAGCCGTGTCCCGACAAATTTCGCGCTCCCCTTCCCCAGAGCAAAACGAGACGCAGTTTACGCTTGCCAAAGCTGACGAAACGGCCGAACTCGCTGTTGCCCCTGAAGATCAAGTTAATGCGGCCGACTATGATCCGTCTCTAGACCGTCGCGAAGACGAGTTCCGACGCGTGAACGCTCCTGCAGTCGAAGTCGTCGAGGAGGAAATGGAATATGAGGAAGACGAGGACGAGGATGAAGATCTGGATGACATGTTCTCGCTGGACACCGACAAGCCCAAGAAAAAGAAAAAAGTCGGCAAGAAGAAGGTCAAAGTGGAGCAGCCTGCAAATGGGCAGCAGCAGCAGGTCCTACACTCTGATGCCGCTGCAGATCCGGAAGGGTACTACACTGTCATCTTAGGCGAAGTGCTCGTGGCTCCTGGTGAGAAGGGCGAACGCTACCAGGTGTATGCAAGCGTCGGCCGGGGGATGTTTGCTGTCGTCGTCCGAGCGAGGGTTTTGTCGGAGGGCGACGACGGGAAGGAATCAAAGGAAGGCGGGCGGGAGGTTGCCATCAAGATCGTGCGCGCACAGGAAGTGATGTGAGATGAACTCATTGCGATGGCATCCGAAGATTTCTGACACTTTCCAGGCATCGTGCGGGGCTCAAGGAGAGCGCGATCCTGACGAAGCTGCAGGCTGCGGATCCGGAGGACAAGCGGCATATTGTAAGACTGGAGCGTACATTTGAGCATCGAGGGCATCTCTGTCTCGTATTTGAGAGCATGAGGTGCGTGTTCCACCCCTCAGTCCGTCTTTTGGGCTGACACGGGTCTTCAGCATGAACCTACGCGATGTTGTGAAACGATTTGGCAAAGACGTAGGCCTGAATATCCGGGCAGTACGAGCTTACGCGCATCAGCTGTTCATTGCGCTCGGCCATCTCCGCAAGCTCGGTGTGATGCACGCCGATATCAAGCCGGATAACATCCTGGTGCGTGGCTCTCTTTTGGCAGGTACCCATCCTGACTGATCGTTGCGCAGGTCAACGACGCCAAGACGATGCTCAAGCTCTGCGACCTGGGTTCCGCATCGGATGCCGCTGAAAACGATATCACTCCTTACCTGGTGAGCCGATTCTATCGCGCTCCTGAAATCAGTAAGTGTCAGGTGTCGGTCGCTCGCGTGTCGCCCCCAGACTGAAGTGGGTTATCTAGTCCTTGGTGTCCCCTATGACCCTTCGCTGGATGTGTGGTCTGTCGGATGCACGTTATATGAACTGTATACGGGGAAGATCCTGTTTCCGGGGAGAAGCAACAACCAGATGCTGCTGCATATGATGGAGCTCAAGGGTCGCTTTAACGGCAAGATGATCAAAAAGGCCAAGTTCGGGGATGTCTATTTTGATGAGATGGGTGCTTTCGAGAGTGTGGAGAAGGAAAAGGGCAGCGGCAATGTACGTGGCGGGGAATGGCCTGCGGAATGCTGGATCGCTGACTTGCGGTATCCAGGATGTGGTGCGGAAAGTGCACATCTCGAAACCGGCGAAAGACTTGCGACAGAAATTGCTTGGGAACGCGCGGTTGAGCGAGGAGGACACGAATGTGCTGCTGCATTTCATTGATCTGCTGGACCGGTGTCTGGCGCTCGACCCGGCCCGCCGCATCACGCCGCGGGAGGCACTTTCGCATCCGTTCATCCGCGGATCAACCAAGTGAAGTTCAGGGTGGGTTGTGACAAGCGTGGAGTCGTGTAGAATGGAACGGGCGTTTGTTCTTTCTTGTGTGCTTGTGTGTTGTGGGTAGTCAGTCAGTCGATCCTCGGATGCAGTTATATTATACACACGAGCAGAAGGATCCAAGTATCTGATTCTACCATCGGTTAGTGTTGCGCATCGAGGTTCTCAGTGCTGGCAGTTCTGACTGATTGTATGTTTTCCACGCACCGGCGTCCTTAGCCGACGCGAGAAGCTGTTCCTACTTACTGGGGATAGCTGCTGCTAAACATATCCGACTGTGCGGGCGATATAAGAGGTAGATATCTCGGGCGTGATGGACGCGAGTTCCCTTGGAATCCGCCTGCCTCTCCCATGCTCAGACGCCTCCAGTCCGCGCTGAGCTATGTGCCCGTCATTGGCTACTACTACGCGGAGCCGGAAGAGTTCGATTGGACGACCGCGACGATTCCAGACTACGATGAGCTGCCCCCGTTCAAGAACATGCCTGGGTGCGCGTGGGGCGTGTGGGGCGCCGAGGACCAGCTGGGCACGGTCAATCTGTTGAGCGAGAAAGCGGTCAAGGTCGCTGCGAAGGAGGAAATCCGGTCGGGGAAGTGTATCTCGCTGAACTGGTGCGTCGTTTTGCCAGGGGCCCGTCGAGCGTGATGAGATTTAGCACACCCATCCATCCCGCGCCAGGCCGTTGAACTTCCCGGACAAGGTGCGTCGTCGCGTATCGAATTCCTGGGCCCCGCAGTCAGCTGATCATGATGGGGATGCTCCCAGCCCGCGTTCCACCGGAGAACACCTGAAATCAAGATGACCCGGATGACTGAGCCGGCGCACTTTCACGGGATTCGGGATGACGAGATCCACATCGTGCGTGTCCCCCTCTGGCGTGGCTGTATCGGGGGATCTGAGCCATTCGCCTCTCAAGAATACCCAATCCGGCACGCAGTGGGACGGGCTGCGGCATTTCCCGATCCTCGAACACCAGGTGTTCTACAACAAGTGCGGTCGCTCAGCTCCTGCGGGCAGATTCGGACACTGATTCTCGGCGTCCGATTCCAGCACCCCGATGGACTCCCTGCCGATTGGGATCATGCCCATTCCGGACCCCAAGGTGATCGACCCCGCGCATTCACGGATCGGAGTCCAAAGTGGGTGCCTTCGCTCCCTCGTCCTCGATTGATGCACGGTGTGTGACGACACTCGTCTGTAGACTGGGCACAGCATGGAATCTGCGGACGCGGCGTGCTGCTTGACCTCGTGTCGCACTTTACCGCCAAGGACGGTTCGCTCGCGTACAACCCGTGGACGACGCACAACTTCACCACGGCGGATCTGCAAGCGTGCGCCAAGGCGCAGGGCGTGAAATTCCGGCGCGGGGATATCCTGCTCATCCGTGGGGGGTGGATCAAGGAGTACTACGAGACCTCGCAGGAGGGACGTGATTCCGTCGCGCACACACCGGAAGCTTTGTGGGTATCTCTTTGGAATCGAAGTCATCTGAGGAGCTGCTGAACCGACATGCTCTAGCGCTGGGATTGAGGCGTGTGAAGATATGAAGCGGTTCTTGTGGTAGGCAATGAAAGATCCGCGCGGAAGGGATGGATACACACTATGCTTCACAGGAATAACCACTTCTCGGCCGTTGCTTCGGATCAGCCTGCTCTTGAGGTTTGTTGCGTATTTTATACCAGATGAAAGGCTGACGAGCGTCCTTCAAGGCATTTCCGCCAGCCGAAGGCGTGATCCATCTGCACCAGGTCCGTTCACCCGATCCATTTAGAGGGAAACTGATATCTAAGAAATGGTAGACGCTTCTGGGGTAAGTAACAATTGCGCGGAAGTGCGAAATGTGCTCACGACATCGCTGATCCATCCAGACTTTGGGGAATGCCGATAGGTGCGACTAGCGAAATCTCTTCTCTTCCAATCCATGCAACCTGCTAACACCAACTGTAGGCGAATTCTTCGATCTCGAGGCGCTGTCCAAAGTGTGCGCTGAGACGGGAAGGTACACCTTCTTTTTCTCCTCGTGGCCTCTCAATATGTGCGTCTCGGCTGCTCATGAGCATCGTCCTCTGTCATTGATATTATTTATCTTATGTAGCATCGGAGGATGTGCCTCCCCGCCTAACGCGGCCGTGAGTCTATCTCATCCGCATCATCGCATTCACTAACTCAACTTTGAAGGCTTATTTCTGAACTGAGGGAACGAAGTGACGTTGAAGTCGAGTCGATACGATCTAATCTTATCTACTTAAATCGGATCGATGATTCACGAGCCGTCGATCAAATATATCGCACAGCCACTACATTGATTGGCGTTGACCATATCCGGGGTAAGCAGAACAATGATTTCTGGCGTTGGCCAAAGCGTTATTGGCTTTGGAAGAACAGGGTATGAATCTCAGGTATTTTCCTGCAAAGTACCATGCCAGGTCTGTCCGCATCACAATTCCGTATTGTTCTCCCAAGCCAGCCTTGCAACGGCAAATATAAAAAGACAGAGAAAGCTCTGACCTAAGAACAACTTCTCCCGACCACCCCTAGAATCGACGATGCCATCCCCTGCAGTCCAAGGCCTCGAATACCGCGTCGAATGCGACGACAGCACGCAGAACATGCCCGTGTTCCACTTCACCCCCTCGCCGTCCGTCCCCGCGGGCCGCTGGCCCCAGCGCCTCGAAGTGCGCGCCGCGGCGTCTCCAACGACTGCCCAGCCGGCGCTCGTCGCGGCGTCCCCCGCAAAAAAGACGAAAGACGCGCCCGATCCTGCCGCGGCAGTGCTGGTGCTGGTGCGGCTGCAGAGTGGTGGCGCCGTCAAGAGACTGTTCGTGTCGGCCGATCACGCGAGCGTCGCAAACCGCAAGGTGGAGCGGCGGGCCGACGTGGATGCTGAAGAGAGGTGCGTCGGGGTGCTTTCTTCACGCACACAATTCACCAACTGACGCATTCCACTTGGCAGCTCCTTCATGTTCAAAACAGGCGCGACGGCGAATACTGCGCGATTCCAGTGGAGGCGGGACGAGTACGATGCAGCGACGCTTAAGGTGCGTGTGCTGCCTCGACAGTCATTTATTCGAGCTCTGACATTGGGTGTGCTCTAGCTGTTCCAGATCCAGAGCGGCATAGAAGCCACGGTGGCTGAATATCGAGAGGAATCGATGGAGTTCTCGGTCTTACCTGGCATGACGGAGGAGGAGGAATCCATGTCGCCGATGAGTCGGGAAGACTGCTTCGCAGCGCTGTTCTTGTTGGGACACTCGTTCATCCTGAACGACAAAGAAAATAATGATGCTTAGTTTCGATTGGAGCTTTCTAATTCTGTAAAAGTAGACAGGAGCGTACTACCTGTGATTGAAGCACCCTTCTAATAGCAATGTTACATGTTACAGTCTTGCTTTTTCCATTTTTGGCTTCAAAACGACGTCGACCAGCAGTTGGGCACATTCCCGTGGGTGCGTTTGCGCTATCTGCATCAGCTATCAGATGGATGGTTTGTGTCAAAGGGGACAGGAACTGACCAGATGTCCGGCACCAGGGACTCTGTTCAGTGATGCCAGATTCCTCTCTCCGCCCATGGCACTCTGAATCAACTCATCCTTGTCAGAGCGAGGGCTAAAGTCATCAGGCTCAACCGGGACAACGATGAACAATCAGATTATCGGCCACGCACATGTAATCATCTGCTGCACCCCAGATCACATGAACCGGAATATCCTTCACGATAGATTTCATAGTCCTGTAGACAATCGAACTTCCCATGACGTCACGGTACACCGCTGCCTCCTGTCGCTTGGAACAGGTGAGTGTCACTCCAGAATGTTTATCGGGATATTCCAGGGTGGGAAGTGACCGCAGGCCGTATTCCTTCGATCCCTTCAATTTGAGCGACATGAAAAGAACAGGATCCTCGCTCACCGCATACAGCTTCAAGACTCGGTCGTCCCATTTCTGCCAGGACGGACGCGACTTGAACATCTTGTAGGCGTCTTCTTTCGAAGCCCAGATGTCTCGTCGTTTCTCCGCGCCTCCGGCGAGAAAGTTCTTCATCGCTCGCGTTGGTTCGTTCTTGACGCACATGGTCTCCAGCAGCACCAGCGCGTCGGGTTTGATCGGCGGTTGGTACGTCAGCGCAAGCGTGCTGGGTGCATCGTGGCACGGTGAGACGCGGACCATTTTCTCAGCAAAGGAGCGCTTACAACGCGACTGCAGACCAGGAATGGCCCACGAAGACTAATCGGCGCTTCGAGAAGTCGACGTCCACTCCCGTGCCAAGGCCGGCGACGAACGCGTGCAGCGCACGACCGTAGTCCTGCCACCCGACTGCCTCGTGTGTTCAGCTCCAAGAAGCCTTGGCAGAGCGAAAGGACCCGACTCACAGGACGGTTCGTACCCCCACTGCAGCATCTCCTCGTTCAGCACAGCCGCCTCGCCGTGATTCGGCGCGTCGACCGCCCACACCTCGCGGATGCGCTGCCGCCCCCCAGGCAGCGCGTACATGTCCTGCACCATCGGCTCGTAGTGCTCCTTGTGGAAGCCTGCCGCGTGCCCGCATATCAAGGTCGCCGCATCCGGGTCCGGTCGAGATGCGGGGTCCCAGTAGCGTTTGGCGGTGAGCAGGAGGGGGTAGTTCGGTCGTGGGTCGAACACGTAGGACTGGGAGGAGAGCGTGGTGGAGGTAGCCATGCTGGGGCAAGTAGAGTGGGGGAACTGGGTATTGAACACAAGCGAGCTTTTGTCTGAATCATATGCTTGGGCCGATTGCTGATAATCACCGCAGGAAGCGGGTCGGTTTGTGGACCGAATTGCCGAGGATCGGCGGCACCATCAATATTTTGACACGAGTTCTGATCCGTCAGTGACCCGCCGCAACGCCAAAGGTTCCCGTGACAGGGTCACCAGATCCTCAAACAAGCCTCCAGGCGATCTCGCAAAGCCGAACCGGTAGTATGCTGTGCCTGGGAGAGCTCCCTCCAGGGCCCCAAAACCGCGGCCGTTTGCCCCAGATTTACCCATAACCTCCGGCCATGCCCCCCGCAGTCGACTGGACAACCGCCGAGCTCCCAAGCTACGACGCGCTCCCTTCTTTCAAGGATTTCCGCGGTTGCGCGTGGGATCTCTGGGGCCCAGGTGATCAGCTTGGGACCGTTAATCTACTCACAGCCTCGGTCGTGAAGCAGACCGTGGCCGAGGAAATCAGGTTGGGCCACACTGCGTGATCTCCAAGAAGGCGGTATCGAATGCTCACTTATCTGCTTCCGTAGAACGGGACAGACGGTGTCCCTCAACTGGTAGGCCGATCCGCTCTATCGCCGAATCCAAGTGACTTGCGAGGCAGGCCATTGAACTATCCAGAGAAGGTGATCAGTATTCTTTCGGACGTGGTTAACATCGCTTTGGGAGTGAACTCTCTGTGTCCAGCCACTCTTCGGACGTCTACCGGCCGAGATAAAGTTCATTCAACGGCAGAAGGATGGTCTGCATTACTCTCGGGACGATGAGATTCATATCGTGAGTCGGGTCATGACGCCTGCTATCATCTGCGGAATGTTGAAATTCGACAGAACACCCAATCGGGCTCGCAGTGGGATGGATTGCGGCACTTCCCCGTGCATGCACACGAGGTTTTCTACAACAAGTGCGATTTGATCGATCTTCACACACGGGCGTAATTTAGATAGCTATACTTCCAGCACGCTTGCAGCGTCACTTTCCCGTGGAATTCAAGACAGCGGCGACACATCTGCATGCCAAGCTCACATCGGAATCCAGAGTACGTATTGGGCAGACCAGCCGAGATCACAAACATATTCACATTCCCGCCGAACAGATTGGGCCGAGCATGGGATCTGCGGCCGGGGCGTCCTGTTGGATCTGGTCCGCTTCATGAGCACGGACGGCGTTCTGAGCTACGACCCCTGGACCTCACATGCGTTCACCGTGGCCGAGCTGGAAGCCTGTGCGAAGGCGCAGGGCGTCGAGTTCCGGCGGGGCGATATCCTGATGCTACGCGCCGGATTCATCAAGAAATACAACGAGAGCTCGAAGGAGAGCCGCGACGCTCTTGCGGGGGCACCCGAAACATTGTGCGTTGATTTTTCGGGTGTCTACATACCTCTTTTGGTCTGAATTACGTTGCGCAGTGCGGGAATCGAACAGTCAGAGTCTATGAAGCAATTCCTGTGGTTCGTTACCGGTGCTTGAGTGCCACCTGGATCGCGCCATCTGATGACAACCCGGATACAGGAATAATCATTTCTCCGCAATCGCGTCGGACCAGCCGTCGTTGGAGGTAAGCCGATTGTGGCACCCGCAGGAACACGGACTGACGTCCTTCGGTAGCGCTGGCCGACCCCTGCGGGAACTCCGCATATGCATCAGGTATGCAAGCCGAGGGATGCAGATTACTCAGAACCTGTGCTGATCCTATCGACCTCGCCTAGACCATCTTGGGGTGCGTCTAGGCCCGTTCATATTTCCAGATTCAATCTGAAAACGCGTTTAGCTTGTGGGGAATGCCGATCGGTTAGCGGGATTCCTCTTCCCTTGGATCGGTCAACTCACCACGTGTCCAGGCGAGATGTTTGATCTGGAGAAACTTTCCCAGGTGTGCGATGAGCAGAGGCGCTACACCTTTTTCGTCTCGTCCTGGCCACTGAACATGTGAGTAAACGCAAAGATGCCACAAATTCGGGCGCTGTTGCCGAACTGAAGGGAACCCAGAATTGGAGGAGCGGCCTCGCCTCCCAATGCTGCTGTGAGTATTTGTGCATTTCGTGTGGAGGATCTCAATCAAATCATGCCATTTCAGGCTTTCTTCTGATCGGCCTGTCGAAATTCAGATGGATAGCGCATTTCACACGTAATGAAATGCAGCCGGAGGGCGCCTTGGTCTGGACGAAGTATCTAAGAAAACAATAAGCACATGTAGGTATCAATCAGTTCCACACATAGGAGCATCCATGTGTCCACTGTCGTAAATCATGATTTGTACGCGGAACTCTCCTCGTGGTGAGCACAGTGTGGGCGCACTATGTGAATCCCAGATCATGGATCACGTGCCATTTTTGAGAATACATGCGATAACTTGTTACAATTTGCATGCTGAGAGCGGCTGGAGATCCTCGATTCGGACAGATCAGCCACTCGGCTTTCGCAAGGCGATAGTGTGGCGAACGGCGTCATCGTCACTCGAGAACATTCATTGTGATGACTGTTGCGACGTCGTACGAAACAATTTTAATTGTATGGCCGACCATCAGACAATTGCCAGCTCAAACCGTTCCAGAAAGCGATTTCGGGAGTACACCGAGACCCCCGGGTCCGGGAGTGCATCAGATGATGGAGCGGAACACACTTGCATCGCCTTTAATCCCCGTGTGTCCGATCGACCACTGATCATTCGCGGAGATCACACAGCGCAGACGGCGCAGTAGAGTGCATCGATCACGCAAACGAAACACGTTTTTTCATGGGCTGCGCAGTGATATTCGGTGAGTCTTGAGACGCGGCAGGAGCACGGCCTGTGAGCTCTTTTCGTCGCTTTTTCCGATCTTTTTTCAAACTCGAGCTTTTCGCGGCAAGGATAGCCTTGGCTTCTTTCTGTTTGAGACTTTAGAGTCGACGGGCTCTGTGCGTGTAGATGTGGAGTGGAACCGACCAGTTTGATTTTCGATTCCGACTTGGGCTTGGGTGTCGCCGGATCGCGTCGGGACGGTACAGCCTGATACCAGGATGAGAAGCAGGCACGATCGAGCGGTTGAGACAGACCTGTGATAATCTTGCGACTTTGGAATGCGATTTCTGTTCCTTCATCCCCGCAATAGATTCCGCTAGGCCACGAGTTGCCTGCCACCGGACCAATCAGAAAGTCGGCCTGTGCATGTGAGCCGGATGCACATACATCGTGATCGAGGAAGGTCTTGGGCTGTTTTCCTTTCCCACCAGACTTCTTCGGTGTTTTGACCATGTTTCAGACTCTTAGTGACCCGCGTACGAAAAGCAGAGAGAGAAGAGTTGATGTGTGGCTGTGTACATAGATCAACGCTTAAGCTGCTGAGGTAATGAGCTGTCGTCCGATTATGGCTGGCATTACCTGCCATCTGCCTTTCCCACCACTACTGCGTCGCTCCAGACCTCGAGCTATCGATGGGCTTCCATGCAGATCTAAGCGTGTCTTCCCTTGGATCTCCGAGGCAATCCGCCTGCGACAATCCCCAGTAGAGCACGCACGGTGGCGTTGGGGAAGATGCCCAACCACCTGCTCACGTTGCCCACAGGCAGGAAAGCGATGAGATTCCCTTCCAGGATCGGCAATTTTCGCACAGCTCGGCGACTCAGAGGTGCTCGTTACCCTCTGGACGTGCGCACCAGGGATAAGCAGTGAAATCACCTGGCCATCTCACTTGGCTGATGATGCGGTCTCATGCACGGATTTGCGGCATACTCGGGACACAAGCCGTCTCGTCTTTGGCAACCACCAAAACTCCATCATAGCGCGGTATTCAGGCTGCGTCGACCATACTCGCCGCGTCATATGCAGTCACTCATTCTTAGAACAAACTTCAATGAACCGGTTCCATAACCGATATCTGCTGTTGTGTGCTACGATCATTATAGCCACAGCGTCTTTAAAAGGTGAGCGCGCTTCGGCCTTGCTGCTCATCATCCTGTGAACCACTTAGTCCTGCTTCCGCCGCCTCAAACTCCACCACCCTCTTCTTGCCCTCTTCCCTCAAATTTGTGCTAGAAATGTGCCGTTGGCGCCAGTGAGGGGCTCCGCTTTGGCCTGCAATATAGTGCGCTCATCTAATTTAGCGTCCGGAACTTGTTCACCCGCTGCGGCCACACTGAGAGCCTAGTGCGTTCACTGACCATCCACCCCCGCTTCCGATGTAAACTCCGCTTTCGCAGCCACCCGTTGAGGTCCGCCTTTCGTTCACACTGCCAAAAAAAATCCGTGCAGGCGCTCACATCCAGCTCGAAGATCCCCTGTGAAAGCAAGTATTGTAAATTCAGCCCCTATCATCCGCGGGACTGCGTTCCGCCTTCTTGCAGGAACACCTGCAATCAGTAGTGAGTGATCACCAAGCTTGGGCTCGAGCGTCGAATTGGCTAAAGAAGCTTTAGCCGTCTCTTCCCTGAACAATATAGTGAGTTTGTCCCTCCGCTTATAGGCCGATGGAATTCCAAAGCCGTGCAGATCTCACCATTGACGGCTTTTGCTCGGGATGCCGCGGCTATTAGCCTACCACAGGCTGTCTGCTTCCTCGACGCATCCCATTTCCGATACATCCTAGAGAGGAATCAGAACCTCCTATTTTTTCGCTATTTATTTGTAGTACCCCCATCGTTCTCAGCGGCCATGGCCCCCCTGTAGCGACCCTTGTTTCTCGATATGAACGCTTGGTTGCTTCCATTCCAGAGCGTTTATTTAACTTTTTCGGTTCCGGGTTAGAAGTGTGCGTGTGCGTGGGATCAGGGCACGAGCTGCTTCTCAGAAAACTCGAGCGTTTCGTCGGGCAGTGAGACTTGATCAAAAGCGGTACGCACGGCCTTCACCGGTGCTTCACTGTTCAAGTCATTGGCCAGCCACACATCAGGAGGCATCATTCGGGAATCGATTCTCCGAGTAAGCAGCAAGCACAGTTTCTGGAGCAACTCCACTCAGCCCCGAGACGCCACCACCGACAGATAGGCGTTTTCTTTTTCCGTTCCCGCGCACTGAGATAGCTCGGTGCATGGGCGATTCTGGGTTACTGCAATCACAACTGGATGGTTGGTCCGGCTTGAACATCGTTTTACCGAGAGACTGACGGGAAGAATTTGAGGTTTCAAACAAGATGAAACGACTGACATCGAATTCCAGACTCAGTGACTGCGGAACAGGGGGATACTATCACCAAATGATAACGACGGATTGCGACGAATAAGCGATAGATAGACAAGAGCATCAGCTCCAGCTGGCAGTCTCAGTCCTGAATCCTGATCGAGTTGAAAGTGCACCGACATTGTCAATGAGAAAGATGCATATGTCCCGACAAACCACTCTGCATCCAGACTTGATAGAGTGAAATAGCGCTGTATTCGACTGCAGAGGAATTTTATCGATAGTAGAAAGGAAGTTGAAATGGTGAACGACAGGATGCCTGAACGAGGAAGCAGTTGCGGTGATATTAGGTGAGTTGATCGAGAGCGCCGCTGTCATGGCATAGTCTGACGAAATGGCGCCCGAGTGCGGCCCACTGAAACACACGACCCCACCCGAGAATCGGAGAAAGATCAACACGAGGAGAGAATCAGCACTTCTACGATGATGAGCGGCGCGGCCTATCGGTATCCTACCAGCCGGTCCGAGCTCGATAGTTAGAGCATTCTCGGAGACGAGAACTGGGAGGACAATGAGAGAGGATGGTCAGAATAGAATCCCTGAGGCAGATTTGCAGTGGTCGGCACGGTGACCTGACGATCTCAATCGCAGAGAGGTTGATATGATCAGGGGCGTGGCACTACATGTGTCGTCCCGTTGGGGATGCAATGTCGACATCATGGTCTCGTTTCCGTTGTCGATATCGGAGAACGGAAGAATGGATAACAACCTGACTCACCCCTCATGTGCTACTGGAGACATGCAGAGCCAAGAGCTCAGGCAGTCAAAGCAAGACGTCAAAGCGTTCCCGGAGCGGGTGGGAAATGCGAAAAGCCGCGACACGTGATGGAGTTGGCATCAAATCTCTTCCGTATTGTCTCGACTCTTGATCTTCCACCACCTCGCCCTTGTAGCCGGGGCACGCAGCCTCTCCACCGAGGTGTACGATGAGCAGGAGGGAATCTAGGGTGTCCACGGGAGTGCGTCAGAACGACGCACTGGTCGAATTCGAGAACTGTACGCACCCCGCGTCTCGACACGCGCCGCCAGCAAGCTAACCTGTCTCGTTCTGCAGTCAAGAAGAAGTTCCTCCTCGCAAACAAGCATATCACCAAGTGAGTGGCATTTGAAAGGCTTTGGAAGTCGTCCGACCTGGTGTACGGGTGCAAGTGCTCCACTTTGGCTCCGGGCCCGGTGCCTGGCGCGCTCTGCCACCGTACTAGGCTGTGCCCAGTCTCCTCGCGGGAATCTACGTCGCATCTCTCCTGTTCCTCCCGAGCGATCTGTTCTCGCTGGTTCGTTTTTGCTAACGTTTTGACATCAGATTAAATTCCACGCTATCTATGAAGATCGAAGAGCTGAACACGGAAATAACCACACTCTACACAGAGAATCTACGGCTACGTACATCCGAGATCGCACTAGCAGCCCAGGTCAAACGCGAGCGCGAAACATCACGGAAGATTTTGCTGGAGGCTGAAACTGCAGTATGTACATTCTTCTCAATCATGCGTGTGTGCTTATTCGCGCGCCTCTCAAGACCCAAGCACTTATGCGCCATCTCTCCAATCTGCGCGAAACGTATAACGTGCCCCTGCTTCCCACACCGTCACCAACTCCACCCCGGCGGGCGAATGTCTCCCCTCGCACGAGCATCTATGCGAACAACCTGAATCGCCTTTCGAGAGAGCCTCAGGTACCACTCATCACCGAGGACGAAGAGCCTGAGGAAATATCGCCGTCTCCACCGCGGAAAACGAAGAAGAAGCGCCTGAGCGCGTCTCGGCTTCCACTTCCTGCTCGGGAAAGCACACCACCCCCTGCCGATATGATCTCTGCGCCCGCCGCACCTATGATCACCGCGCCTAGCAGCATAGTCCTGCCCTCATTACCCATACATCTCGATCTCACCGCTTTTGCGCTCCCCTCGAAGAAGCGTCGGCAGAGCGGCCTGCTCCTCGATTTCAATGCGGTTCCCAGCCAGGTACCCGACCCATCGCCAAATGAGCCTGCGGCTGGTCGAGAACGGTATCTAGAGCAGGAGAACGAGCGGGCGAAAGAGAAGGAGCGGAAACGACGTAGCCGGGAAGAGGGAGCAGGAACCTCGAGCAAGCCAAAGGCGAGGCTAAAAGACGTCACCAACTCCAATTCGCCCAGGGCGCGACCCAAGCCTGAGCTAGCTGCCGAGTCTGCAGGCACAGAAGGCCGACCGTTCTTGGCACCATCTCCTCCAAGTCCTGGACCACCTGAGCCTAAATTACTTCCCGTTCCCGTGATGGAGGCCGGGCCGTCGTCTGCTCGTGCCGCCCCGGCTGCGGAGATCGAGATGACCGAGGCTGAAGCAGAGGCTGACAACGGAGGGAGAGAGCGTCGGGCGCGCAAGAGCGTGAACTACGCTGAGCCGAAGCTGAACACCAAGATGCGCAAACCACAAACGATGGAAGACACGCCGGTGCCCGCCAAACGGGCTCGGTCCTCGACTGCCGGGACGTCGCGTGGCCAGACCCGACGATTGTCGCCGCCCATCCCTGGTGCACGTGCTTTGGCTGTCGCTGGCGATGACGAGGACCCCGGCGACGATGTCGACGAGGAGAGTGATGGATGGGCTGATGGCGAGTTTGCGCCCAGCTGGGCTGGCAATGTAAACGTGGAAACCCGGCGGCGGAGTAATCCACGGCGGACGAAGGAAGGAGAGTGGGCAAGAGAAGGCAGGCGGCACAGTTCAGCTGCCTGAGACTGCGTATGTGACGAAGAAGTATGAACCCCCACCATGACCATAGGATCTATGCACTTTCTGTACGGTTATTTTGTAACGGCCCGCTCAAGGGCCGCTAATGTTGCGTTTCTTGTAACAGAGCGCCTCCACCCCGTTTTACTGAATCGTCAACTGGAACATGGATTGAGGGCAAAGAATTAAAGCGTGGCAGGGTTTAAGGACGATCGAAAAAATGAGCGACGCAGGGGTCGAACCTGCAATCTCCTGATTAATGATCAAGTCGTAGTCAGACGCGATGCCATTTCGCCAGTCACCCATGGCAGATGTGTCTTATTTATCATTATGATCCGTCACTGTCATCCATCAAATCAAGATGCATTGGGACTCGGGAACAATGTGACCGAGAGGCAAGAGGGTTTGGTTGCCAGGGGAGCCTCGCGGGCCGCCAGGGGAGCGATCGGCACAGCATGGAGTCGATTCTGGGATTTCGTCGTCGCTGAGGTTGACTCTGAAGCAGATGGGTGCATGGGACGCCTATACGCTACGCTACACAGATCCTCAAAGTGCCGACAGGTCGTAGAGAATGAGAGCAGTTTCTCGCTCCCGACGCCCTCGGATGAGAGTGGCCGAGAAATCTTTGAGCAGACCCTGCAATAACATGAATTCGAGTCTGGGGTCGACTAGGTAGGCCCGACACCTGGAATGAAGTCACATGCATTGGTGTATAGTGGGGTAGCACAGCGAACGCACTACTTACCTTTACTCGCGAACACAAATATGCCACCCAGACTCAATCCGCTGCAGGCGAGCCGGCCACACACTTCTTTCCCTCGCATCCATCGTAGCGCGGCGCCGAGCCTCTCCCCCTCAGAGGGCTTCCACAATGTGTACATCCAAAAACCATTCCCTCTGCTTAGTTGCCAGACTGCTTGAGTGACGCTGAAGAGCCTCCAGCATTGACCCATGGGTGATGCGTGGGCTCGCACGGCGTTACTTACGAGCTGGCACGGACGTAATGGCTCGGACTGGCAGCGCTACGCGACGCGGCTGTTTGGCCGTATTATCATCCACTCCTAGTACCCAATTCTCTCTACCGGAAAGCGCAGCACAGTAGGTCGCGGTCCTTCTCATCCCTTACCGAAATGAGTTTCGGACGACTATCCTCTCCATGTCTGATGCGCATGCATGATGGTCCGCCCAGTGCTCGCTCCTCGCCATTTGCTTCGTAAATCCCACTTCCAATGTACGGCTGCAATAACACACATCTAGCGTTCCTGCCCATGCTTGTAGGCCGGGGGAGCTCAAGCCTAGATGTCTACAATCTGAAGCTCGAGTTCTTGCAGATCACTGCCGAGGGCGCCTCATACGGTGCGCTGCAAAGCTGTTTCCCAAGAGCTTGCACTCTAAATCATCTACACATTCATCACACAGGTATATTCTTAGCGGTGGCTATTATGTCGGCGAACAGTCTGATGTCTGTGTACTATCTCTTTACTGCTCTGTCTGACTGTCCATGCAGCTCCCACTCTCCGGAACCCGGATCTGGGTCTCTCGCGCGCAAAATACTCCTCGGGATCACACTGTTCATGCTTCTCGGCACGACCACGCATCTGGGCCTGCACCTCGGCTGTGTCATCCTTGGTCTCGGTTACGGCAGCCAGATGAAGCTCGCGCATCTAAGCATAGGACAGACCGTCATAAGACGGATCGTGGTGAGTACTGATCGACCTATCTGTGATGAAAAACGTGCTCTGACGAAGCCTCCTATGTAGTACTTTATCAGCGATGCGGTCGTTGTCTGGCGCGCCTGGGTGTTGTCGTCCCCGTCTCTTCCCGTCCGATGGGTCCTGGCACTGCTTCTCGCCGCGACACTGGCGACCTCGATGACTCTCCTTGCGTTCAACATCATCTCTCTCGAAACGGGGCGTGTATACCCGACCCTCGAGCAGAACATGCTTGGGACGTTCTGCCTGCTGCTGACGAACGCGTGCGCCACGGGCGTTGTAGGGTGGAAGCTTTGGTACTACCGCCGGAATCTCAAGCAATATCTGAACCGGGGAAGTCGGCGAGGAACGGTAGAGGGTGTACTGGTGCTGTTGCTGGAAAGTGGTGCTGGTTATTGCATATTCTGGGTCAGGCTTGCCGCTTCTTACTTGTATTTGATGGGCTGACGCACGGGCAGCTTCTGACCATGGTCGACGACTTTGGGTACATGGGTGGTTTTGGATTCGAGTGGTTCCAGCCGGGGGTCTCCGTGCGTCTCTCCTGACCTTCATTGGTGTGGTCCTCGTTGCTGATCTCCTCGCAGGCAACATACCCGACTCTGATCATTTTGCTTGTCTCACAACGCAAGATGCTCACGAAGGAAGCCTTTTCGTATGCGGGACCAACGCTCGACATGCAGTCTATTGTCAACGATCATGAGCCTGAGGGTGCGGTCTCTCCGCACAAGGACTTGACACGGTCTTCAAGTACCGTGAATGGGCTCCTCTCCTAGGAGGGTTTGGACTTTCGGAAAATGTACTAGGAATGTAATAATAGATCTGGTAATAATGGGGTGATTCTTTGCGTGGTGCAAAGAACAGCGGTCTCCTGTGACTGAGATCGACCCTTGAATTAGATAATGTACACATTGGCAGTTACACAGGTTACACAGAGTACAATTGGCGCAGGAAGCCACGGGTGTATGCGGGGCTTAGGATTGTGGGTTCGGCGCATGATAGTCCATTGTCGCAGCAAATTCCTCATCGCCCGTCAGAGTCATCATCCGCGCAGGCGCGCGCTCGTCCTCCGCATCAGCAATTGATCCCTCCCGCTCTATTCGTGACACGTGCGTAGCCGCACGCTGAGGGACTTCCGAAGCTCGCTTGGCCCGCGACTTGAGTAGATTCGAAACAAGGACAGTGTCCCCTCGATGCAGCGGCTCCTCGGTCGCAGAGTCGGGAGACACCGCGAGCTTGACAGGATGCTCTCGGCGTGTTTCGCGTAGGTGCGTGGGGTGGGTCTGGCGGTTCATGTCATCAGGGTCGTGCGTTCGCGTACGTACTGGCAAGGCCGATCGCTGGGAATATAACGAGGAAGAGGAAGCGGGGGACGGGATTTCGGGTTTCGTTGGATTGACTGTCGGCGGGATGGGTGGCCCCGCCGGTATCGTGATGTGAAGCGGAGGAGTTCCCAGCCTCGGAGGGTAGCTAGCCGGTTGGACAGTCGGCGCCGTGTACAGATCCACGTCGTCCAGGCTGCTGCGCCGCAGCGACGACATCCCTTCCCAGTCTCGGGAAAGCAGTGGGTTCTCGGCAGATTCCAGCCGCCGATGGCCCGATGCGAACATCTTTTCGGGGTTAAAGCTGAGACACTCTTCCTCTGTGTCGGGGTGGTTCGCCCGTACAACATTCCGTCTCCATCGTCGAAGAATCACGACACCGGCGATGGTGAGAGCCGAGATAAGGACGAGTCCTCCAATCACACCTCCGAGTATAGGTCCGAGGCTCGCACTAGTCGCAAGGCGGGGGGCGATCGTCGGCATAGAAGGACTAGATGCGTAGGGAAAGTTTACACCAGGCCGAGGTGCCTCTGTTTATAAGTATGCCATGCGAAACTCGCGAGGCACAGCAACGCCGGATCGGACTGCGGAGTGTCGTCCGGGCACAGCCCTGCAGCACGGCATGATCTCGCCGTCATCCATTGACTATTGGTTGTCGCCACAGGCGCAGCCCATTCGCCATCTCCTTGTAGGTTGCCGTTACATAACATCTGTGCATGCCTGCACATTATGTATGAATCCGCTCGCACACTGTTTTCACAGCATCTGAAGCACATCCTGCGCGCCGCGGCTGTAGAGTAGGAAAATGAAATTGAGGGATGTAAAGTCTGCAGCCATCGTCCTGGAGCGTCGAGGCCAAAATTCCTGGTGCAGAAATAAGTCGAACGAGTGTCAAGGCCCATAACAGGAAAAACTTATACCAGAGTCACGTCCGCATCACCTGTCATGAGTGACGCAGCGATGTCAATCAGAGGCGATGTAGGATGTCTATACTGTACCATCAGCGGCCCGATTGGGATGTCCAGTTTCGGGCAGTTTCGACTGCGGAAGTTCACTTCGGATCGCACTGACCGTGGGTAGGAATCTCAAACGATGCACTATGAACTTGAGATCGGTCGCTGAATAAAGTCCACTCACGTACAACCATGACTTGACACGGAAATGTTGTATGCACCAGGCCTTAATACTTACGTTCGACCAGGAAGAGGCCTGGAAAATTAAGAAAGAAACGCACGACTTCCGTCTTGCAGCTCCAATTTTAACCTTCTTCGACACATATCTCGTTTTACGCACTTTCGCCATAGCGATTCCGCACTGATTCCGACACTGAAAAGTGAAAAACGCGGACTCTCTGTCAACGATCGATCAATGGTACAGCCACTGATCGGGCCTTGACTGTCAATTATGATCGCTTTCGCCACGATCCCGAATATCAGTGCCTGAAATTGTTTGGAATGTAGCGCAAGACCTCAAAAAAATGAAGCTCAGGCGGAGTATGTGCAAGAATAGTTTCTGGACAGTGCCCAGGGAGGCACTTTTTAACATTTTTGAGGGCGGTGGAGTGACCGTGGGAACGGTAGAAATTAATTCCGTCAGCGCCACAACTTCTATCAAACCAATATCAAACCACCCATCCGGCCTTCGCCAACAGGATAAAGATGGCCGCTATGCGAATGAAATGCCCGCTTGCACACCCCTGCGTGTCTCCCCCCCTCCCCATCCTCCTGAGTAGAATCCCGAGCGGGGCGATTTCGCGCCAAGCCACCCACCCCCTTTCCCTAGACGCGATCGTGCCGCTGCTATTTAGACCCCGTCGAGCGCCCACTCCATTTCCTCTTTTTCTGTGGCCACCGACCTGTCCTGCACCATCAACCACGTAGGACCAGCACGAACACCGAGATGCGATTCCACCTCGTCGTCGCTTTCGTTTGCACCTTCCTCTTCGCATGCGCTGCAGCCTGGCCGTTCCCCAAGAGTGGCCCTGAGGCGCCCTCCAGTGTCTTCGTCGAGACGCGCTGGGTTTCCAATGCTGAGCGCCTGCAGCGCGGAATGCCGCTCTTGAAACCGACGAAGAGGCGTCCTGGTGGTGCGTGCAGTTTACTTCCGCCTCCCCGCATACTCTTATCTGACTTTGCCGCCCTCCAGCTCCCGTTGCACCCTGTGCATCCAGCTCTCCGGACCGACGTGCGCAGATCCAGAAGCGACTGGCCGAGGAGAGGGACGGCTTATGAAATGGGCCCTTCATTCAGTGCCACGTTCTCTCAGGCATTCGATCGCTTTCCATTCCACCCGCGGGGCCGATTCAACTGTATTCACTGACCATTCATACCATACCATACGATCCCGTACCCTACCGCACCACCACAATAACATGCCCGATCACCCCTTGGCACCATATTCTGTATCGTAGCTAGCTGCCGAACACTTTTAGACTTGCACCCCAAATTGGGCTACCTACGCATCCAAATTTCGGACCCTTAGACGACCCCCTAGATTCACGATGCTTGATTGCAGACCATCATCATCCACAATACCATGATATGCTGATTAGACGATACAATACATTCACGATACTTGCTTGAGAGATGTATGGACGAGAGCAGAGGAGTCGGGAGATGATCGCTGGTCCGCAAGATCTGACACGCGGCGATTCAAGATATCATGATTCGCCAGACTGCAAGATGGACCCGCTGTAAGGCCACCGCGCCTGATATGCTGGTTATGTTGTCGTCTGGCCTCGCTTGTGGAAACCACGAGCTCTATCATTCGAAGAAGGTGACAATGACACCGATGTCATCACTGTCCACAGGTTGATGAGCACAAACGCGGAGGAACGAGAGCGGACACACCGAATCATCCCGGACCTTGGTATCCCGATCTCAGTCAACGCAGCATGCACATCCACGTTCGCACCGCCCGTCGCATTTCGGGTCAGATGCCAGGCGGCGTTGCCATCGACATTCACGAACCGCTTCTTGACTCTCCAGGTGCGGTAATGGGTCTCGTTGTCCGCGAGTCTGACAGGAAGATCGGTGCGCTCGTAAAACTTCCGACGAGGGGTGTCCAGATCGAAGGAGTCGAGGGGTACTCTTTTGGTATCAAGCCATAGCCCAATCAGCCCCACCGCTTCCTCGCTCGTTAGACAGTCCCAGAGTCCATGCGAAGCCACAATCAAAAAGTCGCCTGACTGGATTTCCACTGTCGTCGTTTCCGGCTCGGCAGTGAGATACGGAGGCGTCTTACACCTGTCCATCGGTTTGTCTCCCATATAGTTATCGTACAGGAACTGCTGCGCGTCCCGCGCCCACTTCATCGCCCCATGCCCAAACGCGCGAGTGAAGTCCCAGCCCATGAATTTGCCCCCTTCAAACAGCCCCTCCTCACCTGGATGGAGCGCCGAGATGCGCGCGACTTCCGACGCGTTGCCTGCAGTGTGTTCGGCCGAGAGGACGTGCACATCGTACAGGTCCTGCCCGGGACGTCGCCGACCAAGGACTGCACGCGAGGTGCCGATGTTCGAGACATGGAGTCGGCGCGGACGGGCCTCGAAGAATGACAAGAGCGCGCGCGATCCGGAATGGGCTTCTTGCAGCATCATCGCTGACATGGTGTAGATCGATGGTTCCTCAGTGGCTGTCTTGCGCAACTGTTCCACAGGCAGCTCTACGATATCCTGGTCCAGCTGAAGGAAGAGATCTTTGATTTCGGAGTGCACTTGCGCTGCGTCGGGGGCTATGGCACCGAACGTCACTTCCGGCTCAGTGCTGTCGTCGCCGATGAGCGTCGGATGATGCTCGCCCAATGTCCCCCGGTACAGACGCTCTAGATTGCGGATGAGTGTAAAGGTGAGGTATTTCACCAGGAAATTCGTTGTCTGATCCCCGGAGTAGTCGTCATAGAGGGCCCAGATCGACCAGCCGTGTTCACGAGCTTCGTCCGTGTCGAAAATGTTCGTGCAATGCCGGTGTCTTGGAGCCTATTAGTAGAAAGTATGGCCGGTGCATGTACACGCACGACTGCCAGATAGAGAAATCCTGCCTGAGCACAGCTTCGCCAGGTCGCAAGACGGTGGTGTCGAGCCGGCGTATGCGCTGGTCTTCGAATTGGCGCGTGCCTGTGTCGTTATGTACCGGGCGCCTGTTACACGCGTTGTATAACGCGAATGAGCCACCCGCAAAGGAGGCACTGAAGGCCAGGAGCCGAGATGTACGGCATGAGCGGAGTGCGGAGGCCAGCTTGAGATTTGTGGACAAGTGCCGATGAACGGATCACTCACACAGTGATTTGTGATCTATTTGATCCCCCAATTTTGATCTGTGCGCTGAAGGTGAAGAGGACCACATTTCACTCTCAGATGGGGTCATCATGCGCTTTCATAGAGTTAAAGTCAAGGAAAGAGCCCCAAGAGAATCATGAGCTTTGAAAATCCATCCCATCTTCGTCGCGGACTTGCAGTCCAGAAATTGAGCATGGTCTGATTTAATCTAGCCAGAATTGCCCGAGGGAGAAATTTAGCGCAGAGGATTCTCAAGGAATTCATTGCGCCTATCTTCCATGCGGCAGAGATCCGCAGTACAAGCAAATTTGGTAGTAGCTAGAGCATAGCGAACGCAAGACATCGTTCAGACTGGCTGGAAGGCTTGTGGAGAGCCCTCACTAGTCCCCACGTCGCCCATGAGCTGATAATACTGAATGAACATCTCCCCCGCGACTGGTAGGAGGAAAGAATCAGCCGACAAAGTGCGCAGGCGCAACTATCCGGAGCCACGTGGGCGCCTAATGAACAGATTCAAGCTCCGACAATGAGCAGCACTGCCACGCGTCGCTCGAGTCCGTTTTTGGAACAACGCGTCTTTTGTATTCGTGCGTAAGCCAGAACAAGGACCATTGGGAACGTGTCGGAAAGGAAGCATAGGCCCAGGGAACAATGGGAGTTATAAAGGCCGTGCAGTGCGGGTCGGAGGCGGCTTCCCTTTCTCTCACCCTCCCTTTCCATCCCATCCTCCCGTCCCTTGTGTACACACACTCGCATTGCATTACGACGCACTCCACGAACCCCACGAATACACGACCTTGTCTGCTAATTGCGCTAGCGCACCTCTGTCACACTCAACAATATTCTGTAGCATAAAACAACGAACATGAACGGTACGCCCCGCTCTTGTTAGTGATCGTCACATAGTTGACTCGGCTGCAGCACAAGTCCCCCTTACACCTGTTCGTCGACAATCGCGTACGCGGACTCGGCTTACGTGGTCTCAATCGCATTCTCCCCTCTCCCACTCTCCCGCCGCTCCCATCACCGATTTCCTCGATCTCACCGAGCCAGATTGCCCGATCACCGTCGATGAAGCTCCACAAGTCACGGAGCCGATGTCGAATGCGAGAAGTGTGAAAGCCAAGCGCCGGCTCGCGGTGCAACTACTCGCTCTCGATCTGCAAAACTCCCTGGCCGTACCCAGACATTTGCCAGTTGTGTCCTATTCTCCATCTACCGCGTCGTGCTCTGCAGAACCGAGAAGCATCAGTGTGGGCTCTCCGATCGACTTGTCCTCTCCTTTCCATCTCTCCGAGGGGGATGGGAACTGGAGACTTACGCTTTCTGCCGGGTTTGAAGGCGGTGCGCAGGAAGACGAGGTGTTTGACTTCCCCCGTCCGCCCTCCCTCCGGGACTTGCCATCGCCAGTATTGAGCAGCTTCTCCTCAAGCTCTTCCTCTTCGGAGGATGAATGTTACAACTACTCATACAACTCAAGCCCGGCTACATCGCCTTCGCCGAGCCCTCGCCCCCTCACACGCTGCAAGACGATCAAACCGCTCGTTATACGCAAGCGGGGCTTGAAAGCTGCCGGACGGCCGAGCCCTGGTCCGCCGCCGACTCGGGAACTTCCTGAGATCCCCGACGAGATATACAACTTGAACCGGCATTTCGTGCTGGCGAGCTCACCGGAAACCACCCCGGAGAAGCAGGATCGGGAATCGATGCTTGTCATGCCCACCGCGCCTCGGCGGATTGAGCCGTGTTCCATGTACACCCACTCCCGATCATCTTCGACCAACTTCTCTCGGCCTTGCCACGGTGGCGAGGAGCACGAGATCGCTGCGAACTACTGCGCGTATGCGCCGTTCCTTGAAGAGTTTACTGGCCCAGGTGTGCTGTTTTCGCCTTTTTTGCGATGTGTGCCGGACTGACAACTTGAACAGACACCTCGAACTTGCTGTCGCACGACCGGTTGCCGCGCGCGTCCATTCCTGTAGACGTGGAGAGCGAAGAATGGGAGGATTGCAACAGTTTACGGTCGCGGTCGAGCTGTGGTGCTCAAAGCGAGCATGCCGAAACCGACATCGTCGAGGAACACTGGCCCGCCCCACAATCCCAAATCCCCGTCCAGACACTCCGCTCACGGTGGTCAGCATCAACCCTGTCCTCTGTCAAGTCGACTCCGACCGCTGTCTCCTCGCCCAAGACCTTCTCTTTTGCCAAACGGTACTTTCCCCGAGGCTCCAAGCCCCCAACGCCATCGACGAATTCGAAGACGGCATCACTCCTCGCGTATTGCCCACTGCTGCAGCCCACACGGCTGTCCTTGGAAGAGCCGTCCCCCACCAAGAGCCTGAAGCCTATGGGCGGGATTGTTGTACTCAACAACAGACCGAGCAAGGCGCAGCGTGTGTTGGGTATGGAGGTCGAGGAGCCGCACCGGACGTGGTACAACGACTACCGTGGGAGGAGAGAGCACGGCGGGGAGCTCAGGACGCCCGCTGAGATGCTTTTTTTGCCATGAATGTTTGCAAGGACTGTTTATGAACACCGTTTCGCCATTTCATCCATCTACTTACATACACTACTCACGCTATACGCCACTAATTTGCTGTACTCTCCCCCTCCCCTCGTTCACACTCAATTTTGTAGCTTTACATTGTATTGTATTCCTCAGTTTACAGCTATGGCGATGGTGCCTGCTATACTTGTCGAAGGGAGAGCAAGTCCATAAATGGCTGCTCTGGAGAGAGAAACTCATGATAAGAAACATACTAATTGAGCTGATAGCTCGGTCTGCTTTCATTCGACTTGTGAGTGAGTGCGTGCGTGCGATGAAGGGTAAGAAACAAAAATTCCGGAACGGGGAATCGAACCCCGGGCTGTCGCGTGAGAGGCGACAATGTTAACCCCTACACCATTCCGGACGTAATTTTATGACCATCTACAGTAATCTGTATAAACACCTGTTCAGTATCAGAAGGACAATGCACAATTTTACTCATGAGTATTTCTTCTGTCTGGCTAGCTTTCCCGTATGGCTAGCTTTCCCGTATATGGGTGTGGCTTCATACCGAAGTATCACCTTGTGCGAGACAATGGGTGGAACAGCCGGCCGAGCACCCGGCCCAGTCTTTGAGCTGCATAAGCATCTCCGCACCGCATTTGATAGGCGAGTCACACGGACAAATCTGCCTGGATCTTCCCACCCAAAATCCCGATCGCCATTTCGTTCCTCCGTCTACTTTGTCGCCTTGGGCGCTCATTCAAGCCTTCGACGTCCACTATGGTCTCTCAAGAAATTCCGAAGAAGCTGGAGGGATACGAGTTCTATCGCCAGGTGCTGGGCAGCCCGAAGTACATTGTCGCGCCCATGGTGGATCAGAGCGAACTGGTACACATTCACACTCGGCCTGAGGGTTTGTGTTTGACCCCATTCAACAGGCATTTAGAATTCTCTGTAGACGATATGGCAGCCAAGTAAGTTTCGACAGCCGCTGGAGAAAACGAGCTGAGGTTTGCGTCTGATGAGCTTAGCTCATCTACACACCTATGATCAACGCTAGGGTGCGTGATCACGCTTGGATGCATGCCATGTTATTGAGATCCGCTGCAGAAGTTTGTTGAGAGTGCTAAACTGCGTACTGGGTTCTTCGATATGACCGCGGGAGAAGAAGGGCACCCGGATACCGACCGACCGCTGATGGTCCAGTTCTGTGCCAACGACCCAGAGTTCTTGCTCAAAGCGGCGAAGATGGTGGAGAAGGACTGTGACGGGGTCGATATCAACCTAGGGTGCCCACAAGACATCGCTAGACGGGGTCACTATGGATCGTTCCTTCAGGATGAATGGGACCTCATCTTCTCCTTAAGTAGGCCTCCTTCTCCTCCCAGACTCATTCCAAGTGCTGACGACACAAGTAAATACATTGCACAAGAACCTCGCCGTGCCGGTGACCGCTAAGTTCCGAATCTTCCCCACCATCGAGAAGACCGTCGAATACGCAAAGATGCTGGAGCGGGCTGGGGCACAGATCCTCACCTGCCATGGTCGGCTACGGGAGCAGCGAGGTCACAACACTGTACGTGTCTTTCCTCCATAACGCTGCCTGCACCTTAATCCTCGTTCAGGGCTTAGCGTCGTTCGCACATATCAAAGCGGTCAAGGAAAATGTATCCGTTCCAGTGTTTGCCAACGGAAACGTGCTGTATCAAGAAGACATCGAGACATGTCTTCGGGAGACAGGTTGTGATGGTGTCATGTCCGCCGAGGGCATCTTGTACAACCCTGCGCTCTTCGCTGGGCTCACCGAGGCGAAAGGGCCAGAGTCGGTCGATCCGGACGTCGCACTGCTGAAGTTGCAGCCATCCGTCATCTCGCTAGCGAAGGAGTACCTCTCCATCGTCGGAAGCCTCCGCACGCATACACCTTACAGCGCCGTTAAAGGCCACCTGTTCAAGATCCTGCGCCCAGCGCTGATGCATCACATCGACTTGCGCAATCGATTGGGCGAGATTCGGGTGATCATCCCCAAAGGGAAAGACCGGCCAGTCGATCAACCTTTCTGGGCCACCGGTCTCGAGACGTATTTGGAGATTGTGACTGAACTGGGCGAGCGTTTGAAGGCGGATGAGGAGCGGGAGCGGGGCGGTGCTGATGGCGAGACGAGGAAGAGTCTGACGGAACTCGTGAGTGTCCAGGAGGAAACTGGCTTGAAGATCCTTCCTTGGTGGTTGGCGCAGCCTTACTGGAGACCCCTTCCGGAAGGTGCGTGGCTTAGAACGGATACTTGCTGGTCTGTGGCACTGACTCGTCGCCGATAGGAACAGTGCCAGGGACAGTGCCCAGCACAGGCAACAAGCGGCCCTCAGAAAAGCCTGTGGGTGCAGAAGGTCCCGAGAAGAGGCCGAGGGTCGACCGTTCGTCATAATCATGCTGTTCTCCGTTGCTCTACACTTTATTCTCGTCATATTCATCGTCCATCGGCTTGCAATGAGAACGACAGATCTGAAGACAGGAAGGAGTCGACCTTGAATCTCGTGCCTCTGTCAAATGGAGAATAACGGCCTTGCACCTATTTGAGGACATTGGCGCGCTGTGAGCTCCGTGCTGATGTAGAAAACGCACCTTCGGACTCGAAGGAGGTACATGTTCTCTGCGGCCCAGTTGCAGCACTAGCCATTTGAGCACTTCCTCATTGCGACGACTCACGGGAATCATAATTTTACCACATGCTATATCGACTGCTAGACGGATCTGAGAAGGGAAGAGACTGAATCAAACGACTGGCGGTTGGACAGTTCCCTACAGTTCAACGTCAGCTTCGACTAATCATGTATTCGAAAAAAGCTGTCACTAGCCGTAACGGTTACGAGATGTGACGTTAGGGGCAAGACACCCCTCTGCTGATACCATCATGTCGCATCGACGAACGGATTCTGCTAGCTCGACCTGCACCGTCTTAACTTGCACATCCGATCAATTCTGGGACGTATACGACAATGACAAGCTTTCCACCATCGAGCTCGTCCGTGATGTGCTCAATAACGCCATAAGTCCCAGGAAAACCTTTCTCCGTCAGTCCGATACACGGTTTCACCTCGACGACCTGCTAGTTGGTATGCTTCAACAAGCGCCCGATCCTTCCGGACAACGTTACGTAGCTGTGGCCCTTCTTATTGCACACGAGAAAGGAACGGAGGCGGTGATCGACATTGCTAGAGCGTGGATGGACTACCTCTTTCTCCCCAGTCCGTCTTCATATTTATTTTCTTCTTCTCACTAAGTTAATGTATGTCCCTAGTGCTCAGTATTGCTCGAGCCGTTAGGACCGAGCCTACCAGCAGCCAGACCCCAACCATTGACACCACCGTACAGCACATTGAAGGAGCGGACAGACTGGAACAAACTCGACTCAGAGACCTTTTAAGTATTTGGAAATTCCCCTGGCTTCGGCTCATATCTTCCTGTAAAGACTAGCCAACGGGAACAACATCGCTGTGCAATCACCGGGGCATTCGACCTGAGTTTCGTATCGAAACTGTTACAACAAGGCCGTGGAAAGGAGATACCTGATGTTCCACAGCTTCGTATGGAGGCGGCACATATCATTCCGTTCCTCCTCAATGACTTCGACAACAAACCCGATATAACCTCGGAAATCGTGCGTCGTATCGTCACTGGCTCTTGTGTCTGTCGACATTCCTCCGCAGAGGGATGCTGCTCGCACATGGGACATGCTTCAGTCATGGACAAACCTTGACCTCGGGAAGATCCTTGGATCAAAAATCAACTCGCCTGCAAACGCCATTTTTATGACAGCCGAAGAGCACCACTCCTTCGGAAGGTTCCGTTTCTATTTGGATAAGCAAACGGTATCTTCTCTTGCAGTTTGTCGGTATCCCTGACTTATGCCGCCGCAGTACCCGGATATCCCAAACAGGTATCAAGCTCGAATGGTCCAGGATGGCAGGAGATTCAGTAATGGAAGAGTATCGACAATTGTCGACTTCCGGAAAGTTGAAGGAATCGACCTGCCCGACCCACAGTTTCTTGAGATTCATGCAGCTTTTGCAAGGGTCTTGAACCTCTGTGGTGCCGCAGAGTACTTCGAAAGTGTTGAGAGGAACGCTGAGGGGGGCATGACGCTGCTCACGGACGGCACTACAGACATCGAATCGTTATTGTTGTGTCGATTACCTATCGCCGCGTACTAGTCGTTCTGCACGCACGGAAAGCCTGTTTCCTTTCATGTAGCCGCCGCCCATTTCTGCACTGTTCCCGGACTCCCAAATCCAATAGGGCATCCAATATACTCTACTTCTAACTTTGCCCGACTCAGAACTCAAGAGCCTCGAGCCCACTGAGATTACAGCTGATTCAGAAATTATTGAGATCGGCGATTTTTCTTGGGCGGGCGTGCGCGCATTACCTAAATAGGAAAGGTCAAGCGCTATGGTGCGCTTCGCTTAGTTACCGCTACTTTGGCACAACCGCCAAATCGGCCAGGTCAAAAACCAAAAAATTCTAGATACTCCGTTGGGACAACCCATAGCACGTAAATGAATGCTCCTAGAAGTGCTTGAGAGTCATAGAGGGGAAAATGAGGCAGAATCTGCACACGACACTTGTTCTATGGGCAAACGGCCGACTCGAGCTCAAAAAGAGGCTGCTGCGCGCGCACGCCAGAGATGACGTCCAAAATATGATGATTCCGATTCCCTTCTTAAATCGTAACCGACGATGAGCCCATCAGCTCTGCCAACGACGTGCCCGAGACTCCTGACCCCAGCTTCCAAGAACTGCAATGGGTGGACCTCACCTTTGATAATGACGACCTGGAGCGAGGATATGAGGGAGGTGTCGAGGTTTCGGAGTCCCGAGTTAGACAAGGACTGTTGCACCGATCGCGATTCAGACTTCACAGACTCATATCTTTCTGAGTTCGACGAGGAGATGCTGCTGGAGTTGAGGGATCCACGGGAATGATGATTTTACCATATACTGTATCCACTGCTAGACGGATCTGAGTAACGAAGAGACGGCCCTCACAATTTGGCCTCCTGTTTTCATGTAATGATTCCCGTCTGAGGCTTGTCTATAATTCACTGCAACTACTTCCCTTTCTTTTCGTTTAGTTATCGCTCTTATCCTTGACCTTTTTTTTTTTTTTTTTGCGGCACGTTTGGAATAACACCTTGAGACCGACATAGGTCCATCTCAAGAATGTCCGTGAATTGTGTGACGTAGGAACCAGGACCTCGTCGGCAGTCTGCAAGGTAGGAATGCATTTACGCACGAACGGCAAACGCCGAACAGTGTGGGACTCGATCACCTCGTGATAATACCCACTAAACCTCCTGAAAATACGAGACTTTCATTGGGGATTGAACTCCTGCTCTCACAGGACCCAACGACTTCTGTTTTACACGGAAGCCAGGACCGATGGTGCCGTTAGACCAGGGCGGCCTTTTATCCTTGACCTTTGGTAAAGTGAAAGTCAGCGAAAGAGCAACGTGTGAATGACTGATAAGCTCTGTGTGGAGAAGTCTCCATATGATAAACGGCTGGCTGTATGTTGTCACTTGTCTAACCAAGTCTCCCTCTGCCAGTGCAATGACCACAGAGACCACCCCTCTCCTGCCAAGGGCAACGCCAGATACCATCAGCCGGCGCGACTTCGCGTTGTTGATGATTGGTCTGTGGAGGTGCGTCGGAAAGAGAGCCGTTGGGACATGCTTTTGATGCGACGTCCACTCCTTCGTCCGCCCACCACAGCCTTACATTCATCTCTTCGCTTGATGGTACCATCGTCGCCACCCTCATCAGCAACATCGGGTCCTCGCTGGAATCGATGCAGCTTAGCTCGTGGATTGGCACGGCCTACTTGCTCGCGTTATGCGCATTCACACCCATCTACGGGCGCCTGACCAACATCCTCGGTCGACGGTTCAGCTCCCTGCTCGCTTCAGTGCTGTTCGGCACAGGGACTGTCCTGTGTGGGGTGTGCCAATCGATGTATGACGACGCGTGCCTCCTCGTGTCAGCTTGTCTTAATGACGTTCTCCAGGCCTCAGCTGATTGCGTGCCGGGCCTTGGCGGGTGTTGGAGGTGCGGGCATGACGGTCGTAGGGTCGGTCATAGTTTCAGACGTCGTGCCGCTCAAAAGTCGGGGGCTTTACCAAGGCTGTAAGCGCCCTCGTTTCGTACCAGCTTACGTCCACTGACCTCCACCTGGCCCAGTCACGAACCTCCTCTTCGGTCTTGGTGCTGGCGTCGGTGGGCCGCTCGGAGGATGGCTCGGCGACACCATCGGATGGCGCGCGGCATTCTTGTGCCAAGCTCCGGTGCTTGTTACCGGAAGCGCTCTGCTCTTCGTGAAAGTGCGCGAACCGGAAAGCGTGACATTCGCTGGATCCTCATCGACCCTCGCGGAGAAGCTCAAGCGGATTGACTATGCGGGGACGTTTGCGCTGCTTTTCACCTTGTTATCTTTTCTTGTCGGTCTGAACTACAAGACCACGGGCGGACACAATTGGACGGATGTGCGTGTGTGGAGCTGCTTGACTGCGTCGTAAGCTTTGGTATCTTGGTGAGACTGCTCGGTCTGATCTGCTTCCAAGAGCTATGTTGCTTGTCGCGTTTCTCGTGATAGAATTCAAATTCGCGGCTGAACCAGTTCTTCCCATCTCTATGCTCAAGTTGCGGACACCGGGATTCGTTGCTCTGGTGCGCTTTCTCTCGCTTCTTCCGCACTTGACTAAATCTCTTTGGAGAACAACTTCCTCGTCGCCGTCTTGACCTTTTCCATGATCTACAGCATTCCCCTTTACTTCACGGCGGCGTTCCTTCGGACGTCGACGAACGCAGGTGCTCACCTTATCTCTAACTCGGTTGGTATTTCCGTCGGGTCCCTTTCTGCAGGATGGTATATGCGGAGAACGGGACGCTACTGGAAACTGCAACTTGTATCGGGATTATCTGTCGCCTTGGCTGCTACGACCGTGGCGTTGTGGTGTGTGATTTGTCCTGTCTTCGCCATTATGTTCAATCTGACACGGTCTGTACAGGAACGACCGCACACCGGAGTGGTTCATGTTAGTCACATTGGCGCCGTTCGTCAGCATCACAGGCTTTGCTCTGTATATCATGTTACTGACTTGCGGATAGGGATACGGATATGCGACAATGCTCACTACGACTCTCCTTGCGCTTATTGCCAGTGTTCCACGCGACGACATTCCGATGGCCACAAGCTGTGAGGATTTCTCGGACCATACCTCTTGAGGCCCGCAGCTCATTGTACCATTTAGTGTCATATTTGTTCCGCACGACTGGCCAGGTGCTAGGCGTATCTCTTTCAGCAGCCGTGACACAGACTCTGCTCGCACACCAACTGCGGGCTCGGATAACTGGGGCACATGCTGATCAGGTGCGTAGACATTCCCGCGGGAAGCTTTTCACTTATGCATACTGAGTAGATCATCGCGCGCATCCTAGACTCGACGACGTATATACACACCCTCCCTGACGAACTGAAGAAAGCCGCCACGACAAGCTGGGCCCTCTCGCTGCACACAGTATTCTACTGTCAAATCGTTCGTCGTTCATGAGTGATTCGCCGTTCTTTCTTCGCTGAACGAATGACTAGGTCCTTGCTGGACTTTTACTGCTTTCTACGCTGCCGATCCAGGAGTGGCCGTTACCGGATAAAATCGCATCGACACCAGCAGCGCGACGGTCAAATGATGCCGAGGAGACCCCTGCTGGAGAGCAGTGATATGCTCTCATGACTGATCGACCCGTAGAGTACATTGATAGACCTCGTTATGGACTGGTCCTGTCGGATGTTTGAGGTTACCCGACGAGTGTGAAAGCGGAGGGTGTGGACATGCTGCACTCCCGACTTCACAATCCCGCCGAGAAACCTTTCTGTCTCTCATTGCTGACACAAATCCTCTTGCATGCGCTCGTGCGTCCGTTGCCCTCCGGCTGAAAACCATCGATTACTCGCTATGCACTGGGACTAAATTTCGCTACTTGCATCGCGCTAGTCATAGAACGTGAGGTCAAGTAGGAACAGTATCAGTATTGTCTTGCAGGAGCGCCTCTCCCCTTCCCAGTTCATTATAGACGTTACCATTTGAGGATCCGCTCAAGCTCATCAACGGCATCTCTGCTGACATCCTTCCACCGTGACATCTCTTTCCGCAGCTCTTGAACCCACCCCTCATCTGAATCAGAGATGATATCGAACCGGTCGCCAGCCCAAACACCGCGGTGGAGCTCGATGGAATCGTCCCGACCCATCGATACGGAGGAAGTCGAGGACAAGCATATACGCTCGAGGACAATGTGACCCAGAGACAAGAAATAGCACATCTGTGGGCGAGAGTTCCGATACTTGTCTTTCATCTTGAACAGCTCGATTTCGCGGACATACTCGTGTTTGGTGAGGTTTCGAAGAATGTGATTAGTGGAGCCAGCGGTCGAAACGACCACGATGTCGCCGCACCGGAAAGACTCCAGCAAACGACACAACGTCGACGCATGGAGATAATCAAGCTGACAGTTGCGCTTGCGGGCCTTGATACGCAGCTCAACATCGAGATACATTTTACGGTGCAATGGAAGGGCGAAGTTGGCGAATCCGTTTTCCCATACACTGTCATGGTCATGCCCATCTGTGATGCCGAAATACTGTGTTCTCTCTTCCGAAGAAAGGATGGAGTCGGGGATATCATTGTGGGCGAGTTCGCTTCCGAAGCAAACCAATCGATGTCCACTCCAGTAAAGGCGGCTGCAGAGGCGCTTCATACGCTCGTGTAGCAAGGGCCGGCACAGATCCCAAACGTGTTGGCACGTCATAGCGAAGAAAATGAGTTCCCCATTGTCAAGGTCCTCGCATATCAGGCTGAAGAGCTCGATGGGCAGACCGTGCAGCAAAATACACTCGGAGCTGGCGAGGACTTGGATGAGACAAGAGCAAGTGAGTGACACAACACAATACGTACCTTTGCTCGACTCTCATTGGACAGAGCCATGTGTGTTTACCACGTTCCAAGTTGAGCGAAAAAATGCCGCTTATTCGATTTCCAAATGCAATGGAACCTGGCTTGCACATCCCCACCACTGAATCCAATTCGCGGTATTGAGGGCGGCGAATCCTCTCTACTAGCCTATGCGAAACGTTTCCATCGAAAAAGCAGTCTCCTAGCTTGCTTAGTTCTTCACATGTTTCTTGAGTAAGGTTCACGACTTTCCAGGATTGACCCATGAGTGATAAGTGATAAGTGATAATATACACGGCATGGTCCAAGCGCTGAACGCCGTGTTCCCAAAATTATCCTAGCGCTATGTACGAGCTGTTTATGCGCCTTCGTTTTGGACCCCTTTCAGCAAACCCGACAAGCTATTCAGCTCATAACTCCGAACGTCTATCAAGGGTCTGCCTGGGGGGCAGTGTTTCCACGTCTATGCAGGGATCAGGGTGCCTGAATGAGCCAGTGTAAGGGTGATGCTGGTTGGTGCATCGGCTTGGACTCAAAGATTGCCATGACTTCGTACGCAAACTTTGCCATGAGTCCAATTGTTTCCCGGTGGAACAACATACGCCTGCACCCCAGGGACCTCCAGTTATTATGTAAAATGGCTTCGAGGCCCCCTCCGGAGGCCATCAAACCACCCCCTACCCCCTGATCGGAGGCCATCCTGGAGGCACCTTCCTAATTGGTACACTACCTGGCTATTCATCCACGGCCAGCATGGTAGGCTAGGCATTGACCCGAGTGTTGATATGTGCTGTAGTAGTGAGTATGAAGTCTCAGACAATGTCTTAGCTCACGAAAGCTTGTATTTCTTGCTTGCAAATGGCAGACCACTGGGCACACAAAATTTGGGATTTGAGCACATGAGCACTCCTCAGGTGCATAGAGCAACAGTATATATATTAATTCGAGGTTGAGCATGAGGTAGCTGTGCCCACACGCAAAAAATGAGATGTTGCTGAAGGGATGGTTTATGGCCTCCACGACCTCCCAGGGGCAGAAAAAAAGGTGTTGGGTAGCCCACAGGCCCTTGAATTCCGCTTCAATAGATCAATTTGATGCTTATGCTTTGTCAAAACAACAGCCCAGGATATAAATTAGATGCTGGTGCAGAGGCAGAACTAGCCTCCACCGCCTCCAGGGCTGGGGACCAAAAGCGGTTATTGTAGATTCAGCCACATAAACCATATTTCTGATGTTGTTTGTCCTAGTCAGAATGTCTGGGTATTCCAGAGAGACAGGTGGCGACATAGATCAGATGCTAGCAGCAATAGCAGAACTGGCCTCCATGGCCTCCACAGCCAGTGACTAAAAGCGGTTTTTTGGGTTCAGCCGCATAAACCATGTCTATGAAGTTGAAGGTCTTCATTATAATTATGAGGGTCCTTTAGTTAGATGTCTCACCACGTGAATCAGATGCTGGAGCAAATAGCAGAACTAGCCTCTGCTGCCTCCACAGGTTATCACTTGAAGAGTCTGAATGAGATGACAATGTAACAGATAGATGTTCTCATAGATAACTATGTTCTGCTATTTCTACCTCTGCATGCTAGTTTGATTGCAATAGAATGTTGAATTCAGAGAATGGGGGACCCTGGAGGCACTGGAGGCGCATGCAAGATCCAATCAATATCATCAATGCTATCAATGCCATCAATAGCATCAAGAGCATCACCGATCATTGGTAGATTGATCAACCAATCAGATGATGAATAAAGGTCAAACATTGGGTATATTCATTCTTGAGAGACACAGACTACATATATCCTCATGCTGACAGTGGATCAGTGGTCCCAGGACATGCCCCAATGACATATTGCATGCTTGTCTCAGGGACATATGATTAAAAATCGGAGTTGGCAAATGAGCTGAAAGTCAACTGAAGATGAGTGGTACAGTGGAGTACTTTCAGCTCATTTGCCAACTCCAATTTTTAATCATATGTCCCTGAGACAAGCATGCAATATGTCATTGGGGCATGTCCTGGGACCACTGATCCACTGTCAGCATGAGGATATATGTAGTCTGTGTCTCTCAAGAATGAATATACCCAATGTTTGACCTTTATTCATCATCTGATTGGTTGATCAATCTACCAATGATCGGTGATGCTCTTGATGCTATTGATGGCATTGATAGCATTGATGATATTGATTGGATCTTGCATGCGCCTCCAGTGCCTCCAGGGTCCCCCATTCTCTGAATTCAACATTCTATTGCAATCAAACTAGCATGCAGAGGTAGAAATAGCAGAACATAGTTATCTATGAGAACATCTATCTGTTACATTGTCATCTCATTCAGACTCTTCAAGTGATAACCTGTGGAGGCAGCAGAGGCTAGTTCTGCTATTTGCTCCAGCATCTGATTCACGTGGTGAGACATCTAACTAAAGGACCCTCATAATTATAATGAAGACCTTCAACTTCATAGACATGGTTTATGCGGCTGAACCCAAAAAACCGCTTTTAGTCACTGGCTGTGGAGGCCATGGAGGCCAGTTCTGCTATTGCTGCTAGCATCTGATCTATGTCGCCACCTGTCTCTCTGGAATACCCAGACATTCTGACTAGGACAAACAACATCAGAAATATGGTTTATGTGGCTGAATCTACAATAACCGCTTTTGGTCCCCAGCCCTGGAGGCGGTGGAGGCTAGTTCTGCCTCTGCACCAGCATCTAATTTATATCCTGGGCTGTTGTTTTGACAAAGCATAAGCATCAAATTGATCTATTGAAGCGGAATTCAAGGGCCTGTGGGCTACCCAACACCTTTTTTTCTGCCCCTGGGAGGTCGTGGAGGCCATAAACCATCCCTTCAGCAACATCTCATTTTTTGCGTGTGGGCACAGCTACCTCATGCTCAACCTCGAATTAATATATATACTGTTGCTCTATGCACCTGAGGAGTGCTCATGTGCTCAAATCCCAAATTTTGTGTGCCCAGTGGTCTGCCATTTGCAAGCAAGAAATACAAGCTTTCGTGAGCTAAGACATTGTCTGAGACTTCATACTCACTACTACAGCACATATCAACACTCGGGTCAATGCCTAGCCTACCATGCTGGCCGTGGATGAATAGCCAGGTAGTGTACCAATTAGGAAGGTGCCTCCAGGATGGCCTCCGATCAGGGGGGGTAGGGGGTGGTTTGATGGCCTCCGGAGGGGGCCTCGAAGCCATTTTACATAATAACTGGAGGTCCCTGGGGTGTACGCCTGAGAAATTCTATTTCTGGCATTGACTCAAGTGGCGGCATAGTGGGAACGTCGAGTTTGAACTTGGTCATAAGGGTGTTGCGCAGTTGGATGAGACTGACGTCTCCGTCGCATATGAGCAAGACATGTTCCGGCGTTTCCGGGGCGTTGTGGCATAGTCTGCACTTTCGCTCACTCGGATCAATCCGAGGCTGGCGGGCATCTGTCCATCTGAGTCTCTCGATCGCTAGTGAATGGCTGGAGAGGAGTAGCCGGGTGAGGGTTTTCCGGTGGTCTGGATTGGTAACAGACAGGTAATGACGGAAGTGCATAGGTTTCTGCACCAGTCGTCCTTTGGTATCCGGCTCTAGGCGTCCCCTCAGGAGGTAGAGCTTCGGATTATCCCATCGATCAATATCCAGTTGTAGATATTCACCCACGGCAGCCTTCAGCTTCTTGATGAGATCATCGATGGCCGCAGTTGTGAGCAAGGGGAGTGGAGGAAGCGGGCACTCGAATGGTAGACTTTGGAATACAGCTCTCAAGTCCCGCATCCATGAGTCAGCCCCGGTCGCATCCAGTGCCATCGAGTCTCTGCATGCAGCAACCACCAGCCTGGTGTCATCATCAATTCCAATCAGATACTTGAGATATGACAGTGCCAAGATTGGGCGTCGATACCGGATAGGCATGATCCCTGTTTCGGTGAAGAGTGGGCTAAGCATCGAGCGTTTGCCAAGGCCCAGAACCCGCCGTAGGAACTCATGTTGAACGTCCTCGAGTTCCTTTAGCAGGTTCAAGTCAGTGTCCAGTGAGATCTCACAGCCATGGGTCAGATGCGGGTCTATTAGCGCCATGTACAGTTTACGTGCATCCCACACTGGCAGAGACCCGATGACAGCTTGGAGTCCTAGGACTGTACCAGCAATAGCTCTCCCCTTGCTCGCCTTTTTGAGATAGTGATCGGCAAATATATGCCTGTGTGTTGACCGGATGTTCAAGCCAACATATTTTGTTGCTTCGACAAAGGCCACAATGTCAGGTCCAAAGAATAGCCTCGGGAGTTGTTTAGGGATGGTGCCAAAGATCATTGCATACGACTTGATAGCGTTCAGGATCATGAAGTTTGTCCGGCACCATTTCCACAACGCAGACATCTTCCGTTGCATTCCCACGGGAGTCATCGATAGCAATGCGACATCGTCCGCCTGCTCAAGATTTGTGATGAACACCCCAGCAAGGAGGATGTCCATTGTGGCATCCGAGACCATGCAGAAGTCTGAGAGGTAGATTATCCAGAGGATCGGAGAAGAGGTGTCCCCAATCAGAATACCAAGCAAAGCACGAAAAACATCTGACATTTCATTCTCATGTCGAACGATATACACCATCCGCCTGTAAAGCATTCGGAGAAAGTCGAATATTGCTCCTCCCGCTCCCGCCTTTCGCATTTTCAACCACAGCGTAGTCTGCTCCGTTGATGGGAAGGCATTACTGAGGTCAGCGAAGACAACATATAGTGGGCGGTTTTGATGGCGTGCTCGTTCAATTGCACATCGTAGAATGAACATGTTATCGTTAGTTCGGAAGCCCTCGCGGAAAGCGTTCTGTGAGGCTGGTAGTAGGTCTCTGCTCTTGCACCATTTTGTAAGGCGCTTATGGATGAGCAGAGTCGTCAGCTTCAAGAAACAGCTCTCTAGTCCGATTGTGCAGTAACTGTTTGGGTCCGACTTAGGCTTGCCTCCTTTGAGAATGCCTATGAGTATTGTGCGCAGCCAGACTGACGGTGTATCTGTCTCTGTGATGCAGCGATTAACGAGGTTGCAAAGCTGATCGTTTTCCAGAGCACACACGTCCGCATATGTTTGCTCGTCATAACCCTTTGCACTGGTTGGTGGGTGTTCCTTCAAGCGTAGCTTGGCCTCTGCCATGTCCTCGATCGTGAACGGGCTGTCGAATATACGATCATCCGTGGCGTCCCGAGTCTTGTCTGCGATGGTATTTGCAAGCTCTCTATCAATTTCAAGACGCTCCGCATCAAATGTTGGAGGAATGGGGGAGATGGGGTTCATTCTGGCCTTGAATATAGCCTTCAGATCACTCGCTGAGAATCCCGATGACACGGGAGCTGGGTTCATGATCCTCCTTGTAGCCCGCCACATCTCAGCCTCCGTGCTGGCCTCCACAATTGTCATTCGCTGTTCCAGCTGCCTCTGACGCAGTTCCACCCGGCCTCGATGAACGTTCAACGATGACGTGTGGTCCGTGCAGACTGCGGGTGTGGCAGGTTTTGGAGGTAGCGGGACATACTGTAGTTTTGGGGACGGCGACACTTCTATTGTATTCGAATACAGTGTTATGGTGCCAAGGGCTCTGAAAGCAGGTGGCCATGTGTGGGTGTGCTCGGTGGCCACAGGCTCGCTCGACCCCATCTGAGCCAGTATGTCGGCTGCATCGTTCCCGCCGTTCCCGCTATGTCCTTTCACTTGAATCAGTACCACTGGAGCTGGTCGAGCTTGAATGATAGCAATGACATCCTTGAAGATGTCTCCATTTGTGCACTTCCAGCCGAGGGATTCATTTTCCGGCGACCTGACGGCTATGCCCTCCATTGCGTATACCGAGTTGGAAAAGATGTGGAGCGTTTTCATCGGGTGAGCCATGAGAAGTGCTCTGTAGATGGCATAGATCTCCGCGCGGTTGTTTGTCTGCTCTCCCGGGGTGCGACACGCGGTGTTGCGTAGGTTGCCAGGACCCCAGTAGATGCCTGACCCCGCAGCTGCTCCCCCTGACCCATTTCCTTTGCACGCTCCATCAACGTAGATATGTTGGGGGGTTGATGAGACGACAGTGTTTCCAAGCAGCTTGGCAAGCTTTTGCTCATCAGTCAGTCTCGAGCATAGTACGTCAACGAAGAGGCGATCGAGAAATGACTCAGTCGGCAGCTGAGCTAGAACCTCATCTCGCGTCTTCTCCTTCCTGGTCCGTAGTGGTGACTGTCGCAGAGGGAGGGAGCGTGTTAGTCGTTGTGACGATGTTGACCGGGTGGGGGTGTGGCAGATGTATTCGAGGCGTATGGCGGCGTGGTCCGAGATGGACAAGTCCGGTGGCAAGACGTCGAAGAGTCGAATGCTGGGGAGAGCAGTCTGGTTAGCGAGGCCATAGTCGATCACTGAGTTGCCTTGAGGTTGGAACGATGTGTAGGCAGCGTTTTGAGTCCCCAGAGTGATGTTGCCGTTCAGGATTTCCAGACCAATGTCGCTGCAGAGGCGTAGGAGAGAGTGACCCTGTGGTGTAATAGGCTTGTCTTTATCGGGGCTGGACCTCACTATTGTCGGTGCCCCTCCCGCGTTGCCACTACGTGCATTGAGATCACCCATCGTTATGACGGCTTTTTCGCTGGCCTGAAGGGTAGCCATCGTCTCCTCAAACTTATCCCATGGATCCGCATCGGTCCAGCCATCTCTCGAGCTCTGGTGTGGAAGGATGTATGCATTCACAAGGAAGAGGTCGTCGAGTTCAACAACTGTGATGTCTGGAGAACAAAGATCGTCACGTACATGAGCGCCGAGACCATCAGCAACATATGTCAGGACACCGCCCCACGGCTCGTGTAAGCATTTGTAGTTTTGCGAATTTGCGTGTAATATCATGTTATTTGGGATGGGTAGAGAGATATGTCCATTGGGGCGTAGATGAGATTCTTGGACAAAGAAGATGTCGTGGGCTTTGATGTTGTCAAGAAAGTTAGGGCAGGTCAACTTAAGGTATGCATGTCCGTCTATATTCCAGCATTTGATGCGCAAGATGGATTGATTCGACAGCAGTACAGAGTGTGAAGCTACAGATGCAATTGGGGTGTATACAGAGCTATTTTGTGTGTTTAAGTTGCCTGCCCCCGTCAGTTTCCCGGCAGGGCCGGAGCGGGTCCTTGGAACGCGACGGTGACAGCCTCGAAGGTGGGGGCAGGAGCGGCAGCCCACGCATTGACCGCCTGAACCGCGTGCAGGTTGTGCGGGAAGGTGACGAGAACTTGGCTCTTGTTGGTTGGGCAGCATTGGGCCTGCAGCCCCTTGATGCCATCGGCCGCAATGGACGTGGCGTAAGGGGCAAGGCGTAGGAGGGACCGGACCTGACCCAAGATGTCTCGGCCCCACTTGAGGTCACCGATGATGACAGGAACCACCCCGGTAGGGACGTGGACCGCTGGGGCATGCATGACGGCGGGGGTAGGAGTGGCGGGGGAGTGAACAGCCGGGGCTGCTAGGGCATCAGGAGCCGCCATCAGCATTGCGGCAGGAGCCGTGGGCGGTGCGTGGTGATTGTAGGACATGGGAGGTGGTGCCATGGGGGGTGCGTGGTGGTTGTACAACCCGGGGGGTGGAGCCGTGGGGAGGGAGAGCGTGCTGCTCCCAATGGCGATCTTCTTCACCACCGGGACCGAGATGCCGTTGTTGGTGAAACCGTCCGAGGGGGCGGCGCGTTTCGCACCCTGCTCCAATGCTGCAATAGGCGCAGCAACGAGGACAGCGACAGAGGCGACCACCTTCTTGACCTGGCTGGTGAGAGACCCAAGCTGCAAGCGTAGTCCTTCGACAGCCTCGACAGTGTTGTTGTTGGCGTTGATGAGCTGCGCCAAGATAGGACTAGAGGCGGGGCTGGAGGTGGTGGCATTGAAAGAGGCGGTAGCGGTAGCAACCGCGTCAGCGATAGCCTCGTGGTAGCCGGTGCGCATGACTGCGAGGTCACCCTTAAGGGCACGGAGATCATCCCCAACTGCAGCGGCGACGTCTTCGACCCGCGCTGCAACTGCGCTGATGTTGCCATCAAGACGACGCACTCCAGCCACGCCCGACTCCGTTTTGCTGGCCGCGGCTTTCAGGGGCGACGCAGCGGGAGCGAGAGCGGAGGTGGGACCTGGAGTCGAGACAGGAGTGGGAGTGGGCACGGGGGTGGGAGGCTGGGTGGCTGGGGTGGCCGCAGCAGGAGCGGCGGCAACGGCGATGGCGGCGTTCAACAGGGCTGCTGTTTGCCCTGTCATCGAACGTTTCGACGAGGGAGTGATGAGCATACCCTCAGCGTTGGGGCCGGGAGCATGGGTAATGGGGCCGCCGGTTTCATCAGGGTGGATGGCACTGACATTTTTCACGGTGGGGAGGGCCGGGGGAGGAGCGATTGGCGTCGAAGGAGCAGGGGTGCCGGTAGCAGGAGCAGGAGTGGCGCTGGTGGAAGGCATGCTTCAGGTGCGGTGAAGAAAGTGGGCAAAATGCGATTACGCACTGTGGACCTTTGTCCCAGTATTTTTATGACCAGGGCCTTAGAATGCGTCTGCAGCTCGCGCCGCGGGGCCTGCAGCGAGGCAAGGGTCGTGTAGCTGAGGGGTCGTGGCTGTGCTGAGCAGGGGTGGTGTACTCGTACGGCGACCGAGTTGGAAGCAGAGGGACCCGCGTGGATGCCCTCGTCTAGGACAACACGAGACTAGAGAGGAGGAGAGGTGCCTGACGAGACTCCGGTGAGCTTTTCTCCGGGGTACAGTGAGGAAGGGGGGACTTCGAGGGTGTCGAGCGAGAGAGGAAAGCGGAAGGATGTGAAAATTTCACGTTTCTCTGAGGTTTCTCCTTCAATTTTTTGTGATAATGGTTCACGTCTGTATCCGTATGCGATTCTCCTCACGTCCTGTAGCTTTTCCTTTTGGAGGAAGCGGTGGACGGTTGTTCGAGGTGTTTTTGAATCAGGGATGATGATGGTAGGTATTCATCCGCCATCAGTATCACTCCCAGGTTGGGACAAGCCTACAAGGTAATGAATAGGACGCAGCACGGATGTTTGGTCGTGTTATTGAAATTAGCCCTTCGAGTTCTCCAATCGGACTCAAGAGTCAGTACTCATTGACCTGGATAATGCGTCCATGGGGATTGAGACAAAAATGAGTGTCATAGAAGTTGGTCTTACAATCTCCTGATCACACTGATATAAGTTCACTCCAGACACGCCCATACGAAGATGCGCTCGAGCTCATCAACCGTGTCTCTGCTGACATCCTTCCACCGTGACGTCTCCTGCTGCAGCTCTTTCACCCACTCCTCATCTGAATCAGGAATGATGTCAAACCGGTCGCCAGCCCAAATGCCACGGCAGAAGTCGATGGAATCGTCCCAACCCATGGAAGTGCAGGGATCCGAGGACCAGCAGATGTGCGCAAAGACGATATGGCCAAGGGTCAAAAAATCGTGGATGGTCAGTTTCTTATCCCAGGAAGGGAATTCCGGATACTTGACTTTCATCTTGTCCAGCTCAGTTTCGCGGACGTACTGGTGTTTGGTGAGGTTTCGGAGAATGCGGCTGGGGGAGGCAGTAGCGGAGTGGACCACGATCTTGTTGTACAGAATGATGGGAAGCGAAGGACAGGGCGTCTGGGCATGGCAAAATTCGGGATGGCAGTTTCGCTTGCAGACCTCGCTGAGTAGCTCAGAGTCCAACTGAATTGGAGCATCTAGTGATGGAGCGCTGGGAAATGCGTAAAATTCTAGACAGTAACCGTCCTCAATGATGGTGGTGGCTCCCCCTGGGCCCTCGGTGCTGAGATACTTGATTCTCTCGTTCGCAGAAAGGATGTAGTTTGGAATATCATTATTGGTCAGAGCGTCTCCAAAGAAAAGCAGTCGATGTCCGCTCCAACAATGGTGGGCACAGAGGCTTTTGATACGCCCATATAGAAGGGGGCGGCACAGATCCCAAACATGCTGGCAGGTTGTAGAGAAGAAAACGAGATCCTCGTTGTCAAGATTGTTGCAAATGAGACTGAAAAGCTCAATGGGTAGACCGTGGACCAGAATGCACTCGGAGCTGGTGGGGACATATATGAGACAAGAGCGAGGGACAAGACATGGCTCGCACCTTTGCTCAACCCTGACAGGACAGACCCAAGTGCGTTTGTTGTGTTTTTTGTTGGCCGAGACCAGGGTGCTTGCTCTCGGCCCAATCACAACGGAGCCTGGCTCGCACATTTTTACGACAGAGTCCAACTCGAGGTACTGAGGTCGGGAAAGCCTCTCCACAAGTTCCTGTGCAAAGCCTCCATGAAAAAAGGAGTCTTCTCCGAGGCTTTGGGCGGTTTCTTGAGTAAGATTAACGAGTTGCCAGTGTTGACGCATGGGTATGCACCACTCCCTGGTGAACACAAAGTAAGCAATAGGCGACAAGAATGTTTCGTCGTGTTATTGAAACAAACCCCTATCAAATTAGGTCAGTTCTGACATTCCAGGACCCCGATCACGTAATGCATGATGCGGTTGAATCACTCCGGCAGATCGCGATTCGCGAATAGATGAGACCTAGAAAATTGGTTTTTCTGACTGATATTCCGATACAAAAATAAATTCAGATTCCTTACTCAATACATGAAGAAAAAGATACTACCTTATCTTTCCTGATATACGAGATATATCTCAGTCACCGCAGGTGCATGCGAAGGTTGAATCAATGGTGCAGATGACGAATCGATGCTAGTGCGGGGCGAAGATGGTGGTCGGCATAATCAGCTCAAGCACTTGGGGCATCTCCCGATTTTAGTGATGTGCTACTGGACCATGCACACATCTCGTGTGGGCTGATACCTAGAATCGGTCACAGTTTCTATGTATAACTATGAACTGCGAAAGCCCTTGCCCGCATCGAACCATCAGTGCCTCGTGCAGAGGCTCGCTTCCACCCTCTATAGTAGTTTTAGCCGAGTCTCCTCTAAGTATTCGGAGCACATACGACAGACCTCGCGCAGTCGATCAAGTATCCGACATACCATCGGACAGACACATTTTCCGCGAATGACTGAGCCACCTAGTATTCCAACGCAAAACACTGAGGGGTTGTACTTACAATTGTCCAGTGGCTGCATTACTTCGACGGCTGGTACTTGGACATCAAGCATAGACTATCCATCGGGTCACAATTAGGATCCTGGGAAACAGTTCGGCCAAAAAAATAAGGGATGAACGGATTTGACGACAATCGGGTGGATCCCCGCTTAGACGGTCAAGTGAAACAGAGATACGATGTGTCTTCAGTTTCTTGCATTGTTTGGAGTGGCCGCATTTCGTAAACCTATTGAATACATCCAGCAGCACTTCGGTCAGTTTTGGTGGTCCGTCAAATTACATGGAGATATGGTATATGGATTTACACAGTCATCGTGTGTTTGACTGTCTGCAATGGGCTCATAACGAGCCCGGATTCATTTGTGTTCGTCCTGCACAGCAGCGACGGAGGCTCGGAGTGCGTGGCTCCTCGGAACCAGACTGTGCGATCTGAATTTGTGGTGGCGTCAGATCCGTTGGAAAGCGCTTCATCTGTGACCATCATTTTTCGCGAGACCATGTAAATGATGATGGTGGGGTAGATCCCCTGCAAGTCTGTGATCAGCGCCGGGTTATTGGCAAATTTGATGGTCTCAGACGCACGGAGATGTTGGGCTGGAACCATTCGAAGCCGAAATCGGGACCGTAATAGCCAAAGTCACCGAGCATTAGCAGGATCTTTATCGAAGAGAGCAAGGAAGTTGAGCTATGAACAGAGAGGAGGCGAGAAGAAATCCCCCTCACCCAGAAGGCGCAGTACAGTCCACCCGTCTCCATCAGCAAAATCAAGACGCTCTCCACCGTGGTATGCTCTTTGTCGGATCGATTCAGGTACTGCTTAACATTCCGCCGGTAGTACCTGTCTGATACTTGGGCGACGAGTCAACGACTGGACGAGACCACACCAACCATAATTTGTAGCTGATCAGCGCCGTCGAGAGGAAGTTGGTGAACAGCAGTCCCAGCGTCCCCAGAAAGTTTTGCGTCAGTCTCGGGTATCGCACACCGTCGAACTGGGTTCTGAAGTTGAACACCATCAGCGTGAGAGACGTCGCTGGAGACATCGTTCAGGAAAAGTGGCAGCGGGGAATTTGTCGGTGCCTACCCCCTGTCGCGACGAGACAGAAAGCGAGAACGGCATGGATGATGCGGTGATTGCGCCAAATCACCCACGCGCGCCAGACGACGATGATGTCGCTGAGGAAGTACTGCCCGGATCAGATGAGCGCGGGCCGTCGGCCGAGGAGCGCTGCTGCACGCACGGTCAATCTCCTCAAACACGTCTGCGCAATGTTGAGGCGCCGAGTAATCGCGGACGGGTCGGTGTACTGCGCCGCCAATGTCCGAAACTGGAGCAGGATGAAGCCCATGTACATCCCCAGGTGCGCTGTCGCAGCGAGAAGCATCGTGACGGTGATTGCCAGAAGCGCTTGTCTCGCGATATTCCCGCGCAGACCCTTCCGACTGGAGATAACAGCAGCAACCCGTGAGCGTCGGCGAGCATGCGGGCCTCGCGCGCGACGTACATCAGCGTGTAGCTCGACATGGCCCCCAATGAAAGAAACAGCCCTTCCGGCGCGTCAGTGCGTCTGCGCGTGTGGCTCATTCGGCCCGGATTAGAACACACCATACGAGCCCGCCGCGGCCCCCACATTCAAAAATACGATCTTCAGCTGGTGGATGTCCGCGTCGTCGAGCCCTGCATCGACATCTCGAGGGGCGAACGTGGATGGCATTGGCACCCAGCGGAGTGGAGTGGAGTGGGGAGGTTGCCAACGGGCGTGCGATGCAGACGACGGCCTTTTATGTGTCAGAGCCGAACGAGACTTCGCATCGAAGGTACTTGTGATCTCGCTAGATGTCATGGCCCGCAGTGACGCTGTCTGGGATTACCGTAAGCGTGACATATTCCGGCGAGGGCCAAGTTGCGGGCGATGTGCCGGCGAGCAGCGCGATGGCATGTACGTCCAAGTCAGCGTCCCGCCGGCGGGAAAAAGTTAGAGAGCAAACCGGCATGCGAGCGGAGAGGGGGCCGCGTCCACCCGGGTGCGGCGCGGCTCACAAACGTGACGCCGCCTAGCACACTCGTGCCTATCCAGCTCTTGGCAGGCGGCCTGGCGGCTTCATTTGATTCATGCACACATCTGCACTCGAGTCGACTCTGGATTGAGCACACAAGTCGCACTATGGTTCTCTTCTCAGGCTCGGCCTTGCGTCTTACGTGTATGACATAGCGCACCACAGATATATAAGACGGATTCGCCACCACTGTGATCATCAATGGGAAGTTGGAGCAGCGGAGGGCATTACAGCAACGACTCGCTGTTCTTTTGATGCAACGAGTTGAAATCGGCCTTGGGCTAGCCTCGGCCGGTTTCAAAAGCCGAGACCTCTTCTATGGAGAAGACCCATGCGAAATGCGGCCGAGATGATAAGGACTTGAAGGCTCGTCAGAGCGGTTCATTTAGACAAAGCCAAGCGCGCATGGAGATCAATCCAATCAAACACATTGAAAGCAAGAGGTTGTCTGATCGAGGACAAGTGGCGATACACGGAGAATAACTGGGCAGTTGTGAATCAATGGCCAGTTGTGGAGGACAGATCACATTGTGAAATTAGAACATGAGATCAGATCCGGAATGGTGTAGGGGTTAACATTGTCGCCTCTCAGTGACGTTTGTAACTGTCGCGACAGCCCGGGGTTCGATTCCCCGTTCCGGAATCTTTTGCATTCACTCGTAAGGACACCTTCCTGATGTTGTCTGGCAGGAGTAAAAATTTTGATACATTTTCTTTTCTTCTTTGGTAACCAGCTATCACTGTCAATGATAAAGAGCAATATAGATCCACAATTGAATACCTGGATCTGACTCATTCCAGACCCAGAGTTCTTCAATTTTGCGTGTGATTGTTACACACTGTTCAAGGGGAGATGGGAAAAGGCCAGAGACCAGAGTGTGGAGACCAGAAGACAAGAGCAAAAAAAATGCATGGCCAAGTGCCCAAGGAGCATAGCATTCTCTGACATGGGGTTTGGAGTGAAATTGAGACCGGTGGTCAAATGCCAAAATGAAATTGAAGGACTGGTCTGCATTGCTGAGTTCATTGCTATTTGCCACTAGTGATTTAGGTTCTAATTCATTTTAAAGAAAATAGAACAACTGAGTGGGCCCTGGATGCATGCATGTAAAATAACACATGTGTGATCCAATCACTTCTCTGACCAAGTCTACTGAGAGACTGTGCAATAAGATTCTCCGTAAGGATGAGTTGAGAACACGATTGGCGTACATCCACCTTTGCAATGCAAGATGCTGCAATGAGATGAAATGATTTCGGTGTTTCCGTTTGGCGGGACTGTGATTATCCGGATCCTGACTTCCCCTGACAGACACGAGTTGTAATACTCGTTGTATTGGCAAGTACGCACTGATTGCAACGATATCATATCCTGGACTTTCCGTGCAAGCTGTCACTGAGTGAACACGGTCCTCCCGTTGGCAGGCGCGGACTCTGAAAATTGGATTGTTTGGGGCAAGCTGTCTACCCCGCGGTGTTCTCAGCTATGACAGCTTGAAGCCACCCTTCCACAGCGACCCAAGAGTATTACTCGGATCGTAGAGGTCTCTTATCATCCGCATCCTGTGTAGACTTTCGGTCCCGAGTCCCGCCATTACAGCCTGGGACTCAGCAGCATAGTTCATGTAGATGAACGGATGCAGGAGTTTGTGCTCCTGAGCTGTGCTCTCCGCCCATTGCTGGAGCTCGTCCGAGAGCCTCAAGAAGAGCTCTTCATCTGCCGAATCTGACCACCGCACCATGCAGTAGACGACTGGCGACGAGTGAGCCAAATGGGCATCAACAAGGCGGCTTCACTGACCGATGAGATCCCCGTCGGCGGGATTAATGCCAGAGGGATGTCCGCCACTCTTCTGACTTGCTTCCGCGAAGCGCCGATTGAGCGGCTGCGAGATTGCGCCCCAGGTGAAGCCAGAGCGCCGCCGATAGCCGTCGAAGAGGGCAGCGCCACGGAGATGCATGTCCAGCAGGAACTTTCCATCAGGTTTCACGGTCAACGTGAACCAATGCACCCGCGAACTCCCTGGGGACATCGATTCCCACTCGTCCATGACAGATCCCCAACTGTCGACGCGCATCGTGCTGAACAGGGATTCCTGCATCTGGCCTTCCAGATCCGAGTATAGGGATGGTACGGAAACGGGTGAGAGATAGACGGTCGGAGACCACACGACATATCCGTCTTGGACCGGCTCGTAGACAAGCCCAATGGCAATCGAGCCTGCCGGGTCCTGATCGAGCTTGGCGGTCACATTTGTGAGCACTTCGAACATTGCTTCTGCCTTGTTTAGCTCATACACCATGATTCCGCCCCAGACCTGCTCTAACGGGAAGGTCTTCATGTCGAAACGCGTGACGACACCGAAGTTTGTGCTACCGTATTTGAGCGCCCAGAAGAGATCCGGATGTGTCTCCGCGTTGACGTCCAAGATCGAACCGTTCGCAATCACGACCTGGTAGTTCACGACACTTGAGCTCCCGAACCCATGCTCGGGTGACAGAGCAGAGAGCCCGCCTCGAGGGTGATGAGAGGGTAAACGCAGGTGATGACAAACAGCGTACCGCCGAGAAGGAAGCCACCGACACCATCGCTCGGTAGACGGCTCCCGGCCGTTGTCAGATTGAATGGAGCCAGTGCCTCATAAACCTCCCCCCAGCGACTCCCGGCACCGAACGAGACGAGCCCAGCCTCACTCGCCAGGGAGACCGTATTCATCCGACCCAAGTCGATCGTGAATCCCGTTCCGTTGATGTTACTCGAGCCAGCGGCTACCATATGACCTCCAGAGCGGACCGCAAAGTGGCATTCGTAGTTCGCGGCTAGCGTAACGATCGCCGAGACCTCGGGAGCGGAGGTGGGTGTTACGCGGCATCGCGGCAGCAGGTCGGATTGGGCAAGAGAGTGATATGTAGCTTGTTGAAGCGCGTACTCAGACGAATGGGGAAAGAATACGAGGCCGGGGAGCGCATCGTTCAGGACGGTACACTAGGCGACACGCAGCGTGAGACAGGAGAAGGAAGCAGAATACAGCATCCGTCCACGTACACAGCTCGTGGCCACTTCAGAGACATCGGTTTTGTTCTCGTCCACCCATATGCTTGCCTGAAGCAGATCCGCAAGCTCGTCCATTATCCCAATGGGCCGCGACTCCATTGCAAGGTGTGGCGCATCCTCCGCATTCAGAACGGCTTGCACGTGGTCCTCAGGCTGGTGAGAAGCATGTGTGCCGGGCAGTATCAGCGTGTAGGACGCCAAAAACGCGAGGCACGCGAGGCGACGGAACATGTCTGAGGGACAACGTTACTCTCCACGGATGCGGTCTGATGCATCAACTGTTTGACATTGATAAGCGGAGTGTCTCCACGTTTTCATTGCCACCCGATGTCGCTCCGAGTGCAGAATTGAATACGATTCGAGTGCGTGCATTTTGACGGGAAAGAGAACGGATGAACCAATGAATGACACATCGCAAAGTCGATGTGGCTGTGCCCTAGAATCATCGACTCCGACCGAATTGGCGAATGTGCCTTGGGACAAAGATCAAACCAAAGTAAAGCTATACTGATTATGCGAGGCTTGCTTGTGCCTTCTAGAGTCTCTTTGTGATTGATGCAGTCCCACGAGGCGGGACTAAGAGCTGCTCGAGCCCCAGGGTATCAGGTGCTATGCTCGATTCATGGATAGTCCGGGGTTCGGGCAGGTTCGGCCCTTCTCGGCCCTTCGGCGATTCAAACCGCGTGGAACTTTCTGGAAATGATGAGATGCGTCATCCGTAGGAGCGCTTTGACAAGTTGGGAAACGGAGAAACCGGCGAGGAGTGGAGTGATATGTTTCCGCGGAGGCTCTCCCCATGGAGGTAAAGATTCGCCAGGGTGCTTGGGACCCTGGCAGACATCCCGCCGCGCTTGTCAGCAATTTCCGCGTCGAGGACACTCGTCTCTCGTCCATCAAAGCACAATTGACCTGTGGACCCTTGATCTGTGCTCCGAAATCAGTGGCAAGGTGGAACCTCGGAAAATGCTCGAGTAGGTCGTGCGAGATGAAATAAAAACATGAGATGATATGCCGGCACTGGGTTGGCTGTGTCCAGATTCTCGACCTCTCCGTCGCCAAAGATCGCAGCTTCCCCGCCAACCCGTCGCAACCGAGAATCTCCTCAAGTCAAACACGAGCTGTGATCAAACTCGCTTGGGTGATGAGGTGAGGCGGGCACGTGACCTTGCAATGCGGCCAGCGGACACAGAAGCCGGAGGGCACTTCTTTCTTCCTGCATCGATATCGACGGTGCCCGTCTTGTTGCACGTCGCTCCCCACGGTATGGCCAGCGCCCCACTCGGTCTAGTTCCTTGTACACTGTGAGTGCCCATCTCCCCCTGGAAACACCGTAATTTTTTCTGATCGGAGCCATCTTAGAATCTAGACGTACGTATTGTCAGTCGACTTGCCATGTTCTTTCAGTAACCGTCTTTGACCGCTCTTTGCTCACAGTCTAATGGACCCTGACCTACCCCCGGATGTTTCGGGCTTCCTTATGCCCTCGAACGACCACGACCACGTTCTCCATGACCTTGATCTACCCTTCTCTTTCCCCGGTTACCCTTCTCATGGATTCGATTGTACCACTACCGCTTCCTTTGACTTCGGAGAGACCCATCGTCCCGACCCTGGATGCAGTTCATCTGGATACGGGTTCTCATCTGTATATCCTTCTCCACCTTCCCCGGCGTCGCGAGAAGCGGGGCACCTTCCCTTACCGGGCACTGGTGCCGCCCACCAGTTCGGTGGCCTACTGGACTCGCCAGTTGTCCACGTCCTGAAGGGTCCCCCCACTGCCGCATCCAGCTCTACACCGAGTTCCATGCCGTTGTCCCCTCCGCCGACTATTCAAACGCCTATCCATTCACTGCCGCCGTCGGACCCCTACGTATCGCCGCCGTCGCCGCTCAGGCCTCTTTTGAGGATTGCTGAAACCGCACCGGCGACGCCGCAACAGTTGCTATCGCCCATCTCCCCCGAATGGCCCATAGGTCGCAAGCCGGCCGACGAGTTGTTTGCGGAGGGCGGGAGCATGCTCATGTCGGAGGGCGACTACGTCAGTGGAGACGTTTATGGATCGGCTGATGAGGGACTCGTTGAAGGTTCCGCAGCAGCAAGCGTGTTGTTGGGCTGTGCAGACGTCCCAGCGTCTTCGTTTGAGGACAGCGCGACTTCCCCACTCGACGAACTGCTTTCGTTGAAGAGCGTTGCGCCAGATACATTTTCCAATGATAGTTTCCTTCCATTGTCGCCCTCCCCCTCCCCTCCGCGCACATGGATGTCCCCTCCGTTGGAGCTTTCTCCACCGTTTGATTGGGACCAGCTGGAGTATTCTCCGCCTTGCTCACCAGCGCTGCGCTCCTTTGCATCGCTTTCATCCGACAGTGCAAGCGACGAGCTCGAAGAAATCGACTGGGAGATTGAAGCCGAGCGCAGCGTGGGCATGTCTCCAGCGTGCCGCATACACTTGTCCTCTCTACCGGCATTCGAGGCCGACGATGATCTCGGACTAGTCGATCCGGACACAGACATCGACACCCCATTTCCTGGCAGCTCTGCCGATCCGCTGGAGTTGTCCTCCCTCCGAAACGCACTCTGCTTGAATGTTCCGGACCAGGTACCCCCCGCCAAACCGCCTTCCATCCTAGATCCGTTTTCCTTCGATGAGTTGCTGGCCTGGTTGCCTCCCCATCTCGACCAGGACGAACTCAAAGGCCTGTACCGCGTTCGTTCCAATGCGCATGCGATGCTGGATGCATGCTCAATCGCCAGTAGCTCCAGCTCCCAGGCTGTGCCTGATGGCATCACGTGGGACCACGAGCTGCGCAAGAACGTGCCGAGGGACTCAGGCGAGCCTCGGCGCATCCGCAAACGGGCAAAAGAGCAGGCTCGGGAAGTCGATGCCATGATCGGCTTGGCTCTTGGCCTGCTTCCCGAGTCCGAGCCGCGCAAGGAGAAGAACGACGACTGCTGGAAGCGGGACAAGGCTGGGCTCGCTGGGCTGGAGAGCATCGACCAGCTTGTTGCCCGCATGATTCTCCGCCGTCGGGAGCGATGTGTGCGTGGTTTGGAGAGCCCCCGCAAGCTGGTGCACCGGCCGTCAGCCCTGTCGCTGACGACATCTGCAAATTCACCCATTTCCTAAATATATTCTGCTTCATCTTTACTCAGTTATATCGCTTTCTGCCTCTCCATCTCGCATACTATTTCCCGCTATACATCTTTCCGCGCTACCACCCCCCGCCACTAGCTGTATTTTTACGCCGGAGTCGTTGCTCTGTTTGTGTTGGCTACGCTAGTTACATACGACTGACGATTTGGATGAATTAAACAAATTCTTGTGCTTGTGATTTAATAGTATTGTCATCATGATTATAGTAGCTAGCTTCGGATACTGGGCGGGGACTCGGCTACAACTACTAAGTATAGAGGGTGGAAGCGAGCCTACTTCATGATCGCAGGCGTGGACAGGGTGAGTGTGCTACAGCCCAGAATATCGACATCAAGCGAGGTACATTCTCACCCGGCCGTCGTCGGCAGCAGTCCACACATTGCCGCCAACAGCTCGGATGCTTCGCGTCGGATCGCAGTCAGCCCCAACGAGCTCCATTTCCACCTTGACCGTCCCTTCCGCAGTCAGCCGCGCCGCGAACGGCAGTCCATCATCCGTCCCAACGAGCAGTGTTCGTCCGCGGAATTGCAGGTCACACACGCCAGCCTCTCCTCGCATGAAAGACGTCAATGGCGTCCCCAGCGAGCGGGTGTCCCAAATGTCCACTACGCCAGTGCCGGACCCAGTGGCCAGCAGACTCTCCACCGCAGAATACGCGATCTTCGTGAGCGGGGCGGGGCCCGCAGGCGACCGGAACACGGACGTCCTGCTTCCCAGATCGAAGGCTTCAAATGTCCTATCCTGGAATGCGCAAAAGACGGTCTTCCCGTCTGTTGAAACTTCCCTCGGGTCCGGCACCCCTGGTGCCGGTCCCAGCGGATTGGGATAGCTCACGCCAGCCGCATCGCCCAGCGACATGCTGGTTACTGGTGAGAAGCCCCCGCTTCCAGATGCGAGCGTGTGGATCTTCTCCCCTGACGAAACGTCCCATAGCCTGACTGTCCCGTCGAGAGAAGATGACAGCACATTCCGGCCCCGATCGACGATCGCAATGCTAGTGATCGCGCGTCGGTGTCCGAGCATCGTCCGCGCCGATTTGAGCGCGGTGGAGGCTAGGTACGGGTCGGCAGGGAGGATGCAGAGCGTGAAGTCTGCGCCGGCAGAGAGGATGACGCGCGAGGAGGGGAAGAACTGCAGCGACGAAGCGGTGCTTTTGTGGACCTTGCCGAAGGCGGTCTCCTTCGGCGGCGTCTTCTTCTCAGAAGAGTAGATGTGCACCGAACCATCGAGGAAACCTGTGGCAAACTGCGACCCGTCGGGTGCGATGTCGAAGGCGGTGATTCGGTGTGGCTTGGAAGCGATGAGTGCAGGTAAGAGCCGAGCACATACACACATACATACATGTTGAGGATTAGAGCGGTGCGGGTCGGCGTACTCGTGTGTCGGTAGAAGCAGTTTGGTTTCTGGAAACCGTCCCTCCGAGGAGACAAGGTAGGCGGTCTGGGCGTGAAGATTTGACCACGGCATCCACTAGTCAGATCCACGGCTTACATCGCCCCCGCTCAGCTTCTTGAACTGAATGCCATCCGCACCCTCCAGTACGACCAGATCCCGATCGACCTCGTCGAGTGTCACCTGCACTTTGCTGTGGACAGAAGATTCCGATTGTTTGTAGTACGATAGCCAGAACGTGTCCGAAGGTACAAGGCCAGCCCGGACATCTTTAATCACGTCACGAAGCGTAGGTTGAACCGATACGATGGGGAGCCTTGAGACATCAGCCATGATAGTACGCGTCAAGGGCAGCGATGACGCGTTTGATTGCGTGACACGTTCCGGCCGGGCCGAGTCACTCTTCGTCATACGCCGTCTATCAGCTTCAGTCTGAGTTCGGCGTCCGATTTGGATGCTATCCCCCCTGCAAGCCATTCTTCGGAATTATCCCTTGACATCTGTGCATATCCGACGCAGCGCTTTGGAATCAAGAATGCCGGCGAAACGCAAACTTTCTACCGTGGCCATCGAAAGCTCGTCCGCCGTGGAGATTGAGTCGTCTCCCCGCAAAAAAGCTCGAGCTGGTGAATAGATCATCAGGAATCTCTATGGAAATTTCGCTCCGTCTCACTGAACTCCTACAGTTCGAGTCTCGAAAACCAAGTCGGTGTCCGTTGCCATTCGTGACAAAGTCGACAGTCCTTGGAAAGTTGGAGCCCATGTCTCCGCAGCGGGAGGACTCGAGAACGCCGTGAAGAACGCCGTCCAGATAGGGTGCGTTTTCCCTCACTAGAATTGATCGAACATGAAGCACCTGCAGCGCACTCTCGTTCGCGCTCTTCGTCAAATCCCAGCGCAAGTGGACATCACCCGCCCTGACCGCGTCGACCATCCTAGCATTCAAGACCGCCATGCTCGAGCACGGGTACGACGCGAAGCATGTTTTGCCCCACGGCAGCTACCTCATCAATCTTGGAAACCCAGACGCGTGAGTGTTCGACACCGGGTTGAAAGTGATGGTGCTCACCCTGACCATGGACATCAGAGACAAGCGGAAGAAATCTTTTGACTGCTTCCTTGATGACCTGCAACGATGCGAGAGCTTGGGTCTCCAGCTATACAATTTCCAGTACGTTCGATTCGGGTGGATGAACCAGTTTTAGACCGCAAAATTTAGCCCAGGTTCGACCGTGGGCGAGGCCACGATAGAGGAGTCCATCTCTCTCATCGCCGGTTGTATCAACGACGCACACCGGGCCACCCAAAGTATCGTCACCGTTTTGGAGAACATGGTCTGAGAGCGTACCCTCCGCGTCCGTCTCGTCAGTCTCACCTGCCGTCTTATCTACAGGCGGGGGCCGGGAACATCATCGGGGGCGACTTCCGGCATCTAGCAGAGATCATCCGTCAGGTTGAAAACAAGTCTAGAGTGGGAGTTTGTTTGGACACATGTGCGTTCGCCAATACCATCCAGCGCCTATTAATATCGTCCAGGCCATATGTTTGCCGCAGTGAGAATCTACATGTACCTTGTATGTGCCGGAGCTTTGCCGATTCGATTCAGGGATACGATCTCCGATCCAAGGAGGGCTGGGAGTGAGTGCCTCGGCATCGTCGTCTTCGGCATGACTACTGCTCATCACATGCATTATGCGCATGTAGTAAGATTGGTGAGCGCCCTGTCAAAATCAGTAGCCGGTGACTCAAAATAGTGCCCTAGTCAGAGACTTTGACGAGCAAGTCGGTCTTCCCTACGTCCGCGGGATGCATCTGAATGATTCGAAAACGGCGCTTCACTCCAAGAAGGATCGCCACGAAAATATCGGCCTGTGAGTATTTTTTTCTGCTGCGCATCACAAATTTGGCAACTCATGTGGAGCGATTGAAGAGGTCACATCGGCCTCGAGGGTTTCCGCTATATCCTCAAGGACACTCGCTTTCAGGACATCCCTCTCATTCTAGAAACACCGAGCGCCGAGGATCCAGCGGTATGGGCGACGGAAATAACGACATTGCATTCCCTCTCTGGTTCTTCGGGAGAGATAGCAGAATTGGAGCCTCTGATAGATGCGCTCAAAGAGGTTGTCAAGAGCGCCGGGTCGAAAGGCAAGAAGACAGCAGGTGGAAAAAAAGCGACGTCGGCTAAGAAAGGACGTGGCAAGCCTGCAGGCGACTCTCCAGACAGTGCAGATGGTGTGGATGGAGATGATTGAAAAGCGCATCTAGTGGCCGAGTTTTCGAGATCCATTTATCGCCGCAAGATTCCCCTTCACCCGCCGACAGCAAAACATGCGCTGAAAACTGCATTGCAGCTCAAAAAGCGTCGTGATAATGATCGAGAATGACGGCACAACAAACGACGATAGTCCCCGCTGCTCAAACATTGCAAAGCCATGTCATTGAAAAGGTGATAAAAGTGGCAGTCGTCCGAGAGACGAAAGTGTACAAAGTCTTGCGCATCAAAACATTCCGGAACGGGGAATCGAACCCCGGGCTGTCGCGACATCGTCACTCTGGGAGCGGGATGTGAGAGGCGACAATGTTAACCCCTACACCATTCCGGATCGGAAATATTGCGCTGAAAGCAATATCAACCGACAATTGAGTAGTTGGTAGCGAGATCTTTCAGAAGAACGTCTGTTGATCCCTTCATCCACCCTGTCCTCAACTAATCTTGTGCGCATTTCATCATTCACAGCCTGCTCTTCGTCTTCCGGTTGAAAGTCCGGGTGGGTTAGAAGCCGAATCCCTGACCGATGCCGGAATATTGATGCAGGAGAATTTATGCCGTGAAGCAATGCGGAACGGTGTGGACGGTCGACTTTGAGCCACGGCGGCCATCATTCCATGCCAGATTTCTAGTTGCCAGAAGCCCTACCGGATGTGAGAATGTAGACAAGGCCCCAACTTGTGATTGCACGAACACGGGCGCACGCAGAAACCGGTATGAGCCAATCACGGTTTCAGACGAGGAGTGTGACTGGATCGTGAAACGGATAATTTGATTGTACCTCGGGATTGTTGGACGTCGAGGAAGTGGTGTATTCCTGGGATGCTCAATAACACGGATCGATGGGCGGAACCCAGAAGCAACGAGCCGTTGGGGGAGCTCTCAGACTTCTGCGGCCCCAATTGCGCCGTCATCTACCGACATGCCGGGTTTCTGAGATTCTTGCCTTGACAATAAGATGCGAGCCACACCCTGAGTATGTCATCGCTGCTGTGTAGGACCGTGATTGGTAGGACCGTGATTGGTAGGTCAGTCTCCGTTACGAGAGGCAAGCAAGCTCGGGCCAGGCCACGGCCCCGAGAGTTCGTATGAGACAAGGTTTGGAGAACTGACCATGCGTCGAAGGTCAGAACAGCACAGCGCATCGAGGAGGAATCGATGTCTGTAGATAGTGTGGGACTGCGTGGGTGGACGAAAGCAAGTTCAGATGTCACGCGGTGGGTGATGCGATCAGAACCACTGTTTCTCCACCATCTAGACGAGTCGAGATCGTGTTTGTCGCGCCTTCGTCCACGGTGTTCCGAGCGGACATCACTCGCAGAGATTCATGTATCCAGCACACGTCCGACGGAAATAACAGCACCTGCGATCACGTTCATCTTCGCCACTGCGCCGATGCGATGCATCGGGCGCATGGCCGTCATGGATCATGATCTGCTGGGGCTTTGCAAGCGCGGCATCTCTTGTCTGCACAGGTCTCGGATGTTTCGCGTACGAGATCCAAGGTGCGAGTTACGTCCGTGTCCCTTATAGAGACTTGCCTCTCGCTCTAGTCAAAGCCCCATCGAGCACTTATTTTTGGCGAACTCACCAATGTCATGGGTGAGTCAAAGTCGCTATGTGACGTTCATAGATATATAGATATGTATACATTCGCGATCTCCAAGGCAATCGAGACCACCACGTACATATATATCGCGTCCAGTAGAGAGGCGGTCGAGAATCCCACCCGCCGTCGGGGCACGGAGGAGTGTGTTAATACTGATGGAAATCGACGTCCGGCGGCGGCCTAGGCTGTCTACGGCAGCAGCTAGCGATGTCCCCGATACCCACTCGAATCACTGCGCGAACCGAGCAAGCAGGCAGCGTGATCTCTCCTTCCCGAGCCTCCGTGCGCACCGCCGGTTCTCGTGGGCACGGACAAGCAGGCTTGCAGCCAGGAATAGTCGGGCGATAAGACGGAGAGGTGGGAAAAGGGCAGACGCGGGGATGAACCAGCGAGGGCTGAGCTTGGGAAAGGCGACAGGCAGAGATGGATTCGCGGCGAGCGGCGAACTCTGGTGCCGTCATCGTTGGTCACAACGAAGTCTGTCCCATTGATCGGGGACAGCATAACCTTAAACGGGCAACTCGCTGACTGAGGAAATGCAGACGGCGGCGAATGAGGGCACAAGGAACAGCCCTCCCGTCACCCACCAACGCAGATCGACCCGGAGAGGAGGTCCGCTGTGATTCCCATCAAATCTGGCCAGTGGCATTGCATCCACCCCACGTCCATCTACGTACTTGACTTCTTAGCTGTTCTCTTCCATGTATATCTTCCCTTTCTCCTCTTCCCCTTTCCCTTCTCACCCCTGCCTGTTCGCATGTCGTCGCGCCTCTGCTCAGTCCCGCCCGAAATCCTCGAGCACATTGCCTACCAGCTCGCGTGCAGCACATTTCTTGGCCCCCCTGCCTCTCTCATTCCGCTCCTTTTGACATGCAAGACGGTGCACAAACGTCTATCCCAAAATTCCGTCCTTTTCGCCAGGATCTTCCGCTTCAAATTCGACTCGGCCGCCGTCCGCCGTCGCGCGTTCATCCCCAATCCGAAACAGTGCCACGACCAGCTCGTCCTGTACTGCTCGCAGCTGCAAAAGCTGCGGTGCCAGCCCCGGGAAGACGAGTGGGACGACGTGCTGTTCTTTACGTATCTCATGATGCTTGAGAACGATGGACGGAACGCGGCTCAGCTGCAGCATGCCGGCCTGGACTCGTACCTGGACATTTTTGTCCGGTCCCGGATGTGGAACGACAGGGGTGGTGCACATGGTTGGCCGACGGAGAATGTCGCGAGCGCGTGTGCTTTATGGCTGGTCTGGATGACCACGACTAGAGGTGCGTGTGGCCGGAGGCTTTTGCGTGTGAAGCCATCCAGTTCTCACCCCGCCCCCCTTGCGGTCTCCTAGAAAAGCTGCAGAGCGAGTCCCCCAGCCGGCGGCTCCAGATCATTAGGCTCGTCCTTCCTTACGTGCTCGTGCCGTTCCGTGTAAGCCTGGGTCCCGTTCTTACCTACACTGTCCGCACGCACTCACACGCCGTCACCACACACAGTACGCCTCGACCTTGGCCCCCCAGCACCACTTCGACCTACCGCTACGCACGAACCCGAGGAATAGGCTGCACTCGATCGTCACTGCGCATGGGCCGTACCCAAAGTACCTCGACCCGAATCGCATGTGGTCGCAGGTGCACTTCTCCTCCCGGCCGTCGATGATTCCTCCCCTCGCTACCGTCGCGGCCAAGCTCATCTACTTCTCGCGACGCGAGGTCGTTCCGTTCGGGATTCCCCCGCATCTCCCGTTGACGCGCGCGCATGCTATCGCGGCGGGAAACACCAATATTGGTCCCAATCAGGACGATATCCGAGAGTTCAATGACCACCTCAACGAGCGCATGCCCGCGCAGGACTCGACGCTGTGGGACAGCGACTGGTGGCGGCTGCGTCGGTGCCTAAGCGCCTGGCAAGCTCCGGATGGCCAGTACGGCGAGGGATATGTCCCCGGCACGCTGACGGGGCTTTGGCAAGGTCGGATGGTGGTCCGTGTGCTGTTTGCGACTTCTGTTTACAATTCCGTTGACACTGTCTCCAGGTCCCCGGCGAAGATCACCTCGCGGGTCTGATCACGACAGTCGAGTATCCCCTCGGCTTTGACGAGACCGCGGTAGGAACCACCACGGTTCCGCTCTACATGCGTATAGCGGAGCACCACTCGTACGCGCCCCACTCCCCGGCACCGCTCGGCCACTCTGAAAATGATGAGGCGAGGGACGACGGGATGAGAAATGCGTTTTTCCCGCAGGACACGCGGTTTATTTCGGAGGCGGGGGGCGTCACTGTTCGCGTGGACGACGACAGTTACTGGTATGCTGACGCGAGTGACCCGCAGGCTCATGAGGCGGACACCTGTGTCGGCTGCCAGGAGCGCGAGCGCCGTCTCAAAATGCACCGGGAGCGGGCCTCGACCGAAGCTTACCACGAGCTACTTGCCAGAATCAGTCCGAACGCTGTTCACAAGCAGCCGCCGTCACCGTCCCACTCCGAGAGCAGCAGCCAGAAGGTGGACCCCCCTGACCACGATCCCGATCGAGTGAAGCCATGCACTGGCATTCAGGACATCATCTTCACGGGTGCTGTGCGCTTCTGTTCTCTTCCGCTGTTTCCCTCGCTCATTTCGGTGTGCAACAGACCGACATGCGGCACGGCGAAGCGTGGAACCCATTCAAGTTCCATGGCCGGCTGCGTCCTTGGGATGGAATGATTGGGATCCTGCGGACTTCGGTGCGTGTGCCTATCTGCTCTGAGAAGCCCAGAAGGAGAAGACTGAGCAGTGTGATTATTAGCCTGATCCGCGGATGGGCACGTTGTTCTTCTACGGATATCTCGTCGGCAGGCACAAGTTTGTCGGCAACTGGAGGTCGGCTATGCAGGACCCAGACGCGCCGGCGTACGAGGGGGCGTTTATCATGACCCGACGCGAAGACGAGTGAGAAATCAAAATGTGACATACTCAACGTGTATTGTACTGTATTGAGAGTAGTTTGGTGCGCGCCTCCATGAATTTACAGGTTGGTTCGTGTTTGTGTCCTTCAAGCTCAAGCCCTTCCGATCAACGTCGTACAACCTTGACGTGCGCGCCTCCATGTACAACTGCCCAGTGTCAAGTGCAACGTGGTATCACGTCCGTGAACGTTTCAGCCTCTCCACATCGGCGATTTTCAGGGGCCTGACCACTCTGCCTTCATGATCGTTGTCAAAGCTTGGGCGTATAAGCAGTGGTTTTTGAACGGGCCGAGGGCCACCTCCCCGCGTCCATCTCCACTCTATGAGGGCGGCGTTCTGGACGTTTCCGCTCTTGTGTTCATGCGGCCTTGCTGCGGCTCGGGCTGCCCCCCCTCGGCCAATCGCGCTCGAGAAGCGTTCGCCCGCCGAGCCCGATAACTTCAATATCAGTGCGTCTATGCGCAACCCCCCTCCTTTGCTTGGTACTGAAAGCTCACGTCCCAGCTATCTACCACGTGAACGACATACACGCGCATCTGGACGAGATCACGACCAGCGGCACCGACTGCACCAAGCCCGCGAGCGGGTGCTACGGGGGATATGCGAGGATCAAGGCTGCTGTGGATGCCGGACGGTCTAGCGCGCAGAACTCGCTGTTCCTGAACATGGGCGACGAGTTCCAGGGCACGCTCTTCTTCAGCTACTACGGCGGCGAGAAGATCGCGGAGACGCTCAACCAGCTTGGATTTGACGCGCTCACTCTGGGTAATCACGAGTTTGACCGCGGAGATGCGTACCTTGGACAATTCGTATGGATATGGACGCTCCTTTGCAGTCGACGACGGGCTGACTTGCTCTGGGCAGCTGACGAACTTGACTATCCCGATCGTCTGTGCCAACGTCGACAGCCAGGACGAAGCCATCAACGCCACCGTGAAGCCGTACCATGTTTTCCCCGAGTACCGGCTCGCGGTCGTGGCTGTGACGACAGACACGATCCCCAGCATCTCGAATTCCGATCGGTCGACCGCGTTCGCTGACCCCGTCGCGAGCGCGCAGTATTGGACCGATTACGTCTACGAGCACGAGCATGTCGAGCGGGTGGTGCTGATGTCGCACATCGGGTATGCGGCGGATATCGAGCTAGCCCAGAAGACGTCGGGGATCTATCTCATCATCGGTGGGCACTCGCATACTCTTCTGGGAAGCATGCCCAACGCTGCGGGCCCCTATCCGACCATCGAGACCAATCTCGACGGGGATGAGGTGTATGTGATTACGGCGTACGTGCTGCTGCCTGTTCGCACTCGACCTGTTCACTGAATGTGCCCCCCCAAGCTACCGCTATGGAGAATATCTCGGATACATCGATGTCCAGTTTGATCCCCACGGGAAGATCGCCGGCTACACGGGAGGCCCGATCCACCTGACCAACCAGACCGCGCAGGACGCCGAGCTCCAGGCAGACATCAAAGCGTGGCGCATTCCATTCGATGCGTTCGGGAACCAGGTCGTCGGAGACACAACGGTCCTGCTCGACCACGGGCCCTGCAAGAAGACTGAGTGCAACTTCGGCGACCTGATGTGCGATGCCATGCTCGACTACCGCATTGCGCAGTCGGACGTCGTTGGGTGCGTGCTCAACGGCGGCGGAGTCCGGGTCGACCTTCCCGTAGGCAACATCACGCGCGGGGACGTCATTACCGCCTTTCCCTTTGGCAATGCAGTCACCGAGGTCTCGTTTACGGGGCGCCAGCTGTGGGATCTCTTCGCTGGCGCGGTCGCCGGTATCTCGGTGTCGAACGGCGCTGCAGTCATCTCTTGGCCACAGATCTCGCAGGGCATGCGCGTCACATACAACAGTGCTACCAAGCAGCTCGTCGACCTCGAGATCGGCCAGGGCGGGAACATGTCTTCGATTGATTTGGCCGCTACGTACAGGATCGTCACAAGCGACTACGTCGCTGGCGGCGGCGACAATATCATGCCCGTCCAGAGCGGATATGTCGTGTTAGATACTCTGGATGAGGTGCTCACAGCTTACATACAGCAGCGTGGGACTGTCAGCGAAGCGCTGCAGAACCGGGTCGTTGCAGTCTCTACTTGAACGTCCGCTTTAGGATAGCTCTTTCGCAATAGACCCAAGTCGCTCGTTGAAAGGCAAGAGGCTGAGGTTCCGATCATGTGCGAATAAAGAGCTGTCGCGTAGTCGATTGGGACGCGTAGATCGGGGCACGAGACGCTGGCGCGTGGTTCCTGTCGCGCAGCGGAGCTCGGACCAAAGCCGACAGACAGCGGTCAGCCGACCGGGAAATGTTAGCTTCGACACTTCTTAGTCGGAAATGTAGAGGGCGAGACTGCCGTCGGGGCTTGAGAGAGTGATAAGTAGAAGAGTAGGCTAATTGTTCTGGACTCGCCTCCCTTTTCATCCCCCCACTCACGACCTGGATGACTTCAGAATCTACGCCTCTCCTGCTCAAGGCAAAGCTGTACGACACGAGTCGACGAGATTTCGCGCTGTTGATGATTGGATTATGGAGGTTAGAGCCAAGATATGATATAACCACTCGGACTAGGTTTTGATCTTGATCTTGCCCACGCTCTTTGCTCTGTTGCTTCAGCCAAAGCTTCATCTCCTCGCTCGATGGCACCATCGTCGCCACGCTCATTAGCAACATCGGATCGTCTCTGGAGGCCATGCAGCTCAGCTCGTGGATCGGGACGGCCTACCTGCTCTCGCTATGCGCCTTCACGCCGATCTACGGTCGACTAGCCAACATCCTCGGCCGACGGCCCAGCGCCATCTTCGCCTCCATGTTATTCGGAACAGGGACTGTTCTCTGTGGTTTCTGTCGCACCATGTATGCTTAGAGGTCTCTCTAACTAGGCCGGCCGCGTTGCTTACGCTGCTGACAGGCCGCAGCTGATCGTATGCCGCGCCATAGCTGGGATCGGGGGTGGCGGGATGACGGTTCTGGGATCCGTGATCGTCTCGGACGTCGTACCACTCAAAAGCCGGGGGCTCTACCAAGGATGTAGGGCCGTTATCCGTCCTCGTCCGTCTGCCTGCCTGATGAAAACCCCGCAGTCACGAACCTGCTCTTCGGGCTTGGCGGAGCGATCGGCGGTCCTCTTGGCGGATGGCTCGGCGACACCGTCGGATGGCGCGCGGCGTTTGCTTGTCAAGCGCCGTTGCTCGCACTGGGCACCACTCTGCTTTTCCTCAAGGTGCGCGAACCGGAGAGCGTGACCTCCGCCGCGACGTCGACGCTCGTCGCGAAGCTCAAGCGCATCGACTATGGCGGGACGTGCGCGCTTTTCTTTACGCTTCTGACGTTCCTTGTCGGCCTCAACTACAAGACTGCGGCTGGATACGAGTGGTCGGATACGCATGTATGGGGCTATCTGGTGGCCTCGTAAGTTCTCGCTTCTGTGTCCATAGTGCAACTGTTTGATTTTGAACTTTTTCTAGAGCCTGCTTTGTTGTTGCGTTCTTTGTCGTAGAGTTCAGGCTAGCCGTAGAGCCAGTTCTTCCGATCGCAATGCTGAAGCTACGAACGCCCGCATTCGTTGCACTGGTGCGTGTTTTCTCCCCCTCGGCCTGATTTACAAGTTGACCCTGTGCCATCAGAACAATTTCCTGATCGCCATCCTGAGCTTTTCGATGATCTACTCCATTCCACTCTATTTCACCGCGGCGTTCCTCCGGACATCGAGCAACGCAGGAGCGCACCTCATCTCCAATTCCATCGGACTGTCTCTTGGGTCGCTTTTTGCAGGATGGTACATGCGGAAGACGGGTCGGTATTGGAAGCTGCAGTTCGTGTCCGGCCTGTGCGTCATCTTGGCTGCTGTATTCGTCGCGTTGTGGTATGTGTCACATCATTGCTCGCTCGAAGATGGATTGATTGCTGCAGGCACGAGAACACACCCGAGTGGTTCATGTATATCACCCTGGCACCGTTTGTGGGTTCAGAGGATGAAGCCTGCTTTTTGTCACTCACCGATTTGCAGGGATATGGATATGTTTCTATGCTCACCACAACGCTGCTTGCTCTCATCGCTAGCGTCCCTCGAGATGACATTCCGATGGCAACAAGCTGCAAGTGATTCCGCAGGGACCTCTTACTCACCTCTGACTGCTGCGAACAGTGTCCTACCTCTTCCGCACAACAGGCCAAGTTCTCGGTGTCGCACTATCTGCAGCTATAACTCAATCCCTGCTCGCGCACCACCTGCGATTGCGCATCACAGGGGAGAATGCTGAAGAAGTGGGTCCTGAGTCGGTGCCATTTTCCTCAGCGCTGACACGCTAGCCATTGTCAGATCATCTCGCGCATCCTTGACTCTACGGAGTACATTCACACACTGCCCGACGAACTGCAGAGAGCCGCTACGACGAGCTGGGCGCTCTCGCTGCACACCGTCTTCTACTGCCAGATCGTACGTCCCGTGACAGGATTCCTCTTGCTATGTGATGACGTTCCTCATTGTGTCACAGGGCCTCGCTGTTTTATTGTTGCTCTCGACGCTGCCGATCCAGGAATGGCCGCTGCCCGACAAGATTGCGAGCACACCTCCGACCATGAGGCGTTCTGACTCCGAGTCCACAGTGACAGCGTGATCAAACAAGACCTGCACGCCCTCCCAGTATGTAATGTCCAATATCAAAAGTAGGCAGAGAATGGATCCCGATGACCACCGTCCGACTCGTCCTATGCTGAAGCGGAGAGTTTGCACGTGACCCGGGAATAAAAATTTAATCTGTGGATCCTCCCTTGAATAAGCGCAGTGGGCTTTTGGAAAGGATCAAATGTATCCATCTATGTATCGAGTCGTCGGCATCAGTGTTGCCATGACCAAACCGTTGCCTCACGACCTTCGAAAAGACATAAATACCTCAGCGGGAAGAGAGTTCTTCGATCGGATCTATTACCGATCGCCAATCACTCCGCTGTACCTACCTGTGTAGACTGTAATCCAAGTTAGATCAGAAACGAAACGGACTTGTCGGAAATGAATTTTGATTTCTTTCTCTCGTACGAAAGAGCACGGACCTGCGACTGCACAATAAACCTCCACCAGCTCAAGCTCGTGTCTTTGCTCTCAACAACAAACTCGTCGCGCTCGTGCTCTGAGGGGTTGACATGGACAGGGACGGGCAGGCAGGCAACTGTCGCCGAAGCACGTTAAGTGGTGGCGTCCCGGGCCCCGAGTTAATCAATCAGACAGAGCACGCTGCACAGCCGAATCTACGTGCAGAATTCTCTCCTACTTCCACATACTTTGCGGGCGCGGCCCTCTGGACGTTATTCCTTTCTTTCGGCGGTCTGTCCCGCTGGGTGCTCCTTCCTGCTTGCCCGGCGCGCTGTGCCGCTCTTTCTCCCCTCCGTCTTTTTTTTCTCCCACTCGGAAACCCACGCTCGTTCTGCTACCCGCTGCATGACCTGAGCCATTTCGCGCGCTGTGTCGGCAGAGAAGAGAAGAGAAGAGAAGCGAATTCATCCCGGCGACGATGAGTATTTGGGGTACTGTAGCTGCAGGTACTGGTGTTCTGGATTCGGAGACTCTGCAGCCATTCCCGATTGTGGCCACGCGGCGGAGCATCATTCTGACGCGCTACTCGGTTGTCGCGGTGTATTGCATCGCGGTCTGTGAATGGGTCGAAGCGTGCGTCTCTGGTGGATTGGATTGGATCCCGACTGACGCGTCGTATGCAGCTTGCCGAAGGAGGTCATTCTGGTGTGTGTCTCTAACGACAGGGAGAGAGATTGCGAGTGCTCACGCTCGAGCTCATCCAAGATCTGGCCGTCTCAGTGGAACTCAATCAAGATCGCATATTTCCTGTGCAGGTGAAGATGGAGCCTACCCCGACCACTCCCATACTGATCCTTCAAATGTGGAGATATTATACTATCGTGCTTTGGCCCATCGTCATCTACGCATATGACCTCAATCACTCCATCCAGCTATGTTCGCGTCTCATGCTCGTGATCAACTACATCCTTTTGCCCATGGTGTGCACTATCCTTCTCCTCCATTGTCTATCTTATACCGCACAGCAATGTTTCGCTCACGCCGTCATGCTCATGCGCGCTTATGGCTTCACCGGGAGGAATTTCAAAGCGCTCATTCTTCTCTGCACATGCCTTGTCGGCCTCGTCGGCGTGAACATTTGGTTCTTCTGCATAGACGTGCCCAAGCTGCCGGACGTCGTGTATGTGGTGCTGGGGGCCGGCTGTTTCCCAGACTACGCGGCCGATGTGAGCGATCTGCGGGTTGGACTGGAGATGGTTAGTGGGTCCTGAGTACCTGCGCACGCGTCTGACCCACAAGCTTCAGGCAGCTGCCATATTCATGGATCTCGTGTCTTTGCTAGTCATCATCGTGGTGAGTGGACGAGCGCCTGGCCGTATCGTCCGAATTCCGACCTGCAACGTCAGTATCGCATTCGCAAACGCGATCTTCAAGGTTCCCTGAGTCGAGCATTCCTCAACCAAGGTTAGTCTTCTTGGCAAAGTCTTGCCCCCGCTGACCGCAACAGGCCTGTCAGCCTTTGCATTCATGGTGGTAGTACACGCGACCGCTATCGGGTCTTACTACAAGTCAGTCCGACCGATTCACGGCAAGGGACTGAGACACCCTCTGACAGTTCCTAGTCCCCGCCTGCTCCACAACGGCATGGGCCTGCCATACATCCTGATCCTGTCCAACGTCATGGCCTGCAGAGTGTGCGTGGCTCGGCCATCTCCCCTTCCCACAGTCTTCTTCACACAGCCCCCTCCGCAGGATTCTTGATCTGCGGAACAAGGCCCGCCCGACCGAAAGCGAGATCGAGCGCCAGCATTCGGCACTGATCGAGGACGAGCTGGCAAACTACCAACCCGAAAGCGGCGTGGCGGCATCCGGGGACTAAACTGCGGCACGGCCGGCCCTGGTTCAAGGGTTCCTTGGACTCCTCGGTTTTTTTGCGACGTAACCGGCACTTTCGAGACCGGTTGGCCACGCACAGCGATCACCGGGCACGACTGAGGAGAACTCTCTCCCGCGGAGATGAGCGCTGTTTCCATCAAGGTCTGGGTGCGTCAGTCAAGGGAGCCACCGATTCGTTGGGACATCGGTGTTTTCTCGTTTCCTTGATGTTGACGATGCTGAAAGTATTGTTCGTAAATAGTCTCTGAATCTACTACATCTGAAGGATAATCACTCAAATTGAAAAAGTTCATTGTTCGCTGATCGGCAGGATTGTGATGGTATCTCCAAATCGGCAATTTATCCGGAATGGTGTAGGGGTTAACATTGTCGCCTCTCATGTTGAGCTGCACAAAGCTTGAATTCCGCGACAGCCCGGGGTTCGATTCCCCGTTCCGGAATTTTTTCACCCTATCAGCCCTGATATTTGCTGCCTGCATTCCAATGAGCAATTCATTTTCTCCCTAATGCCATCTTTTTAGGGCAAGTATAATGTCAAATACGTCTCTCTTGCACAACAAGACGTCGCAATTTTTAATGTCATGCTGACTTTTATGTCAATAAACAAACAACGAAAAAAAAGGTGGGAATGTGCGTAGTGACGCCAGAAAATGGAAACAGTGGACTATACCGGAGTCGAACCGGTGACCTCCCGCATGCTAAGCGGACGCGCTACCAACTGCGCTAACAGCCCATGGGGCAAGCCATCGAAATAGAGAATAATACCAATCTAGATCAGCCTCCCTGCCCAATTCACAGTCAATGAAGCAATTGCTTGCGCAAGGATAATTAATGTGTTTCAGATATCTTTGCCGTGTGTATGTAGATCCAGGTATCCAATGCGGGTCGCAAAGCTTAATCAGACGAGGATGTTCGATCTGCGATCTGGTGGGAGATTCCAACATGGCAAATATACAGTACATAATAGTAGTAGTATATCAGTCAATCCGTTCCAATCATGACAAACTCGTCGAGGATTTCGGGTCTCTGTTTGAGATGTCAGATGATACACCGTTGAGCCGCACTCGCTTCGCACTCGGGTCGCTTCTTGATGAGGTCAACTTGGCTCAGAATGGTGCAATATAAGATAGCGGCGCGGAGGGACATCAGCGTCGAGTCGATTCTTCCTTGCGATCGCGACTTGTTACAGCTCCAGCATGACGTCTTCGACCGCGAACATAGTCCCGCCGTGGAATCCCCCGGCGCCGACGACGCACGATCTGGACTGGGCCGAGATTCTCACGGTCGATCTGGAGAAGGACACGACCGATCGGGACGAGCTGGTCGCGATCGTTTCGAAGGCCGTGGAGCGAGACGGGTTCCTCTACGTTGTCGGGCACGGGATTCCAGATGCGGTGGTGCGTTGGTTCAGTTTCCGCGACGTTTGCCTGAGATGTGTCCAGCTGGAAAGGCAATTCGACCTCGGACAGCTGTGCTTTGACGGAGTGGACAGGGCCGAGAAGGAGGCGCACCAGGCGAAGATCAAGGAAACAGGATCCTGGATGGGATATAAGGTCGGTCAAGCTCAGTCAACCAGCGCGAAGTTACGTGGTTGAAGGTCACCGGCTTGAAGCTTCAGAAATATTGGCAAATCAAGGACGGTGTGCGAGATCGGATCGAGCACTACAATTTCTATCAGAATCAGTGAGACGCCGGGCCCAGGATTGAGAAACAGATGGATTAACCTCGGATAGCATCGAACCGGCGAAGAAGCATCCACGAGCAATTCAACCTCATGTTGCAGAAATCCAGGCTTTCATTCTGGTGAGCTCACGAACCCAAGCCGTTGGATGACCGCCTGAAGGATGACTCGCAGCAATCGCGAACAGTATTGTGGCGCATTCTTAGTCTGATTGATAGTGTCCTCGGATTGGAAGAAGGTTATCTGTGGTCTCTCCATCAAACACCGGAGGGCACCACAAGCGACGATGTACTTCATACTCCCGTCCCACTTCGCCGATAACAGAGCTGACCGGCGCGCGCGCAGGTTTTCCGGTATATGATGTACGAGCCGCTCACAGCGGCCGAGTCGGCCACGACGAAGGGCGTGATGCTGAACGGCCATACGGACTTCAACTCGATCAGCATCCTAATCTCACAGCCCATCGCGGCGCTCCAGGTGCTGATGCCAGACAACGTGTGGCGATTCGTCAAGCACCGGGACGGCGCGCTCGTGATCAACCTCGGCGACCAGCTGAGCTTCATGAGTGGCGGGATCGTCAAGGCGACTATGCATCGGGGTCCGTGAGAGTTTTTCCATCCCGCTAGAGCGATCGCTCACCTCAGACAGTCGTGAGCCCTCCACCAGACCAGGTCCACCTGCGCCGTCTCGGTGTCTTCCACTTCGCGCACTTCCTGCCCGGCGTCCCGCTCGACTTGCTCCCCTCGGACCGTGTGCGCAAAGACGGGCGTCAGATTTTCGATGGAGCAATCCCCACGACGGATGAGTGAGTGACCGATCGCGTATTTTGAAGATACGCTGAGTGCGATGGTTCAGGTGGGAGCGCAAGCGTGTCAAGAGCTACGGCACGGAGGAGTTCATCAAAGGCGAGGAGTATGATATTGAGATGCTCGCCGGTTTACAGGTTCGTCGCTTTGTCTGTCGGCGGCATCAGGGCGAATGACTGAGCAAGGTGGACACAGATCCGTCATTACCACTGAGGTGGATGCTTAAACCTTGTAGAAACTCCCTGATTTTCATATCAATTATGATGAGAAGCTATCGGCGACGCTGCAGAGTTGAGCAAGGACCCAGACTAAAAAGAGTATCATGACTGTCGTTCTCATGAAGGAAGGGATCGTTCCAATGGACTCCACGTGACTGACGCGACACGCCCACGTGGCTCTGAGTCAGGGATGACGCATTTGGCGTGCGAAATAAGGCACAGAACAGGCTCCTCCACAGAGATAGAATACAGGAAGGCTAATTTCCTCGACCAGGGACTCCGACCTCAACGTTCTCAGAACATATCAGATGCTACCACGAGAGAAAGTGCTAGGTCCCTCACGGCTGCCTAACGAATGGCAGGCGACAAGTAGCAGAGCAGTTAGTATACCTATTCGAATTTGACGTGTTCTATATGTAACAGACCTGGCAGGATGTCTCAAAAAGCGCCAGATTTTCTAAACGTTTATATTAAAGATAGAGGCCGACTCGAAGGACACAAATTTGCAGTCAACTCACTGTGAGATCGAGGGCAGCAGCTTCTGTGCATAGTCTTTGAACATTTTTAGTGAAAATCCTCGTGAGATGGCTCTATGTGAGCTTGATGTGCGACGAAAAGGATCAAAAACGTGTTCAGCTCATCTGAGGACTGAAGCAGTCCGATTGGTATCCTAGACTTGCTGGAACGTTTTGGGGGTACGCTTTATAAAAATCGTTTATCTCTGCTCTGTGGCCTGAAGCCCGGCTTACTTGGCAGTAGCGTATCGGAGGATGCCTCAAGTCGTTGTCGTGCTCCTCGCATGAGTGATCCTCAAGCCAGGAGCTCCAGTTCAGCTTTTCTTGACACGCTCAAGTAATTTGGATGGAAAGCCAGAGGAATAGACAAGGAACTATCTTGGCATCGTAGTCAACCCAGTTCATCAGTTACTTGATCACGATGAGATCCAGTTAACTTGCAATGTATTAATCCGCTGCTGAATTTCATTTTTATCCTTGCGCATACCGCTTTTCAACTGATCCCAGCAAGAAATTTTATATGGTATGCCAACAGGACGTGCGTGATGGAGAGGACGGCAAGATTCGATGGGCTTGTCACACCAGGTGACAGAAATCCCGATGACGTCGGGACATGATCCCAAGACACTTCTCCGCCGCGCTCACCATGTACCTACTCAGTCGTGCGTGATCATATACACAACAAGAAGTTACTGCACTCAACGCAAATCAGGGGCCTTCGGCTTCACCGACAGACGTTTCTCCTTCGCCGATGGGTCTGAGTGGTAGCGCCACCACTTAACAGGACCATGACCAGAAAGCACAAAGACACTCGGTAACCAGAAGGGATCATGGCTTTAGGGCACGCACTACTTCACAAGAACTGTGCCGATGCTGGCGCCGCTATTGTTCTCTGCAATACCTGCCCATTTCCCTTTGAGGGCCCGGGGTGCTGTATTGTGCTCAGCGACTTCTGTGAGGGTCCGCACACAAAGCGAGACTTGACTTAAAAGACAGGAAACAGGCATGCTCCGCACGATCTGCACTCATTCAACTCCATCACGATGCCAGTAGTGCCACACGGCACTCCCGCGTCCCTCATCCTCCCCGACCTGGCGCTCCTCTCCTCCGCCCAGCTGGACACCGAGTACCGCCGCATCCAGCAATCCATCCAGAACGCCGTGTCAGAGCGCGACCGGCAGCTTATCCGACAGGGATTCATACTCGGAATCAAGCGCATGCGCGACGTGCTGCCCGTGCAGCCGCCTGTCCGCCCATCGCGGGTCGCACGGATGCAGGATCTCGCTCCGCGGGACCCGGCGTCTGTGGGGCACCAGCCTCACCGACCTGCGAATGCTGGAGTGTCTTCGGCGGAAGCAGCAGTGGGACACTCGAAATCTCAGGTGCCGCTACTGCCGCCTGTCTGGGCTGGGCTGCCGATGTCTCCGCCTCCGAAACAAGCGAACGCAAACGGCAATGCACCAGGGAGTCGGGCCACCGCACAAGTGTATCAGCAGCAGCACCCACACCGTCCGCTTCCGGAGCTACCTCAGTCCCACCCCCGTCATCACTACGAAAACTTCACACATGCTGCGCATCGACGAGAGGAATGCGCATCTCGTCGGTCGAGAGATTCCGAAGGAAAGCGAGAGCGGGGCGGCGGAGAAAGAGATCGTGAGCGAGATAGGGACAGGGCAAGAGGGACAAAGGAGAATGCTAGGGCGCGAGAGAAGGAGAGAGATAGAGAGCGGTCGAGGTCACGTGAGAAAGGGCGGGGCCAGGAAAGGGACAAGCCGACACCGCTGCACGGGTCCAGTCCTGGCAGTCTTGGTGAGTCCCATCCGCAGACAGGATGCCATGAGCTCAATCACACAGTCGGATACTGCAGGTCGAGCGATCGGACTCAACGATTGCAAAAAGGCCTGGGTAGGCCCGCGGACCCTCCGTACTAGGTCGGTCCGGAATAGAGTAAAAGTTGGCCGAAAATTTTTGGATTTCCGGTCCGAAAATAGAGTAAAATCGAGCTCCAGAGCGCGGAAGCGGTCCGGCATAGAGTAAAAGTCGGGCGAAGTCCGACCGATTTTGGCTAAAATATGACTTGAATATGGCCAAATCACGCAATTTTGGAACACTCTAAGCTCTCCCGTAAGCCGCAGCGACCGGCATGAGTACTCGATCACGACCGGGACTGATGGCCTCAACAAATCGGACAATGAGCGACCAAAATATTGGAAATTTTCGTAGCGTGGGAGAAATTTTTTGATTTTCCGGTCCGGAAATAGAGTAAAAGTGACCCCAAACCGCCAATTTTATAGAGTAAAAGTCTTGGAGCTGGCGGACCGACCCGATACGGAGTGTCCGCGGGCCTGCCTGGGTGTTCTGCCGAGGAGGGTCGGCATCAAAGGGCAACAGATAAGATACTTCGATGCATATGTTTCAGGCCATCCATTTCGACAAGCGAGGAAAGGTTAGAATCTGGAAGCTCCCAAGCACAGTTTGAGCAGAGCATGAGCATGATGCATCGCAATGGGACAGCGATAGATCATAAGTAGCAGCAAACACTTGGAGCACCGGGGATTATTCGCATTCCGACGCATTGGAAATTCAGACCACGTGCATAAAACGCACACCCTGCCGCCGCGTATGCTCGGATGTTCCTAGTCCCGTAGCAGATATGGAACGAGACAAGACGTTGTCAGTTGCGGGTTAAAATCTCCGTGACAAGATTTTTGCCAGGTTGAAAAGTGCCGTGGTCACAGATTCCTCAGTTTGAGGGGTCTATTCACAGATTTGTTCGACCGTAATTCGAGAGCGACTGCGCGAGTCATGTGAAGAGAAATTTAGGATACGACATACGAAACGGCTACGGAAAACGGTGTACAGCCAGCTTAGCTTGCTCTCATCGCTCGGATCTTGGGAAACTGCGCCCTCTTGGTATCGGGCCGATCTGCCGATCACAGTCATTGATGTCGGTGTCGATCACCGGAATGACGTCCTCCAATGATCCGTCTCGAGCTGCAAGAGCAGAGCGAGTAGGAGGCACGATCATAGCTCCTCGAGAGCGGGCCGGCTTTCCGAAGTAAAACAGGCACTTTTGCGCAATCTGCTGATTCCGCGACAACGTTGAGCCCGCTCTTCACGATGTGTCATGATTCATGAAAACCGAGCGCCACAAATTTCATCCCCTCTCACCCCGTGGGGCACCCGTGACCCGGTGACAGGTCGTGTGGCCGCTTTCGATCGACGTAATTTTCGAATTCCAGGTCGTCTGTCTGTGTGCTTGCTTACCCGCGACGCGCAGATGGTGATTATCGCAACGCGCCCCCTTGGCTGTGGAACAGATCACTTCTGTGTCGTCACATGCATCTCCCCTTTTCACGGGCCGACAACTGGAGACTGTATAAGATGGAGGCGTAAACGCACCAGAGAAAAGTAAGCCGCTGCGATGAAGGTTGTAGCTCCCCAGCTCCTGTCCGTCCTCGTCCTCGCCGGCGCGTCGAATGCCGCAAGCTACACCGGTCCGTACTCCCATGGTGGGACCTGGAAGAAGGGCTTCGCGGAGGCCAAGGCACTCCTCGCCCAGATGGTGCGTCCCAGTATTCCTCGATGCACCCGGACTCAGCGCCATTCCAGACGCTCGAAGAAAAGGCACGGCGCGTTTGCTTGCGTTCTCTGGACTCCTCATGCTGATTGACTTCCCCAGACCAATCTCACGGTCGGCTGGCCTGGTCCGTGCGCGGGCAACACAGGTGCCGTGCCCCGCCTCGGGATCCCCGTGCTGTGTTTGCAGGACGGGCCGAACGGCGTGCGCCCTGTCCGCCGCGCGTCGCAGTTCCCGACCGGCATCACGACCGCCGCGACATGGAACCGCGAGCTGATAACCGCGCGCGCGAACGCGCTTGCCGAGGAGTTCTACGACAAGGGGATCAACGTTCTGTGTGTTCAGTTCTCTCTGTTGACTTGGCGCTTGGCGAGAGGATGCTGATGCGCGCGTGGCAGGCTTGGGCCCGTGACTGGAGGGCCAATGGGGAGGAGCCCATTGGGCGGACGGGCATGGGAAGGTTATTCTGCCATTTTTCCGTATTACGGCGAGAGACTGACTGTATGACCTTTAGGGTTTGGGCCAGATCCGTGCGCGGTTTCCGAGCGGACTTCGATCATCACTAATGCAACTGTAGATATTTGCATGGTGTCGGATCCTACCTGACTGTACAAGGCATCCAGGAGAAAGGCGTCCTTGCTTGCTCGAAGCATTTCATCGGGTATGAACAGGTCAGTTGTTTCAGGTCACCATTCCAGTCTTGTCCTCAACATCCCACAGGAAACTGACCGAAATCAAAACTTCGAGCCTGGCATCACTCCGAATCCAGTCTCGTCCGACTTTGACGACAAAAGCGCGCACGAAATCTATATGGTGTGTTGATCGGGTTTCGAGTTGTCGATGACGCTGATGGGATTTTTCTCTCGCTCTCTAGTGGCCGTTTGCTGAGGCCGTCCGTGCTGGGACCGGGATATCAATGTGTTCGTACAACGAGCTCAACGGCACCCATGCGTGCTCCAACGACGTCGCTCTCAACGGCTGGCTCAAGGGACAGCTGAATTTCCAAGGGCCGGTGATTTCCGACTGGGCGGGAACATGGGATACCGTCAATTCGGCATTGAACGGTCTGGACGTGGTGATGCCTGGCGGCTTCTTCGGGCCGGAGACCCTGATCCCGCTGGTCCAGAACGGCACGATTCCGGAGAAGCGATTGGATGATATGGTGCGTTGGATGTTGAATGATTACCCTAGATACCGGTCGGCTGAAAGAGCGGTAGGTTCTCCGCACGCTTACGCCGTTCCTCGAGATGCAAGACATCCACAAGTTCCCCCTGCCCACCTTCAACCAATCCGACATCTCGCTTCCCGCCAACAATGTCCGCCGCGACCACTACAAGATCATCCGGAAAGTCGCGCAGGAGGGCGTGACGCTGGTCAAGAACAACCGCACCGGGGGACGCGGTCTCCCGTTCCCGGATCTCGCCGAGATGGCATCACTCGCTGTGATTGGCCAGGATGCCGGCCCCGCGCCATTCAGCTGGACATCCTGCGGCATCGTCGGCATGGACTGCCTGCCCGGCTCGAACAACGGCACGCTGACGGTGGGTGGCGGCAGCGCATATGCCCTACCGCCGTACACCATCGACCCGCTCGCGGCGATCAACTCCTACGTCGCTGCGGTGGGCCCGGACATCAACCACCACCTCGACAACTACAACCTGACGGCGGCATCGCTCCAGGCCGCGGCGTCCGAGGCGGCGATTGTGTTCCTGAACGCGTATGCCACCGAGGGCTACGACCGCCCGAACCTCACGACGTATCCGAACGGCGACGAGCTCGTCAAGGCTGTCGCGGCGGTGAACAAGAACACCGTCGTGGTGCTGCATGTGCCGGGTCCGGTGATCGTCGAGGAGTGGGTTGATCATCCCAATGTGAGTTCCTCCTCGATGTTGACGCAGGTCATGCGCTGAATATGGCGGTTATCAAGGTCACAGCGGTCATCGTTGCGCATTACCCCGGTCAGGAGAGCGGGAACAGTCTCGTCCCGCTGCTCTGGGGTGAGGAATCGCCGTCCGGAAAACTCCCGTATACGTTTGCGAAGCGGCTGAGTGGTGAGTCCCATGGGATATATGTCTGGTTGGGCTTTGTTTTCTTACGCTATTCAGACTGGCCACCGAACGGAATTGTGAACGACAGCTCCTCGCCCACTGCTCATTTCTCCGAAGGCCTGCTTGTCGATTACAAGGTCCGTTCTATCATTTTTTTTGTTGTTGGGTGCAGGCCTCTGACAACGCTATTAGTGGTTCGACGCCAAGAAGATCGAGCCTCGGTTCGAGTTCGGCCTAGGCCTCAGCTACACGACATTCCAATACGGCCAGCTCTCGCTCAAGAAGACGTTCCAGACCGACAGCACGTCGGTGCAGCCCACCGCGGAGCAGTTCGTCGCGATCTCGTCGGATTCGGGAAAGAGCCTGTACGACATCTTGTACACGGTCAGTCACCCTGTCCATCCGACAAAAATTGGGGGCTAAGAGTTGCCAGGCCACGGTCAGCATCAAGAACACGGGCAAGGTTGCCGGTGCCGAAGTCGCCCAGCTCTACGTCTCTGTGAGCGAGACTATAATATGTCGTGTTCGTTCGAAATCTGACGTATTCTGCAGTTCCCGTCCAATGAAAACCAGCCTCCTCGCGTCTTGCGCGGCTTCGACAAGCTGAGCCTGAAACCCGGACACCAAGCGACGGCTACGTTCGAGCTCACGCGCAAGGATTTGTCGATGTGGGATGTCGTGCAGCAGAAGTGGAGAGGTGATTCGCGCTTTTTCACAGTCGACTCGCCAACGCCGCGGTTCTGAGCTGACGTGTTTTATTCCAGTGCCAAAGGGGGAGTTCACACTGACTGTGGGCGCCTCGAGCCGAGATCTGCGCTCGAAGATTACCCACAGCTTTGCGTGAGGGGGCGGAGCGCTGGGGAGGTCGGAACGGGAATTTCTAAGCCGCGCGGGGAGTTGATATCGCCTGCGGCCGTCGTATTATTAATTATTCGGGTTGTCCGAGTTTGTATATCTGCAATGATTTCTGAATATCCGCTTCTATGTGACCTTTGAACTGGCCCACAATCTCGGAAACGAAGGCTAAAATTGTGAACGGAATCGGAAGTGAATATCAAGTGTGTGCGAGTGCTTGACCATCAGGTGCTTTAACCGGCCATTATATTCACTCTGTTCATATGGCTATACGTGTAGACGATATTTTTTCTTCATGTTGTTCTTGTTTTTGGCAAGTGTTACTGAGTGAGAGGTGTGATGATGATTTGATACCATCAGTGACGGCACTGAATGTAGGCGGTGGTTGCACCGTTTAGCTTCTCGTTCAGATTCAATGACGCATTTCAGCAGTCGATTCTGCGTTCCTCAAGCTCCACACTTGATCAACCCCAAAGAATTCACCATCTCCCCTCTTCACTCACGTCCAGCATGTCCATGCTTCCTGCGACACGCAAATCCATCTCCTCGCCCGCTGCGGGCTCACCTTCAGACTCGCCTCATCCAGATATCGACGGCAAGATCCGGTTCTACGGCGCGCTCTCGGCGTTACGCCAATCGTATCTCCCGACGAACGCCCAGGTCACGGACGTCCTCGCCTACGTCAAGACACACTCGCCGGTGGAGGAGAACAAGCTCTCGGCCGAAGGGCGGCGGCTCGTGGCGGATATGCGCGGCATCATCGACACGCTTTCGGCGATCGTGCGGGAGAAGAACGACGGCGAGGTGCTGCAGCGGTTCGTTTGGGCGACGCGGGCCGTGGACGCGACTGCGCTGAAGCCGAGCGAGGCTGAGCAGGCGAAGGTCAAGGACGAGGTGGACAAGGCGAGACTCGATGCGCAGGAGGGTGAGAGCGGTCTCGCACACCAACACCCCCCGCGGTTTTGCTCACTGTTGCGTGTCAGCGGCGCATCATCTACGCGCCCTCATCGCACTCGTGCTCACGAACGGCGAGATGCGCAAGCTTGTAACGGATCTGGGCACTCTGGGACGCGACTTGATTGCCCACGGAGCAGCCAAAGTGGCGAAGGCTGTCTCGCCGAGGGTGGACGCGCTATCCCAGGTCGATGATATCGCTCCTCATGACACATTCGGCGATTCGTGTGAGTCCCCTCTCTTTCATGTGGGATAGACCCTTGAAATCAGCACAGCATTGCTCTCTCCATCTCGAAGCGTTGTCACTGCACCATCCTTTTCGTCAGTCCACTCTCTGGCCTCGTCAGCATCCGAATCAACTTCGGGATGCGACCCTGGCTTGACAGAGCCTACGCCTTCTCCTAGTATGTGCATCGCCGCGCCCAAGCCTCTTTGCTCACCATCATTCTTCCAGCCCACAAGAAACGATTTGTGGATCGTTTGGTCTCTCTGAATGCCCCGAAACCGACTGAGATCCTCGAAGATGGTCGTACCTGGTTCTCGGACGAGTTTTTCCCCGAAGAGCGGCGCGAACGCTGGGTCTGGCGGGGCAAAAAGGCAAGTTTTCGGTCATCATCTCGGCGTAGCCGACGGCTCATCGGATTGACCCCAGGTCATCGTGGAATGCCAGAAGCACGACGACTACCGCGCTTCGATGACATGGCTCTTGAACACCGTCGTCGCATGGGCCGGTCGTTGCGGCGGGCTGATTCCTCAAACAGAGCTGAAGCAGGATGTATCCCTGCAGTCTGCTCTGGATCTGTTCCGGCTCCTCTTGGAGCGTTTCGCCGGCGCATCGCTCGAGCCAATCTTGTCTGCGGCGCGAGTACTGGCGCACGATGCCGCGGAAGACGAATCGCTCCGCAGCTGGTGGAGTGCTGTGGGTGCGTTTGCACGCAAGGTGAGTAGTATGACTTACTCGTCAGTGAGAACGTGGACTTACAATTCCGACGCAGGTCCTGCTGCAGGTCGGTTATGTTACCGAGGATGCATGTGCGGCGCGTGCTCGTGAGCTCCGTGATTTGGGGCGCGCCTTCTACCGCGAGAAGTACCGAAGCCACTTTGAAGCCTTGATTGATAGCATTGCCAGGTGACCTGTTTGTTTACGGAGCCAAACGTCTGAGGACTCACAGACTATGGCATAGCTGGTTCCGTTCGTTTGCTGAAGAGCCTCTGAATAAGGAGCTGGCTGAGAGTTTCACCAAGCTCACTCGTGACCTCCTCTTTGATCGTGAAGGCAATCTGCAGTTCAAGAAAAAACTCTGGGAAGACGTTCGAGGGATCATTCTCCCGACGCTGGTCGATAAGGTGAGCACGTCCATTCCTCCTGGGTGATCCCGCTAAGTGAGATCAGGTCGGATTCGTGCCGATTCCACGCGTGGAATACACTGACGATAACGTTGATCTGGTCGTCGAGAATCTGACGCTCTCTGGTCGGCACCTGTTTCCGAATGTGATTGAGCTCGAGGCGCACAACTTGGTCAGATTCAGTCCGTACACTCAAGGCAATCTCTCGCGGCACGAAGTGACTGTCAAGTTCTCGGAGATCCAGGCTGCGATGCGCGACGTTGCATTCTCGTTCCGCACCAAGACCGGGATCAAGATGCGGGACTCTGGCATGGCTGACGTCGTCTTGGGCGGGCGGGGCTTATCTGTTTTGATCACTCTCGCTTCCTCTGCGTCCAAGGATACGAGCTCTATCTTCCGCGTCACTCGGGTCCGAGTCAAAGTTGCCTCTCTCAAGCTAAGCATTCGGGACACCAAGCATGATATGCTCTACAAAACCTTCAAGCCACTGGCGACGCGTTTGATCAAGAAACAGATCCAAAAAGCCTTTGAGGAAGCGATCCGGACTGGGCTCGAGTATCTTGATGGGCAACTGGTCAGTGCAAGAAACAAGATGGCGGACGATGGAGTGGAAGAGGTCGGCCAGAAGTCCCTCAAGTCAGAACATCTTCCGGAGGCTTCGACTCTCACGACTTCGGTGTCAATGTCCACGACGGCAAGCGGGGGCTCCCAATTCAAGGTCGTCGCAAGCAAGAAGCGCTCGATCCTCCCAAACAGCGGGCATCCTGCGGGCTGGGTCAATCGTGTTGCTGAGCGCCAGCAGCAGATCGCGGAGCAGGGCGACGAGTGGCGCTCGGATGCGTGAGTGGTTTGCCGCTTTTCTATTGTGTACGAAGCTCAGCATTCTGCATTCAGCTTCGATGTGCAGCCACTGGGGAGGGCGAAGAATCTGCAAGTCCCCAAGGCTTCACTCGCGTAGACGGGATCGCGTCGTCAAGGGAGTAGGTTAATACAATGAAATCCTTTCGGTGATACTCTCAGTGGATCGAGAAGACGGAAAGGAAGTACCTACAATCCTTTCATGCTGTGTGAATCGGCTCCGGTCAATGCATGAGTGAGAAGGGCAGTACGCGTCCGCGAAGAATGTGCGAGAACACTATTACCATAGTCTCGGGGATGCGCCCGACGTACTGTTGAGTGTCATTCTAGTCTCGAACCAGTCGGATAATTGGCAAAACGAAATTGGTTGGGAAATGAATCTACTTATTGTCCGCAGAGACTCGCGTTTCGGCTGCAGCATCATCCCATCATTATTGTCATGATGGATCTGTCATCCGTACATAGGGACTGTACATGTGACTTGAGGTCCAGCATCATTCAAGGTTGACCGTCATGTGAATCTCCATTGCCAACATATGTAACGTTTGCTTCTCTTCTCGAGGCAAGTCACTTGCGAGTCAGCCCTAGTCTTCGCAATGATCATCGCACAAAGCGCTATACCGTGACTGCGTCACAAAGAACTCGCAGTGCCCCTTCACCCCTTCCCTCTCCCACACTCTCTACTCAGACCGCTGCGCATCCTGTAGGAACCTCCGTACCTTTCTCCCCGACTTGCGTTCTCATCTATCTTGCCTCATAGCTGATGGCTTACTGCGATCGCTGCGACCGCTACTTCCAGAGTCCGTACGCTCTTGATCAGCACAGGGCGGACTCTGGCGCACATAACATCTGTGACGACTGCGAAATCGATTTCACCACATGGAATGGACTGGAACAGCACTACGTGCAGAGCCGACGGCACCACTACTGCCAGCGGTGCGATGAGCACTTTGACGACGAGGACGAGTTGGAGGAGCATTACGACGACTCACACTACTACTGTTCGCGCTGCCGGCGCTTCTTCCGGAACGAGCAGGGCCTCCACGATCACTACCGGCAGTCCGACCAGCACCACTACTGCGTCCCGTGCCGCCGCCTCTTCTTGTCTGCAAGCAACCTCATCTCGCATCTCAACTCGTCCCGCCACCGCCCGAAAGACGTCATGTGCCCGGGCAGAGGCTGCGGGCTAGGCTTTGTGTCCCGGTCCGCGGTTGTGCTGCACCTGGAGTCGGGGAAGTGCGCGTCTGGAATGACGCGGGAGAAGGTCAAAGTGCTTGTGCGCCAATACGACCGAGAGAACCTCATCACAGACCCTGCGCGTATGATCACTAGCCCGGGCATATCGAGCCCGACGTACATCGCGACGCCGCGGGCATGGAACGGGACTGCGTATGAGTGTTATCTGTGCCACAGCACGTTCCGGACGCTGCCGGCGCTGAACGCGCACCTGGCGAGCCCCCGACACGAGGACAAGATCTATGTTTGCCCGCTGGCAAGCTGCCGGACCCATTTCTCGACGTTGAGTGCGCTGTGTCAGCACATCGAGAGCGAGCAGTGTGGGGTGCACAAGTTCCGCGCCGTGCAGGAAGGCATGGATGGGCTGGTTGGCAAGATGAAGCGATTGACTGTGTGAGGAGGATGTTAAAGCACTTCTTCCCTTCCGCAAACACCCGTTGCCTAGACTTCTCCAATCGCGGTCTCGTGATCGATCGACATGCATCACACAAACGCGCTTTCTCTCATCTCGGCGGATATATGTATTCTGCTTTCCGTGACTGCATACAATGTACACACTGTAAACATATCGCGCCATCCTCATGATCTCAATACAGTTACTGTTTCTGACTTTCACCCCCCACTTGCTTTACGCATTATCAGTGGACATTTCCACATGCGACGGAAGCGAGGATGGTCAAGTTCTGACACAAGAGCGGCCGTGGTAATTACTGGAATAGCACTAGGTTGACCCAGAGGGAAAAAAAAATGTCTCTTCACAAATCGTCTATCTATAATTACGATCAGTGGAATCTGGATAGATCTGGATACAGCGATCAATCACTATATCTGATTGGGGACAAGATATTTATGGCCGCTCCGTCATCACAGGACAATTACAGCACAGCAGGCAGTGTCAGTCAGTCTAAGCGTTTGCTATGGTACGTTTCCCTCTCGGACTAAAATAGCCCTCAAGCGCCGATGATCCGTGCTGACAGATACTCATCACAATGAGTCGGACGACACAAAATGGTGTCTTGACCCACGTGATTAGTTTCCCTACTCTCCGAAGACCACCATTCTACATTGCGTCAAGAATGACGAGTAGTCCTACGGAAAGCGATGCTCTCCTGCCCAAGCATTCGAATTCCGACGGGACGGGATCTGATGCGGACCGCCGCAACCGTCCGCGACCGGGGCCACTGGAAATTACCCCTGCGCGAAGGCGGAGAATCTTAGCAGGGGTGTGGTTGGGTACTTTTTTGTCGGTGCGTGCTTGTATCGCTTGGAAAATCTCAATCTGGACATTCTACAGACCTTGAATCGTGCGCACGCGAATCTCCATTCTCATTCTATCCCTTGTATCTCACCACCGCGCGCCCGCCAGAAACGCTCGTACCCACCAGTAGGCGCGATCGTTCTTTTCCCGCGATCAGTTCTGACACCGTGTATCCAAGTGACTCCGTCGATATCCTCAGAGTTCAACAAGTTCCACCAAGCGAGTTGGCTGGGAACAGCGTGTGTTCAAGTCCCATCGCCCGCGTCTCCACTTCGTCTCACCGCGCACTGAAACATCAGGTTCCTTCTCGCAACTTGCACATTCACCCCGCTCTACGGCCGACTGTGTAATGTGATGGGCCGTCGTGGAGCTAATCAAACGGCGCTCGTCTTCGCTACGCTTGGCACCATCGGATGCGGTCTGTCCACCAATATGGAACAGCTCATTCTCGCTCGTTTTGTACGGCTTTCTGTAGCCTTACGATCAGTGCTTACAGGCGTCATTCTAGCTCGCGGGCATCGGCTCGGGCGGGCTGCACACGACCTCAACGTGAGTTCAACGGAAGCCCAGGTGTCCCAGTTCTCATGGTGCTCCATAGGATCGTGGTCAGTGACATGTTTTCTCTGAGGGTGAGTCCTCGCATGTCTTCTCGGTTGGTTGACGCCCGAAATGAACATCCGATTTCCATTCCGTCGTAGGACCGCGGCCTTGTTCAAGGTTTCCAAAGTTGTGTCATCGGGGTTCGTTAAGGAGTTCCTCGTTCCAGAAGACACCGATTGACGCCAAGCCGACAGCTGGGGCAAGGCTTGGGGGGACCTTTCGGGGGGCTTATCACAGACCTGTCAGTCCGAGCGGTCTTTATCCGGTGCTAGTTTCCATCCGCTCACTTCCCCCCAGATTTGGTTGGCGAGCAGCCTTTTTGCTTCAGCTGCCGTTCTTCCTCTTGGCGTTCGTGATCACCACCTCCAATCTTAACTACGTCACACCGGTGAATGCCCTCCCCCATTCGTTTACTTTGGCAGAAGCGCTTATCTGTTGAGCGACCAGGGCAAGTTGAAAAGCGCCAAGGAGGTGCTGAAACGCATCGACTACTTTGGCAGTCTCACGCTTTTGGGCGCGGTGGGCTCCGTCCTCGTCTTCCTGAGCACCAAATACAACGAGGCTCGCCCTGTACAGCTTTTGTCGCGTCAGTTTTCGGACCCACAGCTGATGTCTCTTAGTGGTCAGATGGACGGGTGATCGCACCCATAATCACGGCTGGGGTGTTCACGCTAGCATTCCTGTTGGTCGAACTATTCATCGCACCGGAGCCGGTGATGGCGCCTGCCCTGCTCCGTCAAAAAATCCCGGTGCTCGTCAGCATGTCCAACTTCCTCGTGGCGGCCTGCAACTTCTCCGTGACGTATTTTTTCCCGATGTGGTTCCAGGTGGTCACACTCGAGAGTGCATCGAGCGCTGGTGAGCCGAGCCGACTTGTTCACTCCGTGCCGGCGCTCATGCGCGGGCTGCGCAGGGCTCCATCTCGCGCCCAATAGCGTGGCGCTGTCCACCGGATCGGTATTCGCCGGCTGGCTGATGCATCGGAGCGGGCGGTACAAGAAAATCAACCTGTCTTTCGGCCTGTTTCCGTTCATTGGTGCTACGCTGATTTCGTTCCTCCGCGAGGATTCTGGGTTCATTCAGTCCTGGCTCAGCATCGTTAGTGGTGCTTTCGGGTCACTGGTGTTGGCTGTTGAAATTTTGTTGGGCAGATCCCGCTTGGATTCGGCAATGCTGTGGTCCTGCAAACAACGCTGAGTGCGTGCATGTGTTTGTTTTAATTTTAATCGAGATCCGAACATCGACCAGTGGCTCTGCTCGCTTATCTGCCCGCGTCGCACATGGCTGTGGGGACTGGTTTCGGGCAACTCTTCCGAGGGATAGGTTCGTTCCTTCGAAAGTGTTGGTTAGAATATACTGATTTGGTTTGGTATAGGACAAGTCGGTGGCGTGGCGGTCTCGTCCGCTATCTTCCAATCCCGACTTGACTCCCAATTGCGACAGCGAATTCACGGTCCTGATTCTGAGGAGGTCAAAGTCTTACTCTTTGTCATCTAATGGTTACTAATAATCCACAGATCATCCGCAAGATCCGAGAATCCAGTGCGGTAGTTCGCACACTGGAGCCCGAACTGCAAAGCAAGGCGAAAGAATCCTACGCGATCGCGCTAAAAACTGTGTTCATTTTCTCCGCCGTCTCGACTCTCCTCGCGTACATGGTCCGATTGCCAGTATGTTCCTTTGGTTGCGACGATCAGCCAGAGAACTAACCCATCGGCTACGTCAGATCCCCGACCAAGACCTAGACCAAGCCCATGCTCGCCGGAGCAAGCCGGCTGGGGGCAACGCACAGAGCGACAACCCCAACGCGGACGCAGGCCCGAGTAACAGCAGCACCCCGCGCAGTTACTCGCCCTCACCGTCCCCGTCTCCGATCGGCCGGGTTGGCGATCAGCCGCGTCCGACTTGGGAGGCTTTTGGCCGCCGCCAGCAGAAGCGGAGACTTTCTGTGTTTGAGCCGAATGAAGGCACGCAGGATCTTGAGAGCGATAAGATTGGGGGATCGGCGCGGGCTATTCCGCAGATCTCTGTCCAGGGCGATGCTCGCCCGAGTTTGTCGGGGGATGCGCGCTGAGTTGAGAGTCAGTTCGAGGGTGTGGGATAGCTCCAAAATATATGCGCATAGACGTTCTACGACTGGCTTGTTATAATGACCCTGTGATGCGCAGCAAAAGCTGTTGGATATCAGCCAGGCGTAACCTTGCGCGCACTTGTTTCTTTTCGACGTAAACCACATGGGTATCACGTCTTCCCTCGCGACTATCTGATAGAGATATCCAGGTTCGATTGAGTATACAGCTTTCACATGAACCAGTGTACGCTGAAGTACTGACAGCACATTGTTCCTCCAATATCACGACCGTGGCTCTCAATCGGATTCCGAGTGAGCAACTTCTCAGGACAAGCTTTGCACGGCTGACAGACACAAACAACTCATCGTACAATTACATGGAGAGAAACTGCGCACATAGCGTGAAATAGATGAAAGACCGAGGCCAATTTGGACGAACAACAAAAAAGGACCGACGATGTTGTGGGGCATACTTTGACGGTTCCGCGCGCAGAAAGCTTCAACCACCAACTCAATCTCTCCAAATAAGTTTCACTGACGACCATATTGAAAAGAGGTTTCTGAAGAGCAGGTTTCGGAAAAGACGTGGTGTCTGGTATATAGGAGTCAATGAGAGTCAATGCTTTCAGTTTGAGAGTCCTGTTGGGAAATAGGGGTCGTATCATATGCCCAGACGGTAATCGGGCCGAGTAACAGCCGATTTCCTTTTTCTGACGGCGACGGCGACGGAGAAGCCTCTTGTCACTCAGAACGCTCTTGCGAGGGACAGCAGCGAGCGCTCACGCAGGCTCATAGACTATTCCAGAATCCTTGTTTTGTCGCACGGAAACATTCCGCCATGTCGTCAATATTGAATGCGATCGCCCGCCAAGCACCGAGACGCACATCGAAGCTCTGCATGATTCGCAAGCCTGTATCGGGTCCCGCACTTCGGGCAGCAGCATCGACATCCTCCTCTACTGGCTCCACCCGTCCGCCCCGCCGTCCGCTGAGCACCCTCGCCGCAGCATCGCTCGTCGGCGCAGCCTCCCTCAGCGCATACACCCTCGGCTCGCTCTACCCCCCACCCCTCCTCAGCCTCCTCTACCCTCGGCCCGCGCCGGGTCCCCCGTCTGACATCAGCTCCGCCGAGTCCCTCGCCTACACCGCCGCGCTCGAGGCCGAGCTGCAGAGCCTGCCCGCGCTCGCCGCGCTGCGCACGCGCGCCGACGCGGGCGAGTGGTACGAGACGCGCCCGCAGACGAACATCCCCGAGGACGTGCGCGTGAACAAGCTCACGTCGGGCGCGCTGCGGGGCCCGGGGCGGCTTGCGCTGTACCCGCTCGCGCGCGTGAAGACGGACGAGTCGGCCGCGGTGATCTTTATCCACCTCGGGCGGGGGCTGTGTGGGCACGATGGGATCGTGCATGGTGGGCTACTGGCGACGTTGTTGGATGAGTGCTTGGGCCGAAATGTACGCCGTGTCCGTACTTACGGATGAAGTGCTGACTGGATGGGTGCAGGCCATCATCAATCTCCCGGCCAAGGTCGGGGTCACCGCTACCCTGGGGCTGAAGTACAAGGCGCCGACAAAAGCTGACCAGGTCGGTCATCTTACGATGCTATGAATCGTCTCATCATCTGCGGCTCTGTAGTTCGTCATGATCAAGACTGAGCTGGTCGAACTAAAAGGCCGGAAAGCGATCGTCAAGGGCACCGTAGAGGCCCTTGATGGAACAGTTCTGGTCGAGGGAGAGTGCGTTGCACACCCAGTCGACTTTGATCCGGTACTGACTGACGCATTCTTGTATCTAGAGCCCTTTTCATTCAGCCTCGCTACGCCAAGCTACTGAATCCCCTTGTGATCCAGCAGCAGATGGGTGCTCCACCACTAGCTAGTAAACCGACATGAGCAGGTCTCGGGGGTCGGTTTTGGGTACACTAGACATTGACGGTAGATGTCCATGCCGACGAACATAGAAGTGCCAACGACGTGCAAGCCGGAACGACGACGGAGGTCCTCCCGCGACGTATGTAGAGGCTATCCGACCTCGACACCGCCGACATTAGTCACTATTCGCAGAGGAAACGGAGATATGCCGGACGAATTGGTGATGAGCGGAACCGCTTGACGCCCTTTCTCAGAAGACGTGTGCGTGAGCATCGTCTGGACTGCTTTCGTCAGCGTGGCAGCCAGTGTTGTGTCGAACTGTTGTCGGTCTGGAACGTGGATAGTAAGAGACCAGTCGGATCGGCTGGTGTGATCACGAGAACGCACCGCGGTCTGTTCTAGGCTGTCGCACCTCCGCGTTGATTACCCTGAGAGTGCAGAGACGAGCAGTCAGAGAACGTGGTCGTCGCAGAGCGGGATTCATGAACACACCACTGTTCCCATGGTACTTCCTCCTCACCCATGTACACTTGGAACCACGACTTCTTTGGCCGCTTTTCCGAGAACGTCACGGTGATCTGAGAATCTGATCAATCTCGGACACGCGGCTGCAAAGGGAGTCCTGCCTGCCCGTGTTTGCTGGACCCGGTCTCCACACTCCTCCGGAACGCCTCGACCTTCTCATTGACGAGCTGCTCGATCTCAGTGTCCGATACACCGGGCTATCGCGCGCGCATCAGGTCCGTTGCATCCGCATTGGCATCGGCACCGGCACCACCACGACTCACGAGCGTGACATCGAGAACTTCGAACGTCTGGGGCTTCACGAGCCCGAACAGGCGGTGGAAAAGGATCGCGTGCAGGACACCGTTGAGCACCTCCCTGGTCGTGTTGCGGTCGAGGACCTGTGGAGGGGAGGTCGGACTAGGTCTGGGCTCAGCATCACGGCTCGGATACCATATCGATCGTGATGGTTGGGTAGGACGCGCTCATCGAATGGAGAGGGCGGAGAAGAAAGGAGGAGGAGGAGGGGCAAGCGAAAATGGCATCACACAGCCACGTTGTACTGTACTGTATGATGTCATGCTCGATTGCAACCCCATGTTTCTCGTTGGGACAGTGGGAGGCAAACTTCTTGCCTGAGTACCTCCCATGGCTTTGGGACGAAATAATTTACGTCCTGATATATGTCGCAGTGTGGACGATTCCGCCTGGATTAATCCAGAGCATGAGTTCGAACAGTGGTCGCTCACAGCAAAGTATTACCCGCGTGGGTTAGCCCACGTCAGATGGGAAATATAATATGCAGATTCGAGGCATTGATCTCAGTGAAAAAGTTCGACGAGATCACGTTGTCCGGAATTGATTCCGCGAGCCACTCGCACGAACTTGCGCGGAACGATATGGCGCCAACGCTTCAGTTATGACTGAACAAAAATCAGAATAAGCTCTTGGACTATACCGGAGTCGAACCGATGACCTCCCGCATGCGAAGCGGACGCGCTACCAACTGCGCTAACAGCCCATGACTAAGCATCATCTTGTTGCATCTAAAATCAATTGCTGAACGATGCACCTCAGTCTCCAATACTGGCCTCATTCGAATTGGATCATATAAGTATATGTATCTACGGTTTGAGCAGCAGAATCCCCTTTGGAATATGGATGACTATCAACGAACAGAGACTGATGGCTCCCAAATTCACTCCCTCTGACTAAGTAAGACTGCACATACTAATGGCTATCAACTTTGACCTGAAGAAGCACCTGCCCCATTCAGTCATCGTATACTTATCCAATGCACGACTTCGCTCCGAACTCCTTCGCCGAGGACGAGGAGAACGAAGACGACGCGTGGACTCCCCTCCAGCTCGCAGCCTCGCAGGGCGACCTTCCCCTCGTGCAATCCCTCATTCCCACCTGCGACGTCAACGCCCCACCAAACGGTTTCTACGGCCGCAACGCCCTGCAGGCAGCCTCCGCGCACGGGCACCTCGCCGTCGTGCGCGCCCTCCTTGCCTCCAACGCTGACCCCAACGCGGCGGGCGGAAACAACGGTGGCCTCACGGCCGTGCAGGCGGCGTGCAGTGGCGGGTTCGCGGAGATCGTGCACGTACTCGTCGCCGCCGGTGCACGCATCGACGCGGGCCCCGCGCGCTACCGCGGGCGGTCGGCGATCCAGGCTGCCGCGGAGGGCGGGCACGTCGCGCTGGTGCGCGAGCTGCTGGACCTGGGCCGCGTGGATGTGAATGGCCCGATCGCGCGGTATGCGGGGTGCTCGGCGCTGCAGGGCGCCGCTGCTGGACGGGATACGCGGTATCTGGAGCTCGTGCCGATTCTGCTTGATGCTGGTGCGGACGCAGATGCCCCGCCAGCGCGGTATAACGGCCGCACGGCTCTGCAGGCTGCAGCACAATCGGGGTACCTCGAGATGTTAGACCTGCTGCTACGACGTGGCGCTAATGCCAACGCGCCCGGTGCGTACTACAACGGACGCACAGCGCTCGCTGCGGCGGCTGAAGCCGGGCACAAGACGGTAGTACGGAGGCTGCTCGAGAGTGGCGCAGACGTATACGCTCTCTGCGGTAATCCGCCACAGCGCAGGGCTCTGGAGCTTGCGGTCGCGGCTGACCAGTCGGATGTCATTCGTCTGCTGGAGTCGGCAGAAGGGTTAGGTTGCGAGGAACTGCTTGAGGAGCAGGACGAGTGATACATGCTATTCCCGGTCGCAATCATGTCTTCCTCAATCCACCAGCCCAAAATTCTGGCTCGCGCGTCGCGTCTGCCCTCTACGGGCCAGTCAATCTGCAATTCCCGCCCACGGATGAGGGATTGGTATATCTGTATCTGCTTCTGTTCGATGGATATTATATTATTGTCTACTATATACGCAGAGCGCCATTCATCACATCCACGTATGGTTTCGAGTAAACTACATGCGAAGGCGCGGAATTAAACTAGGTGCACTCCCCTGGGAGGGTCCCGGCTGGGATCCTTCGACTGACCAAATTGAGTGTGAGACCTGTTAGCGTCTACAACGAATGCGAAAGCTGAATTGCATTGATGACGGAGAGAGACGGTCAATAGACCGGCGCCGGAATACGGGCTTGGTCGGACGGGTCTGATGCATCAGGCCACAGAACCGCACCAGCACACCGAAAGTAGATGGAAGATCGAACCGAGTCATCTGATCAGACAATTGACCAGCCTGCAAAAATAGGGGATCGGGTTCCCTGATGAAGTGCTGGATCTTTACTCGCGCATTGCACGAGAGCCCAACAAGGATTCTAAACTCAGCACGAGGCGCTGCAGGCTGTTCACGGGACCAATGCAGCCCACAATGAACATGTTCCCCCGCCGTATCGCCAATGCAAAGGCTAGTGAACGTGAGTAAGGGCACCGATACCGTGAGGCGTGGATCTTGGAGAACTTGTTCCGCGGTTTGCGTGAGTATGGAAAACACGGAATGGCCAGATGGAGAACGGACTGGAGGTTCAGTGTAGGACAAAGCAGCGATTAGTCATGTCTGCTGCCGGCGGGGAGAGAATCCGGCGAGCGGAATAGTACCGGAATCCGGCGATTCCATTCCTACAGGTTGCTTTGCAGAAATTGGAGCTTGAAGGAGTCCCATCCCCTGTGTCCCCAAAGCTGGGAATTCATCTTTGTCTATTTGGGGCGATAGGTCAGGTCAGTGCGTTGCAGCATTTGTGTGTGCAGATTGTCGTCGTCAGCAGTCGAGTTGCGTTTCAGATCATCGATCTTGAGGGCTTCGGCTTTGGAGCCGCTGAGTCATCCATCTATCAGCTGATCCCCGCACGTCCTTGGCTTGCTACCTCCGACTTCCTACCCAACCTCCCCCGGATTTGTTTCGAGCCTTATCCAGTTTTGGACTCGGACTCGGACTTTTCGACCCACCTCACGCTCATTACCCACTGCATGTGACACACGACAACAAGCTAACCAGCAAAGAAACAAAGTCTAGCCTGTATCTGAGAAGAAAAACTTCAGCAAAATGAGTAGCAGTGCGTCTCGCGTCGGTGTTTTGTGGAGGACTAGGAGACTGACGGTTTCGGTTTCTTTCACTTGGATGTAGGCTTGTGCGTATACCAGCTGCTTCGCCCTTCCGGTCTCTGTGTACCCCTCGGCTGACGATAACGACAGATCATCTCCCGTGCTCCCGCCCGTAACTATACCCTCCGTCTCATCGACCCCGAGTGTCACTCCTCCCCTTCCTCCCGTGACCACCCCTTCCTCCTCCGCACCGCCTACCACTCCTGTAACCAATCCCGTGTCTACACCAGCCACAACGTCGAGTGCTCCCACTACGACAAGCGTCGCGCCGACGTCCACGAGCACCTCAGTACCCTCGACGTCGTCTACCACGCCTTTGACCACATCGTCTTCGTCCAGCAGCACCAGCACCAGCACCAGCACCAGCAGTACCACGAGCATCAGCATCCCGCCGACGACCTCCGCGACAACAGCACTGCCCACTACCTCGATCTCATTGGTGCTCTCGACGGACCCTGGTGGAGTGGTTGTAACGCAGACGTTGACACAGACGCAGTCGCGGACTATCGCGCCTGCTGCGACGAGCTCGGCAGCCGCCCGAACGCCTACTGGGTGAGTCGAGTTCTTGTCCGCGTTGCTTTTCGTTCGTCGTCCGCATGGCTACGGCGCACTATCCGGTTCCTTGTCCGGTGTGCTTTCGCTGTCCCCGCCACGGGGCTGCCAGCTATGCCTATTGTCACGCACGGCTATCATCCCTCGAAACGCATTCACACGTGCGTGCTGGGCCTGGGGCGATTGGCGATCTGTCACGTCTGGGTCCATGCATCACATGGTTCAGCCGCCTACCTGTCTGGTCTTTCTGTCGTTCTAGGCGTTGCGTCCGAAGTAGCGTGTGCTGACGACGTTTCCCGCAGGTTTTTCCAGAACAAGGCTGCTGTCGGTGCGACCTTCGCCATCGTTGGCCTGATCGCCGTGGGGCTCATCTTCGCGGTCATCACGACAACTCTGCGCCGGAAGCGGGTAGGTGCCTCCTGCACTTTCCGAAGAGTCTGCTGATTGCCATGCCAGGCTCGCGCTTTCGACCGGGAAATCGCTGAAGAAGCCAAGCGCGCGCCTCCGCCTGTCTTCTTGGATGACGAGGATTACGGCGCCGGATACTCCTATGCCGACCCGGTTTACGGCGGTGCCGCCAAGTCCGTGTCGGAGGGTGCATACCCGCAGTCGTCCGAAGGGGCACACAGTAATCCGAATGGGCATACGCCGTCGAATTACATGTATCCCTCCGGATACTCTGACCTTGGGTTCTCCGAGGTCAGCAGCCACGGCACGTTTGCGCAACCGGCCATGGAGGCACAGTATGGAAACAACAACGCCGGTGGTGGTGCGGGCGGGTTTGCTGGATACGGCGCGGCGGGTGCTTATGAGATGTCGGGTTACGGCCAGCATCAGCAGCAGCAGCCCCAGCAAGATTGGCAGCAGCCCCAACAAGATTGGCAGCAGCCCCAGCAAGGCGGATATGTCTATCCCGGTGAAGAGCCACAAGCAGGCACGTACCCCCAGGCAAACACCTACCCACCAGCAGCCCCGTCTGCCAGCGGTAGTGGCAGTGGCAGTGGCAGTGGTGCTGATCTGGGACGAAGCAAGAGCGGGGGACGAAGTCTGGTCGATGCCTACGCCAGCACTCCGGGCGCAGTGCCACATGAGCCAGCGCAAACGCAGCCCCAGATGCCGGTGTATGCGAACGGGTATGCGTCACAGTACCAGACCCCGCACCTCGAGGATAGCGCCGATGCGTATGGTGGCGTGGAGAGCCAGCATGGACACGTCGGTGGATTGGAGGATGAGGAGGAGGACTATGAGCCTGCGCCCAGAGTGTTGAAGGTGCGTGATTCCAGATAGAGTGCCCTCGTGTGAGCAATTGCTGATGGCTCCTCTGCACAGATCGCCAACGAGTAGACGCTGTTGACCGATCTCTCCGGGCAAGACGTGCACACCTGCGTCAGTTGTTGTTCATTCCGTGCTTCTCCCTGCGACCCAATCACTGTGCTATCACCCTCGTCTCTGTACCATCCGCTTCGCCGCTCGATGTATGTACGAAGACGAACGCTATTTATACTCTACGTTATCACTTTCTTCTCTCCTCCCCCCCTCGTCGTGTCCGTGCATGTGTGTGTATCGGCAGAGCGTTTCATAGACCTCGTCCATGCCCCATGCGTCCCACTCCCGACTTTTTTACTTACCGCTTTTCTACCTACTTCTACTCAGTTACTTCTTTGTGTTCGAGATCATGTTCTTGAATATACAGTATCGTTTCCTCTCACTGGGCAGTTGATTCGAGCAAGATGTCAGCTCGTGGAAACACGAAATGACATGGCTCTGGATGATCGCTCCGGTGATGGCCTGCCTTCGAGTCGTCATTCATATGGCTTGCTTGCCACGATCAGTAGCGGTGCAAGACTTCCATAGCCGTCGGTGGGCCACATTCTCTACGTAGCAAGTCTCCCATAGATTTCGAAAGTTTTTTTTGAACACCCCTTCCTCTGGAGAGTAGCGTCCTGCCCGGAAGAGTCTGTTTCGCCACGTGGTCGGCGCATTTTGACATATCCTGTGGTGAATTGAATGTGCCTGGTCAGCTCGACAGTGCGCTCATTCAACGAGATCAGGTTTCTTCAACTTACGGCTTGGATGATCACTTCTTTGAACCCTCCGATACCCGGGCAGACACCCCGGATGCTCCGCAGATTTCAAATAGGAGGCTCAAGTATAAATTCTGCGACTCTCCGCAGTGAATCGTATTAACAAGAAACGCATTTTGAACTTTGCACCTCTCACCGAAATCCTTCAATGGAAAACAACCGAACGTCTGGACAGAATCTCAAGAAAGAAGTGGACGTCAAAAACAGTGCGCATCCTAACGCTGCTATCCAACATGTTCTAACCTCGGAATGGCAGTCGTCGGTGACGGTGACAAGCGGATCTCGAAGCCGAACCCGGCGACCATCTCCTCGGATTTGAGCGCGACGGTCTTGCAGGGCGACTTCGTTTACTTTCTGCGTGCTGTGATCGGTAACAAGCTCGACAAGCTCGTGAAGATCCGGCTCCAGCGTGGGGGGTGGGAGAAGTGGTTCCAGGTCGAGCTCTGCCTGCTCATCAACCATTTCCACGACCGGAACAACGTCCATGCGGTGTACTCCGCCGAGCGCGAGGAGCAGGTCTTCCCGGGGACCAGGAAGTCCGTGGATGTCTCAATCTCCGAGGGTGGCAAGTACACGCATGTTCTCGAGCTCAAGTGCGGGAGGAACAATCAGTCCGCCAACGACCTTGCCCAGGACATTTGGGATGACTGGGAAAAGGTCGGCGCGATCACTGGGAACGGGAATGGTCCGCTTCAGCCGAAGCTCGCTGCGGCCTCCCGTGTGGCCGTGTGTGTGTCGATTGACAAGCCGCCCCCCCTGGATGGAAATTGGACCTGCTACACCGTCGATGGGGCAGAGCAGGGGGTGCCTCACAAAGAGCCATAGCACTAGGATTTAGACTAGTGCGCATGGCTGTAGCCATAAAAACCGTAGACTATTTTATGAATGGTAGCCATGACCCGGGATTGACCCGGGATTGAACTCGTGACTCTTCCAAAAAACGAGACGTATCTGCGGCAATAACCATTGAGCCATAACAGCATATAAATTCAGTACATATTGTCAATTAGAACCCTAACAACATCTGCCAAAAAATGTTTCCCCCACTTAGGGCAAGGAGCAAGCTCCTTTCCCTAAGTGGGGGAAATAACCCTAACCTCTAACCACCCGAAACCCCTACCAACCCTGACCGCTAACCAACCCGAACCCTAGCCAGTAAAAAAAAATGATTTTTGGGACCCGAAGCCCTATCCCAAACCCGAACTCTATCCCAAACCCGAACCTGTCTTAAGTCCGAGAAGGAGGGACACAGCAGGGTATCACTTGTGGGCGGCTGATGGAGATCACATGATACATCACATGATCAGACAAGAGACTAATATGCATGGCTACAGCCATGCTATGGCTACCATTCATAAAATAGTGTAGGGTTTTTATGGCTACAGCCATGGCATTAGTCTAAATCCTAGTGCTACGGGTGTGCCTTTGTCCGCCTCAGTCGCTGAAGAAGGGGAAACAGGCTTACATCGAATTGGCGGGGCTTCAGGTCCGTTTATGTCAACATATAGCCATCCGCAGGCACTGTTGCCGCCTCGCACAGACCAAGATCTATGCAAGCATGAGCTTGATACTTCTGCCACAGAAACCCAGCTCTTTTCCCTCTTTTTCGAAATGTTAATGCACCCCATCCCATGTCGTCGATGGCCCAGAGGAGACAATCGAGCGTAGAAAAACGAAAAGAGATGAAAAACCACCTCAGTTACCACCGCCATCACCCGGTTGCACCCCCGCGGGGGTCCTCCTGGGTACCCTCAGACGTAGCTCTGAGGGTACCTAACAGGTACCCCCCTGCGGGGCCCGCGGGGGGGATTTGGTCCATTTGGGGGCGGGGGCATATGCGGGGGTCAGCAGGGGGGGGTCTGTACATGTCATGTGATTTATCATTGGGAGCGGGCAGGTGGGCGCGAAAAAAAAATGAATCACATGACACATCCAATGGGCGGGATGGCGGCTGATGGCGGGGTAAAAAAATCACGTGATGCACCGCATGAAAATTATCAAAAATGGCTAGCAGGGGTTGGCGGGGGTTGGCGGGGGCGCTACTGGCCCCCCGCACACCATGGCGGGCAGTGGGCGCATTATCACGTGACTTTTGGGGCACCTTTTGTGCACCATTCGGCATGATTTCGGAGGTGTTGCTTGATCCATTGCATGCTGTGGCAGACAATGGGCGCATAATCACGTGATTTTCCGCCCAAAAAAATGGAAGCCTTCCCCAAATCATCCTGGTATCATTTCTATCGGTAAATACACTAGTTAAGCATGAATTTGAGCTTAGAAAGCCCAAAATGCACCCTGCACAATGGGACTGGTGATGCACTTGATCCCATCATTTGGCGGGGTCTGCTGCGGGGGGTGCCACGGGGGGTGCTGCGGGGGGTGCTGCGGGGGGTGCTGCAGGGGGTGCCGCAGGGCCCGCTGTGGGGTCAACCACAGGAGCAGGGGTAGGGGTGCATTGCATCATATTTTGATCTATCTATTCTCGCTGTGGTCATAGCATGCAGCATAATTATCCTTCATTTTGCCAGGAGTTTGGAGGCTGTGTCTGGGGTTGGTCTGCAGCTACAGCCATGTGACTCCCTGATGCTTCGGCAGGGGCTGGGATATCAAAACTGTGCAATATTGTCTGCATAATCCAGGCATGTAGGGTTAAAAAGAAAGTGTGATTTGTTCATTTTTTGGCTGGCAGGGTAGGTGGGCTGACATCATGGGCTGCATCGGGTCCACTGTCAACTCATTGATTGTTTCGTCTGCTCATTCTATACACATGCCCATTGGTAAGCTGATCATGCTGTAGGCACAGTCTAATCTTACCCAGTGGATGATACCACACATTAATTACATACCTAATGTCACACTTCCTGTCTGGGACTCATTGAAGTTCATCTGTTCTGTGTTACTTTACAAGCAGTTTGCTTTAGTTGCAACATGAACAGATGTAATAGAGTGGATTTGACATGCCCTGAATTGATTCCTAGGTGGAATATGAGACAATGGATTCACCAGCAAGTTGCCTCACAATAGTCAGAGATTGGTAATATTTGAATTTCAAATTTCATATACAACACTCTGTGCACTCAGAGCTCGTATATTTGCAAGATAGACTGTAGAGACATAGATGGTTACTTTTACTACCTCTGGGGCTGCACACATCCTTGCCATGACCCACTGCCTGCACCCCTGCTGGTACCCCCATTGGCACCCCCGCCGGCACCCCTGTTGGCACCCCCGCCGGCACCCCCGCTGGCACCCCCGCCAGTCTAGCACCCCCCGCTGCACCGGTGCCTTGTCCCCGTGATTTTCTTATATGTAAGATTATGTAAACTGACAGCTCGGAACACGTCAAGTCACTAGCCAATCAGAACCTGTATAAACGTCGTACCTAAGTGTTTACTGCTCTTCTAACACTGTTCCTACAGTTATGCAGCTGAAAACCATCGGAATAAGGTCTCCTTCTGCTATTCTTATTGAATATGTAGATACTTCATATCATTTGTCCACCTAAAATTCGAAACATGAAAAGAGTTCACCATTGCTCAAGGTTCCTATGTAGACAATGGTTCAACATGGTTCACTTTGGGTATGGCAAAAAATATTTTTTCTACACACAAGCAATTCAATACAGCTGAATGATATACTCTTTGGCAGTGTCTGAAACAAATTCTGAGAGCCCTGGACCCTGGAACTATTCAAAAACTTGAAATGAGTCCGAAAAATAGGGTCTTGATAAACATGAGATATGGGCTGGTTTGAAGAGACATGGGCCACCGGTCATGTTGAATATAGTATTTTACAATGTTTCGGTGCCCTACCTCTCATCACATGGCCTCATTTCCTACTAAAAAGGGTGCATACACACTCAAGCTCATAAAATCAATTGTCACCCAGAAACAAGAGCAGTGAAGTTGTTTCACTGGGATTGGGTAAAGGTTACCTAGAAGTCACTTGGGTTGCAGTACAGAAGCTTTGGAAAGTGATTTTGTAGTTGATCCACATTTGGTAGGCTGGCAGATGCTTGTGCACCCCCACGGCACCCCCCATGGCACCCCCCGCGGCACCCCCTGTGATTGACCCCCCCCCCAACCCCTGCAAGGATTTAATTGACAAATGTCCTGCTCAATCCATTGTAAGAGTCTACAGTATTATTGGATTCAGTAAAGGGCCCAAATGGTGTGTAGACAAGAAGTATGAAATCCGGAAATCAACAATTATGACACCTCCACGGAATATGCTGCAAATGGAGAGAAAAATTTGAGTGCAGACAGACTACCTGAAGCAAACAGACAGAGAAAAGAAACATTAGCCATTTCTTGTTGATGATGTTGGCTGTCCCTGGAGCATGTACTTGGGAGATTTGCCTAACAAATCAAGTTGCACATTTTTCAAATTTTTAGTTTGACCTGACAGCTTGAGCAGACCATGCCAAAATGAACCAAGTCATATATATCAGTGCCCCAAGCTAAGCCAAAAGATTTAGGTAAATTTGCACAGTTTTGATATCCCAGCCCCTGCCGAAGCATCAGGGAGTCACATGGCTGTAGCTGCAGACCAACCCCAGACACAGCCTCCAAACTCCTGGCAAAATGAAGGATAATTATGCTGCATGCTATGACCACAGCGAGAATAGATAGATCAAAATATGATGCAATGCACCCCTACCCCTGCTCCTGTGGTTGACCCCACAGCGGGCCCTGCGGCACCCCCTGCAGCACCCCCCGCAGCACCCCCCGCAGCACCCCCCGTGGCACCCCCCGCAGCAGACCCCGCCAAATGATGGGATCAAGTGCATCACCAGTCCCATTGTGCAGGGTGCATTTTGGGCTTTCTAAGCTCAAATTCATGCTTAACTAGTGTATTTACCGATAGAAATGATACCAGGATGATTTGGGGAAGGCTTCCATTTTTTTGGGCGGAAAATCACGTGATTATGCGCCCATTGTCTGCCACAGCATGCAATGGATCAAGCAACACCTCCGAAATCATGCCGAATGGTGCACAAAAGGTGCCCCAAAAGTCACGTGATAATGCGCCCACTGCCCGCCATGGTGTGCGGGGGGCCAGTAGCGCCCCCGCCAACCCCCGCCAACCCCTGCTAGCCATTTTTGATAATTTTCATGCGGTGCATCACGTGATTTTTTTACCCCGCCATCAGCCGCCATCCCGCCCATTGGATGTGTCATGTGATTCATTTTTTTTTTCGCGCCCACCTGCCCGCTCCCAATGATAAATCACATGACATGTACAGACCCCCCCCTGCTGACCCCCGCATATGCCCCCGCCCCCAAATGGACCAAATCCCCCCCGCGGGCCCCGCAGGGGGGTACCTGTTAGGTACCCTCAGAGCTACGTCTGAGGGTACCCAGGAGGACCCCCGCGGGGGTGCAACCGGGTGATGGCGGTGGTAACTGAGGTGTGAAAAACTGTTGTATTCAGCCAATTACGGCTCGTATCGAGTGACGGCATAGACGGACCTGGAATTGGCATCAGGAACTATCGGCTCGAATTGTGGGCTGACAAGCGCACGTCTTGGACGGAATAGCTTTTGCTCTCTGACGGTTGGTGACACATAGCTTGGATGTCCGGAATGCACCGGTGAGACGGGTTACACGATCCAGAAAACTTTGTATTAGGGGAATGGAAGCGGAGAGGCCGGTGGCTATAAAAGGAGTCACTCTCCAGAGCCCAAACCCTCAAAAGCATCAACTGCACCACTGCGAGACAATGGAAGGTGATAACCAGAATTCGGGTAGCACCCCAATCAACACCGGCGTTTCTCTTAATACTAGCTCCTGTAAGCTTTTTTTTTTCAACACCCGCACATCATTCAGTGATCTGACTCATATCCGCTGCATCCACGATGTGTCACATGTCGTGGAGATCAAGTGCGGCCTGAACAGCGCGACCACTGCGGATTCGAACAAGCGCGCATATCTGGACATGATCAAGCTCGGTGGAAAGCCCGAGATCGGCCAGCTTCCGCAACTCAAAGTCAAGTACGGAGATGCAGCGAGGATTGTGCTTCTGCTCATTGTAGACGGCGCGGTGCCTGACGCAACCCAGTGGGATTTCACAGGCAGAATCGATTGTGCCTGTGAGTTCGACAAGGGGGACCATTTTGTCTCGTATTATATCCAGTACTTGTCTGAGACTCCGGGGGCCATCGTCCAGTGAGAGGGTGCGGGGAGATCTCAATCGCATTGAAAGCAAATTATGAACGCGCTTTCTTCACGGATGACTTGTCCATAGTATATCTTGCCTGTCCCAGATAGTATTCGCTATACATAGTAATACCCAGCAATTTACATTTTGCATATTCTATGCTTTGCAACTTGAACACATTTCTGGCGGGGGCCAGTTGAGCGCAGAATTCAGCAAGTCACATTAATCAAACAACTTGGTGCCAAATAGACCGCGACACGGGGCTGAGTGTAGACGTGAGATAAAGTATTTCGCTTCAGTTTGATAAGCAGAAGACCATCCAATTCAAAGTTTGATTCATTGACTGTTCATCTAGAATTTAACATGATGGCGTGATTTTGATGTAGATTGGTTCTCTACTGTCTTTCGACTTGCTTCCTAGCAACACCGGCAACCGAGTAAACTGTTTAGGATGTTGGTTGTGATTGAAGTTCATTCAAACATGGTTTCTCCGATCCTGCTTTTATTGTAGGAAGAGAGATAAGTGATTCACAGCCCTTAAAAGCGTTAAAGCCTAGAGGAAAGTAACTAATCGCCAAATGAGAGAGCGAGAGATTGTGGCTGAATTATTCATGCAATCTAGGACCATGTTCAGTTTGTTGACTACATAAGTCCTAAACAAAAGTCCGACCATTGGGATCTCAGTACCGGGTCAGGTAGCGGAAATGAAAGTAGACTGTGTGGGGCTGGCCATCAACCACTCCATTCACAGTGTAGGGGCTCCAATTCGTGGTCAGGAGGGGCGGATCGTCCACAGTCACACAGACGGCCACACGGGAGGCCGCCGCGAGCTTCGGCTGAAGCGGCCCGTTCCCGTTCCCAGTGATCCCGCCGACTTTGTCCCAGTCCTTCCAAATGTCCTGGGCAACGTCACTGGCGGACTGATTGTTCCTCCCGCACTTGATCTCGAGCAGATGCGTGAGCTTCCTGGTCTCGGGCGAGTTACCTTCGGAGATGATGACGTCCGCGTACTGTCTGGTCCCTTGGAAGACCTGCTCCTCGCGTGTGGCGTGGTACAGCGCATGGACGTTGTTCCGGTCGTGGAAATGGTTGATGAGCAGGCAGAGCTCGACCTGGAACCACTTCTCCCACCCGCCGCGCTGGAGCCGGATCTTCACGAGCGGCTCGAATTTCTCGGTGAGGACTGAGCGCAGGAAGTAGAGCAAGTCGTTTTGCAGAGACGTCGCGTCTACGTCCGAGCAGATGTTCTCCGGCACGGGGTTTCGGATTCGCTCGTAATCAAGCACTGGATTTACGAAGTGAGAACATGTCGTAAAACAATGTTATGACGCGCACCGTTTGCGGTGTCCACTTCTCTCTTGAGCTTCTTTCCATACGTTTCGTATTCGGCCATGAAGGGCTTTCGATGAGAGTTGTAGAGCTCGATTGGGTTCCTTGTTGCCGTTTGGTGAAGGAGGGAGCGGAATTTATACCAGAGCTACGTGTTCTAAATCGCCGGAGCATTCCGGGTGTCTGCCATGTGTATCGGCGGGATCTGAGGAGTGATTATCCAAGCTGCAAGTTGGTTGAGAACTGATCTTGTCGAATGAGCGTGCTGTCTAGCTCACCAGGCACGTTGAACTCACCGCAGGATGTATGTGACATTTGCCTTGGCGTCAACACACAGCCATCACGAATCAGGCACTGCCCCCTGTCAAAATGACAACGAGCACTGGTGTACTTTCCCTTAGCAACGTCTCTGCCTGCCTTTGAGACCTCAGGGGGGGACCTCATACTGGGTCTTCGCGAGTCGATATGTGGAATTGCAGATGATCAACAGCCATACTCCATCAGTTACTTTGGTCAAAAAAGTACCTTCCCGTAGCCGACGACATTGAAGACCTGGAAATGGCAGCATGTATTCTCGGCTACGAGGGGAAAGAGAAGAGCGCACATCTTGGGAGGCCACGCGTTCTGATCAGCGAAGGCTTGTGACATACAGCTTGGATGACGATGATGCATCGGTGGGACGTCTTGCACAATCCGGAGACTTTTGCACGAGATGAATGTAGCGGAGGAGGGAGTGGATATAAAGGACCTCACAGCGCTGAAAACCTTAAAGTCTTCAACTGCATCACATCGCAACAATGTACGGCCGCAACCAGAATCCGGATGGCACCCCAATCAACACCGCCGTGTTTCTCAATACTCGCACCAGTAGGTTTCCACTGCGCTAGCGCATCGCTCATTTCTATGATTCCAATTATTTGCTGCTAGACACCAAACTCAAGCGAGACCTCTCCCGAGCTGATTTCGAATCGTTTGTGTCCGCCGTGATCGAGACCAAGTTCCAACGCCTTGTGCCCGCGTTCGCCCTACGTGGGGGGTGGGAGCGCTGGTTCCACGCCGAGCTGTGCCTCCTCATCAACAACTCCACCCAGGCCCCAGGGTACTATGCCGACCGCGAGCCCCCCGTGTACGCCGCGTCGGGATACGCGGACATCGCGTTCGAGGACCCGGTCACTCATGTTGCGTCGCATGTTGTGGAGATCAAGTGCGGGCTGAACAGCGCGACGCCTGCGCAGTCGAACAAGCGCGCGGCCCAGGACATGGTCAAGCTTGGCGGGGATCCCAAGACGGGCAAAGCTACGCAGCTCAAAGTCAAGTACGAGGAGGCAGCGAGGATCGTTCTTCTCCTCATCGTGGACGACGCGGTGCCGGACACAACCCAGTGGGATGCCAGCAACACGATCTCCCGCCTCTGTGCTTTCGACAACAAGCTGCATGTCGTCTCATATTATATCCGCTACCTGCCGGAGAAGCTCCGGGTGGCCGTCCAGTGAACAGTGCGTGTGGTATCTATTAACGCGGAAAGCAAATAATGAAGGAGATTGCTTCCCAGATTATTGCTTCCTCATTGTCTATCCGGCATGTCTCAGATACTGTTCGCTATAGCTTGTCTCCTAGCAACACACGTCTTGAAAACTTGATGCTCTACATCTTCGACACTGTATGCTCTAACATCGTGAACAATTTATGCTCTATTTCTTCCATGCAAAGTTTCTGCCAAACCGTTGGATGAGTGATCGGAGAGATAACATAAAGCAGATTGGGGACGAGGTCATGCGTGCGCAAAAGCAGGCAAAAGCGCTCCGATGATATGGCCAACCGAGCATATACTGTACGTAAACCTTACAGAGGCAAGGAACATTGAGGCAGTTCAGAAAGCTGTGAAGCGATGGAAAGCAGTGCCAGGGTACCATAAAGTCGCCATCAAACAAGTCAAGCGGCAGCCGCATTCCATCGACTTCGCATACAAATGGCTTATGTACTCCACCGGGGCTGTTTGTCCAAGTGGCCCGTGCTATTTGCTACCTGTATCGTTTGGTGAATCTGATGTGCCTTTTCGGCTCGACAGCACGCTCGTTCGACAAAATCTGCCTCACGTTCGACGGAGGGCTTGGATGATCTCTGGATTGAACCCTCCGATACTCCGGGCAGACACCTCGGATGTTCCGTAGAGGTTGAATCCGTAGCTCAAGTATAAATCCTGCGCCTCTCACGTTGAATCACAGCAAGAAACACATTTCAACTTTTGCACTCTCTACCGAAATTCTTCAATGTCTAGTGACAAAAAGCCATATGGTGCGCATCATGATATACATATACACTGCCATTCGGCATTTGCTGACTTTCCATCTCCGGTGGTTCCAGACCTGCGGGACCCGACGCAGAACCCTAATACCCTCCGCTCTGATTATGATGTGACGACGTTGCAGAACGGCCTAGTTTACTTCCTGACTGCTGTCATTAAGAACAAGTTCGAGAAGATCGTTCGGATCCAGCCCCAACGCGGCGGGTGGGAGAAGTGGTTTCAAGTCGAGCTCTGCCTGCTGATCAACCACTTCCACGACCGGGACGATGTACATCCGGTGAGGTACCATGCCACGCGCGAGAAGAGAGTCTACGACGAGGACGGAAAATCCGTGGATGTCGTCATCTCCGAGGGTGAAACGCTCGAGAAGAGCAAGCGCACTCATGTTCTCGAGATCAAGTGCGGGAAGCATAATCAGTCCACCAACGACATTGCCAAGGACATTTGGGAAGACTGGGGCAAGCTCGGCGCGATCACTGGGAACGGGAATGGGACACTTCAGCCCGGGCTTGCAGCGACCTCCCGTGTGGCTGTCTGTGTGACCGTCAACAGTCTGCCCACCCTCACTGGAGACTGGCACCGCTACACTTTTAAGCGTGATGTTGACGGAAAGAATTACCTAGTCCATCTCCAATTTCGCTACCTGACCCGATACTGATGTCCCGATGGTTTGAATTCCAGTTACGATTCACGGAGCGAAGATACTGAACATGGTCCCAGATCGCATGAATATCCAACCCCCACTCTCTTGCCTTCTCGTCTCGACTCTCCCAAGTACTAGTAGTTGTTTCTCCTATAGCTGTCAACCTCTCACGCTCTGTGAATAAGTTATTGCCGTCATATAGCAAACAAATAAGAGCGGAGAAATTCAGCTTGCATCATTCTGTCCGAACTGAAAGTATCATTGCACATACTAAGAACAGTCACGGCGAAATCAAAAGGCCCAACCCAAATGAGGAAGGTGCCATCCACTTCAGCTCGAATATATTTACAGTGAGTCCAGCACACCAAATTCTGGCCAAAACTGGTCCATTCACCCAAAATCCAAACGAAGGACATGATACTGTATACAATGGCCAAATTCTATCTCAACTCCAGTGATAAGCCAGTTGATGGCACTTCCCAGGCTCCTCCCCGATTTGGGTTGGGCCTTTTAATTTTGCCATGACTGTATACTGTGACGCCATGCCTTGGTGGGTTAGCCTAGGTCAATTGGTCTTTTGGCTCAGATCATTGATGGCCGGAGGTGCAAGTCATTTGCACAGCATCCGATCAGCGACTTTCCCTCCGCCGCAGATATGTCTGGGTTTGTTATACTCTTCGTGGATAATTTCCAGTGCAGCGGAAAAGATATTGAAAGATATTGGATTCTCCTGGCGCTACGTAAGCGCTGTCAGGATCACGTGAGGCTGAGCAGTAATCGGCACTCGGCCACTTGCAAGGACCGTCAATCAAAGTTGACTCAGGTCAAGTCACGGCATCGAGGACCTGGAAGTGGTAGCATGAATACTCGACCTCAAACCCAAACTCAGATAGAGATCTGAAGAGCGCACATCTTGCACGGGACGGGATCGCATCGCTCTCGGACGATTTTGGCACACAGCTTGGATGCCGATGATACACCGGGAGGACGTCTTGCACAATCCGGAGAACAGTGCACGAGACGAATGAGAGCGGAGGAACCAGTGGGTCATAAAAGACAACACTTTTTGCGGATTAAACCATCACAATCTTCAACTGCACCCCACCGCGACAATGTGGGGCAACGACCAGAACCCGAATGGAACCCCCATCAGCCGTACGTCTCCCAGAATGCGCACATCGCTCACTCCGCTCTCCGACTCACATGCCCTACTTCCAGTGAATGGACCGACCCCTGACACATTCAGACCTCAATTCGAGTCGTTTGTATCCGGCGTGATCGAGAGCGAGTTCCAGAGCATCGTCCCTGCGTACAAACTTAGCGGAGGGTGGGAGAAATGGTTCCACGCCGAGCTGTGCGTCTTCATCAACCACTACGCTGGCGCTCCGGGGTTCAAGGCCGACCGCGAGCCCCCTGTCTATCCCGACTCGGGATTTGCGGACATCGCGCTTGAGGACCCGGCCACTGGCGCTGTGTCGCACGTTGTGGAGATCAAGTGCAGTCTGAAGACCGAGACCGCTGCGCGGGCGAACCAGCGCGCGGGAGACGATATCACCAAGCTCGGTGGGAATCCCAAGACCGGCAAGAAAACAGAACTCAAAGTCAACTACGCGGGGGCAGCGAAGATCGTACTTCTCCTCGTCGTGGACGATGTGGTACCTGACACGATCCCGTGGGACGTGAGCCATAGAATCACTAGAGCCTGTGGTTTCGACAATGCGGAGCATTTTGTCTGGTATCATATCCGGTACTTGCCGTAGGCGATTCAGGACGAGGTGCGTGCAGTATCCTATCACGTAGGTTGCAAATGATGACCGTGCTTACTTCACAGGACCGTCCTCGACTTTTCTAGCCTTCTGAAGATACTATTTGCAATAGCTTGTCTCCTAGCAATACACATCTTGAACATTTCATCCTCTACATCTTCAATACAATCCTCCCCGCGACCGTTTGCGCGGAGAGTTCTGAGAGACAGCTGAGCGTTAAAAGACGTAAGTGTTCAGGGCTCGATCGGACGATACTCAAAACGCACGAGTTGACCTGCTCGAACGGACGCACGACGAGTTGGCACTTGACTTTGCCACGCGCAGCGAGGGCCAGGGCCTCGATCGCATCCTGGCGGCTCCTACCACGAGACTTAGTATCCGCTCGAGTCCGAATCGAGAAAAGCAGGAAAATCTCACCCGACCGCAGACCCAACAATCGTGATGCACTGGGACGCATGAGTGATATCGAGATAGGAAGCATTCAGCAGACCTTTGCGATGAGAGTGTACACCCCGACCGTCATCTTCACCGGCCCTGATGGTAGTCCGACGGCCACGATCGTCCCCTTGGGCCGGATGTAGTGCACGGCTTGGTCCAACGGGCCGGGCTGTCCGGGCGTGCTCAGCATCCAAAACCGGAGTCATTTTCAAGCGGCAGGACGCACATTGGATGCGGCGATCACGGCGCTGTGCGGGCCGAGTCCATCCGCCGCGGCTTGGATGTCCTGGACGAGATCCTTGCTCTCCTTGAAGTCGATCCACTTCTCGGCACCGAGGGCGAGACAGAGATCGCGTTTCGTCTCGCCGGTGTCTGGGAGCGTCAACTAAGCAAGTAGTGGATGGAATTGAAAAGGAGAGCCGCACCAATGGCGATGACCCGGAGACCCATTGCGACGGCGTATTGGATTCCTGAAAACGTTTTGAATTGGTTCAACATTCCTGGATGGGTTCTAGGCTCACCCAAATGCCCGAGTCCACCTCCGGCGCCTGGGATGGCCACCCAGTTGCCTACCTTTGGGTTACTTTCCTTGAGTGCCTTGTAGATCGTCACTCCCTGCCAGGTGTCCATCCTATCGCTCGAAAAGGGAATTCAACCCACTCACTGCACATAGGAGCGGTGTTGCAGCAGCGCTGTCGAGCTCGGCGGGGATCGGAGTGACGTAGTCCACATACGAGACCTGTTCGGAAGAATGAGCTGGATGATAGAGTCGTGATGAAACCGATAAATGACCTGATAATCCGCGTAGCACCCATCGACTTGATACCCGTGCCCCATCGTCTTAGCTATCGCACAGCCTGATTCCGAGCATCATTCGAGGCTGAGTCTCGCAGCAATCGAACACCTACAGGGCTCATTTCCCGTCCGGCACATTTCGCAGCTACGGAGAGTGGGCGGCTCGGATTCATACAAGGAAAGTCAATCGCAACAGAAGGGCACCACTCACTTCAAACACGTCGTCGCCAACCACTTGATCCCAACCCGGTCGCCCACAGCGACCGGACTCCCGACGGTGTTCGCGCCAATGGCCACGACGCGTCCCATCCCCTCATGCCCGGCGACGCGCGGGAAGTCGACCGGCCCCCATCCGCCTTCGATGATGTGCACGTCCGAATGACACACACCTGCCAATGGAGCTGTCAGATGGTGAGCTGATACTTCGACGAGGGTGCTGACCGGCGTAATCGATCTTGATGAGGCACTGTCCGGGCTTGAGCGCGCTGGGCTGCACGACGGGGTGGCTGTCGGTCAATGTGAGCTCCGGGCCGAAGGACGCGATCAGTGCGGCCCGGGCGTGTTGCGGGACACTGGGTGGTGCGGCGGCGGCGGAGGATTCACTCGGAGCGTCTCCCATTTGCGTTTGTGGGGTCGGTTCGGTACGATTTAACAGAGAGGGAGCCGGTACTGACACATGTTTATGTATTCACAGAGCAGCGAAGTCATGTGAGTAGGTCATCTGTCTTCTGGAAAATCCTTCGCAGAGAGTGGCAGCTCGCAAGCAAAATACTTACCCCGGTGAAGTAGTCAATTACGTATCTTACGAAGCACCCGGCAGGAATTTTGCCGCCGTGGAACATGGCTCGCTGAATTTGTAGATTGCAACATCAACATATTGAACCAGTGTCTTTAAGCAATCCACATATCGTGTCGTGGATTCTTCGAAGCAGAACTTCCCTTTTAGTACATAACCTGTGAGAGAGTACTCACGGCAAGGCATAAATTCTTCGTGTAATCGATTCAGATCGACGGGGGTTGAAACCTTGCCTTGGATTCTATCGCTAAGCGATACAATACACTACGCTATTCAACTCAGACCAAACTACGCCAGAACTCGTTTATTGTTTGGATATTGTCTACGAGTCGCCAGGGTTAAGGCGGGGCATCTTGGGGTCAGAGAATCACATGGTTTACGGTGGGATTTCAGGACTATCCGCGTATTAGCAGACCGATCCGGACCGAAAAGAATGTTCTGCAAGATCGCGACATGCGTCTCGAAATGAACGAGATTTGCAGGGGAAGTGCATAGAAAGAAGCGAATATAATAGCCAGTATTACAGAGTGCTATCTCCGGCGTCAAGCGAGATGCAGACGACACTAGGTAGATGTTCAGTTAAGTCGAGTACTCGATACACATCGAACTTACCTAACAACCCGTCCCTGACCGCTCAGCAACCCCACGGCTCCAGCTTCAGCGCCGGGAAAGGGACACGGGAACCCTGTAACCCAATTCGCACGTGAACATCGAATACGACAGTGAGCGCATCAAGCAAACCTTGTTCGCTAAACGCGGAACCCATGGGACCGAGACAATGGGAACCTGGCCGTCGGGAGCCGTGGGGCGGAGGATCTGTCCCGGACCCGGAAGCGGCGCAGAGTGTACGCAGAGCACCGTGAGGGAGGCCGCGGCGAGCAGGGACTTGGTGCGGACATGCATGGCGCGTGATTTTCTCGGGCAAAGAGAGCGAGGGGAGCGAGTGCGTTGGAGCGGGAGGGGGAAGTTATCTTCTAGTCGTAAGTTCGTGAGGATACTGGCGCGCGAGGGGCGATTGGGGTGTGGGGCGTTCCGAGAGCATTTACCTCATCACAACGCACCTGCTTAAATGCACGAGCCGGCACCCCACACAACCCCACACCCCAGCGTACAGTCCCAGCGCGATCCTCTCCTGCTCCTGATGTCCGTCGACTTGTCAACTTGTCAAGACCCCTGTTCTCGAGGCCCGGGGCATTCAGAATCGGAGGCATCTGGCAGAGAGGAGCGCGGCTGGGCCGCTGGGTCGCATGGATCCTATTCGACGGGGGTCAGACAACACATCCTAGATAAGCACTGTCTTGGATGCGATCCCGAGACCGTGATTCACTGCGGATTCAGGAGCCCAAGACCAGGAGAGACTGGGCGATCGGGGATCTGGAACAGACATGGGTGCGACAGATTGGCAGCAGCGCTGTGGCTGGGCAAGGTCGGCGTCGGATGCGTTCGGATCGAAAGAGCTTGGCGTCACACGTGATCTCCTGCTGCTTCTGAGCGCGGCCACTGACGGCAGAGTCTAGACCATGAACGCGACCAATTTGGATAAAATGACTCATGCCCTCTTCTCAGGCGTGTGTCACGTCCTCCTCTACCTTGCTGCAGACTCTATCAAAGAGATTCCCGACAGTTAGGCGGTGCGAAACAATCCACTTGGTGTGCAAAAGATCATCCCATACGCAGAATCTTTTGTACTCAACTGAGTCAACTCAAGTTGCTTGTTTTGCCAGGGTCACGTGTCCGAAACTTGGTGTTCTCCGAATACGCAAATATGCCGTAAACCTCTCAATCATTCTACCACGCAGATCTACAGTGCAAATGGTCACCTCTCTTGACGCATGGATTGGTATCAGGAAAATTTTGTAATTTATTTCCCTTTTTCTACGGTAAGCAACCCACCAAAAGAATGTGTTTTATCACAAGAACTCAATTTTTCCCATGGTGTTTCACTTTTTTTCGGCCTCGGAAAAATAAAAGTTGACATTTTGGGCCCCAGAATGCCTGGAAATGTCTGGCAATTGAAAAAGGACGTAGGAGATGCCTACAGAAAACTGCTTCTGATGTGTCAGCTTGTCAACCGAGTAGCCTGAGGACTCAATAGGGGCTTCCCAAAATGGAAGTTTCCTAATTGGTAACCCTAGCTTAGGTCTTGTATCACTTTTCCGGGCCTCAAAACGGTCAACTTTGATGCAGAGCTTCGTGCTTCACAAGATGGATAGAGGACATCTAAATGAGCCTAGAAATGCATAAAACAATGCCTCAAGTCATTCTGGGAAAACGTAGAAAGCTTTCCAAATTTGGAAGCTTGTCATAGCCAACTCAGCTAACAAAGGTGACCAGTTGCACTGTACTACAAGCCAACGTCTCTCCAACGCCGATGGTGCCCTTTCCTAAGTGCTCCTTGCATCCGCATGACTCTCCAGAGTCCATTCTGGCCTTCTACTTCTATCTCATCAATTCCTGGCGTCAGAATGATAGCGTCAGTGTCTGCCAAGAGCCAAAATCGGCAATGTTTACCAAGGACCATATGCACCAGAAGCTAGGCGGACACCGTTCAACGCCGCACTTGGCACGTGGGCTCTGCGGGGCTTATGAATGTTGCTGACAGCAACGATTCGATTATCTGCAGTTATGGTAGCAAGATATCCCCTGGACGCATGCGCCGTCCCCTCTGGTTGCACATGCAAGTCAAGTGTGTACATAACATCGCCGATTCGCTCACTATTCGGTCGGGTTGGGAGATGACGTTCTAATCCAAACCGGTCTGAGTTTTGCCTTTTGCTCTGCTCTGCTCCCTTTTTATCTCGCGCTACCACGACGTGCAGCTCGCCCCAGATGTCTGCGAGTGCGCCCAACGACCCGGATGTGCTGATCATCGGTGCTGGGTGAGTCCACAGCTTCGTCGTTCACACATTTCACAAGATGGCGGCAGCTTCTCGGGTCTGGCCATGGCCATCCAACTAAAGAAACGCGGAATGACCAACTTCCTCGTGCGGAGTCCCCTGCCTGTCTCTTCTTCTGTTTCTCAGAACTGCTCCACAGATCGTTGAAAAGGGAGGTGATGTCGGCGGGACGTGGCGGGTGCGTGTTGGATCTAGCCGCAACCGACACGATACTGACTGCCGTACGCACGCGCAGTCGCATACGTACCCAGTGAGTCAACGCCCAAGCAGCCGCGGCGCCCCGGCTTATCCCCGCTGCATGGCTCCGCCGCGGACGTCAACGCGCATCTCTACTCGCTCGCATCCGATCTAAACCCATCGTGGACGCACACGCGCGCCTCGCAGCCGGAGATCCAGGCCTACCTCGTGTCCCTCGCCGGCAGATACCAGCTGAGACCCCGGATCCTATTCGACACGCGGGTCGACGGGGCCGAGTGGCTGCCGGATGAGAGACGGTATCTTGTGAACCTATCGCGAGGAGGGGTACTGAAGACGCGGGTCTTGATTTGCGCGATGGGGTTCTTCGACACTCCGCGCACGCCCAACTGTCCTGGGGTGGAAGACGACCTCTTCAAAGGGCCCAGTTTCCACTCCGCACGGTGGGATCACAGCTTCGACTTGCGCGGCAAGCGGGTGGCGGTGATAGGCAGTGGGCCCTCCGCGTGAGTCTTCCTCCGCGAATCAGGTTGGTTGCGACTGAGTGGCCGGCCGTTGGGCACAGATCTCAGATTGTTCCTGCGCTGTCGCGGCATCCAGAAACGCATGTCACGCAGTACGCACGCTCGAAGAACTGGTTTGTGCCCTCTGTGCGTCAGGATGATCTGTTTCTCGAAGCTCCACTTACTGTGATCTCTCAAGATGTCCACGCCATACTCGGCTTGGGCTCGTTGGCTATTTTCCGCGATCCCACTTCTCATGAGGATCTCTCGGTGGTACAATTTCCTCACAGTAAGCATCTCTCGAAGCTTGACGGATCGCTGATACCACTGGTCGCAGAGCGAGATGCGCTACCTCGCGCTGTTCAAGTTTCACACCCTGAACCGCGTGTCCCAGAACGTCAAAAAGCTTCCCTTAGATGTCGTAGCCCCATTCAAACTCTCACAGGTCGCACGGAAGTACATGCGGGAAGAAACGCCAGGGCGGTATCACGATGCGTTGATTCCATCTGAAACCAGCGACCCATACCTCAGTGAGTCGGTCCAACCCATAGCGTTGATTACAATGATGATTCTCTCTGCGTAGGACTTGGCTGCAAGCGTATCGTATTCGATTCCGGATACCTGGCCGCGCTCGCTCGTGACAACGTCACCGTGATCCCGGAAGCCGTCGAGCAAATCACGGAGACCGGAATCGTTTCCAAGTGCGGTGAGATATCTGTTCCCTCTTCAATTCCGCAGAGTTGATCAAGATCCAGGCGAGCAGGGTTTCGACGCAATAGTTTATTGCACAGGCTACGTCTCGGCAAGTGGATCCACGGATTCCAACCAGCCACGTGATATGTTGAACTGTCGCGCCAGGACGGCTTTTCGATCCCCATTACAGGGAAGCAACGGAAAACAGTTGAGGAGTATTATAAGGAAAGCGGTGGCCCAATGGCATACATGGGCACCTGCCTCCCCGGCTTTCCGAATTTGTTCTTGATCTCGGGTGAGCGGAAGAATTGAACCTCAAAATCACGTGCGCTGATGCGGCCATGGAAGGGCCGAACACGATCTCCGGCCATCTTTCTGTATGGTTCACATCCGAGATCCAGGTACGTGGACTCCAGCGGCTTTATAAAACACTGCCGGTAACGCGCGAAAAAACAACTCTCAGGCGCGATATATCAGCGACCTCATCCGTCCCATCCTCGCAAACCGCGCGTCAAGCATCGAGGTTGCGCAGTCAGCGACTGCTGCTTATAACGAGATGCTTCAGAGGAGGGCAGCTGGGACTGTATGGGCTACATGCCGGTCGTGGTATACATCCGAGGACACGGGCAAGTCGTATGCGATCTTCCCGGCATCGATGGTGCGTTTTTGGTGGTGGTTCCGCTGGGTGAGATGGGCTGATTACGAGATCGCATAATGTCGAATCTCCACATAAGTCGGAATAGATAGAAACATAGCCCGGAAGTCCCGTGATTGGACGAGATGTAGGTTGTTCAGGCACATGGGCTACCCCACATCGCTCTTCTTCGGTCTCAATGAAGGTGATAATATCAAAAGGGCACCGTGATACTCCCAATCCAGCACAGGCAGCCCTCGTTTCTCGTCTTGAACCATCAGACAGTCTTACATGGTCCTAGTGAGCACGAAACCAAGCTTTTCAAGCACTCGCATGCTGCCCGCATTCCCCACGCAAACATGCATCTTGCGTGCGTTTATTCTTGGGACGAACCACGTCGACAAGACCCCTGAGAACGCGGCAGTCATGATCACTCGCCGGTGATGTGTCGGGGCAAGGAACTCTAGAGGGGAATATGCAGCGAGTGAACGACCGACCCAGCAATCCCAAACAAGGCGGACGGCGGGAACAGTCATGAAAAAGTCTGAATCGAAGAACCGACGTACCAGAAACCTGCCACACGAGCTGCTCGTGCCCCGCTGCGCGAGCCTCGTAATCAACGATATCCTGTGGGCACTCGGCACATCGAACCACCCGCACCGTTTGATAGAGACATTTCTGACGTGGCTGTTTTCAGCGCCCGGACCACTACTTCCCGGATCGCACGGAGCGGGCAGTTGCCGACCCGGTCCTCGTCTGCCGTCCGGATGGTGTGCAACACGGACTGGGCCTGCGCAATTTACGCGTCGTTGAGCAGCCGCGCGTCGTCGGGGCACCAGCTTTCAGTTGGCCTCGCAAGCCAGTTGTGCACCGCGGGATCTCGCATGATGTGCAAGAGCGCTTCGGCGTCGGACGCGCGTGGTGGGGTGATGATGAAATTGGCGTACGGGGGCGGGAGGCGGAGGTAAAGTTTGCCTGCGATTGGATGTGATTTGCATGCCTATGATATGTTCGCGGGAAATGAAGGGAAAGAGGAAGGGACGGACGCCATTGCTTACATAACGAGACCGACGTTTTGGGCATGCCAAACGGGCATTCCCCCGCGCAAACGGGCATTTGATGGGCATTTGACAGGTTTGGCTTGAAATTGATGCAATCAGGCATGCATGCCCGTTTGCGGGCATGCCAAGCCAACATTTTGGCATGCCTCAGGCCATAAATAAATTGTATTCAATCGTTGTAGGCTTCCCTATAGGCTGTATTTAAGCATCTCAGGCGTACCAATGCCCTTAGCAATGATGTCTCACGAGATCTGCCACGCGCTACGTTACTGATGCTGCTTCGCGCTGGCTTTCAGCAAATCGGACCGCGTAGGAGTGTTGTAGCTCGATTCAGACACGGAATTATGAGGGCTTTTCACGTCGTGATTGTTCTACGGGGCTCTGAGGAGATGTGATTGACCTCCCCGCTGAGCTTTCCTCTACACAGTCAATGATGACTGACTCTCGGGAAAAAGGAAGCATCTCGAAGGCACCAAAAGGTCTCAGATCCATGGCTTAGGACTACACATCACCCCTACACCTCCATCGCTCAATGCACACGGCTACATTGTGTACTTGTTGGGCCCGAAGTCCAAATTGATCCCATCCGACAAACGGGCATGCGTCCGCATCTCGATTGCTAAAATTCCGAGCTTATATGTTGCCGCGCCACCGTGATTTGAGTTCCTAAGACACTGCATGTAGTCACTATGACTCCCGGACTGGCCAATGAGCCCGTGCAGTGCACGGAATCGAGCGCATGCCCGTTTGCGTGATGGCATGCCTGATCGTTTGATGTGATCAGACAAGCGGGCTTGTGCAGGCGCAAACGGGCGTGTCATTGAGAGAATAGGCTTTTGCGGGCATTTCTACAGTTACAGACGTTGTAATTAGTGTCGGCCCGCCTCTGCTATCAACGAGTTGTCAAGTGGCGCCCACCGGAAGTATGAACGACACAGCATTGTAGATCGCCGAGGTCAATCGTTCGATGGCTGTGCTTCTTCTTGCTTCCATCCATGATCTTCGATCGATTGAGGCGTTTCTTCGGGTGGAGCTCAGCTCCGGAGCCCGTTCCAGCACAACCTCAAACCAATACCTTTCAGCCACCATTCGCTCCCGGATTCCATCCGTGGGGCTCCTTCTACGGTGCGTCAATACAGTTTTGTGTCGCACGGCTTCTGACTTGGTACTCAGGGCAAATGCCATATCCTGCGCATCCGTCGACTCCTGGGAGTCTTCCTGGTCCCCAAAATCAATATATGCCGCCTCCCTCTTCGGCACCGGCTGTCTTCGCGTTTGGGACCTCAGCTGGTCAGCCGGGTATTGCCCCTCAAATAGTGCATGGTGGAGCTGATGGATCCACCACTGCGGAACAATCCATCGGCGTTGGGGGAGGATTCAGTACTGGATATCCGGCTCAATGTGAGTGACTTTAGTTATCTATTTCTGTTTTGCATACTGAATTACGAAGATCATGCTCCCCCTTGGCCGATGTATCCACCCCCTCCATTCAGCTACCCTCCCCATCCGTTCCTGCCGCCATATCCTCCACATCCGTTCCTGCCGCCGTATCCTGCGTTCCCGTATCCGGGCATGTCTCCATTTCCGATGGCACCAGCTCTTACTCAAGCCTCCGCTCAAACGGGTGTTGCCGCCACTACAAGCTCGCGAATCGAGACCCTCCCTGACAACGCTGCGATCCCCTCCGTGCGCTTTCCAAATGGCAACTTCAAGGTCGATTTCCCGGTTAGAGAGATGCCAGAGGAGTGGAGCGATCAGGGATGGGCTTGGAGGTCGTCGGGGAGCAGAAAAAACGAAGTGCCACACTATGCGTACCAGTGCAATAAACGGAGTTGTCTCGGTGTCCTAATCTGTGTGTGTCGTGATGGGAACGGAAAGCCCTCTCGCCCTATTCGCCCGAAGAAAGACAACGCGTCTCGAGCCGCCCAGCAAAATGAGCGATGCAGGCACTGCAAGGCCAATCTCAGTCTCATGGAGTGCGACGCCACCTGGATCACCTATTATTACGAAGATGATGACCATGTTGAGCACGTTGTGGGACAACACTATGGGGATCACGAACATCCGAGGCCTCCCACCACAAAACTCACTGCGGCTGATGAACGCCAGCTCGATACTCTTGTTCGCCACAATCCTTCTCAAACAGCACAGCAACTTCGCGTCGCGGCAGAGCCCAACCAGACATCAATTGGAGATATCACCGCTGTCCTTTGAGATCCTCGTAAAGCTCGTTTCGAGGTCGAGAAGAGCAGGGTTCGTAATGGACTTGTGGTACCCGGGAAAGCCAGACAGATTGGCTTTGATCTACTGGACACTGTCTCTCAGTTCGAAGAGATGTTTCCGACTTCGTTCATCATCAAATCCGAGTTCATCAACAGACAATATGTCGTCATGCAGACACCTTTCATGCGGGACGTCTTGCTGCGTGATCAGATCTATTCCTGGACTGAAGAAACTCTGGAGATTGAAACGGGGCGACACGGCATTCCGACTGACGGAAGCCACGATTTTTTCAAGCGGGGTGTTCTCATTACCTCGCTGGTTTTCTCTGTGGTTCTCCTGCGCTGGGTCCCCATCCTGTATACATGGATCGGAAAATTGGACGAGGATCATCATCAACAACATTTCTATCAACTTCTTTCCTCAATTGCCGAAGTTTGTGTGCAAGGAATGGGTCGAGAGCTTAATCCACAGCTCTTCAGCTCCGTGAGTGCTTATTTACTTTTTTTTGTTCATTCTTATGGATTAAATTGACAGGTACTCGATTTTTCCATTGCGCAACGGAAAGGGTTCCTCAGTGCCTTTGTCGAAGTCATGTGTGCTCGTATTCCAGCATGGAACAGCTTGGGAGCTGCCGCTCGAGCCGCCGAGGAAAACAGGTTGCGAGAGGTGGGCGAAACACTACTGAAGGGCTGTTCAGTGCACTGGAAACGCTCACTTCACAAAATTCGAGACGTTGTCGATCAGCGCAAGTCATTCCGCTTTGAGACTCTCATCCGTGTCCTGGAGGGCGAGAACACCACCGTGGAGGAGCTCCAAAGCGCTGTGGACGAGCTAAATGTTGATTATGCAGAACTCCGGCCATGGTTCACCTGGTGGATACAGCCTGGGATCGGAAGCATGATATTCCCAGCGCTGCGAAAAATGCCTGCTGAGCTTCATGCCCGGATTCCAGACACCACCAATCCGGCAGAATCGTCGCACTGGCTTCTTTATCGAGCCGCTGGGGTGAAGCATGATCTCATGGAGGGAATTCGTCGCCTCTATGTCTTCCAACTTGACACGGAAAAGACCTATGATGCAGTGAAGGGTGAGAAATAATCTAATCATTTTCTTAGTATTTATTGACGACCCATACAGCTGGATTTGTTAATCCCAAATTCGCTGGTACCCGACCCAAGCCAAAAACGCACACCCAATGGCATGAAAATGACGGTCGTGCACCTGATACAGTCACTCGTCTCAAAGCCATCGCTGAAGCGGATCAGAAGAATGCATCTGAATCTGCTTCGCTCACCCTGGATGAACGAATCAAGGCTTTCGACCCCTCCAAGGCACCGATTGTTGCTTCAAAAGCACCTGTGTCGAGGGTGTCAGACCTTGAACTGATTTCGTACACGTGGGATAATAACTCCTGCTTTTTGGACTCCAGCCTGGAGGCCATGTTCCGTGCCTTTGCCTTGTTGACACCGACTCGACGGGATCAACTGTTGACTCTTATTCGCACCGATGCTCGCGAGACAACTCTCCGTGACATTTTCGAACATTTTTGGACACGTGGTGTTGGATCTGGACTATTTAGGACAAAGAAAAGCTCCGACGCAGCGAAGCGAGAGCTCACAGCTACGTGCTTCTTTGGACAATCACGAGCAAAGTTGCTTCTCCATCGACGGTGGGACGGAGGGAATCTAGTGGAAGGTCAACAAGGGTGTGCTCGGACGAGACCGACGTTTTGGGCATGCCAAACGGGCATTCGCCCGCGCAAACGGGCATTTGATGGGCATTTGACAGGTTTGGCGTGAAATTGATGCAATCAGGCATGCATGCCCGTTTGCGGGCATGCCAAGCCAACATTTTGGCATGCCTCAGGCCATAGATAATTTGTATTTACTCGTTGTAGGCTTCTCTATGGGCTGTATTTAAGCATGTCAGGCCTACCAATGCCCTTGGCAATGATGTCTCGCGAGATTTGCCACGCACTACGTTACTGATGCTGCTTCGACGCGGGCTTTCACCAAATCGGACCGCGTGGGAGTGTTATAACTTGATTCAGATACAAAATTATGTGGGCTTTTCGCGCCGTGATTGTTCTACGGGGCTCTGCGGAGATGTGATTGACCTCACCGCTGAGCTTTCCTCTATGCAGTCAATGATAACTGACACTTGGGAGAAAGGAAGCATCTCAAAGTCACGGAAAGGTCTCAGATTCATGGCTTAGGACTACACCTCACCCCTACACCTCCATCGTTCAATGCACACGAGGCTACAATGTGTGCTGGTCGGGCTCGAAGTCCAAATTGATCCCATCCGACAAACGGGCATGCGTCCGCATCTCGATTGCTTAAATTCCAAGCTTATATGTTGCAGCGCTGCCGTGATCTAAGTTTCTAGGACACATTATTTCGTCCTTATAACTCCCTTACTAGCCCACAAGCTCATGAAGTGCGCAGAATCGAGCACATGCCCGTTTGCTTGATGGCATGCCTGATTGCTTGATGCAATCAGGCAAGCAGGCCTGTGATCCATCCATACTATCATGCGTCAGGTTCTGCTAATTTGGAAGCCGAGTATCCCATCTATCCAATTCCTGTGGCTCTGCTCCCCCGCGACGCAAAGGACAGAGAACAGGTTGGGGAATAACAGTCGAAGCCGAGAACAAAACCCCAAGCTCGGAATGCGGCGGCACGCGCACAATAGATCAATAGCAACTTGGGCGCTGGCGCAGAGCAAAGCACCGCTGGCCAAAAAAGCAAAGATAATGTGTGGAGTGGAAACAATAGCGACGAAGGGAAAAGGGAAGGCAGGGCGTGGTAATGGAAAGAAATAGGTTGTTATATTGTTCATTGACTCGTACAATATCTCATATTAGTCTATTAACAATTCAACATTCCTCTGAGGCCACCCGACGGCGACGACGAAGGTTGATTAGCGTGGGAAGCCTTACATCACCACCAGTGCCGATCTGGACTTGACCGATCGCAGAACGACCAACACGGCAACAGCGCGATGTCCGCAGCGTCCGTCCGACACCAAACCATGTCCTAAGATTAAAAAAGTTGGGCACAAGCCATGCCCATGCCCATGCCCGCCATCAAATGCCCGCCAAGCCAAATTCAAACTCCGCTTGGCGGGACATGCCCGTTTGACACGCCCATATAATAAGTCTGGTGCTCGGACTTGGCTGAACCAGATGATTCGGGTAAGCCAGGGCCTTGATTCATTAAGTAACTTCATACATCTCACGGTTTGCGCAGATGGAGACGTCTTTAACCGTCCAAAGTCACTTTGGATTATCGTTCCGAGTGAATCTGACCTGCGCATCTGGGCCGCAACATGATATCTCTCAGTTTGTGCACCCGATCTCGGAATTCGGTCTCAATTTCGATGATATGGTGATTGCACAATCTTTCGTTGACCCAGAATACGGTGCCCCAACGATTTCGAACTATCTTGCGCATTTCATCCCTCGCGATCTGAGCAGGGGCTCCACGCATCCTCCCCTGCATAAGATGACCGCTGTGCCGTGTGGAGAGGAAACCGAATGCACTGCTATGGTTACCTCAATTACCATCGAATTTCCGACACTCCTCCGTATTGGCGCCACTCAACTCGATCAGATGATGGACAAAAATGGCCGGTGGACATGGAAAGGTGTGGAATGTGTTGCACCTCGATTTTTGCACGAGTTCCAGATTGGGGCTGTTGCCTATAAAATGGCCGCAATGGTGAAATACCATCGACTTTCAAGGGAAGTCGGCCACTTTACAACTTTGGTGGTCATGAACGAAGCGGTGTACAATTATGACGACACTGCCGATGGCGGAATCCTCCGCGAATTCGGCAGACCTCCTGACATAGAGCAGATCGATTCCAACACGGTCTACGCGCTCTATGTCCGCACGACTGATGAATTCGTGAGTCAATAATTCAATTCAATTCATCCCATCGTCTCTCAATATAATGTTCAGCGATTTACACGGAGCTTGGAGGATATTGCACTTGACTTTTCTCGCATTCCGTCCGAGATCCCAGATTATATTCGGGATAGTCCATCTCCTGCGACCAAACGAGCGGATATTCACATTGCACGCACCAACACTGATCCTCCACAACTCCAAACCTCGATCACCCCTCACGTATTCGAACCTATGGACGAGGACGAGGAATCGGTCATAGATCAACTCGAAGTTGATGCGTTGGTTCACCGTCAGAGCTCGGAGCCGCTAGCAGAGTCGAGCGTAGATATCGAGAGGATGATTCTAGACACGCTGGAATCCTCACCTGCGGATGGAAGGGGCCAAGCACTTCCATTTCCTGCTCCGAGTCCTCGACGACCAGTTCCTCCTCGCCTTCCCACAATTACCACATTGGAGACGCACGACTCCGCTCTGAAGGGCGACTCGGACTGGGATTCTGACGATCTTGATGCTGGGCCTCGTCCCGAAGTCCCAAGCTCTCAAGGGAGCGATAGCCTGAATCACCTCCGATGCGACGGCTGCGGTGAGGAGCTAGAGGATGCAGACGACTCGGCGAAAGCAGAGGGAACCGACATCGTTCAGTGCGGAGGATCTTGCCGGACGTGGTCTCATGTCGAGTGCCTCAATAGTTCCATTGACTGGACAGCTGATCAAGTTCGTTTCTTGTGCAAGGAATGTGATGTTCCCCGTCCCGGCTCGATTCTCGCGGTTGCATTTCCTTCGATCAACGAGCCTCTTGACGTGGCGAACAGATATTTCCCCGCAGTTCTAATCCAACGGCACATTGATCGGCGGGGCCAGCGGGAAGAATACGAATTTTACTGGTCTCGCTACGTCGATGGGATCCCCGGTGCACCCGATGCAAGCCAGACCTTCTACTTGCCGCGTCAATCGGTTATTTATTACCAGAGGTTGCTTGGTAGCTTCCATATTCCTGAAAACAAGGTCAGTTTCTTTCGTGTCGGGGATAGTTTGAATTGATTTTTTCTCCAGATCGGACAAATCCGCATTCCTTTCTACCATAATCCCGCATCCGAAGTCCACGAAGGTTCTGAATTGTCCCGCATCTTTTCTGGAGCTCTAGACGGTATCGCGGAGGTGATCCATGAATGGGACATGGATGTTCATCCAGTGGTGAAAGCCTGGCAGGAAGTCAAGGATGTCGCACGCAAGAAAAAGAAGAAGGCCGATTCCCACTTATGGATCCGGGACACGCTGCGACTCAGATTTACAGCGGAGTTGGACCAACTGGTTGGCGATGCGCTGGCGGCACTTATGCGTCACCCGACTCTCAGAGATGTTGTCTATACTCTGCGTCGTGACCGGATCAACAGTGTGGGATTCGTCCTGCTCCATCTGCTTCACATGCAGAGAGAATTGGGCGAGCCGTTGGATCTTGGAGGATCTACGTTTGCTGACTTCAGCGCGGATATGATCCAGTCAAGATGGGGCGAAGTTGATGAAGTGCAGGTTGTCCTGTTTGGCATTAGGAAGAGCAGAGCAGATCGCGCCTATGGCGCTGACATCGCAGCGTTCAGGCGGTCACACTCCATCTACAGTGCTGACATGATCGATCCGTTCTATTATCGTGTGGCGGGTTCTGCTAATTTGGAAGCCGAGAATCCTGTCCATCCAATTCCTGTGGTGCTGCCTCCCGGAGACGCGACGGACGAAGAACAGGTCGGGGAACAGAAACCGAGGCCAAGACCGAAGCCCAGAGCTCGGAATGCGGCTGCACGCGCGCAGGACAACGAGACCGACTTGGGCGCTGGCGCAGAACAAGCGCGGCCAGCAAAAAGGGCGAAGAGAATGCGCCAGGTGACGACAACTGTGACAACAGTGACGAAGAAAAAAGGGAGGGCGGGGCGTGGTACCAAAAGGAACTAATTCGTTATTTTGTTCATTGACGCGTAGAATGGCTATATTAGTCTATCGATCTTATTCTGAAGCCACTGACGGCGACGAGGAAGATTAATTAGCGTGGGAAGCCTTACATCACCACCAGTGACGATCTGGACTCGACTGATCGCAGAGCGACTAACGCAGTGACAGCGCGATGTCCGCAGCATTCGTCCGACACCAAACAACGTCCTCAGACTCAAAAAGTTGAGCACAAGCCATGCCCATGCCCATGCCCGCCATCAAAAGCCCGCCAAGCGAAATTCAAACTCCGCTTGGCGGGACATGCCCGTTTGCCGCGCCCATGTAATAAGTCTGCTTACATAACCGAGTCAGCAGTGAGGACTCGATTATGTGACGCGATCAAGAGTGATGCGGGCAGCCCCACGGGCCCAACGCCCCCTTGACATTTTGCGATCGTCGACGACCCAGCTCGAGCGGTGGCCTCCCGGCTCCGACCACAGAATGCAGCTCGAATCAGCTCCCGTATTCATTAGAAATCATAGAGCACGATAATGGATGATTGTGAATGATGCAAAATCCTGTGACAAATTAGTGCATAAAACATCCTTTGCATGTGTCCAATGCTCCGTCAAGGAAACTGTCGTGTTCATCACTTCCGGTGATCTGGCCGCGAGTTGTTAACGGAACCCAGTCCAGGACCGCTCCGCGGCACTTTCATGTATGCTGACTCAAAAAGAGGTCGTCCCTGGTCCCACCCGACAACTGCACTCTGAGTCATCAGCTTCCCAATGCACAAATTTGTCACAGGATCTTACATCATTCAGAATCAGTCATTTTCGTGATCTATCATTTTCAATGAATACGGGTTAACTATTTCTGCTTCAGCAAGGTGCGCCTTGTCGCATCGCGGCTTGCTTTGAGGAGCACAGCCAATTCGTTGCCTCCGGTCCCACTACTTTTTTGCACTATGCGCATTGTCGCCGCGACAGGGCGCACCGGAGTCGGATGCGGATGGGAGTGGGACATGGTGATAATATAGCGACATGCAATCCGCATGTGCAGGTCACGCAGTTTTTTGAGCGCCATGACAGCATTGTCGTATGGCTCTTGGAGGGCTGGTGTCCTCTCAGAAACCGCACGGATCGATCTTGAGCTGTTTGCAAGACAATCTAGATAATCTCGGTGGTTGCCTGGCATGTATCGGCGCATGCGCTCCAGGAACCCAGTGTCAGACCGGCGATTTTCGGCAGAAGGCAGAGGAGTTCGCGGCAGCTTCAGCTTGTGGTCAACATCGAAGAATAGATCGAGGGCGTGCATGGTGCTACTCTGTGCTCCGGAAGGGCCACTCAGATCCAATTTGTCCGAGTCAGCTACGCCCTCGTAGACCCAACCGGGGCTCGAAGAGCCATTCGCTTTGCTGCCATTGAACCAGGGCCTGATCGCATGATAGAAAACGTGAGGGTCCACGCTGTCTCGAACGCTTTGAATGATGTCGCTGATATCCGCCACAATACCCATGAGTCTTGTCAGATCGCGTGAGAGTCCAGAAATTCCAGAGAGGTCGTGTAGGTCGGGTAGAGAATGAAAGTCGTCGATGATTTTGAGCAGCTCCACTCCACGGAGCTCGAGCATCGCAGATGTGCGATAGAACTCGGCCTCGTCTTCGGTGCCGGAGAATAAATTGTGATACTCGATGTTGGTGGCCGATGCCGGCTGGGCCGCGTCGATCAGTTCGTAATTCCAAAGCACGGTGTCAGCGTAGGTGAGAACCGGGGCAATGCCGAGATCACGAGAAACAGCGACGAGTGGAACCGCAAGAGCCCTGGGAACCAGGCAAGGGAGATCCGAACTTGCTGGCGGAGCAGAGTGGATGAAGTAGTGTGTGAGGAACGCGAGAACCACATGTGCCCGTTGGAGACAACGGAGATTTCCTCGCAGCACGTTTGTGTCAATCACGGGCAACTTTGAAAGATGTTGAGCGCAGATCATAAGCGCGGGGAACCGACTTACAGATAGAATCTTCGTCCGCCATGCTTCCGAGGAGAGGCGCTTTCCCGACGAGTCCTCAGACTGATCGCCCCATAGGAAGACTTGGGTATGGGCCTCTGTCAATGCCTGCTCCCACAAGGCGAAAGCATCGGATAGACGCGGAGGAGGCGAAGATGGAAGGAAGCCGGTGACTTCGTCGATATCGTAGTCGTCTCGCGAGGATGGGATCTTTTCGCTGCGACGGGTGAGGATGGATACCGCGTTATGCACCAACAAGACCACGGAACGGTAGTAGTAGCCCAAGAATGGGAAGAGCTCCATGATATTCACAGGGAAAAGCCCGCCGAGATGAAAGGAAATGGATGAGCGAAGGGTGAGGAGTGAATGCCCGGATTATATACTGTCAGCAGGACTTGAAGCCAGACACGGGGGTCTGATCCATCAGCCGAAGACAAATCGGAAGAACGCGGTGGTGGAGTTTGGTTGGTACCCAAAAGCCTTAAGCGAGGTAATGGACCAGGCTTAGATAACCGCGGCAACATTCTGCATCTGGCAATGAACATTTCAAGACTCAAACGAGCCCACGTAAAAATGTTCTTCTCTCTCTCTAAAATACACTTTGAGCGGCTCTCCCTTAGCTCTGATCGTCATGCTGAAGGCTTGCTTATAAAGAACCAATAATAGGATCATCTAATTTGCCAGCTTTCTATCTTGTTCATGAAACGGTTTTTACCCATGTTTACCGTGGTTCGATTATTTTGAGTGCGTAAGTGCCGAGAGCTTTCTTCAGAAACTTTGACAAATGGCAGGGCCGGAAATTTTGGTAAATACTTTGATCAAGTAGGGCAGTGCAGAATCTTTCTCACATCATGATCTCTCTGCATTTTGAAATATGCAAAAAATATCGCTGAGGGCTTCTTTTCCTAAAGAGTCTCCAGGATTTTTTCTTTCTCTCTAGATGAGCAATTTCAGAGCTTGAACATGAAGTTTGGGACAAAAGAGCTAGAAATAATTCGAATGAGTGTCATCACTTGCCCCTCAGACCGATAAAAAGAGCGGCTGAAAAAGCACGAAACTATCAAGAGGATAGAGTTTTTAATTCCTTCGAGGAAGCAGCACAAAGATGCCCATGGATTGAGCGAAAGATTCACTGCGTTCACGCTCAGAACAACGCATCTCAGCATTTTGGGAACCAATTTGAGTCCCACAGAGCGCTAATTTCGGCATCGGAGACCAGACACTAAAAATAACTCTCTGCCTTGAACATGCGATCGAAAATGATCTTGATCCAACCTCTTCGAAACGCGCAAAATGTGGATGAATGAAATGAAATTCCGATCCCCGGACGCGTCCGTCGCCAGCGGGCGCATCTTGTGAGCGGAAACTCATTGTGGATTATCGTCCTGAAGGTGTCATCATAACATGTGATTCGAGATTCTTGCTTACGAAGTCCTATTTTTACCCCCGCCATCAGTCTATGGACCGCGCAGTGTACATACAGTGGTACTGTCATCATGGACAAAATGACCTTTGGTGCGCGGAGATTAGGTCCGGATTAGAAAGAATTCCAAAGTCCGAGCCGTGGAATTTTGCTCACCTTTGCGCAATGAATCCGGGCCGTTGGTAATTAATCACATGGAAAATCTCTTACATTGTCAGCATTGAGCTACGTGTTTCTCGTCTAACTGAGGTAACTGGCTAGGATCCCGGAAAACAGGCCCAAGAGAACTTGTTTTTTTTACCACCAACTGTTCAAGGGCAATCCCTTCCACCAGCACAGTCGTAACAAACGGCAGGATGATAAGCACAAGGATAACATTTGGCAACCTACTGTTTCAACAGACGAAGGAGGACGAGTTGCCGGGTGGCTTCCGGAAGCGAAAAGATATCAGGTGGCGCTATCGCTGGGCGGGGTGCCGAGGACGCGGGTCGTGATTTGCACGATGCGGTTTTTCGACCTCCCCCGCCTGCCCGATTGTCTCAGGGTAAAGAAAGGCCTCTTCAAGGGGCCGCCCAATCTTCTAGCGCGCTGGCAAGTGGATCCCTGCATTCCAACCACACACGTGATATGTTGAGCTCTCGCACCAGGATGCTCTTCCCATCCCTATCACTTGAAAACAGCAATATATTGACGCGGACTATCAAGAGGAAAGCGGAGATCCGAATGGGCACATGGGCACCTGTCTCCTCGGCTTTCCGAATTTGTTTGTGATCTCCGGTGAACGTAAGTTAAGGGGTTCAACATCGGGACCACGTGCGCTGATCCTCACCGGCAGGGCTGATCACGATCATCGGCCAACTTTCGCTGCGGTTCACTTCCGGGAATCGGGTGCGTGAATCCCAGGGGCCTGAAGGGACGCTTGTGCTGATGGATCAAGACGACTGCCAGGCGCGATACATGAGCGACCTCATCTGCCCCCGTCCTGCCAAACCGCGCGTCGGCCATCGGGATCACGCACACTGCGACTGCTGCGTACAATGAGAAGCTGCGGCAGATGGCGAGCGGGCCTGTGTGGGGGACATGCCGGTCGTGGCATATGTCGACGGACACGGGCAGTCCTACGCCATTCTCCCGGGATTGATGGTGCGCTTTTGGTGGTGGTTCCGCTGGGTGCAGTCGGGTGATTACGAGATCGCGTGATTTTCCAATGACTAGATGGATTGAGGTAGATGGTCTCAGAGGGATTCTCGCTGCTGTCCTAGGGCGGTGGGCTTGTTACGGTCTTCGGCAATGGCATGATTGATGCGCGCCTGAATCTCCGCCGTTGTTGCACGACATGCTTTAATGCAGCTCTTTCTTCGGAATTGTGTTGTAGGGTGATGACAGCTGTACGGCAAGTCCAGGCAAATCCAGCAGAGCGTCCTCGTAATCCCAATCCAGCACCTGCAATCCCCGTTTCTCCCCGCGCACCAGAAGAAAGTCTTCCACCGTCGCACTCAGAACGAAGCCAAGCTTCTCGAGCACCCGCACGCTGCCCGCATTTCCCAAAAACACACACACGTGCATCTTGCGCACGTTCATTCGCGGGACGAACCACGCGGCGAGCAGTGCCGAGAGCGCGGCGGTCATGATTCCCCGCCGATGGTGTTTCGGGGCGAGGAAGTCTGTGAGCGACCAGTCAGCACCAGAAAGCACTATACAAGGGAACTTGAGACGCACCGGAAACCTGCCATACGATATCCCCATCTCCCACCGCGCGGGCGTCGTTCAGCGCGATCAGCGCCTCCCTCTGCGGACTTGCGACATCGAACCACCCACACCGCTTTATGGACACATTCCCGACGTAGACGTCTGCAGCGTCTGGCTGCCCCACTTCTCGGATCGCGCGCAGCGGGCAGTCGCCGAAGAAGCCCAGCCCGTCCCCCTCCTGCATAGCTTGTAGAACCGAGCGGGCCTGCGCGATGTGCGCGTCGTTGAGCATCTGCGCGTCGTCGAGCCCCCATTCTGCGCTCGGCCGTGCGAGCCACGTGTGCACCGCGGGATCGCGGATGATGTGCATGAGCGATTCGGTGTCGGACGCGCGCGGTGGGGTGAGGATGAAGTTGGAGTGCGGGAGCGGCAGGCGGAAGTACAGTTCTCCTGTCAGGGGGTTCGTGGAGAGTGCGATCGGCATGGCTCGGTTGTATTCGCGGGGGTTGAAGGGAGGGAAAAAGATTGTCTGAGCACGGGCGCCATTGTTGAAGCTGAATCGAGTCACTCGCAGCTGGAAGGAGTCTGACGTGATGCCATCACGCGTGATCAAGTTACACACGTGCCCGCAGCTGCCTTTGGACCCGCTACACGACGATGGCTCCCACGGAGTCTCAACTTGCTCTTTGGCGAGGCGGCGGTACATCCCATCGAACTCCGACACAGTCACCGCTTCACTGACGAGGCACGGCTGATGGAGCTTCTAGCTGCAGAATACTCTGACGAGGAACCGGATGATGGAGCTTTGGAATGCTCGGGAGACGAATACATGGACGAATAAGTAACGACTGCGATGCTTGTACTGTAATTCTTGTCCGGGGCTAATTGATTTCTTGGCCTATTTTGGAAATATCTTTTTTGGAAAGGCCTTAATAAGGCCTTAAAATGCCCTTAATATTAAGGGTATATTAAGCCTTAATAACTTAACTTCAAAAAACACCCTTATTAATACCCTTAAGGCGAACACTGCCGCAGCATCCTAGTGACCCACCGCCCTGCACATTTTGCGATCGTCAACGACACAGCTCGAGTGGCGCCCTTCGACAACAGAGTGTAGCTCTCATCAGATCTCCAGGTCAAACTCGAGCGGCGATGCTGCTCCGCAGTGATAATGACCGGTACGACGAGATGCTATCAGTTATTCACTTGTGCGCTGCGCAGTAGCCGGCTGCGCACTCTCCAGCCGACGGTTTGATTGGTTTCATTTCATTATAGTACGCGACCTCTTGGGTGCCTGTAAGCCGTGAAGACAGCAGCTCAAATAGCGGGCGACGAGGCCTAACAGTTTGCAACCCACTCGTCTTCTCTTCCCTGCTCACATCTGGCAGCCCGATTGACTCGATTCCAAAATGCACCTCCTCCCACCGCTCTATCAAATCATTCCTCTGATCTTCATGCTCTTCACGAGCAGCGCGACGGTGTATGCGCGCTGCCTCCTGCCCCGCCAAGTCGCATCCGGGACTACCACCACCGCCACCAACAACAACAGCAGCAGTGCGATCCGCTGGGTGGATTGCACGACGCACGTCCCGTTTCCCGTTCAAGCTCAGCTGAACATCACCAGCACTGGAACGCTTCCTTCCTCGCTCCTCCCGCTCCCGAAGTCACTCGCGTGTGGCGAGATCGACGTGCCGATGGATTGGTCGCAGGCCATGCTCCCGGGGACGAACCAGATCACCGTCGGGTTCGCGATGAACCGCGCGGCGTTGGGAAAGTCGGAGGGTCTAGTCCTCTTGTGAGTGCCCGGAGTTGTCTGCTAGGAAAGGAAATGACGATAGCCCCGACTAGCCATGCAGGGGGTCCGGGCCTTGACGCAGCGTCTCAGGCGTGGGTAAATGCGCTGAATGTGAGCGGAGCCGAGACGTTCGCTGGGTTGGAGAATTTCGATTTCCTGGGTTAGTTTTCTATCGTGCCTGGCCGCAGCCCTGAATTTCTCGCAGCGGTAAACACACGCGGAATCCAGCTGTCCAACCCGCTCAACTGCTCTTCCGGAGTGTTCTTCAATGACATTCCCTTTGCTTTGTGCGCAGCCCCCCCCCCTCATTTGAAATTTGTCTGATGCGGCCCCTGATAGCCCGAGCAATCAAACGGAGTTTGACGATTACCAGGGGGCGGTGTCAAAGTTCATCGACTCATGTGTGCAGAACAGCTCGCCGGCGGGGATCGTGCAACATGTCGGCACTGCCGAGGTTATTCAAGACTGGGATGCCATCCGTGCTTCTCTTGGATACGACGTGGTGCATTTTGTTGGCGTTTCATAGTGCGCAACTTCTCAGCATTTCTCCTTGGCATCTATGCTCATCTGGGGGTCCAAAATCATAGCGGCACGTTCGTCGGTGCGGCATACGCCCAGAAGTACCCGAATCGCGTGGGTCGATTTGTTCTGGACGCCGTGCTCCCGCATGGGATGGTATTATCTTTGGCCATCATCTGATCCATCATCTGAACCATGCCACAGCCGTTTCAAGACATGGTGACCGACCAAGTCTCCGCCCTCAACCGCCTCCTCCTCCGCGCCGACGCGTACTGCCTCGCCGACCCTTCCTGCCCTTTCCACGGCCAAGGCAAGGGTAGCGTCGTTGCGGCCTGGAACACCCTCCTCGACCGCGCGCCGATCCCCGCGCCCCAATGCGCGTCCGGCACTCGACCCCCATCCGGCCTGCCGTGCAACTCGCCCGTGACGCAGACGGATCTGCGGCTCGGCGCGAGCGTGCTGCTGCGCGCGAACCCGGATTTCCCGCTGTTCAACCGCGCGCTGAACGCGTCGCTCGCGGGGGACGCGAGTCTGTTTGCGTATGTGCCTGCGGCTGATATCCGCGAGAGTGTCGTGGTGCCGCTGCTGTGTTCGGATCTGAGTGAGTGCTGAAACGGGTCGCGAGGCAGGATGGGCTATTGTATTGACGGGTTAAACGTTTTTCTCAGAGACCGATAACAGCACGTTTGCTGCGTTCGAGGAGCTGAGGACGAACGCTGCGTCGGTAAATATCCGTCTTTTTAATGGGATAACAGTTCTGGCTGACGGCGCAGAGTGATCCTAACCGCATGGTGTACTCTCAGATCTGGCAGTTCGTGCTTATGTGCGATGCGTGGCCATTCTCTGCACCCGAACCCAGCGTCTTCTCGAGTGATCTCCCGCTGATGTGGGTCACTTCGGACTTTGATCTCAAGTGAGTCCCAGGTTGGATGAACGATGTACTTGAATCCAATTTCTTATTTGTATTGTGTGTTCTAGTCTCCCGACGGAGCTTACCACCTTCGCATTCGAGCATACACCAAACTCGACGCTGATCATCCGCCACGGAGACGACCACACGTCTATCGCCCGTGCGTCCTCGCCTTCCTGACCCAATACAATCTGCTGATTGACACCCCCCGACTGAATTCAGTCCCAAACACAGCAACTCACGCTCTCGAAATCGCCTTCCTACAGACCGGAATATTCCCCGACCCCGCGGCGCCATCGCTCAACCAGACGCTCGTCAGCGTATTTCCACCTGGCGGGATGCGCGGCCCGGTGCCCGATCCGTATAGTGTGCCGCTGGGGCAGGTGGCGGGAGACTTCAGCACGGTCGAGGATGTACCTGGGGAGTTGAACGCTCTCATCACTGCCAGCAGTAGAGTGGGTCAGGGCTCGCAGAAGAGTGCAGCGGTTAGGCATGCGTGGAAGGGTGACACAATGGTTGCATGCTTTGGCCTTGTATCTCTTGTTCTCAATGCTTGAGGTGCATTCTGTTTGCGTAAATATACATGATTCTTGTGATTCAAGACTGGAGAGTCGAAGCTCAGCTGTGATTAGACTCAAACAGAGGAGAAAACAGGGTTTTTCATTGTCTGGTTTCAATTTGACAAGCAATCTCTCGACGCCCATATGTTTATCAAGTTCATGATTTTCTCCCAAAAAACAGGACCTCTGATTATACCTGATGAGGCTAGCGCCGGGGCCGGACAATTTTCAAAGGATTGAGCCCGAAAGCCTAGCGCCAAATCGGACAAAATTGGGGAGAATTGGGGGTGTTGGGACTGGAGGGCTAGTGCGACTTACCGGACAAAATTCGCCCCTCGGACACCGTGCACCCCGGTTTGTGCAGGATGATATACAGAGGTTCCGGCTGAGACGTTTGTGAAACGTTTCCGTAACCATGTCAAAAGCAAAAGTGTCAAATAGGAAAACCTTTCTGGAATGCTGATGTTCTTGATACCTCATGTCGGACATCCTGAAAACCTTTCGGCGATGTTTCACAAATGCAATTCCTCAATTGTGTATTCATTGCTTTCTCAGCTAATTGGAACTTGGTTCAGAAAGATCAATGCAGATAAGATATCACAGATTAGATTAAACAAGTAGATACTGTAAGCAATAAAGAATGTAAGCAGGCCCAATTCTTCCAATCGATCCAGCTGCTAAAGCTGCTCATTGTCTGTTTCCAGAGCGGCAGGTGCAGGTGCCGTAGCCATGACAGTGCGCAAGTCAAGTGGGGTTCCATATAAGGCAAGGTCCGCGTCGAGCATGTACTTCTTGATCCATCTGCCATGCAGTCAGGTTCCGTGCGTGCCTCGAGAATGAAAGGACTGACTTGGACTGCTCTTCAGGAGGACAATTCTTGAACTGCTTGTGTATCTCTGTAAGTGTATTATCAACGTCGACCCAGAACCTTTCAGGCTTCCTCTCCGACTCAGGAAGTGCTGCAGCCTCCTTTGTCTGGTGACGCTTGCAAACAATGTCAGCAAGATTCCTGGCACGTCATGAAGCAGTCACATACCAGAATAGAAACACGGGCACAGAAGCGGATGTCGACATTGCCAGTGACATGGAGCTTTGCGAAGATGTCGGTAGCCAGTTCTAATACATTTGGTGCATCCGGCCGGCGAGCATCATTGTTGCTGGCAACGACGGTACCAAGGGATTGTGCAAGCTGGGGGACATTCTAAGTAACCGTCGTTGCAGACAAACTCAGACTTACCACATCCTTGACCTTGTTGCGCAGCCCGCTAAGGATGATGGACATGCTGCTCTTGAGTACCTTCTGGGCATTCTTGTCGTTATGTAAACGTGTCGGGAATCCCCAAGATGGGTTAGCAACACAAGCATCCTGAGTAACACAACACGTCACTCAAGAATCCAGATGGGATCAGGGATCCTCCATGCTGGAGGGAAACGGGGTGTTGCCCAAAGAGAAGGTGATGGGTGTGGTCAAGATTGGGTCAGAAGGATCCGTCAGTGGCAGACGCAAGGGAGACGAGTCCACTGGCATCTGGAGCAGGTCACTGAAGGAGAGAGGAGGCATCTCCGCAGCGTGCTCACGGAGAGAAAGGAGTGTGGTGTCAAGTGCGTCGAGCTGAGTGCAAACGTCGGCAAAAAAACTCCATGGCCTGCGGGAGAAACAAGTATAAACCCATCAAAACACGCTCGGAAATGCCTGCAACGCGGAAAGATAAAGGTGTGGAATTCCATCCAAGCTCAGATCCTGGGAGAGTTGAGAGAGAATAGACACCTTCGAGGATGTTCCGGACACGCAGCCAGCCCAGGTAAAATGCCTTGTTTGTTCTGCCGGAGCGGGACCTGTCACAATCTCCAAAACATCAATCTCAGCACATCGAAGAAGCCAGCGGCACAGAACTGCCCTCGAGTTTCACAAGCACTCTTCTGCGGAGCAGGGGGGAGTTGTTCCGTCCATTAACGCAATCCCTGCATCGATGATAGTGCCAGATCGCTTCGAGGCGGCTGGGGTACATGACGTGCATGATCGGTCGCAGTTTTTTGAGGACAGCAATAACCCGTTCCGTGACGCGATAGCCTACGGGAGCCACATTCTTGATGATCATGGCCGCCCCATGCTGTTCTCTGCTGGAGAATTGCCCCAAGACAATCGCGCAGAAGCTGTGGCGAATCAAATCATTCAAGATCTTGAAAATCTGGCGTTCTTGGACCACACAATCTTTGCAGAGAGTTTTAGAAGCACAGAGAATGATTCCGAGGACCCCACGGTCTCGGATGCACAACATCAACGGGCTGCTCAAGGTTGTTCTTCACACATCCAACTTGCCAAATGCTGAACATTTATCAAGGCATTGACAAAGATAGCAACAAGAGGACAAAGATGAGAGAGAGACCCCGGGCTTTGATCCCGAGTGGTCTCTGCACGGATCAAAAGTGGTGAGAAGTTGTGCATTTGGTCGATGATTCACGGAACTTCATGGCAATTCCTCAGATGTTCATGCTCGATTTATTGGACAACTTGCCCAGACTGCGCTTGTCTGATGACCAGTTGAAGTTATTTATCTGGGTCCTCAAAGAGTGCGGAGCAAAGAATGTCCCATCATTCTATGTGCTCAGGAAATTCCAATCTCAAGCAACTCGTGATTTCGGTCTTGTTCCTACAGCTCATACCTCTGTTTTGAAGAATTCATTCTTTATGAATCAGCCCAAGAACCTCATTGCACTGGTATGAGTACTGCTCTATTCTTTCCGGCTGTGCCCCAGGACTTTGCCAATCCCCTTGTTCGGAAAGATCTTACCCTGTATCCGGAAATCACCAACACAGTGGCGGAAGTGTGGCAGGCAGAGAAATACCTCAAAGAGATTGACATAGATGGTCTCTCCCCCATGTGGGCCAACTGGGCGCAGGCTCCAAATAATCATTTCTATGTGAAAGAAATTGCCCAGCGTCGAGATGGGGATTATGTGCTTGCCCTCAAATGGGTTATTTATCAACAGCAAGTTCACGTTGAGGCTTATTGGATCTCTCAAGAGCAACCGGTGAGTTCAAAATCTCAATGACAACCAATGCAGGCTGATTGATTAGGAAATCAGTCTGGTATTTTTGCCCTGGAGGATCATGAGACCATTCGATTCCCTGCAACAGATTTAGCAAAAAATTATCTCGAGATTTCATGTTCTGTTCATGTTCAATTTTTTGGTGATACATCTCCTGGTCCCAAGCATCCGTATCTTCATCTCACTGTCACATAGATCGCATTACTGCCATTACACCTTGTTTGCCTCATCCGGTTCGCAGAATCGCAGGGGGAAGGCCCGTCTTCGTAGTGCGAATCATCCCATGGGCAGACGATGTTTCAGGGAACCGCAGCAAACAGTACAACGCACACCAGAATGTCTATTTGGCCAATGCAAATCTGCCGTTCAAGAATCTCATGCAAGAATATAATATCCGATTTTGTTCAACCTCTCCGGATGCATCAGCAGTCGAACTGCTCGAGGCTGTGGCAAGAGATTGGTCAGTGTCACCTTTGTCCTTTACAATTATCTAATCATCCACTCACAGCCAGGATGGGGCGTGGAACATAGCTTATGACAGCTTGCTCAAACAGGAGATCCTCTTTTGGTTAGGCGTTCATTTCTGGCCTGCCGATAATCCGCAACAGGCCAAGATCACATCAACTATGGGCTCCATTCCGAACGCTTGGTGTAGGCAAGACAAGGGTGGTGGTTCCAAGTCACACCGTGAGTCAAACGAAGGTTATCATGCATTATATTCGGTTCGTGGATTCAATTAGTGCATCTTGATAAGTCAATTCATGTCTTTGATCCAGCCTGGTCCGCCTCGAATGGCATCCGAGACTGTCAATCAAATCACCAAACAGATTCAAATGGCATGCCGCGGTGTCATGGCAAATGTTGAGGCTCTGCAAACTGAGAGTGGTATCAAAGATAAGATCACTCAACATTGGACCCCAATCTTGGTCGCTAAAGCAAAGAGCATTCAGAAAATTCGAGTTATCACTCCGGCCACCAGAGATCAGCGCCTGAGTGATTTGAAGATCAAAGGCGAGGCTCGAGAGGTCATCAAATCATCTATAATCATGGAGATCGAAGAAGAGGTGTTCCGCTGGTTCCTTACACAACCTCCTGACCGATATCAACTGTTGTCTGACAAAACTCGTAAGATTTTCTTCTGTACTGAGCCAATTGCTTGAACTCAATCCAGGTTCTGCTCTTAAATTGCGTGCGGGCGATCATTTCAACGCAGTACTCCAGATTACTGGTGCCATTGCTCAACATGACACACCGCCAGAAATATTACACACCATCCTCCTCGGCAATGACAAATACATCTGGCACAAAACCTCCAAGAAATGGTCGGATGACGAAGGATCTTTGTTTGCTCATCGCCTACAAGCTGCCAGTGTTGACGGCTTGACCATCCCGGCGCTCAAATCCCATTACATGATCAAGTATAAAAACTCGTTGATTGGAAAACACTTGAAGTCTCTACAGCAGCTGTCGATCTTTCAGCTGGATTCCCAGCTCTGCTCTGGAGAACTTTTTGATCTATGGAACGCTGCAGGCCATCTGGGCGCCTTGCTCTGGTATCCCGAAATTCGTGACATGGATCAATACTCGGTGCGTTCGCAGTTAGGCTTTTGATCTCAAATGAATTGAATTTTGTGAATTTAGGCAGATCTGACCGTACTTATAGACAACGTGCTGGATTGCTGGGCCTGTGTTGATCCCGGCAGAATCACGTATAAATACAAACTCCACGTTCTCACCCATTTGCCGGAAGCCATTCGTCGATTTGGCCCAGCGACGCGTTTTTGCGACCGAGATCTTTGAATGCTGGAACGCAATATTCCGCTTCTGCAGCATTCTGTCGAATCACCAAGCCCCCAGTCGAGATATTGCCAACACTTTAGCTGACATGGAGCGTTTCAAGCACCAAGTTAGCGGCGGTTGGTGGAAGGATTCTGGTGTCGAAAATGATCGGGATTTTGATGGATTGGACAACGAGCCAGCGGCTCATGCCACCGAATTCACGGGGAAGAAGTGGACTCGTGCCGGGCCTCAAGTTTTACAATTCATGAAGAAGAATCGGCAGTTACAGCGGCGGCTGGGATGGACTCAGGAAGTCCACGAGAAACCTGGTATATTATTAATTAAGTTCCTGTTTGATATATTCCTGCGCTAATGATATCTCCTTCCAAATTCAGGTTCTTGCAAGCCGGTCTCCAAAAACAAACGCCACCCCGAGCTCTGGACCATTATCGTTTGTCAAGTAGTTGTGGATTTCAACTGTGACTGGGTGTCCGTGATCGAGCCAGATGAGACATCTCCTCGCTTGACATGGACTGACTGCAAATACGTGGTTGCAAAATCAACTGATTTGTGCTTTGTGGGGCCATGGATATTTTATTCGGACTCTGATGATCCCAAGGCACCGGCGTCAGTGCGTGAATTCCATGGACTGGCTTGCTTGTTGGGTTCTCCGGTGAACTAACTGACGGAACATTCATCAGGTTGCCAGAATTGTACGAATTCTCACACTGACAACAGATGTCGGAGCCCGCGAGCCTCGAATAGCATTGATTGTCCAGATGTTCTTCATCTCGGGCACCTCGGATCAAAAGTTCAAGATGCCGCTTTCGATTGCTCAGCTTCCCGCTGAGCCTCATCCGGTCGACTCGGTGGGACGGGATACCCCAATTTCCGGCCCCCAGAGCTGCACCAAGATCATTTCTGTATCGGTAAGTTGCCCAAACCAAATCGATTGTTTTATTCTTATATTGTGCATCCAAAAGGGCATCCTCTTCAAGTTCAACGCTCAGCACGACTGTCAAAATCTTTTGTGCGCCATTGAGACTCGACCTGACCCGGATCAACGGACTGGAAGCCGGAAAGTCCTGGTGCATAAAGAGACCAGCCGCTTTCTCATCAACATGCATGCCTTGCACAACGTGCATCTTCTGCGCGAGATGCTTCCCCGGCATCTCACCATGCCGGAGCGTTATTACACAGAAATTGAGGCTTGCATTGCGGCACAGGATGAAGCCGCCGCTGTGCTTCAGAAGATAGGCCCGGAAAAGTGCGCACAAGCAACGGCAAGATCACAAGCAACGAGGGAGAAGAACTCAAGGAAGAGGAAGGGAGGGGAGGTGGCCACTGAAGACACGGAGGGTATCGGTGGTGTTACCGCTGCAGGCAACAATGAGTCAAATAACAGCGCTCAGGCAGCTGTGGCCATGGAAGGTCTCGCAGATTAATTACCGGATATTCTTGAATCATCTACAAAACATCTGCCGATGGTTGTTCAAGTGTTCCACAGACAGGGAGCTTAAAACGTTCCCGAAACGTTCTCGGGCGATCTCCGGAACGAAGTGGCATATGCTTGATGAACATCAGACGACAATCTTTTCAATACATTTTACTCAATTGGGGGTGTAGTCTAAGTGGAAGTTCCATGGCAGTCTAATTTCATTTCGGGTTTTTGTTTTGGGGGACTGATTTTTTTTTTCGTAGAAAATGCGTGACAATCTAGAAGTCCGATTTTCACCGTTCTGTTTTCAGACAAAATATATATATTGAGAATAGACTTTGATTTACAGCTCGATTTTTACCATGAATAGACATCTATTCCTCCCGAAAACAGAACTGAAAACAGATCATCTTTTTTTCTATCGATTCTCACTGGCAATAGATGTTGATTTTCACTGAAAACAGAAACAGAAAAAAGATGATCTTTTTTCACTGAAAACAGAATAAAACTACTAGAAAAATCTGCTGATTCCAGCCCCAATTCACATCAAAAGTCCTGCAGCATGATTCCAACATGTTGTGAGAAGCATTCAGTAGCATTTTGCAAGGCCAGGAATGCAATTTGGGGCCGGAATCAACAGATTCTTCTAGTAGTTTTAATCTTTTTTCAGTGAAAAAAGATCATCTTTTTTTTGTTTCTGTTTTCAGTGAAAATCAACATCTATTGCCAGTGAGAATCGATAGAAAAAAAGATGATCTGTTTTCAGTTCTGTTTTCGGGAGGAATAGATGTCTATTCATGGTAAAAATCGAGCTGTAAATCAACGTCTATTCTCAATATATATATCTTGTCTGAAAACAGCACGGTGAAAATCGGACTTCTAGATTGTCACGCATTTTCCCTGGAAAAAAAATAAGTCTCCCCGCAGTGTCTCCCGTTCGACTCCCAGCAGAAACTTCTATCTGGGATCTCCTCCAGACTGATGCCGCCAATCAAAGAAATTTTTCGACTCGCTCAGCCGAATCTGTCGAAGAAGCAGAGTAGAGCCTGTAGAGGACAACTGGAAATGAGCAGTGACAACCAGTAGTTGGACACTGCTAGATGCCGTTACTTTTTATACATTTTCGGCATTGGAAATAAGAAAAATTGTTATTGCAATTTGCAAATATAATGGCTTCTGCCAAAAATAAAGTTTGTGGGCATGAGAGGTGCTTGAGGTTAGGGTCTGCCTACAGCCCACTTGCTCTTGACCGGTCGGTCAGGTGTATTTGATTCCACCCCCATTTCGCTTGAAATTCTTCACCTTGTACAATGTTCCTACATGAATACAGTTACGACAATGACGACGACAATGACGACCTTGAATACGACGATGAGTGGGGTCATGGAGGAGGGCATCGTGATGGAGATACTAAACGATGCAACGCAAGTCTTGAGGAGGATGAGGAAGATAAGGAGCTTGATGGTGTGTCCTATGAGAACTTGTGTGGGAGCTTCACTTACCTCCATGAGCTCAGAGTCCGATTACAATGACAGAAAAGGCATTGAATATGTTTTCTGCCTGCAAACAGTCTTCCCGCCTTGGCACCCAAACGAGAAGCGGTGTGCAAACGCAAAAGCTCCTGCCCTCCGTGGCACTTTCTATCTCCATGAAGCCAAACACCTCTCCGCTGTTTTGGATGCCTGCATCGAATCCATCAGTCATACTCCCAAATCCCTCATCTTCAAGATTGTTGCTGGGAAGCTGCGCAAGTCCTGTTTCACTCTCACCTGGACTATACCTTGCACAGACTTTCGTGATATGTCTCTCACAAGCATAAAGGATTGGGAAGGTGTCTTGAAGAAGCTGAATGAGAAGGGGAGCGCTGCTGCAAAGGTGAAACTGGATATGATTGAGCTTGAACTCCCGCAATTGGTGCGTTCACTGCTCTAAGTCTTTGAACACACACTCATGTCTCTGTTTACAGGCCTCTACAACCTCTGAAGATGAGCCGCAAGCAAAGAAACATCGGACAACGACTGTCGCAGAAGAGGCCATCAATGAAGCCATCCAACAAGTTCGAGCTGAAAACCATTGTTCTGCGCCTGACAGTGAATGCCCTTCGCCATACTGTTTCATTGGGAACACACTGGGAAAGCACGTGGTCCTTAATCCGCCTCAACAACACTTGTGGAGATCCGCACTGGTGAGGTCATGTGCATATAGTCTGTCCATCAAGACTAACTTGTCTAGGCTGCAAAAGCAGATGGTGCTACGGCTTCAAATCCCCCTGAGGATGCCCAATTTCGGCCAATAGCAGACGGCAGTGACAACAAGTCCGCAGATGATGTCAGTCTGCTTGCAGCGCGGCACTGAAATGCTGAGGGCATGCTCACAGGTGAATCTACTATGAAAGTAAACCCAAGTATAAACACGTTCACACTCCTCGTAATCAGCTTCTCAATGTGTGAAAGATGCGAGGGCTTTGGGGTGGAAAGAGCATCAGTATCACAACTCTCAATAAACACAGATCAATAGTCGCGGAAGACGAAGTCGATGACAAGAATTTATATATAGCAAACAGTGGTGTCTCAACCAATATCTTCTATACAAACACAACCAACACTAATCCAATCACAACCAACAATATAACAAGTCAGAGCTTAATACGGAGTATTAAGATCCCTTGTAGCGACAGCGTCCAGATGGCGACGCAAAGCCCAAATATAATGAGTCGACGCACTGCCAACTGACACAACCAAAAGTACTAAGTTGACGCACTGCCAACTAGAAAACCAAACTGCCGCGTCGACGCACTGCCAACTAACAGCCAATATCCAATGTCCAAAACCTGAGCACAACTTGTCGACGCACTGCCAAGCAAGAAGTGTGGAACCAAAGTTCTCAAGTCGACACACTGCTAACTGACCAAAACAACCCGAGCACAACTAGTCGACGCACTGCCAAGTTAGAGGTGTGGAAGGATCTCAACAAAGCCCAAAGGGCAACGACACTAAATGCCGCGACAATACCAGATGCGGCGAATCCGACTTTCTGATATCTCAACTCAAACTCAAATCACAGTAGCTACAAGTGCTCAGGGAGCAACTCGTCGCGACTGGGCAGAGATGGCAGAACTTCTTAGGGTGGAATCACGGGGCACGCAAATTGTACAAAACAATCTGAAGTGAGAGTGATTCACAGTCCGGGAGAAAGCTTTTTAATACAAAGAAACGACTTGCTACTTTGTGTCAGGGGAGACGTGTCAGCAGGATGAGGTCATTGGTATTGATCCGGCGGTGTTCCGGCGGTGATCCGAGGGTTATCAGTCAGCGGTGTCATGCTTCTTACGTCATCTACTTGTATATAGATAGTTGCTGGGGATCTCTGATCCCCAGTCTTGTTATCGACTTGGCCCCTGGGCTCCACTCCCCTTACACTTTGTAGAATTGTGGAATGGGGTATCAGTTCTTCTAGTGCCTGCCACAAGTCAAATATGACAATTTCAGGGGAAGAAACTCAGTAATGGGTGGAACTGAAAGTCACGCTTGTAATGCAGATATTCTTGCTTCAGGAACCCAAAGCAATATGCTATTCCATTACATTGAGCCATTAAGAGATTTTCCGAACCCCAATAATGTGAAGATCCCACTCTATCTATTTTATTCAGGTGCAGTGTATTTTATATTAGTAGTGTGATAGAAACTCTCAAGGTGAATTCCACCCTCTCTTCAATGTTGAAATGAACTTCTACAGTGCTTTACACTCAGATTATAGAATCTAAGGGAAGCGAAGATAAAAAGCCCACCTCATTTTTGAGTGGTATGCCTCAACAAGATTGAGATGTACCACTAATGCAAGTTCACAAGAATGGTGACTTTGGGGTCTTCTTATGATATAGATTCTATAATCTGAGTGAAAAGCACTGTAGAAGTTCATTTCAACATTGAAGAGAGGGTGGAATTCACCTTGAGAGTTTCTATCACACTACTAATATAAAATACACTGCACCTGAATAAAATAGATAGAGTGGGATCTTCACATTATTGGGGTTCGGAAAATCTCTTAATGGCTCAATGTAATGGAATAGCATATTGCTTTGGGTTCCTGAAGCAAGAATATCTGCATTACAAGCGTGACTTTCAGTTCCACCCATTACTGAGTTTCTTCCCCTGAAATTGTCATATTTGACTTGTGGCAGGCACTAGAAGAACTGATACCCCATTCCACAATTCTACAGAGCTTTTCATACTATATGATGTATCTCCAACTCATGTAATGCTTTAATACCTATCATACTGGCTATATGACCCTAATTGGGCAAATTTCCACATTTGGTCTGCAGAAGGTACTGGGTGCACTGATGACTGGAGAAGTCTTCCAGGGAGTTTTAGAACATTCTTAGAGGCCTTCCATGTCATTTCTCACTCCAATACACATCCCATGGGCTATACCGACCCTATCAGGCAAATTTCCATATTTGACCTGCAGGAGGTGCAGCATGCATCAATGACCTGGAACAGGACTCCAGGCAGTTCCTGGTACCATAGGATGTATCCCCAACTGATTTTATGCCCTAATATCCATTATCTAGGCCATGATACCCTGATCAGGCCAATTTCAATATCAGGCCTGCGGAAGGCACTGAGAGCACTGATGACCCAGTCCAGTATTCCACAAAGTTTCTAATACTATAGGATTTACCTACAACTGATCTAATGCTCTAACATCCATCCTCTGGGGTATATCGGCCCAATTAGGCAAATACCCATATTTGACCTGCAGCAGGCGCAGCACGCACCAATAACTCAGAACACAGGTGAGAGGAGTGTATATCAATGTTCAGTGCTCCTCTGACCCATTCACAGCTACCATAGATTGCTCACAGGCCCTACTGGCATGATCCCGGGAATTTGGGCATTTGACCTGCAGCGGGCCCCAGCTAAGCCAATCAGTACAAGAGCATGTTCTCAGTATACATGCATATTCAAAATGCTCCTCTGCTCAGTACCAAGCTGCTGTATCCAGCGTCAGGACAATACTGGCCTGATTGGGCCATTTTCCATATCTGGGCAACAGTAGGCCCAGGGTGTGCCATGAGCCCCTAGGGGGCCAGCACCTTGATGCTAGCTATGACTACATAAATATCCAAGCCCGGCAGGCCCTCTACTAGGCAGTACTGATCATTGGGGCCCAGTTTCAATCCTCACAAATTGAGGGTGGTTGCTGCCAAAGCATGTGGTATTTGACCCTACTCGGGTACCAAAAATGACCCAGTTGACCACCCTGTTAGGGTCTCATACCAGTCTGCCTAGAGTGCCATTGTCCATATGGCACTTTTGATGTGGGTCAACCCACCGCGTCATACTTTTGGAATATGATGTGCTGGATTGGCCAACGGGTCTGTCTTGGCGGGTGAGTCCAATGTGGGTGCCCCAAGAAGCTGTATGGCCCCAGGCACGCCAGATGTTCCTCACATGGTTCGGTTCACGGATCTAGCCCGTGTCGATTTTAGTGTGTTTGGGCATGGACGCAACTCGCCGTGACACTTGGAAGTGTCCCCGCGACGCGTCCACAATGTCCCGTGATCGAGTGGATCCTGGCATGTGACAAGTCGTTGCCGAGGCCTGATCTGAGGAAACGTCCAACCCAAAAACCGGGAGTTGCTGCAACAAGATTGGTTCAATCTCGTAACGCCAAGTCCTGTCCAGTAGTAGTTGTAATATCGAGAACATCGTGCATTGCTCAGCCCTTCAGCCCAAGTTCCCATCTGCAGAGAATGACCCCTTTGAGAAGTCGCCGCAACAAAAGATCCCTTTTGGGGAATTGTCGCGGTCCAAGCGTTTGTCACTGATAGCCCTGAGCCTGGTATGGACTCATAAGACCAATTCCACAGTAGTGGTCTGACTGCCTTGCTATCATTGACACTATCCACAGTCGTCGACTGGGCAGTAGACCCTTAAGTCCTACTGAGCGCAACACTGTCAACCGCGACACGATACACCGAGTGGTTCAAGAGTAAACTCTGTAAAAAGCGCAAAAATACGCCCTTTCAGAGCTGGTGCAGAGCGCGTCTGGTAGCCAGCCTATCAGCGCGTTGGCAAATCCACACCAGCTGCAGTAAGTGGCAGCAATATCAGCATTGTCAACAACATCCCGGCCTTTGCTGATGTCCTCAAGTCAATCATCCCTCCAGCCACTGCACCTGCTACACCTGCTTCAACCACCTCTGCCCCCATGACGCTGCGCTCTCCTCTCGTGCCTCGTTCTAATGTGCTGCTCACCCCTTGTCCCAAACCAACTCACATGACCATGATAGCATTCTGCGAAGCTTTCAAGCTGTCAGATACTACTACAGCGGCTCTCTCAATGTTGGAGCTGGATGGTCCTCACTTGCTGCCGCATCTGTCAGATCCCGATTTGGATCGGTGGATGACTGTTGGTCAGCACGCTGCCATGCGTTATGCCCAGTCGCTGTGGATGAAGGGTTATGTTTCTCTCTGAACTGTTTTCGCATTTCTGTATCCTTTGCAGCCATATTTATTCTTGTATCATCATTGTCAGCTGTACTGTATTCTACCCTGTTGCATTGTCTGTAACCGAATCACACAACCTGTATTGTCTTATACAAGGCTGGAATGCCTATAGAATCCCCATGTCATACTTGGAGTTATGATGTTACATGCTCGATACAACTCGTAGAATACTTCATTTGTGCTGAATCTGCCTAGACCAATCCGACAAAGATGGGACTTGATCACAGACCATGCCTGCTCAATGGGATTGAGGTGCGGGGAATATGGAGGGTGTCAGGGGATGCCGCACTCCTTGGGCACATGACCATGCACGTGACCCACTGCGCCCTCTCTGCCGACCTGTGCCTGCTCACCTGTTGATCACTGTGACAATCAACACAGAATATGATCGAAAAGACAAGTCAATTACAAGACTGGAGAATACAACACAATAGCTACTGTATTTATACTGAGTCCAGTCTTAGTCTTATCTACATCAAACAAGTCATCTAACTATGTACCGTGTGGAGCTTTGGTCATGGGTTGTAGTATAGTCTTCTGGAGCACACACCACGCGACCTCTTGTGCAGATAACCCTCTTGAACCTTAAACCCGGACCGTGTGGTGCTGTGATCCGTGATAAGATAGTCCCATGTCAATGATAAGATTAGGTGATTGATGGAATGATTGTGAAAAATGATTGAATCATGACAATCACCCAGCCTCCTCCTCCTCCTCTGATCTTCATCTCCATCCATGCCGACATCCGCCCTCTTCCTCCTTCCCCTGGCCGTCTCCCTCGAATCCCCGCAAGCGGTCTAGCCAAGCCCGATTCCTTGCACCAGGGAGTGCTACTGCCGTATGCACTCCTCCCCCTTCACTTCGGCCTTCTCCCCGCGGATGTGGTCTACTGCCGTACAGGCTCGTACCAGATGCCCTTGCGCTCATCCGCACCACCCCTCTTCCCAGTTGGGCATTGGTCCTTGCCTCCAATGTCTCCACTGGCTGGCCCGGCACTGGCCTGGCCGCTGGGCTCCTCCAGTGTGGCCTTCCACTGTTGGTGTCTCAGGAGCTGGCCATCACTGGCCCCTCTGAGCCACTCACTATCTTATCTGGGTTTGTCATTATCTACTTGTCATCTGCCATTGTTCCATGGCAGTGATATCCCATCATCATCAGTCACTTGTCACAGCTGACTATATAGTGTGACACCTGGGCACATGGATCCTTGAACCGTTCTCTAAGGATCCCCCTCTGTGCTCAGGTGAGTAGTATACCTCCCTTGTATTTGATAGTCTCTAAGGATCCCCCTCTGTGCTCAGACTCATGTGAGGTTGTTGTGTGCTGTGTACTCTCTTCCTTTGGGCTGGCAGGAGTTGCCCTTACAGAGGGAGGTATCAATCTTGCAACCTGCAGTACTGCACATAAGTGGAAAGCACAAGAGTAGAGTCTCCGCACCATAGGAAGCTACAAGGTCTTGAATGTCTTCTGAGTGGTGGATGCGTGCATTATCAAGCATGAGCACAATGCAAGGAGCAGGATATGGGTTCATTACAGGGAGCTATCATACTATAAGCTCTAACATGAAGATGGGATAAATAATGAGACGCACCAGATCCTTCTCTAGGAAGACATAGAAGGTATCATGGTCCGATGATCCCTCAAGCACACAAGATGCTTTCACCCCTTCGTCCAATACCATTGCTCCGATCACTGTGAATCGATGTTTGTGGATGAAAGGGTTCTTGGCCTCTGTCCGGCACCTCCGCAGTGAACAACCCCACATGCGTGCATATGTGTGATCATCCTTTGACATTTCATCAACCGTGACAAGGTAGTGCGCCGGATATGGTGATATGCAACGAATGAAGTCAGATTCAAGGAGAGGGTCCCTTTTGGCTGCAATTTTCTGTACTCGTTTCAGATGGATCTTGGCTAGGGCAAATGCTTGGTGGATGGTGGTGATGTGGACAGGGCAGCACCAAAAGCGATCGAGAGCATCCTGATACTTGTCGAGGAATTTGGCGGGATTGTGCTGGGAGAGGGTGATGAGGTACCGAACATTGTTGGGGTGCAATACAGAACAACGACCACGGCCCACAGCTGCTGCCTTAGCAATGGATCCCATCAAGCAAATGTGCCGTAGAGCCTGGGTGATGGTGCATGTTGACATGTCACAGACATTGGCTATCTCCTGTTGAGCACTGGGGAGAGCGTCTAGCAGCTCACCTGTGTGAGTGAGAGCTTGGTGTGGGCACTATGCGGGAGTAGTCAAGAGACTTGGATTATAGGGTAATAGAGCCCTCCTTATATACAATACAGGGGGCTATTTGTGTCTATTTAGGACAAGTCGACATGACTCTAGATGACACATGATGGAGTCATAAGATGTGTATCACAACATCCATCTGGCAGACGATAAGATGATCATTTGATCAATACTCCCCCACGCTGAAAACCACGGGATAGTGTTTGAAAGCGAAATCTTCATTGGCCATTCCTTCAGGACAAGTTGAACTCAAGTCCTAGTTGAGACCTGAACTTCTCAAACTTGACGCGTCCTAGGTTCTTGGTGAACATATCTGCAGGATTCTCACTGCCCAGAATAAAGAACAGTTCAACCTCTTCTTCCTCGACTCGCTCACAAATGTAGTGATAGCGGATGTCTATGTGTTTCATCCTGCGGTCTCGGTAGGCATTGCTGCCACTGAAGAGTGCACCCTGATTGTCACCGCAAATGGGTATTGGGATGGTGAGTTTGAACTGGAGTTCCAAAAGGACGCTCTTCAGCCACATCACCTGGCGACTACAATCTGAAATCGCCATGTATTCTGCTTCGGTCAAAGACTGTGCAACAGTGCGCTGAAGTCTAGACTGCCAGCAAATAATCCCGTCTGCCAATTTCGTGAAGAAACCAGTGGTAGACCTCATCTTGATTGGATCAGCAGCTCAGTCTGAATTGCTAAATGCAATGAGCCCTCTATCTGTCGCACCATTGAAAATGAGCGGATAATTCCTAGTACCAGCCAAATAGCGGCAGATATACAGTGCTTTATGGAGGTGGTCTTGGGAAGGATTGGTAGCGAATTGTGACAATTTAGTCACAGCAAATGCAATGTCAGGATGTGCGCCTAGCATGATGAAGAGAAGAGATCCAATGACTGATTGGAATTTCTTCCTGAGCTCTGGATTGACTTCATCCTTGTTTGGCATTGGAACATATCCAGCCGGTAGAGGGGTTGCTGCAAACTTGGTGTTCTGCATCCCAAAGCGCTCTAGCACCTTGTCAAGCTAAGGAATCTGATCAATCTTGATTGAAGATCCTACTCTACTGAGGCGTACACGCAAGAACTCTGGAGTATCTTCAGAATTGCGGCATTCCCATTGCTTGTTGAACTCAGCCTTGAGAAAGGCGAGGAGCTTCTTGTTCTTGGAGAAGAACAGTGCATCATCCACATAGACTATTATTACGGCTATGCTGCCATCACAGTCTTTGTAGAAGAACACGCCAGCATCCAATGTTAGTCGGATCCAGCCCTTGGCTTTCGTGGACTTGGTCAGCACTTTCCACCATGCTAAAGCAGCTTGTTTGAGTCCGTAGATTGCCTTGTGCAAGCACATGACTTTGCGCTCTTGGCCTCTTGCCACAAAGCCTTTGGGTTGTTCCATGTAGACCTCATCGTCAAGCTCTCCGTAGAGAAAAGCCTTACTGACGTCAAGTCCAGACCAATGCCAATCATTAAGCGCTGCAATCGCCATGACGAACCGGAATGTCTCCACGATAGTCAGATGGTTTGAGCCTAATAGGGTACCAAAAGTGGTCATTTTTTAGCCTTAAGAGGGTCCAAGACCACTCAGTGGTCTCAGACCATCCACCCCTTTGGGCACAACCACCCATCCCAAATCAGTAGCACACCCTATTTTGACTGTTAAAAAGGGTGGTCTTGACCATTTGTTGGCCTTTGGTTGCAGCCATCTCAGGTCAATTGATGGTCCTCACTGCATATGGTTGCAACCACCCTGTGATCATGCATTTGTGATTGCTCCAATTAGCCTTGTGGGCTGCTTGTATGGGCTGTTCAGCTTGTAGATGAGTACAATGGGGGTGCACTCAGCCCATCCCAAGAGGGGGATGCTGTATCCAGCCCCAGAGCCGGCCGTAGGCCAGGGAATTTTTTTTCTCAAATGCTCCAATCAGCCTTGCAGGCTACTTGTATAGGCTGTTCAGCTTGTAGACGAGTACACTGGGGGCACATCAAGATCATACCGAGTGGAGGGTGCTGTATCTGGCCCCACAGCCAGCCATAGGCTGGAAAAGAAAATCACCCTTTGCTGGCTCGAGTGGGTGGTTGCAACCACTACAGGGGCTGGATGTGGTCAGGACCATCCTGTCCTCATGCATTTGTGAATGCTCTGTTTACCCTTGCAGGCTGCCTGTATGGATGTTTCAGCTTGTATACAAGAACATTGAGGGTGCATTCAGCATATTCCTATAGACAGGTGCTGCATTTGATCCCACAGCCGGCCGTAGGCCGGGAAAGAAAAAAATTGTGTGTTGAAGATTAGATTAGATCGAGCAGCTTCGGCCTTCGGGCAACTCACATATTGATTACTAACAGACTGGAAACCCATGGACAGTTACAGAACACTCTAGATAGCCTAACATACAGTATATAAGCAACCTGTAATTATGTAGAAGGGCATTGGTTTGCCCTAAAGCAATTCCATTCACTGCTATTGCAAACCTCTTCTCTCTTTATTTTATTCCCGCGCTCCCTTAACTCCAACACAAACCAATCTCGGTTAAATCACCGATCATCCGATTAAATGGCGGACACTGTCACATACAACGCGTTCCGTATCACTCCACTTTCCGGCCCTGAAAATTATGGTCCTTGGAAGGTCCAAATGGGGGACATCATCACAGAGATGGACTTGAATGATCACATCAATCCCGAAGTTACCCCGCCCACTGATACCGCCAAGAAAGCTGTATGGGACAAAGCCGATCGTCGCACGCTGTCATCGATCAGACTTCGTGTCGCACCTAATATTGTCCAACATATCCAGGGGGAGACCACCGCGCTCGGTGCATGGCAGATGCTGTCTGCATTATTTGAGCTCAAAGGCCAAATGGGCCTGATTCTTGCGCGCCACAAGTTTTACTCTACCCGTGCACTCGACCAACAGCCGCTTGAACCACACATCAAAATGATGCGCCAACTCCAGGGGGAGCTTCGCTCGCTTGGACAAGAAGTGTCTGACTCAGACTTTGCAGTCACCCTTCTCAGTTCGCTCCCGACTGAATGGGACTCGTTCATTCGCGCCAATTTACATGGAACAATTAATCCGCAGTCAAAAACTGTCATTGCCGACATCTTGACCGAGGAACGCCGCCGCTACGAGAAGGATGGACTTACCCCCGAGGAACTCGCCATTGCCATGGCTGCAACCCATAACCGTCGATCTGTCACCCGTCAATCACGACAGCCCGCATCAAACTTCGCCACGTCATCATCAACGTGGAAACGAGCCATTTGCCACAGGTGTGGAGGCAAAGGACACATTGCTCGTGTCTGCCCATCTTCCAAGATCGAAGATGTAAATGAACCCGACAAAGCACATGCTGTTTTCGGTGTGTACGAAGAGGAGGAAAATGACTCCGACAATGACTACGCGCTCTGAGCGACTGAATAATCACGCGTTATGTAAGAATCGGGCAGCATGCATCAGTGCAATGATTTAGGATGCCGCGGCAGTAGGACGGAACGGAGCTAGAGCTAATTTGGACGCACCTCGTTGGACGTTGCCAAGCATTGGACAATCACGCGCATATGGAACATCTAGGAATTTTATGAAGCCCTCGCTGCAGGGGGAGTGTTGAAGATTAGATTAGATCGAGCAGCTTCGGCCTTCGGGCAACTCACATATTGATTACTAACAGACTGGAAACCCATGGACAGTTACAGAACACTCTAGATAGCCTAACATACAGTATATAAGCAACCTGTAATTATGTAGAAGGGCATTGGTTTGCCCTAAAGCAATTCCATTCACTGCTATTGCAAACCTCTTCTCTCTTTATTTTATTCCCGCGCTCCCTTAACTCCAACATTGTGAATGCTCCAATTACTTTGTAGGCTGCTTGTATGGTTTGAGCTTGTACAGAAGTACACTCAGAATTGTCTATTTTTGGCACATTCTGGGGCACTTAGCCAGAATTGAAAATCAGCATAGGGTATTGTCCAGAAAAAGAATGTTGATTTCCCATCACTTTCTATACCAGCATCTGTCATGTACTTCACCACCATGTGGAATAGCACAGCTTTTGATTGCACATCAATTTTTGATGATGTTAATGATGTAATATAAGTTTATAATCAGTTCACCAGTCACATGTCACAAGAGCCCTAACAGGGAAGAAATACAATGATTGATCACAGGTCACAAGCCAAGGTGGCAATTTTATTTTTGCTCAGATTGGGTCTTTGTCACATCTGGTCATTAATATTGGGTGTTTCCAGATTTTTTGGGCAGGATTTTACCACTTGGCAATTCTTTTTTGTCACAGATCACAGACCTAGCTGACGGATTGACAAATTGGTGCCAGATGTCACTTGTCACTGGGGGTGGCAAACTGATTATAAAGTTACAGTAAATCCTAATCTCATCTTAACTGTCAGATCCTGATTGACATCATCTGCTTACTCAATTTATGCTCATGTTGTTGGTTCTCTCTTAGCCATTCAGGGGATATTCTTCCATGCAATCACTTACATTTGTGCTCTCCCAAGCCACTGCACTGTTGTACAATGCCTCCATGCTCTAATTTGTTTATTGATATCCTACATAGCTTTCAATGACAGCACATGTTTCTCTAGGCATATCCCTCTTCCTTTCCAACACTGTATGCTTCTCTAGCAATGTGCTGTTGTCTTATATCACATAGTAGAGCCAACTATTGAAGGAACAGAAAAAGCAGTGGAAGCAAGGGTAACAGGTAGAAATGAAAGTGACTCTTGTAATGCAGATATTCTTGCTGCAGTCACCCTAAGCAATGTGCTACTCCATTACAGTAAGCTATTTGGGAATTTTAGAGACCTCATTGCTCTAAAAGTCCTGCTCTATCTATTTTATTCAGGTGCAACTGGTTTTACATTAGCAATGTAAGAGGAACTGTGTAAGTGAGTTCCAACCTCTTCTCAATGTTGAAATGGACTTATATAGGGTTCCACACTGAGAATATGAATTCCAAGGCAAGGGAAGACAAAGAGCGTCCAATTATTTGAACTTGAATTAGTTGCATTTTAGACGCCTGATAGGTGTCATATTGTAGATCCGTGTCGCATGTTTAATAGCGAATTCCCAATAAGAATTAGGAAGACAGGCAGTGAAGCGCATGGCTTGTGCCTTATCCATGATTGTACAATTGAAGCGCTCGGCATGCCCATTCTGCTGGTGAGCATATGGAGCACCCTTCTCCACTAGAATTCCTCGTTCCGCGAGAAATTCTTCCATTCCCATCCCCATGAATTCTCCCCCATTGTCAATATGCCACTTTTTGATGGTGACATTGAACTGGTTCTTGACCATCGCAATGAAATTGCGCATAGCCTGCTTGGCATCGGATTTCTGCGCAAGGCATATGTAAGGGCAACTCCTGCCAGCCCGAAGGAAGAGAGCACACAGCACACAACAACCTCACATGAGTCTGAGCACAGAGGGGGATCCTTAGAGAACGGTTCAAGGATCCATGTGCCCAGGTGTCACACTATATAGTCAGCTGTGACAAGTGACTGATGATGATGGGATATCACTGCCATGGAACAATGGCAGATGACAAGTAGATAATGACAAACCCAGATAAGATAGTGAGTGGCTCAGAGGGGCCAGTGATGGCCAGCTCCTGAGACACCAACAGTGGAAGGCCACACTGGAGGAGCCCAGCGGCCAGGCCAGTGCCGGGCCAGCCAGTGGAGACATTGGAGGCGAGGACCAATGCCCAACTGGGAAGAGGGGTGGTGCGGATGAGCGCAAGGGCATCTGGTACGAGCCTGTACGGCAGTAGACCACATCCGCGGGGAGAAGGCCGAAGTGAAGGGGGAGGAGTGCATACGGTGATAGGCTGGCTACCAGACACGCTCTGCACCAGCTCTGTAAGGGCGTATTTTTGCGCTTTCTACAGAGTTTACTCTCGAACCACTCGGTGTATCGTGTCGCGGATGACAGTGTTGCGCTCAGTAGGACTTAAGGGTCTACTGCCTAGTCGACGACTGTGGATAGTGTCGACAATAGCAAGGCAGTCAGACCACTACTGTGGAACTGGTCTTACGAGTCTATACCAGGCTCAGGGCCATTAGTGACGAACGCTTGGACCGCGACAATTCCCCAAAAGGGATCTTTCGTTGCGGCGACTCCTCAAAAGGGTCATTCCCTGCAGATGGGAACTTGGGCTGAAGGGCTGAGCAATGTGCGACGTTCTCAATAATACAACTACTACTGGACAGGACTTGGCGTTACGAGATTGAACCAATCTTGTCGCGGCAACTCCCGGTTTTGAGTTGGACGTTTCCTCAGATCATGCCACGACGACGACTTGTCACATGTCAGGATCCATTCGATCACGGGACATTGTGGACGCGTCGCGGTGACACTTCTAAGGGTCACGGCGAGTCGCGCCCATACCCAAACACACTAAAATTGACACGGCTAGATCCGTGAACCGAACCATGTGGGGGACGACTGGTGTGCCTAGGGCCATACGGCTTCTTGGGGCGCCCACGCTGGTCTCACTTGCCCAGACATACCCGTTGGCCAATCCAACACGTCGTATTCCAAAAGTATGACGCGGTGGGTTGACCCACATCAAAAAGTATCATATGGACTATGGGGCGGGGTCCTGATCACTCAGGACCCGTCCGATCGTTCAACTTTTCAATTACCCTAAAAGGCAACCGATCTTAGATAGCGTAGCTACTATGCAGTTGTACAGGACTTTACTAAGCACCGTCGTAGACAGTATAAGTAGCACGTCGTTTCTTTGTATTAGAAAGCTTTCCCCCGGACTGTGAATCACTCTCATTTCAGATTGTTTTGTACAATTTGCGTGCCGCGTGATTCCACCCTAAGAAGTTCTGCTACCCCTGCCCGGTCGCGACAAGTTGCTCCCTGAGCACTTGTAGCTACTGTGATTTGAGTTTTGAGTTGAGACATCAGAAAGTCGGATTTGCCGCATCTGGTTTAGTCGCGGCATTTGGTGTCGTCGCCCTTTGGGCTTTGTTGAGATCGTTTCCACACCTCTAGCTTGGCAGTACGTCGACTAGTTGTGCTCGGGTTGTTTTGGTCAGTTGGCAGTGTGTCGACTTGAGAACTTTGGTTCCACACTTCTTGCTTGGCAGTGCGTCGACAAGTTGTGCTCGGGTTTTGGACATTGGATATTGGCTGTTAGTTGGCAGTGCGTCGACGCGGCATCTTGGTTTACTAGTTGGCAGTGCGTCGACTCAGTACTTTGGTTGTGTCAGTTGGCAGTGCATCGACTTGACATTTTGGTTCTACTAGTTGGCAGTGCGTCGACTCAGTATATTGGTTGTATCGGTTGGCAGTGCGTCGACTTGATATTTGGGCTTTGCGTCACCATCTAGACGCTGTCGCTACAAGGGATCTTAATACTTTGTATGAAGTTCTGACTTGCTATATTGTTGATTGTGATTGGATTAGTGTTGGTTGTGATTTGTATAGAAGATATTGGTTGAGACACCATTGCTTACTATATATAAATTCTTGTCGTCGACTTCGTCTTCCGCGACTATTGATCTGCGTCTATTGAGAGTTGTGATACTGGTGCTCTGTCCACCCCGAAGCCCTCGCATCTTTCACACACTGAGAAGCTGATTACAAGGAGTGTGAACGTGTTTATATTTGGGTTTACTTTCATAGTAGATTCACTTTTGAGCGCGCCCTCAGCATTTCAACGGCAGTAGCACTCCCTGGTGCAAGGAATCAGGCTTGGCTAGACCGCTTGCGGGGATTCGAGGGAGATGGCCGGGGGAAGAAGGGAGAGGGCGGATGTCGGCATGGATGGAGATGAGGATCGGAGGAGGAGGAGGAGGCTGGGTGATCGACAGGTGAGCAGGCACGGGTCGGCAGAGAGGGTGCAGTGGGTCACGTGCCCAAGGAGCGCGGCGTCCCCTGACAGCATACTGTCCAGCCATAGGAGAGTGCTTCGTCAAAGAAGCTCATGAAGTAGCGGTACTTGTGATAAGACACCGTGGGAAATTGTTTGAGATCCGAGTGGATCAAATCAAATGGATTCTCCGCTCGTTTTTCAGAAGGCGGGAAGGCACGTTGGTGCATTTTCCCTTGCGCGCATCCTTTACACGGTCGGGTTTCCTCGGGAAATACTAGGTCTTCTGGAAAGCCCTTGGTATTCTTCTTTGCCTGACGTAAAACGTCTTTCGACGGATGTGCAAATTGCCGGTGCATGATCTCATAATCCACCTTGTAAACAGTGGACATGGATCGCACTGTCTCAGCCGTGCTAGGCTTTGACATCAGGAAGTACAAGGCAATGTCCTTCCCTAGAGTTCTAAACTCCATGATCGAGAGTGGGGACTTCCCTCGATGTAAGCTGATCCGCAATTCGTCTCCACGAACGCGAGATCCTCCTTTGAGTAAGGAGCCCAAAGACATGAGACGACCATGTAATCCTGGCACTAGGTACACTGGATATATCTGAGAAGTCACCATTGTCTTTTCTCCATGCCTTGTGACGTAATGATCGATGAAGGCTGTTCCTCGACCAATAAGGGCAACACGTGTGTTCTTATCAGCGGTCTGAGCAACACTAGGATCTGAGAGCTTCTCATATCCAACCAGATCACTGATCTCCGATGTCACATGGAGAGATGCACCAGAATCAAGAAGCCATAGAGGCCCTAATTCATGATGATGATGATGTTTCCCCTTACACTTCGAGCAGGCAGCAAAATCGGAGTGCACACAGAATAGATTGGTACAAAAATCATGCGAACGTATCATCAACGAATTAACTACAGAACCCGGGGCGGCGGTGATCACGCGCTCTGGCTGTGAGCAACAATCAGAATTGTGCATGTGCCCAAGAAGGCAGGGTACTTGCCTTTCGGCAGAAGGAGCGTCCATCTCCTCCAGAAGGGTGTTGAAGTCGACGACTTCATCCCAATTGACCGGTTCAGCCTGGGCGAACTCGCTATCTCCAAACAGAAGATCAAGATTGTTTTGTTGGCCGGTGGCCATCTCGACGTCGGGGATCTCCTCGATACGACTGCGTTTGGCAGGAGGACCACCATCCAGGGTGTGATTCGAGCCGGAAGCAACCGGAGATGGAGAACGCATGATTGCGTCCTCGCGGAGCATTCCTTTCTCATTGACAATTTTGTCGAGAGTCCGGAAGCGTTCTGCAGTCACCGTCATGTCCATCTTCTTGGCTAGCTCGAAGACGTTGCAAGTAGGCTTCTGGAACTCAGTGTCAATAATCCCATTGTTGTTAATGGGAGACTTCTCTTGAACCGCGCGGATTTTGGGTCCATCGCGAGAGATGTGTGTGACATGCGAGATCGTCGGCACAGGGATAGACGGAGTGAGTGAGGCGATAGAACCAATAGTGAGGGAGCCAGTGATCTCGGAGACTCCATGGACATGACTGTGATCAGCCTTGCCCTTGCCCTTGTTGTCCTTGTTCTTCCCACTGCGCTTGCCTCGACGGTTCTTCTTCTTTCCATCAGCCTTACTCGTGCTCCAAGAAAGTTTTGGTCACTACGTCAATCAAAGCCTTGCGCTCCACCAACGCCATCACATGATCCAAGATTGTAGTCGCCGATACCATACATCTTGTACTCTACTACTATCATGCCAAAAGTTCCATTGCACCCTCGCCACTCCACCGAAAAGAAGAACCAGTTCGTCGGTGCCATGTTGGCCAATCCACAACTCCAAAAGCAGGCTGCTGCATTCGACATCCCATTCCACACCGCTCGCAAGCTTTGGAAGAAGTACCGGGACACCGGATCTGTCGAGAATAGACCCCAGAGTGGTCGGCCAAAGAAAGTGACGCAGGAAATGGAGGCTCAAATTGTGGAGACCGCGCAGGGGAATCGATGCATGTCGTTCACTGACATCGGCAACATGATGGACCTGGCAGTCAGCGGGACGGCGGTCGGGAAGATTCTGGATGGCGTAGGATTGCACAGACATGTCGCCAGACATGCTCCGTATCTCACAGACCGGCACAAACTCGATCGAATGGAATGGGCGCGTCAGAACGAGCGGAAAGGGATGAAGTTGTGGGAACGTGTCCTGTGGTCGGATGAATGTTACATCCATCTCAACGACAACACGGGCCGGATCTGGGTAACGCGGACTGTGGATGAAGTATACAATCAGGACTGTCTAGTCCCGGATCTGAAACAGTCTGGTGTACGTGTTATGGTGTGGGGATGTGTTTCTCATGGGTGGAAGGGACCCCTTGTGGTTCTGGAGTATCCTGGTGGACCGGGTGGAGGTATGACAGCAGCGCGATATCAGAGACAGGTACTTGACAAGTACCTCCTCAATGCTATGAAGCAGCTACGTGCAGAACGTGGTCGACGCATCTGCATTTACTTCCAACAGGATGGCGCTTCCTGTCACACAGCCAAGTCAACGCGCAATTGGCTCAAACACCACAAGGTCCCCCTCTTGTGACAATCAACCCAAAAACAAAGTCGAAAAGAGAAGTGAATTCCAAGACTGGAGAATACAACCAAGTAGCTACAGTATTTATACCCAAGTCCAGTCTGAGTCATATCTACAACTAATGAGTCATAAGGCTATGTACCGCATGGAGCACTGGTCATGGGTTGCAGTAGAACCTTCTGGAGCATGTGTTGCGCAGCCTTGGATCGATGAAGATAATCCCTAGGGCCCCTAGCCCGGACCGTCTGATGCCGTGATCCGTGATAAGATAAGTCGTGCCAAGATAAGATAAGATCGTCAATGATAAGATGAAAAAGTGGCCGAACTATGACACCTCTTCTCCCATCCCGCGTGCTCTCCTGATGTCTCCCCCATTGAACCCGTCTGGCACGAGCTCAAGAAGCGTGTCCGAGCTCATCAGCCGTGTCCCACGTCGTTCAAAACCCTCCATGCTGTCATTATGGAGGAATGGGAGGGGATGCCGATTGAGGACATTAATAAGTATACGGGTGGTATGATGGCGCGTGTTCAAGCTGTATTAGATGCCAAAGGAGGCCACACTCGCTTTTGAAGTACAATAATATAGTTTACTGGTTTGGTACTAGCAAAAACAAAATCGAGTGACCATTACTTTATTTTCCCACGAGTATCACCCTAATCGGGTGCAGAGCCAGAGCCTTGTTGCTGATTGGTGAACGAAGGGTCATCGCGCTTGCGCTTGGTATTGAACTTGGCCACATGATTCTGGCTTTGAGACTGCTTCTGAGCGAAATGTGTCAAGAGAGCGTCATGAACCGCCGAGACTTTGATCTCGTCCTTTTCATAGGTCTGGAGAACAGTCTCTGTGACAGAGGGAATCCGGGCTATGTTGAGAATGATCATCGCTCTGAGGAACTCAGGGATGCTCAAAGACTCATTCTCCAGGCGAGCGAACACCGTAGTGATCACCAGCAGCTGCAGATCCGGGAGCAACCCCACGTTGTACTTGGCGTTCAACGCGGTTTGGAAGTACACGTATAGGTCGGCACACTGAGCACCACCGTATTAGGTCTTCAGATGTTCCCAGATCTTGGCAGCTGACACTATATCAGCAGGAGGAATGTTAGCAATGACTCCCTCAGTCAGGTGCAACTTAATGCTGCCTTTAGCTCTAAGATCATCAGGCTTCCATTTCTTGATCTCCAATGTGTTGGTCACAGAGCCATCTGTAGCTTTGACATTGGTCGGCATGGCCTCGGTCAGCACATATAAGATCCCCTGATGCTCCAGGTAGGACTCCATAGTTCTGGACCATACAAGCCAGTGCTTTCCATCAAAGATGGCGACAGCATTGAAGATGTTGTTGGAGTTGGACGACATATTGATCTGTGTGAGTAATCAGCATCAATCTAGTCTGATAGATAAAATCAAAGATCAAGATGATCAGATTCTGTCATAATTCAACCCTTTTTCATCTTATCATCGACCATCCTATCTTATCTTGTTATCTTGGCACGAATTATCTTATCACGGATCATGGCATCCGACGGTCCGGACTAGGTGTTCCAGGGATTATCTTCATCGATTCGAGGCTGCGCGACATATGCTCCAGAAGGTTCTATTACAACCCATGACCAGTGCTCCATGCGGTACATAGCCTTATGACTCATTAGTTGTAGATATGACTCAGACTGGATTTGGGTATAAATACTGTAGCTACTTGGTTGTATTCTCCAGTCTTTGAATTCACTCTCTTTTCGACTTTGTTTCCGGGTTGATTGTCACATAATTCGAAGACTCCCCTCATACCCTCGTACCTCTTACCTCCTACCCTGCTCCCTGCACCGCTACGCCCGCTATATCCTCTTCACCCTTATCACCCCACTCACCCTTTTACCGAATCATCTAGTCGCTTGCTGCGATCGCAGTGAAAGGTTCATATCGAGCAAACAGGACCAGGCCACGGGTAACGTTGAGCCTGACCCAAGCCTTACGGTAGCTACAAGGAGTGCTGCGGAGACCTTTGGGAAAACGCACCTCGGGATCATCGGGCACGTGAAGAGCTAGGCCCGGGATCTTTTTGCTAGCAGAAGAACCTTTCCTCGAGTGCTTGTACAGCACACGAATCCACCATTTCGTACTGATTCCCATCATCGTCTGGGAGTCCATCCCCTCCCACCATCGTACCATCGTCGCCCGATCTGGCGCATCAAAACGAACCCGGGCCCTCCAACCCCTATCTCGCCCTTCCGCCGCCTGAAGACGAGATCCCAGACCTCGACGAGCTACCCTCCGAACAACCACCATCACCCCCACCTACCACACCTGCTCATACCATGTCAGGACACCACCGCATCACCCTCGCCGCCAACCCTCCCTATTTCGATGGGGACAAATCTAAATATCTGGGCTTCGTAGACTCGTGCACCACCTACATTGGTGCCTACCGATCAGAGTTCTCACAGGATGAGACCAAAATCCTCTTCGTCCTCTCCTACCTCCGCAACGAGAGCGGCACAAGCTGCGCTGCCTGGAGATGGGCGATGACCTGGAAGCAACACAACTTCGATGGCTTCCAGGGACTGAAGGCAGGGACCACGGTGAAATGCTGAGGGCGCGCTCAAAAGTGAATCTACTATGAAAGTAAACCCAAATATAAACACGTTCACACTCCTTGTAATCAGCTTCTCAGTGTGTGAAAGATGCGAGGGCTTCGGGGTGGACAGAGCACCAGTATCACAACTCTCAATAGACGCAGATCAATAGTCGCGGAAGACGAAGTCGACGACAAGAATTTATATATAGTAAGCAATGGTGTCTCAACCAATATCTTCTATACAAATCACAACCAACACTAATCCAATCACAATCAACAATATAGCAAGTCAGAACTTCATACAAAGTATTAAGATCCCTTGTAGCGACAGCGTCTAGATGGTGACGCAAAGCCCAAATATCAAGTCGACGCACTGCCAACCGATACAACCAATATACTGAGTCGACGCACTGCCAACTAGTAGAACCAAAATGTCAAGTCGATGCACTGCCAACTGACACAACCAAAGTACTGAGTCGACGCACTGCCAACTAGTAAACCAAGATGCCGCGTCGACGCACTGCCAACTAACAGCCAATATCCAATGTCCAAAACCCGAGCACAACTTGTCGACGCACTGCCAAGCAAGAAGTGTGGAACCAAAGTTCTCAAGTCGACACACTGCCAACTGACCAAAACAACCCGAGCACAACTAGTCGACGTACTGCCAAGCTAGAGGTGTGGAAACGATCTCAACAAAGCCCAAAGGGCGACGACACCAAATGCCGCGACTAAACCAGATGCGGCAAATCCGACTTTCTGATGTCTCAACTCAAAACTCAAATCACAGTAGCTACAAGTGCTCAGGGAGCAACTTGTCGCGACCGGGCAGGGGTAGCAGAACTTCTTAGGGTGGAATCACGCGGCACGCAAATTGTACAAAACAATCTGAAATGAGAGTGATTCACAGTCCGGGGGAAAGCTTTCTAATACAAAGAAACGACGTGCTACTTATACTGTCTACGACGGTGCTTAGTAAAGTCCTGTACAACTGCATAGTAGCTACGCTATCTAAGATCGGTTGCCTTTTAGGGTAATTGAAAAGTTGAACGATCGGACGGGTCCTGAGTGATCAGGACCCCGCCCCATAGTCCATATGATACTTTTTGATGTGGGTCAACCCACCGCGTCATACTTTTGGAATACGACGTGTTGGATTGGCCAACGGGTATGTCTGGGCAAGTGAGACCAGCGTGGGCGCCCCAAGAAGCCGTATGGCCCTAGGCACACCAGTCGTCCCCCACATGGTTCGGTTCACGGATCTAGCCGTGTCAATTTTAGTGTGTTTGGGTATGGGCGCGACTCGCCGTGACCCTTAGAAGTGTCACCGCGACGCGTCCACAATGTCCCGTGATCGAATGGATCCTGACATGTGACAAGTCGTCGTCGTGGCATGATCTGAGGAAACGTCCAACTCAAAACCGGGAGTTGCCGCGACAAGATTGGTTCAATCTCGTAACGCCAAGTCCTGTCCAGTAGTAGTTGTATTATTGAGAACGTCGCACATTGCTCAGCCCTTCAGCCCAAGTTCCCATCTGCAGGGAATGACCCTTTTGAGGAGTCGCCGCAACGAAAGATCCCTTTTGGGGAATTGTCGCGGTCCAAGCGTTCGTCACTAATGGCCCTGAGCCTGGTATAGACTCGTAAGACCAGTTCCACAGTAGTGGTCTGACTGCCTTGCTATTGTCGACACTATCCACAGTCGTCGACTAGGCAGTAGACCCTTAAGTCCTACTGAGCGCAACACTGTCATCCGCGACACGATACACCGAGTGGTTCGAGAGTAAACTCTGTAGAAAGCGCAAAAATACGCCCTTACAGAGCTGGTGCAGAGCGTGTCTGGTAGCCAGCCTATCAACGGCCAAGACCTTCTTGGAAGAGCTGCAGAGGGCCTTTGGGGACTCCAATGCGGAACAAGTCGCCGCTGCTCGACTCATGGCCCTGCGCCAGAACAAACAGTCCTTCGCGGACTACATCTCCGACTTTGAGATGTTGGCCTCGGATGCGGGATACAATGTGGTCGACACCACTGACGACAAGGGCGAATACAAGAAGGGGGACCAAGACAATATCCTCATCGAGTTCCTGGAGCGCGGACTCAGTAGCGAGATTGCCAGCCGTCTCTACAACACCGGTGTCCCTCTGCCCAAGGCCTATGGGGCGTTCAAAGCCTGGTGCATCAACATCGAAGCCAATGCTCTACGTGACCAGCTATGCAAGGCATCCTACGGACATCCCACGCCACGACCACCTCCCCCGTTCCGCCCACAGGCTGCTCCAACAATGCCTACACCCGCACCGGCCCGACCCGCTGCCAACAAACCAGTTCCGATGGAAATTGATCGCACCCACGCCCGCGGCCGCAATATCATCTGCTACAACTGTCAGCAGCCTGGGCACATTGCGCGGAACTGTCCGGAGCCAAGGAAGAAGCGCACGTTCTTCAATAGGGCCACAATGCTAGAAGAGATCGAGAACGGGGACAAGGACAATGAGTTCCTCAAGGAGATTGCCGAGAAGCTGCGTGAGAAGGGTTTTTGAAGCGCTCCACTCCTCTAGCCAAGGAGGTGGAGCGTCCGGACTATGGTCGATTTTCTGTACTTGTTTCAATTAAAGACATGAACGATTCTGCACATACATATACAATCTCGGACTCATTACGTACCAATATTCACGATTTCCTCATTGCTGATATGGAAAAGGAACGCCAAAGAAAAATAGCTTTAAATAGAGAGTATTTACAAAGTAAAAAGGATCAGAGAGCTGCAGATAAATTAATTTTGGATTCCTACGTATTTATGGCTTGTGGAGAAGGAACCACGTCAACAAAGACCAAAAAGGGGAGCATCGCTCCGGAGGCTCAATCCTTGGAAAAGGAGGAAGCACCCAAAGAATCTGCCAAAATCAAGGTTCCAGAAGCACCCAAACGCACCAGGGTGCCAGATGCTGTCCAGAGGAAATTGGCGGCCGAGAAACAGAAGGGCCCCCAGCCCAGCAGGTTGGCGCAGGAATTGCGCAGTTACCAGGCCGAAAGGAAGAGGCATTCAATGGACATATATGTCCAGATCACGGGTCTGGACTCAGGGAAAACGCGCGGGGTCAAGGCGCTGCTCAATAGCGGCTGCAGTACCTGCTGCATCGATACCCACTACGCACGGGCGGAGAAGTTGGATATCCAAGAGCTTCCACAACCCATTGTGGCTCGTAACGCCGACAACACCGAGAACATCAGCAGTCAGATCACGCATTACGTCGACCTAAGGATGAGAATCGGTCCTCACGTGGAGACACGCACGTTCCTTCTGACGTGTTTAGGGAAAGCTCGGATCTTCATTGGTCTTGATTGGCTGACGGAACACAACCCCGAGGTGGATTGGCAGGAGCAGACGATGAGGTTCAGTCGATGCCCAGAGCAATGTCAAATGAGGGGTCACGAGGAGCACCAAGCGATGATCGACATGGATGCAATTGACCTGGACGCAGGTGCACCGGATCTGGAAGAGGGAGAGTCAATCCTGTTGATTGACTTTGCGAAGGAGGTGGATCTACGGTTGAAGGAAACGCCAGCGCAGAAATTCGCAGAAGAAGCGGAAAAAGAGAAGGAGAGAATGAGCGAGGGGAAGATTCCGGATCAATATCGGGAATTTGTCAAAGTATTCGCCAAGGAATCGTTCGACTCACTGCCAGACCGACGGGCGTGGGATCATGCAATCGAGCTCAAACCTGGTTCCAAAGCAGTGGACTGCAAGGTGTACCCGTTATCACGAAACGAACAGATCAAACTCGACGAGTTCTTACAAGAGAACCTGGCCAGCGGACGGATCAGGCCTTCCAAATCACCCATGGCATCAGCGTTCTTCTTTGTCAAAAAGAAGGATGGCTCGCTACGCCCCGTCCAAGATTATTGGAAGCTAAAATGAAATGACAATTGTCAGGGGAACCCCTGCTTTTGTCCGATCATCATGGGATCTTGCATGTGACCGTGCACGCGCCATCTGTCAGGCGTCACATGCTTCGGTCCGGACTTCCCTGCCAAGCGCATCCACATGACACTCTGGCCTGGACCCCCATTGTTCCGACGGTCTGGCTCCCATTGTTCTCCCCCGATCTGGCCCCTCATTGTTCCCTGGCCCCATTGTCTGGCGCTTCCATTGTGCTTGGTCATCCATTGTTCTGCAGGCTATATATAGTGGGCCCTGACAAGGAGAGTCCCCAACTCGGTTTCTCTTTGGACTCTCCTTTGTCAGGTTTGCCAAGTCTCCTGTATTAGTCGGTCCCTTTATCTGACGCTTTGGACTCTCCCTTGTCAGGACTCTGAGATCGGGCCTCAAGGTTGCCCTTACAGCAGAAACCGAGTTCCTAGGGATAACTGGGCAAGCTTGTGAAGACTCGTCGACCAACCACTCCTTGCCTTCCAACTTGTCCCCTCCTCCCCCTCTGCGATTATCATGTCCTACATGGAGGACAAGGCCCACACCCCTACCCCTAAGCAGCGACTCGGTGATCTGGAGGAATCCATGCAACGAATGGATGGACTTCTTGACAGTCTCCTCCGATCACAGGTACAACCTCCCCCTCCGCTGCCCCTGCCCCGCCTCTGGCAGCGGGTCCAGGTGTTTTTACTGGCCAAGCGGCCAACTCACGACCCCTCATCCGCCCCAACCCCCCCTTTGCGTTCGATGGGGATCGCACCCAGGGCAAGACGTTTCTCTATTCCATCAAGCAGTACTGGCGCCTCCTCCCTGAGGCCTTCCATGTGAACGGGGTGGTATCAGAAGAACGGGTGGTACGCTTTGCCCTCTCCTACATGTCCAAGGACTCGGCGGCCTCCTGGTCGGAACGCATGTCAGACCGCCTCGTCTTCCCATTCCCGACCTGGTCTTCCTTCGTCGCCAAGTTCAAGCTCCGGTTCGTCCAGGAGAACAAGCAAGACCACGCCCTGGCACGGCTGGAGACCCATGCCTACTACATGGGATCCCGCGACGTGTTCAAATACACGGACAAGTTCGACGACCTCCTCGACTTGGCAGGGTACTCCGACAACTTGGTCAAGGTCACCAAGTACCGGGTGGGTCTAGACCCCAGGATCAATCAGGTGATCACAACCTCCGGTAACCCACCTAGCCTCACGAACTACTCGGAGTGGTGCACCCGCGCATTCCGCCAGTACAACGCTGAGGTGGCTGCCCGGGCTGCACGAGGACAGGTGTTCTCTCCACACCGCGCCCCGCCTCTGGTGGCTCCCCGTCCCCGCCCCATGGCTGCTCCGGTGGTTGCTCCACCTCCTGCTCCCCGACCAGCCCCAGTAGTCCTCCCACCAGGCATTCCCATGGAGATCGACCAAACCAGAGCCCGCACCGGTGTTCGTCGCACTTGCTTCCAATGCGGCAGCCCAGGAAATCTGGCCCGAGACTGCCCAACCCCCGCTTATGTCCGGCACGCTGACGTCCTGGACGAAGTGATCAATCAGCTGGGAAGCGACCTGTTGGCGGAATTAGTGGCCCGGCTAGCGACTACGGCGGCCGTAGAAGATCACGAATCGGAGATTGCCGACGAGTTGGAGCAGGGTTTTCTCCCCCGCGACGAGTGAATAGTACGCCCTTGATCGCCTCACGTAATTGTTTTGAATGTCTGTATGATGAATGCGACCTCATTTCCCCTGCAAACAAAACGATAGACGTACCCCCTGCCCCTCGCTCCGTCCCGCTGGTCCGCAAGGAAAAGTGGGAACGAAAACTCCCTCAGCGCTACTTGGTCGCAGCCTCCTCTGGCGCCAACTCCCTGCACCTCCCCCTAGAGATCCGGTCCACCGACAACGCAGTCCAGCTTGCCCTCGACGGACTGTTCAACTGCGGCGCCACGTCGGACTTCATCGACTCCACCTACGCCTCCAAAAACCGACTTCCGGTCTGGCAGCTCTCCCAGCCTATCCCAGTCTACAACATGGACGGCACGCCAAATGAAGCCGGCTCCATTTGACAAGTTGCCGATGTGGTCCTGCGTTACCAAGGACACAGCGAGCGTGTCCAGCTTGCCGTCACTCGGCTTGGCAAGCAGAAGTTGATCCTCGGCTATTCCTGGCTTCGGAAGCACAACCCGGAAATCGATTGGGACACCCAGGAAGTAAAGATGAGCCGCTGCCCATCGGGCTGCTCCACCTGCACCGAGGAGTCTCGCCAAGAGAGACGGATAGCCCGGATTTCAGCCCGACAAGGCCCTGCCCCCTCCATCTGCATCGTTGATATTGAAGACCGCAAAGACAAGGCTATGCCACTGCTCCAGGAAGACGATGGAGAAGATTCCAACAAAGAAGAAGATTGTCTGGAAACCGGTGACCGTATCCTCTACACCCGTTTCAACCCTTCTGAAGACATCCGAGCCACTAGCACCGTCTCCCAGCGTCTTGCGGAGGCGTTTGCCAAGAACTCTGCTCCCCCTTGGGATTCCATACCCGAGTGGGCACGTGAGTTCAAGGATGTTTTCAGCAAGGAGTCCTTCAACAACCTGCCGGAACATCGCCCCTGGGACCACACCATCGAACTGGTGCCCGACGCAAAGCCAACGAACTGCAAGGTCTACCCCATCTCCCCCTTGGAGCAGAAGCAGCTTGATGCTTTCATCGAAGAAGGCATGGCCACCGGCCGGATCCGACCCTCGAAGTGCCCCATGGCCTCCCCCGTCTTCTTTGTCAAAAAGAAGGACGGCAGTCTACGGTTCGTCCAGGATTACCAGGCACTGAATGCAATGACAGTGAAGAATCGGTACCCCCTTCCCTTAATCAACGACCTGATCAATAAGCTCAAGGGAGCCCGCTTCTTCACCAAACTCAATGTTCAATGGGGCTTCAACAACGTACGGATACGAGAAGGAGATGAGTGGAAGGCTGCATTTCGAACTAACCGCGGGCTCTTTGAGCCACTGGTGATGTATTTCAGCCTCACCAACTCCCCTGCAACGTTCCAGACTATGATGAATGACATCCTCCAGGACCTCATACTCTCTGGCGACGTCATGGTGTACCTGGACGACATCCTCATTGCGCACTCCGACCTTCACCTCCATCGTCGTATTGTGAATGAGGTCCTCCAACGCCTCTGCAAAAACAAGCTGTACCTCCGAGCTGAGAAGTGCGAATTCGAGATGGAGTCCATCGAGTACCTTGGCGTGATCATCTCCCACAACCACGTCAAGATGGACCCCGTCAAGGTGGCAGGAGTAGCCGAATGGCCGGCTCCCTCTAACAAGAAGGAAGTGCAGCAGTTCCTTGGGTTCACTAACTTCTATCGGAGGTTTATTTGAGACTTCTCCCACGTTGCGCGCCTGCTCTTCAACCTCACCAAGAAGGATGTATCATGGTCTTGGGGCGACAATGAGTCCGCTTCGTTCCATGCCTTGAAGGATGCAGTCACCTCTACACCGGTTCTTCTCCTCCCAGACTCCTCTCGTCCTTATTGCCTAGAGGCTGACAGCTCCGATTTTGCCACAGGAGCCGTCATCTTGCAGCAGTCCCCCTCGGACAACAAGTGGCACCCAGTCGCCTTCTTTTCCAAGAGCCTTAATGACGTCCAACGCCACTACGAGATCCACGACAAGGAGATGCTCGCGATTGTGCGTGCGCTGGAGGAGTGGCAGCACTTCTTGGAGGGCGCCGAACACCCCGTGGAGATCTGGACCGACCGCAAGAACCTGGAGTACTTCCGCAAGGCCCAGAACCTCAACCACCGGCAAGCCCGATGGTTGCTCTACTTGTCCCGCTTCGATTTCACGCTCCACCACCAACCTGGCCGGCTCATGGGACGACCAGACGCACTCTCCCAACGCCCGGACCACGGAGCCCCCTTGGACAACACAGATGTCACCCTGCTGAAACCGGAACTGTTCCATGTGTGTGCACTCGAGGGACTTTCTGTCTCTGGCCCGGAAGCCCCGCTTGTCCGTGACATTTGGGAATCGCTTTCCGGTGACCCTGACCTTGAGGAAGCTGTCGCGCTCGTAGGCGCTACGAGCGCGACAGCTTCTAAGAGGGATGAAGGGGGCCCGCTCTGCAGTCACAGCAGAGTGGCGTGTCCAGGACAGCCTGCTCTACTTCCGTGGGAAACTGGTGGTTCTGCACGACAAGGACCTTCGACAACGCATCCTCGAGCAACATCACGACACCCGTGTTGCAGGGCACGCTGGCCGCTTCAAGACGCTGGAGCTGGTCTCCCAGAACTACTGGTAGCCCCAGCTTTCACGACACGTCGGCCAATATGTGGCCACCTGCGACCTGAGCTGTCAGACCAAGGCTCTCCAACAACTCCCCACTGGAGAGCTTCACCCCACAGAGATCCCCTCGGAACGTTGGGAATCGGTGTCGGTGGTCTTTATTGTTGAGTTACCAGAGGCGCACGGCTACGACGCTATCATGGTGGTTGTTGACATGCTAGGGAAGCGTGCTCACTTCATCGAGTGCCACACTCGCCTCTCGGCCAAAGGGATGGCTCGGTTGTTCTACAAGCACGTCTGGCGACACCACAGGTTACCTATCCAGTATGTCTCCGACCGCGGCCCTCAGTTTGTGGCGGACTTCACCCAAGAGCTATGGAAGCTGGTTGGCGTTTCCCCTGCCACGTCCACTGCCTATCACCCACAGACTGATGGCCAGACCGAGCGGGTCAACCAGGAGCTGGAGCAATACCTCCGGATCTTCACCAGCTACAAGCAGGACGACTGGGACGAGCTCCTGCCCGCAGCCAAGTTTGCTTACAACAACCATGTCCACTCCTCGACCCAGCAGGTTCCCTTCATGACGGACACAGGACGCTTACCACGCATGGGATTCGAGCCAACAGAGCAGTGCTCCACCCGAGCAGAGTCTGCCAACAAGTTTCTGGATCGGGTCGCATCGGCTGTAACCGAGGCCAAATCAGCACTGGTCAAGGCAAAGGACGAGTACAAGAGGTACTATGACCAACGAAGGACTGCCGCTCCCGACATCAAGGTTGACAGCCGAGTCTGGCTTGACGCCTCGGACATTACAACAACACGACCCTCTTGTGGCCTCTCTCACCGACGCCTGGGCCCCTTCAAAGTCACCCAAGTCGTAGGTCAAGGTGCATACAAGCTCGCCCTCCCCACTAGCCTCTCTCGCCTCCACCCTGTCTTCCCCGTGGTCAAGCTCCAGTTGGCTGAAGACGACCCGTTCCCCACTCGCCCGCGTCACGAAGAACCACCCCCTGTCCTAGGACAAGGCGAAGGAGAGGAGTGGGAAGTGGAGGAGATCCTAGACTGTAAGGGCAACTCCTGCCAGCCCAAAGGAAGAGAGCACACAGCACACAACAACCTCACATGAGTCTGAGCACAGAGGGGGATCCTTAGAGACTATCAAATACAAGGGAGGTATACTACTCACCTGAGCACAGAGGGGGATCCTTAGAGAACGGTTCAAGGATCCATGTGCCCAGGTGTCACACTATATAGTCAGCTGTGACAAGTGACTGATGATGATGGGATATCACTGCCATGGAACAATGGCAGATGACAAGTAGATAATGACAAACCCAGATAAGATAGTGAGTGGCTCAGAGGGGCCAGTGATGGCCAGCTCCTGAGACACCAACAGTGGAAGGCCACACTGGAGGAGCCCAGTGGCCAGGCCAGTGCCGGGCCAGCCAGTGGAGACATCGGAGGCGAGGACCAATGCCCGACTGGGAAGAGGGGTGGTGCAGATGAGCGCAAGGGCATCTGGTACGAGCCTGTACGGCAGTAGACCACATCTGCGGGGAGAAGGCTGAAGTGAAGGGGGAGGAGTGCATACGGCAGTAGCACTCCCTGGTGCAAGGAATCGGGCTTGGCTAGACCGCTTGCGGGGATTCGAGGGAGACGGCCGGGGGAAGGAGGAAGAGGGCGGATGTCGGCATGGATGGAGATGATGATCGGAGGAGGAGGAGGAGGCTGGGTGATCGACAGGTGAGCAGGCACGGGTCGGCAGAGAGGGTGCAGTGGGTCACGTGCATGGTCACGTGCCCAAGGAGCGCGGCGTCCCCTGACATAGACGCAAAGATGCGATACCGGAGTGTCTGGTTCCGAGTGCGATGGAAGGGCTATGACCCGTCTCATGACCAGTGGGTCAAGCACTCAGATGTGTTTGCTGACGATGCAGTGGCAGCATTTTACCGCAGATACCATGGGAAGCCACGCGTCATCGCAGCGGCCGTATTTGACTCGCTGCCTTTCAGGGACTCGTCAACCCCCAGCCGTGCCTTGCGTCGAGGCGCCGCAATCAAGAGGGGGGGTGATGTCAGGGGAACCCCTGCTTTTGTCCGATCATCATGGGATCTTGCATGTGACCATGCACGCGCCATCTGTCAGGCGTCACATGCTTCGGTCCGGACTTCCCTGCCAAGCGCATCCACATGACACTCTGGCCTGGACCCCCATTGTTCCGACGGTCTGGCTCCCATTGTTCTCCCCCGATCTGGCCCCTCATTGTTCCCTGGCCCCATTGTCTGGCGCTTCCATTGTGCTTGGTCATCCATTGTTCTGTAGGCTATATATAGTGGGCCCTGACAAGGAGAGTCCCCAACTCGGTTTCTCTTTGGACTCTCCCTTGTCAGGTTTGCCAAGTCTCCTGTATTAGTCGGTCCCTTTATCTGACGCTTTGGACTCTCCCTTGTCAGGACTCTGAGATCGGGCCTCGAGGTTGCCCTTACAACAATCCGAAATTGGTACCCGCTGCCGCTGATCTCCGAACTGGTCCATAATCTATGCGGTGCAAAGTTCTTCACCAAGCTTGACATCCGGTGGGGATACAATATTGAATGGATCAAAGAGGGCGACAAGTGGAAGGCTGCGTTCCGCACAAACCGCAGGCTGTACGAGCCCTTGGTCATGTTCTTTGGTCTCACAAACTCCCCGGCAACCTTCCAAAACATGATGAATGACATACTCTGAGAACTGATCAATGACCGCTAGGGAGGACAACTTGTCCTTCAATATTACGTTTGCACTTGCCCGCGCGTATGTCATCCTCAACACGTGGGCAGCGCGCAATAAAATGGCCAGATTCACTGCAATATGAGCAGTTCGAGTCACGTGGAGGCGCAGGGTATGAGGGTAACAGCGTGGTCGATGAAACGGCGGGCGCAGGGCCTAGGCGTGCAGCGTTCTGCGCCACAAGGAGCTTGAGGATTTCGCCGAGAATAGCCAAATTTGGGTCAGCTTCGGACTTGACAGTGACCGGGGACGAGGCAGCTGGAGGCGCCGTGGTCTGAAACGAAAATGAGCCCGTGGAATCAGCCAAAACAAATTCCACGGCTTCGTTCATATCACTGAGTTCATATGGGTCTTCAGGATGAACATCAGGCTTCTTGATTTGTAGCCGCTGGTGCACACGGTTCCAAAGGGAGGCAGGGGCGATTGCGGTTCGAAACGCACGGGACTGCTCAACCAGAGACAGCCGTTGCTTTAGTAAGAGGTATTTCGAAATGACCAGGAAAAGGCGGTAGAATTTGCTATATTCAGCGCGTGAGTTAATCCCAGAGCTGGCGTATTTGCCAATGAGCGCGTGGAGGTCTGAGGTAGCATATTTGCGGTCAGAATCCGTGCCAGGATAAAGCTTCAAGACTTCTGCTTTCCATGCGTCGTAGTTGTGGGGCACCGAAAACGAGTCTAGAGACTCTAAAAGTTCAGCTTCGTCAAAAGGGAGGAACCGTAGAGCGTGGCGCTTCCGTTCTTGAGCATCCGCAATGCTGGCCAGCCCAAAATGGTATTCCAGGTCCGTGAAAAATCGAGGAAGCTCACGGGGCTTTGATGGGTCGAATTCAGGTGCTCCTCGGGCACCACGGGCGGGCATGGGCACAACAGCTGCCATGTTCTGGTTCGGAGGTGGTGGAGGCGGTGGAGGTGACGGAGAGGGTGACACGGGACGCAGAATAAAAGACGGTGATGAGGACTGCGACGAGGGCGAGGAATCGGTAAGGGAGTCGATGGTGGGCAGGTTAGAATGTGGTGAATCCGAGTTGTAGTGATGAGGGAGTTCGTGAGGAACAGGAACCAATAAGTCCTCTGAGGATGAATCGGTGTGATGCGCTGTGTCTGAGAGATTGAGAGGATTCTGGGAGATAGCCCTGAACTCTAGACGGAGATTTCGAGGTTCAGAAGGGCGGAGGGCGCGGTTAGAGCCTGAATCAATGTTGTAATTGGAACAAATCCCGCCAGGGGTTCCAAAATGACATGCCTACGGAGCGTATGAGCGCGCAGCCGTACGGGGAGAGACACGGGACTAGTCGGAGGTCGAGGGGAGTGAGCTGCGGCTCTGGCTCGCGCAGTATTTGTGTGTGGGATTCTGATCCTAAACAAGGTCAGGCTCAAGGAAATGAGCTCGACTGAAACGAGCAGGGGCCGTGGTGAGCAAAAAGGGGGGGACGGAGGACAAGTCTAGGACGGTAGGACAACGATGGGGGCGAGCAATGGGACGACGAGACGATAGAACGACAAGGGGAACCAATATGTAAGACTGTAGCACAAAATGGGAGTTTTGGGGGCGATGTTAGGGAAATAATGCAGAAGCGGGTGCCGAGAAAGCAAGATAGAAAGCACTGGGAAGTCGCTTTAGACTCTAGAGAGTGGGTGAAGAAGATTTCTTGGTCTTGCTTGTACTGTACTACAGGTTTTTTATACTAAGTGTGAATTAAATCCGAGGAGATAAATAAATTGAACCTCCTGTTGATATGGTGACCATTGAGCTCTGTGTTAATTTACTACTTAGTCAGCGCTGAATTTCGCCGAAATGAAGGTGTTAGAGCCACAAAGAGGGAATGAACTCCGAAATTTGATTTCGGCCCGACACTTGTCATCACGTGCCAGATCAATTGTGGCTGCTTTGTCAGCTCAAGCAGCTTGCTACGTCATACCATGTGACATGTGATCAATTGATTGCGGGGCCAGGGTGTATCCACGCTCGTCAGCGGCCTTGGAGAAGTCACTCGTCGGATGGAAGAAGGAAGAGGGGCTTATCACGTATCATGGGAAGCTCTATGTACCAAGAGACGAGGAGTTACGGGACAAGATCATCGGATTACACCACGACACCCCTTTGGTCGGACACGCTGGGATCAACCGAACTCAGGAGATGGTGGAAAGGAACTACTGGTGGCCCAGGATGGGAAACCAAATGTCAGGGGACGCCGCGCTCCTTGGGCACGTGACCATGCACGTGACCCACTGCACCCTCTCTGCCGACCCGTGCCTGCTCACCTGTTGATCACCCAGCCTCCTCCTCCTCCTCCGATCATCATCTCCATCCATGCCGACATCCGCCCTCTCCCTTCTTCCCCCGGCCATCTCCCTCGAATCCCCGCAAGCGGTCTAGCCAAGCCCGATTCCTTGCACCAGGGAGTGCTACTGCCGTATGCACTCCTCCCCCTTCACTTCAGCCTTCTCCCCGCAGATGTGGTCTACTGCCGTACAGGCTCGTACCAGATGCCCTTGCGCTCATCTGCACCACCCCTCTTCCCAGTCGGGCATTGGTCCTCGCCTCCGATGTCTCCACTGGCTGGCCCGGCACTGGCCTGGCCGCTGGGCTCCTCCAGTGTGGCCTTCCACTGTTGGTGTCTCAGGAGCTGGCCATCACTGGCCCCTCTGAGCCACTCACTATCTTATCTGGGTTTGTCATTATCTACTTGTCATCTGCCATTGTTCCATGGCAGTGATATCCCATCATCATCAGTCACTTGTCACAGCTGACTATATAGTGTGACACCTGGGCACATGGATCCTTGAACCGTTCTCTAAGGATCCCCCTCTGTGCTCAGGTGAGTAGTATACCTCCCTTGTATTTGATAGTCTCTAAGGATCCCCCTCTGTGCTCAGACTCATGTGAGGTTGTTGTGTGCTGTGTGCTCTCTTCCTTCGGGCTGGCAGGAGTTGCCCTTACACCAAATCCGGAAATACATCCAGACGTGCGAGGCGTGCCAACAGACCAAGACCAGAAGAGCGAGGACAGGGACTCTACACCCGCATGCAGTTCCAAACGCACCGTGGGAAATCATCTCGATGGATCAAATTGGACCCTTGCCGGTCAGTAACGGGTATGATGCAATTCATGTGTGGTGTGACACCTTCACCAAAATGATCCATGTCAAACCAATTAGTACTGACATCAGCAGTGAAGGAGTCGCACGGCTAACCAGGGACCGAGTCTTCCGCTACCATGGGATCCCTCGCAAGATCATCACCGACAGGGACTCGCGTTACATCAAGGGCTTCATGAAGGAGACGAATCGGATGTTGGGCGTGGAAATGAACCCGGGGACCGCATATCACCCAATCACGGATGGACAAACCAAACGCATGAATCAGGAGATCGAACACTATCTCTGCATTTACGTCAACTACCATCAGACGGATTGGTCGGAGTGGCTGGGAATGGCGGAGTTCGCATACAATGAAAAAATGAACACGTCTACCAAGATGTCGCCGTTCTATGCAAATCACGGATATCACCCATGGAAGGGAGTGGAGCAGAGGATGGAATCAAGGAACAAGTCGGCGGAGGAATTTGTAAAAAGAATCAAAGAAATACAAGACAAAGCAAAAGCAGCATTGGAAAAAGCAAATGAAAAAATGAAAAAATACTACAATAAACAAAGAAAAGAAGTTCCGGAGTTGAAGGTTGGGATGAAGGTGTACATAGAAGGGGAAAATATCGAGACGGATAGACCATCAAAGAAGATGAGCGACAAGAGATTGGGACCATACGAGATATTGGAGAAGGTTGGAGCGGCCGCATGGAAGCTGGATTTGCCGGACACGGACCGAAGACACCCGGTGTTCAACGAGTCACTATTGACACCATATCACGAACCACCCCCCCACGCCGAGAGAAGAGACCCGTAGCCAAGATGATCGGAGGAGCAGAGGAGTGGGAAGTCGAAGAAATCGTGAAAGAGCGAAACGTCGGCCGAGGAAAACAGTACTTGGTCAAATGGAAGGGCTGGCCGCATAGCGAAAATACTTGGGAACCATCACGTCACCTTACCCACGCAAAGAAGGTCCTGAGAGATTGGCAGAGGAAACAATCCAACCCAGACACACACATTCGCCTCCTGCCAACGCTCGAAGCCGGACATTGGGATTGTCTTATCCATCGCTACAAACCCAAAGACGAGCACCTTCCATATCCCCAGCAACAACTCTTCGACCCCTACGAGAACGTCTTCATGGCCATTGGCCTAGTCAATGAGGACATCGACCCTAGAGAGGGGGTAATGTCATAGTTCAACCCTTTTTCATCTTATCATCGACCATCTTATCTTATCTTGTTATCTCGGCACGAATTATCTTATCACGGATCAAGGCATCCAACAGTCCGGACTAGGGGTTCCAGGGATTATCTTCATCAATTTGAGGCTGCGCGACATATGCTCCAGAAGGTTCTACTACAACCCATGACCAGTGCTCCATGCAGTACATAGCCTTATGACTCATTAGTTGTAGATATGACTCAGACTGGATTTGGGTATAAATACTGTAGCTACTTGGTTGTATTCTCCAGTCTTTGAATTCACTCTCTTTTCGACTTTGTTTCTGGGTTGATCGTCACAGATTCTCATAGATCATAATCTCCTTGAGAGATCGATGCATCTGGATCAAGCGATGTAATCGCGATCCGGCATGGTTTCACCAGCACTATGCAGCAGCTGAAGTGAATACAGATAGGCTAAAGACGCTGCTCATTGTTGCAGCCAGTGACAGCGCATACAATGACTGTTGCGGCCATTGAGGCGCAGACATAGCTCTCGGGGCCCATAACCTGTTGAGCACTGGGGAGAGCGTCTAGCAGCTCACCTGTGTGAGTGAGAGCTTAGTGTGGGCACTATGTGGAAGTAGTCAAGAGACTTGGATTATAGAGTAATAGAGCCCTCCTTATATACAATACAGGGGGCTGTTTGTGTCTATTTAGGACGAGTCAACATGACTCTAGATGACACGTGATGGAGTCATAAGATGTGTATCACAACATCCAACTGGCAGACGATAAGATGATCGTTTGATCAACATCTCCTTCCGTGAGTTTCGACCACGGTTGACAAGACGGATGGTAATAGCTTTTGCGTCATCTGAGATGTGTCGGTTGGGCATTTGAATGGTGAGATCAAGTTAGCATGCAACCGGTCGAGAGCAAGTGGCTGTAGGCAGACCCTAACCTCAAGCACCTCTCACGCCCGCGAATTTTATTCTTGGCAGAAGCCATTATATTTGCCAATTGCAATAAATTTGGCAAAAGAAAAAAAAAGCAAATTTAGGGGGGGCTAGCGCGGTTCCGGACAAAATCCGTCATTTTCAGGCAAAATCATGCCGGACAAAACTAGCTGATTTCAGACTTTTTTGGCGCTAGCCTCATAATGTTGATCAAATATCATCTGTCAAGATGGATGTTGTGATACACATCTATGACTCCATCACGTGTCATCTAGAGTCATGTTGACTCGTCCTAAATAGACACAAATAGCCCCCTGTATTGTATATAAGGAGGGCTCTATTACTCTATAATCCAAGTCTCTTGACTACTTCCACATAGTGCCCACACTAAGCTCTCACTCACACAGGTGAGCTGCTAGACGCTCTCCCCAGTGCTCAACAGGTTATGGGCCCCGAGAGCTATGTCTGCGCCTCAATGGCCGCGACATTCATTGTATGCACCGTCACTGGCTGCAACGATGAGCAGCGTCTTTAGCCTATCTGTATTCACTTCAGCTGCTGCACAGCGCTGGTGAAACCATGCCGGATCGCGATTACATCGCTTGATCCAGATGCATCGATCTCTCAAGGAGATTATGATCTATGAGAATCTGATCATCTTGATCTTTGATTTTATCTATCAGATTAGATTGATGCTGATTAACTCACACAGATCAATATGTCGTCCAACTCCAACAACATCTTCAATGCTGTCTCCATCTTTGATGGAAAGCACTGGCTTGTATGGTCCAGAACTATGGAGTCCTACCTGGAGCATCAGGGGATCTTATATGTGCTGACCAAGGCCATGCCGACCAATGTCAAAGCTACAGATGGCTCTGTGACCAACACATTGGAGATCAAGAAATGGAAGCCTGATGATCTTAGAGCTAAAGGCAGCATTAAGTTGCACCTGACTGAGGGAGTCATTGCTAACATTCCTCCTGCTGATATAGTGTCAGCTGCCAAGATCTGGGAACATCTGAAGACCTAATACGGTGGTGCTCAGTGTGCCGACCTATACGTGTACTTCCAAACCGCGTTGAACGCCAAGTACAACGTGGGGTTGCTCCCGGATCTGCAGCTGCTGGTGATCACTACGGTGTTCGCTCGCCTGGAGAATGAGTCTTTGAGCATCCCTGAGTTCCTCAGAGCGATGATCATTCTCAACATAGCCCGGATTCCCTCTGTCACAGAGACTGTTCTCCAGACCTATGAAAAGGACGAGATCAAAGTCTCGGCGGTTCATGACGCTCTCTTGACACATTTCGCTCAGAAGCAGTCTCAAAGCCAGAATCATGTGGCCAAGTTCAATACCAAGCGCAAGCGCGATGACCCTTAGTTCACCAATCAGCAATAGGGCTCTGGCTCTGCACCCGATAAGGGTGATAAGGCTGATGGAAAGAAGAAGAACCGTCGAGGCAAGCGCAGTGGGAAGAACAAGGACAACAAGGGCAAGGGCAAGGCTGATCACAGTCATGTCCATGGAGTCTCCGAGATCACTGGCTCCCTCACTATTGGTTCGATCGCCTCGCTCACTCCGTCTATCCCTGCGCCGACGATCTTGCATGTCACGCACATCTCTCGCGATGGACCCAAAATCCGCGCGGTTCAAGAGAAGTCTCCCGTTAACAACAATGGGATTGTTGACACCGAGTTCCAGAAGCCTACTCGTAAGGTCTTCAAGCTGGCCAAGAAGATGGATGTGACGGTGACCGCAGAACGCTTCCGGACTCTCGACAAGATCGTCAATGAGAAAGGAATGCTCCGCGAGGACGCAATCATGCGTTCTCCATCTCCGGTTGCTTCCGGCTCGAATCACACCCTGGATGGTGGTCCTCCTGCCAAACGCAGTCGTATCGAGGAGATCCCCGACGTCGAGATGGCCACCGGCCAACAAAACGATCTTGATCTTCTGTTTGGAGATAGCGAGTTCGCCCAGGCTGAACCGGTCAATTGGGATGAAGTCGTCAACTTCAACACCCTTCTGGAGGAGATGGACGCTCCTTCTGCCGAAAGGCAAGTACCCTGCCTTCTTGGGCACATGCACAATTCTGATTGTTGCTCACAGCCAGAGCGCGTGATCACCGCCGCCCCGGGTTCTGTAGTTAATTCGTTGATGATACGTTCGCATGATTTTTGTACCAATCTATTCTGTGTGCACTCCGATTTTGCTGCCTGCTCGAAGTGTAAGGGGAAACATCATCATCATCATGAATTAGGGCCTCTATGGCTTCTTGATTCTGGTGCATCTCTCCATGTGACATCGGAGATCAGTGATCTGGTTGGATATGAGAAGCTCTCAGATCCTAGTGTTGCTCAGACCGCTGATAAGAACACACGTGTTGCCCTTATTGGTCGAGGAACAGCCTTCATCGATCATTACGTCACAAGGCATGGAGAAAAGACAATGGTGACTTCTCAGATATATCCAGTGTACCTAGTGCCAGGATTACATGGTCGTCTCATGTCTTTGGGCTCCTTACTCAAAGGAGGATCTCGCGTTCGTGGAGACGAATTGCGGATCAGCTTACATCGAGGGAAGTCCCCACTCTCGATCATGGAGTTTAGAACTCTAGGGAAGGACATTGCCTTGTACTTCCTGATGTCAAAGCCTAGCACGGCTGAGACAGTGCGATCCATGTCCACTGTTTACAAGGTGGATTATGAGATCATGCACCGGCAATTTGCACATCCGTCAAAAGACGTTTTACGTCAGGCAAAGAAGAATACCAAGGGCTTTCCAGAAGACCTAGTATTTCCCGAGGAAACCCGACCGTGTAAAGGATGCGCGCAAGGGAAAATGCACCAACGTGCCTTCCCGCCTTCTGAAAAACGAGCGGAGAATCCATTTGATTTGATCCACTCGGATCTCAAACAATTTCCCACGGTGTCTTATCACAAGTACCGCTACTTCATGAGCTTCTTCGACGAAGCACTCTCCTATGGCTGGACAGTATGCCTTGCACAGAAATCCGATGCCAAACAGGCTATGCGCAATTTCATTGCGATGGTCAAGAACCAGTTCAATGTCACCATCAAAAAGTGGCATATTGACAATGGGGGAGAATTCATGGGGATGGGAATGGAAGAATTTCTCGCGGAACAAGGAATTCTAGTGGAGAAGGGTGCTCCATATGCTCACCAGCAGAATGGGCATGCCGAGCGCTTCAATCGTACAATCATGGATAAGGCAGAAGCCATGCGCTTCACTGCCTGTCTTCCTAATTCTTATTGGGAATTCGCTATTAAACATGCGACACGGATCTACAACATGACACCTATCAGGCGTCTAAAATGGAAAACTCCATTTGAAGCTCTTCACAAGGAAAAACCGGATGTTTCCGAACTCCGAGTCTTTGGTTGCGCTGCATATGTCTTTATCCCTGATGAGAAGCGCGCCAACAAGTTATCGCCCAAATCGGAGCTGATGACCTACTTGGGCATTCCTGATGGTGTGAAAGGATTTTTGTTCATGCGCACAAACAATTCCACGTTCGTCGCCACGAAGGCATTGTTCGACAAGGAGTTGTTCCCCCGCTGTCCTGACAGCAATCGACCACCCCACGTTCCTGTTGGAGAGGAATTTCCAGAACGTGATGACCCAGTGAATCCACAAGATCCACCACAGGTAGACGGAGAAGATTGGCTATATGGAGATAATCCTTTTCCATTTCCCATGCCATCTGATCCGGCTCCACCACCTCCCGTACAGGGAAATGATGATGGTGACGACGGTCATAATCGTCAGGACCCACCGCCAGAGCGTTGGGATGAACCTCAGAGGACTCGTAGAAGTAGAATTCCACGACCAAGTCGGGAAGCTTCACCAGCTCCTGAGCCTCGAAGGTCTTCACGCCAGCGGAATGTGCCTACACGTCCAGGAAACGTCTATGGGGAAAAGCGTACCCCTACGGATATAGTCCGTGACATTCAGAACAGCAGAGGATGGAAGCGGTATGTTGGTGAAGATAAGGGTAGCTCCCAATCTCAACCATCAACCGGTGCTGATGCAGGGGTTTCCGGCCCTAGCTCGCAACCAGATTCCTCAAACGCGGGTGCTTCTGATGATCTAGACGAGGATGCACGCATGGAGAAGCTATGCCGGGAAGGGGGAGTAGAGCTCATCACGGCACTGCTGTCAAAAGCGGTTCCAAATGAGAACCTACCTGACACGTCCAAAATTCGCGATTGGACGTTCCGCGATATCAAGCGGTTGCCTTCTGAACAACAGAAAGGTTGGATTGATGCTTGCCGCGACGAGTTAGAGGCACTTCGTCAGCGCAAGGTCTATTCCCTTGTGGACCGCCCGAAAGGACAGAAGGTTATCAGATGTCGCTGGGTCTTTGACCAAAAATCTGATGGCTGAAAACGTGCCCGCCTAGTTGCCAAGGGTTTCAGTCGAGTTGAAGGTGTTGACTATGACAAGATATTCTCTCCTGTTGTCAGGTATGAGACCTTCCGGTTGGTCATGGCGCTTGCAGCGCTCAATGATTGGCATTGGTCTGGACTCGATGTCAGTAAGGCTTTTCTCTACGGAGAGCTTGACAAAGAGGTCTACATGGAACAACCCGAAGGCTTTGTGGCAAGAGGCCAAGAGCGCAAAGTCATGCGCTTGCACAAGGCAATCTATGGACTCAAACAAGCTGCTTTAGCATGGTGGAAAGTGCTGACCAAGTCCACGAAAGCCATGGGCTGGATCTGACTAACATCGGATGCCGGCGTGTTCTTCTACAAAGACTGTGATGGCAGCATAGCCGTCATAATAGTCTATGTGGATGATGCACTGTTCTTCTCCAAGAACAAGAAGCTCCTCGCCTTTCTCAAGGCTGAGTTCAACAAGCAATGGGAATGCCGCAATTCTGAAGATACTCCAGAGTTCTTGCGCGTGCGCCTCAGTAGAGTAGGATCTTCGATCAAGATTGATCAGATTCCTTATCTCGACAAGGTGCTAGAGCGCTTTGGGATGCAGAACGCCAAGTTCGCAGCAACCCCTCTACCGGCTGGATATGTTCCAATGCCAAATGAGGATGAAGTCGATCCAGAGCTCAGGAAGAAATTCCAATCAGTCATTGGATCTCTTCTCTTCATCATGCTAGGCACACGTCCTGATATTGCATTTGCTGTGACCAAATTGTCACAATTTGCCGCCAATCCGTCCCAAGACCACCTCCATAAAGTGCTGTATATCTGCCGCTATTTGGCTGGTACTAGGAGTTATTCGCTCATTTTCAATGGTGCGACGGATAGAGGGCTCATTGCATTTAGCGATTCAGACTGGGCTGCTGATCCGATCAAGAGGAGGTCTACCACTGGTTTCTTCACGAAATTGGCAGATGGGATTATTTGCTGGCAGTCTAGACTTCAGCGCACTGTTGCACAGTCTTTGACCGAAGCAGAATACATGGCGATTTCAGATTGTAGTCGCCAGGTGATGTGGCTGAAGAGCGTCCTTTCGGAACTCCAGTTCAAACTCACCATCCCAATACCCATTTGCGGTGACAATCAGGGTGCACTCTTCAGTGGCAGCAATGCCTACCGAGACCGCAGGATGAAACACATAGACATCCGCTATCACTACATTTGTGAGCGAGTCGAGGAAGAAGAGGTTGAACTGTTCTTTATTCTGGGCAGTGAGAATCCTGCAGATATGTTCACCAAGAACCTAGGACGTGTCAAGTTTGAGAAGTTCAGGTCTCAACTAGGACTTGAGTTCAACTTGTCCTGAAGGAATGGCCAATGAAGATTTCGCTTTCAAACACTATCCCGTGGTTTTCAGCGTGGGGGAGTGTTGATCAAATATCATCTGTCAAGATGGATGTCGTGATACACATCTATGACTCCATCACGTGTCATCTAGAGTCATATCGACTTGTCCCAAATAGACACAAACAGCCCCCTGTATTGTATATAAGGAGGGCTCTATTACCCTTTAATAACAAGTCTCTTGACTACTCCCGCATAGTGCCCACATTAAGCTCTCACTCACACAGGTGAGCTGCTAGACGCTCTCCCCAGTGCTCAACACACAAGGCATAATCAGAGACTCTCAAAAAAATGATATAGATTCTACAAAACAGCGCTTGAGAGCTCAAGATTACCGAGACCTGACAGTTTGGTCACACCTTGTCACACCTCGCTTGCTCCTACGGGCTTTCACCGTGTTGCGTCGCGTCCGTCGCCCTCCTGCTCCGTGCCCTCGTAGATGATGCATCAGGATCTACCTAATTTTTGTTCCCCTTCGTTTGGGCTCCACCGGATCCGAAAAGACTCCAAAGTGTGAAGGGAAGTCGGCGCGGTGAAGGCAAAGAGATAAGGATGAAATCTATGCGTCACAAGACATGTGATCGCGTTGTGGAGTGTGAACGATGATGGGCCATCATGACAGAATCCGTCCCAACTTGACCGAGTTTCCCCAGAAATTCGTTCGTAAATCTTTTTCTACAGAAGCTAATACACTCTATTATCTAATATATATGAGCCGTATCTACGTTTGCTTCAGCAAAGTGCGCCTGGTCGCGTCGCGGCTGGCTTTGAGGAGCGCAGCCAATTCGTTGCCCCCGGTTCCACGACTTTTTTGCACTTTGTCCATCATCGCCGCGACAGGGCATGCCGCAGACGGATTGGAGCGGGACATGGTGATGATATAGCGGCAGGCAATCCGCATGTGCAGGTCGCGCAGTTTCTTCAGGGCCATGACAGCACTGTCGTATGGCTCTCGGAGGGCTGGTGTCCGCTCGGCAAGCTCGCGGATCGATCGTGGGCTGTTGGCAAGGCAATGCAGATAATCACGGTGTTTGCCTGGCATGTATCGGCGCATGCGCTCCATGAAACCAGTGTCAGAACGGCGATTGTCGGCAGAAGGCGGAGGGAGGCGTCGCAGATGTAGCTTATGGTCGACATCGAGGAAAAGATCGAGGGCGTGGATGATGCTGCTTTGTGCGCCGGACGGGCCACTCAGATCCAGCTTGTCCGAGTCGGAAACGCCCTCGTAGACCCAGCCGGGACTCGAAGTGCCGTTTGCATCGCTGCCGTTGAACCACCGCCTGATCGTGTGATAGAATACATGAGGGTCCACGTTGTCTCGGACGCTCTGAATGATGTCACTGATATCTGTGACAACGCCCACGAGCCGGGTAAGATCACGTGAGAGTTTGGAGATTGCAGAGAGGTCGTGCAAGTCGGGGAGCGAAGCGAATTCGTCGATGATGTTCAGAATTTCCACCCCACGGAGCTCGACCATCGCAGACGTGCAATAGAAGTGGGCCTCATCCTCGGTTCCCGAAAATGTGTTGAGGTACTCGATGTTGATGGCCGATGCCGGCTGGGCCGCGTCGATCAGTTCGTAATTCCATAGCACGGTGTCAGCGTAGGTGAGAACCGGGGCAATGCCGAGATCGCGAGAAACAGTGACGAATGGTATGGCAAGAGCCTTGGGAACCACACACGGGAGATCCGACCCTGCTGGTGGCGCAGAGTGGACGAAGTAGTGTGTCAGAAAAGCGAGAACCGCATGTGCCCGGTGTAGACCCCGGAGATTTCCTCGCAGCACGTTTGTGTCAATCACGGGCAACTTTGACAGATGTTGAGCGCAGATCATAAGCGCGGGGAGCCGACTTACAGATAGAATCCTCGACCGCCATGCTTCCGAGGAGAGGCGCTTTCCCGACGAGTCCTCAGACTGATCGTCCCACAGGAAGACTCCCGTGCGGGCCTCAGTCAAGGCCTGTTCCCACAAGGCAAAAGGACCTGATAGACGCGGAGGAGGGGAAGGTGGAAGAAAGCCGGTGACTTCGTCGATATCGTAGTCGTCTCGCGAGGTTGAGATCTTCTCTCTACGGCGCGTGAGGATAAATAATGTGCTGTGCACTAGTGAGACCGCAGAGCAGAAATACCGGTGCGGGCAGTGGAAGAGGTCAATGATGTTCATGTCAGAAAGTCTGTCGAGATGAAAGGAGGTGGATGAGCAAAGGCCAGAGATTGCACGCCCAGATTATATACTGTAGGGAAGAGCTAGAGCCAGACACGAGGATTTGATCTAATCAGCCGTAGTCAAACCGGACTCAAGCGGTGGTGGAGCTTGGTTGGCACCCAGCAGCCTTAAGCGAGGCACTGGACCAGGTTTGGATAACCGCACGGATATACCGCATCCGGCCATGAACATCTGGAGATCCAAAACGCACTCGGGGAAAATTCTTTTTTTTCTTTCCGAAAGGGAATTTCTGTGGGTCTCCCGCTTCTCTGGTCATCGTGATCAAGGTCTGCTCAGATAAGGTCGGGCCTGAAATCCACTTCGCCTATTACTATTATTGCTATGGTTGATATTGAATTTGCTCGTGACACTATGCTTCAACGGTTTATAGAACGGTTTTTCGGCATCCTTCAGAAAGAATAGCAACAGCATTAACTAGGATAACTGTGGAAAAGACCTGAGGAAAGTAGCATAACCGAAAATCGGTTTTGCATCGCGCCCTTCTTTCTTCGTGGCAGGCCGCAAATACTGCCGAAGGTTTATTTTACCGCAGAATCTCCTGGGTTCTTACTCCTCGCAAACTAGGCATTCCAGGATTAGCGGATACAGTTTTTAGTAAAACATTCATTTGACGAGTGACTATCCGCTTGACTCTCAACAATACATTGCTATCAGCATGACTAGAACTAATCAAAATCACCCGGGAAATTGAAATGAGCACCGTCACTGGCCTCTGAATCGAAGAATGTCATTTCCTGCGAAACTACAATAACGGTAAATCGGATTCATTCAAGTGGACAGATCTCCCCAGTCGATGTCGAAAGGACTTTGTGAAAAATCTAGATGTGCACCGAGCTCACATCTGCAGCCCCCGATAATTTGCATCGAACTCGAAAATGTTTTTCTCGTGGATTTTTGAACCAGGATCTAATCGCGCCGGGCCATTCCCGCCAGATTCGTCATCAATTGCATCAAAGATTGATTGCGTCCACGCGCAGAACACTGAATCTCAACGTTTGCAGGAACTACTTTGAACCTCGTAGAAGACGCACTTCAGCACCGCAAACTAGACTCTAAAAATAAGGCTCCGCCTTGAGCATGCGTTCGGCAATGATGTAGATCTATTTTCTTGAACGACGCGGAAAATCTGGATAATTGACATGAAAGTCCGATCTCCGGACGTGTCCGTCGCCAACGGGCGCATCCCGTGAGTGGGAGTTCACCGTGAAGCATCGCCTTGCAAGTGTCATGTTATACCATGTGCTTCGAGATTCTTGCCTACCACGGTTAATTTCTGCGATCGCCAGTAATCTATGGGCAGCGCAGTCCACGTACTCATCACTATCTCCATCGAGAAACGACTTCCGATGCCCGGAACTCAGTCCCTGATCACAAAGAATCGTTAGGTCTGCGTCGCGTAACTCGTTCTGTTTCAGGTCAATTTCTCAGAATTTACCCAATATGTCAGGCTGTTTTTTTACTGATCACGTGATAAATCTCTCGTATTGGCAGTAGTGAATTTATTGATTATTTTGTTTTTCTTCCTGCCGGATCTGTAGCCAGATTTATCTATTCGTCACCAGCGGCTGCTTGGGGGCAATTTTCGGCACCAGACCACCGTCAGAACAAGAGGCAGGATAACGCAACCCAAGCGACCCGCCGTTTTGAAAGCCAAAGAGAGAAGAGCAGCGGCTAGATTATTTTGTCGTCCGCTCAAGGATCGAGTTATAGAACTGACTTTGACGGTTGAGAGGGCTTGGGGAAGCGTTACTGTACACTGCAAAAAAAGCCCCCAATTGGACTTCAAAGTCTTGGTTCAAATATATCAATTCATCTAAGCATGAGAAGTGAGCCTTCGATCTGTTCCCAATGCTTGTGCTCACCTCGGGAGAATTGCTTCCAACGCGTGTCGGTGCTCAGTCTCGATAAGCGGATGGCTGGATAGACAACGCAGGAACTCAGAAGCCCTATAGGACTCCTGTTGACGCCTTCACCGCAATCGCTGTCGCCACTTGTCGTGACCATGAGCATCATCCGTCCGTAGGACAGCCAAGCCGATCCGCCACATGTGTCCTGGGAGCACGTGTTGGTTGCATCCTGTTTGGTCCGCCACTTCACTCTCAGTTGATCCTCACAGTTCCACCACTCTTTTTCACAATCAACACTGCTTGACGGTCGATCAGAAACGATTTGCAATTGGGCTAGCAATAGGAAGTAAATGTACAATATGGCCTCGTCGATCACAAGTTTACTGGGACGAGCTGACTCAGTAACCGTTGTTGTATCCGGGATTGTAGCCTGGTGCGTTGTATCCGCCCCCGTAGCCTTCCTCGCGGCGGCCGTAGCCGTCATCACGGCGTTCATAGCCCTCCCCACGGCGTTCGTAGCCCTCGTCGCGGCGGCCGTACTCCCCCTCGCGGCGGCCGTACCCTTCCTCGCGGCGATACCCTTCTTCCCGGCCATATCCTTCCCCACGACCATAGCCCTCTTCCCGACGGTATCCCTCCCCGCGGCCGTATTCCGGGCCACCGCCACCGTATCCACCGCCGTATCCACCCTGTCCCTGCCTAAAACAAACATCCGCTTAGTCACGGGCAGGGCACATCAAACGTGCGTGGACGCGTGACTGACCAGCCGTAATTCGCGCAGCCCTGCGCGCCGAAAGGCGCGCCGCCGTAGAAGTTGTATTCCTGCCGCGGGCCGCCGTTGCGCTGGGCGTGCTCCCAGCCCGTGTTGCCCTGGCCGTAGCGCTGCTCGGCGAGCATGTGCGCCTGGTGCTCCGCGTACTTCTTCGCCTTTTGGCGGTCGAGGTAGTCCATGCCCTTGGTCTCGGCGAGCTTGTCGACCTCCGCGGCAGCGATGGCCGCGAGGATTTCCTGGGGTCGGTGTGAGTTTAGATTGAAGTCGTGAGAGGGAGTGCGGAGATAAAGAGTAAGTGGATGGTGCGTAGATGCGGATGCAGGAGCACAATTGCATGAATCGATGTGTAGATCGAGCGAGCGAGCGGGAGCGCAGATGGTTGATGGTAGCGACAGCGACGTACCTTCATCTTCCCGTGAGTCACAGGCTGACCCGTGGCGCGGAGATGCGCCTCATACGCGTGCATCGCAGCAAAGCCTGCTGCACCGGCGATCACTACCCCACGCGTATCAGAATCCTGTACAACGGACAGGGAGACACAGGACGTACCTTCGTGCGTGAGGCTCGACTTGTGCTGGTGCTCCGCGAGATAGACCTGCTCGTAGTGCGCCCGTGCACCCTGCTCGTCGAACGGCCGGAACTCCTCATACCCGCCCCATCCGCCCATCGGGCCTCCGCCATAGCCACCCCCACCCTCATATCGCCGCTCGTCCTCGCGGCGATCCTCATAGCGCCGCTCCTCCTCGAAGCGCCGCTCTTCGTTATGGCCGTGGTGTCCATGGTGGCCATGGTGCTCCTCGCGTCGCTGATGCTCCTGGCCGCCACCACCACCCATGAAGCTCTCAAGCATGCGTTCCATTAGTGTACGAGTAAGTTGGGAAGTGCGGAGAACGGGTAAGTCGTGAGATGAGTGCGTTACAGTGGTCACCAGATCGTCATGATTATATACCCTTTCATGAATCAAGCTGTGTCATGACTATTTTTAGCACAGCCGAGGCGGCCTGCCGCCGCATGTGACGGGCCGCGGACGGCGACGTTGTGAGGCACAGTCAAGCGGTGCATCAAAAGCGGGAATATGGCCGTGCGCTATGATTTGGTGGGGATTCAAGCGGGTTGCGACGTCCAGCGAACGCAGGTTTACAAAACTAGGACATCTGTGAGGCTCAGTCAAGTTTCGACTTGATAGTAGTAAAATTGGTGACACCGCTCCAAACCAACTCGATGGCAATCGCCTTGCGGCTGTCGTCTGCGGAGATTGCTGTTGAATATACCAGGTCTCCTGCTTTCGAGCAGGCTCAAGGATTCATTTTTCCGATCGTCCGCTAGTGAGAGGATCTAGATGAACACAAGGCGTAGGACATAGTCCTGGGCCTTATTTCGAGTACGACCCAGAAAGACGAGATTCGTTTTCACTGAACGGGGATAAGTGACGAATCCGGTAATAGCAGACAATGTCTTTCTTGTCCCATGACTACAAGCCTGCCACTGGCGTCGGAAATTCGCGCGAAATGAACTCTTTCTGGTCTTAGACTGCCCTTGTCCTTCGAACTCGCATATTTCGATTCTCTTCTCCACCTGTCACATCAGCAGTCCTCCTCGCCTTCTGCCTTAATGTCTCGCCGCTCGTTGAAACCGCGGCGATGAGGAACCGTTCTCGCACTGTAGATCTCCTGGTTCAGGGTGGGAATGCTGAGGCATGTTTGTCAGAGATTTCAGCCCGCGGAACATGCGTTGGAGCTTCTAAGAGTTGAGGCTTCGAGCAGATGATTTGCCTGTCCCGACCTATGGAAGCTTCGTCGTGAGAAGTCCGACTGAGTGCCCTGGCGGCCGGAAGAAGACGACGGGCAGGCAATAGAAAGGTTCCGGCGCGTTTTAGGACGCAGTCGACGAGACTTCGATATTTCAGTCGCAGATCCTCGCAAAAGTTTTCTAGCTCGGATCCGGGCCGCTTGTTACCGGATTTGCGCTTAGTCCAAGGCTCCTAAGGCTCCTATGGTGTTATTATTGTGGAACCCAGTATCCATTTGACTGACGAATGACGAAAAAAAAACAATGGAACCTGGATTTGGTGTTGCGAGTTGGAATTCAATGCTGGAATCTGGAGCTGAACAGATAGGCAGAAGAGTTTTCTCCCTTTTTGCTGATCTGTCAGTCCCATCAATTGCTGAAATTCTTGAAGTACCTGGGAACTCAGGGTTCGCAGGAGATATATGGCCTCTGGTCTCGCGAGATGGATCGCGCTGACTCTGCCCCAGGGCTCAAGGTGTGAATATCGAACCATTCCTCGGGTCGAGGACGAGATAATTTTTTGTTGTGTGCCTTTCCTTTTAGAGTGTTTCTTCTTCTTCTTCAGGTTTCCGAATGGTTCTTCGAGTCCTCTCACTTTGCCAATAGGAGCTGATATCTTGAAAAAAATGTCTATCCAAGTATACCTAAATGTTTCCAATTGTCACCCTCAAGCACAGGGAAGGAAAATAGACCAAGCACTATTGACCCCCACCACTCGCGCACTTTGACAGATCCGTGATGCGCGGTGATGTTGCGTGAGTAAATCCTATTCACCCAATGATGTTCCATGGCAGTGATGAAATAATCTAATTAATGCATGGGACTCTCAGCGTGGAATGTCTGACGCGTTAAGTCATGCCATGTGATTCTATTTATTCGATTTTTGCCTCTCTTCTCTTGTATTGCTTCATGGAAAAAATATTATAAATAATAAAACCAACAGTCACTGGATAATGCTCAATAACATGCATATGAAGGTGATAAGGGCGTGACGAAATCCATAACGTTTTCTCTACAGGGGAAGCTTCCTTGTTCTAGTGGTCAATGCTGTGACCGTCCGACATTAACACTGTGTGGAATGGATTGTGCTCTGTCGTTCGATCCTGTAGCTGGATTTCTTTTACTTGTCGTGCCATTTTGTACCGTTATGTGGTCCGGAGCTGAAAACGAAACAGTGCTGCTTCTCTATTTTTTAGTATCTATATTTCTCTGATGTATGGGTCTCTCACATTGTGATGTGTTCACTCACAATTAAAATACAAAATGGAGATCCTCCAGGACCCTGAATTCCACCAATGCACATAGCCTCAAATCAAGAGCAATCTGGAGATTCTCAACTTTTAAAGACACTAGAACAGCCAAAAAAAAATTATAAGCAGTTAAAACCTATGTAGGTATCTACAGCTTGGCACAAGCTTGGGTGAATAGGATTTACTCACGCAACATCACCGCGCATCACGGATCTGTCAAAGTGCGCGAGTGGTGGGGGTCAATAGTGCTTTCTGGAAAATAGCAAACCCGTTCGGGTACCATCTTGCCTGCAACAGTTTCAAGTCGAGACTAGATTGCGTCCGGGACGTAACGCCATCGGCCGAGATAGTGATCGGCCCGGATCAAACTTGATCACTGAGTGCTGTCGGGATTTGTCCGCAACATGCTCAGACTAAAAAGACCGTGCCTCGGATCGTCGCTTTTTCAGAAGCCCGCCACCTCGCATGGGCGCCCCGACCCCGATACCCGACCTTCCACCCGAGCTGCTATACCAGATCTTCTGCACGGCCGTGCTCGACTCGGACAGCCTGGACATCACATGGAGCCCCCACCGCCTCAAAGCGCACCGCGCCAGGAGCTCGCTGTCCCCGTGGACGCTCGCAGGCGTGAGCTCGACTTGGCGCGCCGCAGCGCTGTCGTGCCCGCACATCTGGGCGCGGGTCGTGCTCGTCGTCAGGCCGGCCGACGTGCACTGCCAGGCGAGGGTGGACGAGCAACTTCGCCGTGCGGGCCAGCAGGAGCTCGAGGTGTTCTGCTGGGGCGACAACCTCGATTCGGCAGGTGCGTATGCGCCGGAGCCGCCAGAGCTCGTGTTTCCCGCGTCGCTACTTGCTGCGTCTGGCCGTTGGCGCGCTCTGCACTTGCGTTTGGCGGATTTCCGGCATGCGGCGTGGACGGTGCGGGAAGCAATATCCCCGCACAGAGATCTACAGGCGCTCGAGCGACTGTCCATCGTCGGTGATGCGGAGGACGATTTGGGGGATGTGTTTGGGCTGGGGGAGGTTGTGCCAAGGTTGCGAGAGGTCGAACTGGTTGGGGTTGCGGGCAGGGGCTCGCCCTCTGCGCTCCTGTACGTCCTTTTCACCACCGGACCTATTCTTCCCGCTTTACGTTCAGGACAGACCGTGGTCCCAGCTGACGCACTTCCGTGGCGTGTACTCCCTGCCCAAGCTGCTCGACATCCTCCGCTTGACGTCGAATCTGCGGTCGTCTGAGATTGGTATCCGGCCGACGTTCGCGACATCGTACCAATTTTGCGATCCGGCCGACCCTCTAATAGTTCTGCCGCATCTCCGGCGGCTCATCTTTCAAGACGAGGAGGATCACGCGACTATCGTCAAATACCTGGATGCACCAAATCTCCAGGACTTGCTCTGTTTGGGAAGCTAAAGTGTTCATCCTCTCTGTCGACTCACATGCTGCGGTGCGAGCGAATTGATGCTACCTCATATACCTCGATAAATGAATACCATTGCTCTTCCGTTTCTCCGGGTTTCCTTAATTTCCTCCTTTCTGTCTCTAATGTGGAGAAAATCGCTGACGCCTAATCATGTGTTCAACCACGGCAAGGACCGGTTGAGTGATCGATCAATGTGAAAACCCTTGCGGAAAAGTAGAGCTTGATACATCCATTCCCATTACAGAGCACGAGCTTTTGAACCTGAATCACTGCATTTAATCAATATATCCCTGACTTCTCCACGCTTCAAACGCAATTGAACGTCTCTCGGGCCGCTTGGGATTCCCGTCCAGGCGATATGCCCCATCGAGTATTTCGGTCGTCCCATCCGGTTCCAGCGTATCCCGGAGTCCGCACCAATAGTCGCTCGACTTTCTGCCGCTCTCGGGTCCAAAGGCCATGTATGCCTGCTCCGGCGGCATCCGCAGCCCGACGTATTCCTCGGTGTGCGCCGAAAGCTCCATCAGCTCCTCGTCGGTCATCTCGAAATCGACTGAGGGGTCCGACTCCATGATCTCTCTGCTCGGGCCGAACCAGCGCTTGACGATGACGACCGTGCCGGTGTCGTAGGCGGTCTGGTCGATCACGGCCCAGTCCTCGAAGAACAGGTCCCGGTCGTCGAGCGCGTCCATGTGGATCCACGTCCAGTGGTTCAGCGCCTCCATCGACATCCCCGCGAAGTCGTTGCGCTGGCCCGCGGTCCACGGCTCTGTGGTCGCGGGCGGGGGCCCGTCGGGTCCGTCGTGTATGTCCCGCGAGGAGGTGATGATCACCCATTTGGAGTCCTCCAGGTGCTCGCTCTCGAAGAAACTCTGCATTGATAGGAATAGTCGATTGATGACCTGAGCGGGAGGGGAGGGTTGGGATGGGCTTATCGGGCGTGGCAATCGTGTGCTGACATACCTTAGGATCAGGATTGACCACGGTCACAAAGATTGGCCACTTGACTAGCTCATCGCTCGGGTCCTGTGCTTCCAATTTCTGCCAGAGGCGCGTCATAGTGAGGGAGGTAGTGGACACGGGCGTGGGGTCGAGGACACGACATCCCTCGAGGCCTCTAATAAACACCGTCCAGAACAAAGCAAGACCCTGCCAATCGGAGATTGGCGCTGCTGCTGCCTCGTGGTTTTCACCTTCATGAGAAAAGTCCCAAATGTTGCCTTCTCATAAGGCAAAATTCGAACAAAGACTGTCGGGCCGAGCATAAGCGCTGGAGTCCTCCGTTTGCCGGGCGGAACCTCAAGACCTTACTGCTCTTTGAAGTTTGAACGATCATTCCTGACGACAAGCGTTTTAGATTTGCGATATACAGAGTCACCAAATGCTTCAAACCACCACAGATGCATCTTGAAATATACTCCTCGAATCAATCCAGTATCGCATGACGGCCTTCACACTGATTCCCCATTTTGTGATCGGGGAGATAAACTGAGCCCGGGGCTGTAGCTTTGTTCCCGCGATCAAGATCCCAGTATGCCTAGACGCCCCCGGGCGCTCAGCTGAGTATCCCACACTTGTCAGACAGCCTTTTGTCAACGGGCGCTTCGACGACACAACAAAGCATGCAATCGGGTTATGTTGACGTCGAGCCCGCGTCGCACCCGGATGACGGTCAGAGACAGGGAGAAAACTCCCGAATCAATATACAAACAAATGTACAAACATTGATGGACCCTATCTTAACAGGGTTCGTACACTGGCAGGACTATACATAGCGCCTGTGCCCCAACCTTGTCCACTGGAAAAGCTGCCGGGGCGGCGTGCATGCTTCCTGCTCTAGATCTTGCACGGCGGGACTACATGCCCATATCGGTGCAGGAAATCTGACTCGTCGTCAATGTTCCGTCGGGCATGGGATGAACAACTTCTGCGAAAGAGATGAAGCGGTATTTTTCCCCTTGGGGGTGAGGAGGAAGCAGAACGGAGCTGTGACTCGTTCGTGGTCTGCGGCAATTGCGTGGTTTGCTTTTTTCCCAGACAGCTTCAAGAACGAATATAGAAAATCCTCGTTCTTCAATCGTCGTTTCGTCGCCTGCCTAGAAAATTGAGAGTGGGGATATTATTTCGTGTGAGTATGAATGATTGGATATCTTGCAACATATGTACATTATTTTTCAGTCATGGAGGGTAGAAATGAGATGAAATTGATTAGAATTCACGGCTTTGCAGGACGGACCGCTTGCTCAATCCCCATCAGCGCCTAGACTCATGAGCGATAACTGATACCGAAGCCCACCAGAAAACATGCATCAGCGTTACGCTCCTTGCGGCGATATTTGTAGAAGACGGTCTCTATTGTTCTGCGACATTGCACATGTAAACCCAGGCCATTCATTTCTCATCGCTGCCCCATATTTTCCGAGTTCTCAGGTGATGCCTGCTTTGTCCAGACGAGCCAGCTTCTTCACTCCCGTTACACTGCGTGTCTTTGTCTTTCAGAAGATTCTTAATAGAACTAGGCCGAGATATCCATCGGTTTAGCATTACGCTCTGCCAGAGCAGATGATACACGTCATTGGCACAGCACCCGTGTTTGGGCTTAACCAGCCTTTCGTCCTTGTCATCACGATTCCATAAGCATAAACTCCAGCGGCTCGTACTGCGCTCTCTGCCCAAGCTCGACTAACACCCGGGGCAGCCCCTGCGACGGCCTGATCACCGCATCAACCATATCTCCCGGCGCATCACAGCCGAGATCCGCGACGGCGCGGAACAGCTGGCGCGCATTCTCCAGCGACAGCGGCGAGAGAGTCATGGAAGGATAGCAGCTGACATGAGGAGAAGAGACGCCGGAGAGAAGCAGCAGCAGCACCGCTGGTAGCCCCATCAAGCGCCGGAGGAGGGTATCGCTGTCCCGCGCAGGATCTGTATCGCACATCATTCAGTGTCACGAGTCAGCTCAGGCTAGGGCACCACTCACCGTAATCATCGATGACCACAAGCGCTCGTCCCGGACCTAGTCCTTCCTCGATGACGTTATCCACGGCAGCGAACACAGTCGCGTGTCCCGCCGTGATCCAGTAACGCCGGTCTGAGAACAGCGCACACGTCCTCGGGTGGTGGACCAGGGCTTGCGCCAGGGTCGTCTTGCCGATCCCGGCTTCGCCGACGACACCCAAGCAGCACGATGGGGTGGATCCAGTCGTCGAAGTCGCGACCGCGTCGACGAGAGCGTTGAGCTCGCGGTCCCGGCCAAAGAACAACGCCGGCGGCGGGGGAAGGGCTGTGTGAGCCCAGCGACGGGGCATTAGAGCGTTGCAGCGCTGAACAGTTGCGGTCAGCGGAGCTTGTTCGAGTGCGTGCGGATCGCATTCACCTCGATGCGCAGCCGCGCCTGTTTCATCCGATCCACCTCCGATTGCGCTCGGGCGAGCATCTTCATGACACGGTCCTCGAAGAGCGCCCCGGCGGCTTCTCGTTTCGGGATGATCGGGTCGGCGGTCTGCCAAGGACTGTTGAGCAATCACGCGAGGAAGCAGATGTTGCGGCACACACCTTCTCGGTGTACTCGAATGCCGTCGCGTTGTCGCTGTGGGTTGCCAGTGGCTGGTGTGGAGACCTCAGCGACCGTTTCATGGCCAGGACGTGCGTGTGTAGAGTGTAGGTGACTGTGGGTATATGCGCCTGACTTCGAAGAACAGACTCCGCCGCGCTGCAATCATATCAGCCACCCTGATCAGCTTCGCGGTGGAGGACCACGAGGGAGGCTAACAGAAGGACGCACATTCGACCCAGAAGGGAGGGGAGCGGCAGTAACAAGATCCGGCACTAGTGCACAAGACCAGAGCATATGTATACGCGCCCGCAAAGGGAGTGGTAGTCCAACAGCTTCTTCACGCACTGCACGGGTTTCCCGGCTCATCCGTGCCACGCGCACGCCGCCTGTCTAGAAAAGCACCGGCACATCCGGGCAGTGTGGCTGGGTGAGACGAAGGCCCAGCGAGTCAAGCCCGGAGTCAAACGCCGTTCCATGTAGAACGTGTCATCAGCAATCACCATGCAATCCACTGCGGGACCCATTGGCGTGTGGGGCAGTGCTGGCGCATCGACATCGGCGCTACCGAAAGTCCGACGCGATGATTGATTGTCGGGTGTCGCGGGAGAGGCGGTGGACGACGTTTTCCGGGCAGCGTGGGTCCTCCTCATGAGAGTGTCCGAGCAGCATATGATCTTTCCCCGTTCCTTCCTCCCGACCGGGGCGTTGCTTTAATTGCCACGTGCAATGTGCGTGACAGGCGGAGGCCAGAGATTGGGATAGAACGAAGGCCGTCGGGGACGCGTGTGCATGGCTCCAGAGATGGACGGCAGGCAGTTGATATCGTGCAAGAACATCCAGGTGAGTCCTCGAGAAAAAGAAGCGGATTGCGAACCGATCAGTGGCGGGTACGAGCCATCAGAGGGAAATGATGCTGTGCAGTCACGTGATCTTCTTCTGGACGGCAACTTGCAAGTAATTGAGGAAATTAGCATAAGAAATCAGATCCATTGTCGATGTCTGTGTCATTGGCACCCGGCGTGGACGGGCATGAGAATTCAGATTGAATCTACTTGGTCAATATGCAATGCATCAATCTACCTCAACTGGTATGAGATGTTGAGGACTGACATCTGCAGTGCTGTCGAGCGGCTCGCCAACGAAGCGCCCACTCGCTGTGCTGAACCTCCCGAAGATTTGATTCGCATGAAGAGCTTTGGGTCGGGGGCTCTCGTCTCCCGGCTTACGCAGTGCAGCGCGCGGTGTACGCTATCTCAGGATCATTGATGGCTAGGACGGGCGGTGTATGTCGGATTCACTACGTCACCAACAGCTGCTTATTTATTGATGTTGCTATCATGCAGGCGCCAGCTGATGACTTGTAACTCAACCGATCCCACAGCGGGGAGCTACCATAAGTCTGGCGTGCAACTTCGGTTCCTGAGGACAGATCCGACGGGAACAGGTCATGATAGCTGGGATGCTTTCTATCACCGGTCCACGATCATTCAAATGCGACCAAACCGAGTCTACGGACACGATATCTCAGTGGTTTGCTAGAACGGTGCTGCCATTCGAACCTCAATCACCACCTCATCTTGCGATTGGGCTGCATCTGAAGCTGGTGTAAAACTCAGCCTCGACTATTGAATCCGACGTGCCCTCTAACTTGGAGCTGGGATCGTGTTGACGGCATTCGTGCGGAGGCTGACCGTGAGTGAGAAGCGTGTTCCTGATTTCACTACAGCAAAAGCAATTTAGATAATTATATCAGAGCGGCAAAGAGTTTGAATTTGTGGCGGATGACTGGTGGGCATGACTTCGGTAACACGCAGCTGACGATCTGAGCGGGAAGCATCCAAGATGAGTGTAAAAACGACAATTCATTGTCTTTCCTTGCGGTGCACTCACGAGTTAGAACTCCCTCAAAACACATATTACAATCGGAGCAGGCACGGACACGGACTTGCGTCGGGCCGAGGTTACGCCGCCTCGCGTCAGCCAAAATTGATCATCGTACCACCCCACGGTCCCCCACCGCCTTGCACTGACACCATCCATCCTTCCCTTCATTCACCCGGTCATCCTTCCCATCTGCCGCGCGGAGCACACGTATATCGTAATCTCCCCATCCATCGCCCAAGCGGCGCTTACTCTCGTACCTGCTTGACGCCCACAGTATTTCGCGATCGTCTTCCGCCAGCACGCGTCCTTACCCACTCTCAAACGCACCACAAGTAGACTGTCGGACCATGGACCTGGCTGCGACGGAACGCGTGCCGTCGCTCTGGTTCTTGGACGGGAACATCGTCATCAGCGTGCGCGGCGTGCTCTTCCGCGTATTCCGTGGCATACTCGCGGCTCATTCGAGCGTCCTTGCGGAGATGCTTGCTACCGATGCGGAAGAGGGCACGGAGAGCAAGCGGGAGATGGTGGATGGGTGCCCGGTTCTCGTGCTGGACGACTCGGCGGCGGACATGATGTATTTTCTAAAAGCGCTTTTCGACTACGAGTATGTGGTGTCTCTTTCTGCTCGTCTCTTGGGTCTTCCTGTCCCCTCCTCCTTTTCCTCTACGCCTCCTTCCTCTCACTTTCCTTTTTTTTCCGCCGCGCTTCCGCCCCTGTCCCGCCGCTAACCCCGCAGCCCAGATTCTTCGCGCCCTATCCGGCAAAAACAGACTTCGACGCCATCCACGGCGTTCTTCGGCTTGGCACTAAATATCGCGTAGAGCCCCTGCGTCGACGGGCACTACAACATCTTTCCTCAGTGCACCCGACTAGCCTGTTGGCATGGGATGCCCTCTGCGCGACTTCACCCTCCGCTTCCACGTCCTCCCTGGGCTCATCTACCTCTGCCTCTGCAGCCCCGGTTCCTGCACCAAGGTCGCCCACAACCCGCGCCCCGGCCCCGGCGCTGGCACTGACGGATCCCTACGCCGCCGGCCCCTCCTTCGACTTCTCGCACCTCGAGCTCCCCATCATCGCACTCGCACGCGCCGCCTCCGCCCCGTGGATCCTCCCCACCGCCTTCCTGCGTGCCTTGGCGGTCCTGTCCACCAGCGACATCCTCGGTGGGATCGACTACACCGGCGTGCACGTCGAGCTGGAGCGCGCCGACAAGCTGCTCCTGCTGGATGCGCGCGGGATGGGCGAGCAGGTCAGCGATGTGCTCGGCTTCCTGTGGAGCCCCATGGCAATCCCCGGGTGTACGGGGCGGAGCGGGTCCGACGGTGGCACCGGCATGTCGGCGTGCACAGCTGATCGCATGGCGGTGAGAGCTGCGGCCGAGCGGTGGAGGGCGGATGGGCTGTTCCCGATCGCTGTGAGTAGGCCTGTTTCTTTTGCGGCTGATTGGAGCTTATCGAGTGATTGTGTGTCTTTGTTTCTAGATTAGCACGGGTCCAGTGCCGGGCACTTTCGCAGAGGACGACGAGCAGGACGACAAAGACATGGATCAAGATGCAGATGATTCTGGCCGGGCGATCTGGTCCGAGGAGGTGCGTTCTTTCATCCGCCACTGCCATTCCCTCACCCTCGTCGTCCAGGACTTTACTCGACTCCGGGTTTGCTCGACGTGCATGGCCTACATGCGTGCGGATTGGACGTCTCGTAGGGAACGATTCTGGGAACGTCTTTCTGCTGTGTGGGGATTGCCCAAGTGGGAGGAGCTTGAGAGAATGAGGCGGGAGAGTGGGTGTTAGACGTAAGAAAATAGACTAAGCTTTGCTTCATTCACCTGCACTTTGTATATCGCACCGAATCTGACTGTATTTCTATTGATTGTTTGACCCAAGTCCCAGCAGTCACTATGGACCAGCTCACTCTTCGATAATGTGTGATCATGTATGAATGAGTCTCGTTTCTGTGCTTTACTATCCCTGAAAAAGCCTTTCTTAGGTCCGAGAAGCTGAGGGGCCTGATTCTCATCTACATCTGCATGGCCTGATCACGGTTGTGCCTTCGAGAATTTCCACGCACGATGAAGGTAACGTCATTCATTTTCGAGCTGCCGGCACACCGGGGGATCATTAAAAAAAGGTGCCCCAATCAAAGATTTATATTTTCAGTATTGTAGTACAAAAACTATGCTACAATAGGTTGCCCAATACTTTTAATATAATCTGCCATCATCGGTTACCTGTTGTATCAGCTATTGCATCCCAAAACGGGACCTACAATTGATTGCATATTAGGTCCAATCAAGACCACATTTTTTCTTGTCCTTTTTTGTAAGATATCAGGGCTCATTTATATTCAAGGTATGGTGGCATGATTTATTGGACTCAATCTCTCACAAAATGGGGTCTAGATCAATGGCTCAGATATCTGAGCTATTGCAGCCCGAGAACAGTCTGCCCAGATATCTCCGATATTGGGGTAATTTTTTTCTATCAGTCGGTGGCAATGTGCACCAATACCGGGCAGACTGTTCTCGGGCTGCAATAGCTCAGATATCTGAGCCATTGATCTAGACCCCATTTTGTGAGAGATTGAGTCCAATAAATCATGCCACCATACCTTGAATATAAATGAGCCCTGATATCTTACAAAAAAGGACAAGAAAAAATGTGGTCTTGATTGGACCTAATATGCAATCAATTGTAGGTCCCGTTTTGGGATGCAATAGCTGATACAACAGGTAACCGATGATGGCAGATTATATTAAAAGTATTGGGCAACCTATTGTAGCATAGTTTTTGTACTACAATACTGAAAATATAAATCTTTGATTGGGGCACCTTTTTTTAATGATCCCCCGGTGTGCGGGTTTTGGACCTCGTCCATTGGTGGAACATTCTCAATGAGGATGGTCAAACTGGGAGCATACACAGCAGCGAGCTTGCCACTACAATGCAAGGACCCTCCTCCCATGTTCGATCGCACGTCTTCAAATCGAATATATGTGCTTCTTAGCCAAATCCAATGTATTGGAAGACGACGGAGACGGCGAACCCTCCTGCTGATGTGTACCAGATGTCCATGATAACGAACCAATCAGATATCTTCGGCATCTTCCGTGCCCTGGCTGCCCATCAGCGCACGTTATGCTCTTCCGTCTCCCCGTTCTTCCTCTTCTCCTCTTCGGGGCAGCCTCCTTCGTCTCTACGGTCTGCGCAGCCGAAGACAAGCCGTGTACCGCACATCACGATGGGAAATATTACGACCTGAACCGTGTTCAGTCGACGTGAGTCGCCGTGACGTGGCCGGCAGACAAGCTCGAGGACTCACGCGCCGAGCAGAGACGATTACAAGCTGAGCAGCCCGGGCAATCTCGAGATCGTCCTGAGCGCCTGCAAGAGCGTGTCGCAAGAGACGTGGGGACTGAAGGGCATCGACGATCCTGCGAATGTCGCGGGATTCGTGAGGCGGGGACACGGAGATTTCTCTCTCGGGTGCGTCTGTGTTCCTTCGACGCCTCCCTCACATCCTTCCACGAAACCTCCCCTTCTCTGATCTGACCTGCCAATTCAGACGCACAAATACCACGCTGTCATTCCACTCGCGTTCCAAGCACCCGCACCTCGCGTTCACTGGCGGCTCCAAATGCGTTGATTCCGCGGGGAACGCGATCGACAACCTGCGCGGCTCGAGTGAGATCGAGTTCGTATGCGATCCGGGGGCGGGTCGTGGGCAGCCGCGTCTGGTTGCGCAGCTCCCCGCGGGCCCAGACGACAAGGCGTGTGCGTGGGTGTTCGAGTGGCGGACTGCGGTGCGTGCTCGGCTCCAGCATGGATGCGCTGTCGTGTGCTGATCGATGTTACGTCTATAGGCCGCCTGTCCGACAAGCGAGGGAATTACGTTCGGCGGATTTATTTGGGGGTTGTTCATCTCGTATGTCGCATTCCTTCCTTGCGTCAGTGCGCTGACCTGGATGCTAGCATCATCCTGCTCCTGATACTCTATGTCGTTGTCGGCACCATCTACAATCACTTCGTACTCAACTTGCAGGGCACCGATGCACTGCCGAGGTTTTCTGTCGCGGGTATGATACATCACGGTCGAGATGCGCTGGAGATGGCGAGTGATTGGGCAGCAACCTACGGACGTGGTGCGTCCAGAGCTCCATTTTGACATTCCCATTAATTCTCACATACTATTCCCATAGGACCGCAATATGGAGGCCGCTACGATGCCTTGCCCACCGACCGCGAAGGGGGCGCAGGTTTCACTTTACCCAGCTCCGCGGACTCGAATTCCGCCTTCGTCCGCACGCGCAAGGAGCCAGTGACGAATCCGGCGAGCCATCAAACCCAGGTCATGGCTCCCCCAGCCCAAGGCGGCGGTGGCGTGCAGATGCCCGCACCGGCGCCTGCGCCGGCAAGCGTCAGTGCTGTCAATGCGGCCGGGTCCGGATTGAATCCCGCAAGCCACCAGGCGCAGCTCATGGCCGGTATGCCTGTCCCACAGTTCTCTCGATCTGCAGGTTCAGCGCCGCCTCCGCCCGCGCCGATTCGCGTCCCAGCTCCGGAGCCAGTTGTTGCTGAATCCGAAGCTCCGTCGTTCGCGGTGGGGGACGACGATGTCGACGAGGAGGAGAGTGGTGGAATCAAACTTTAGTATGGGATGTAGCACGCATGTCTTTCGGATTGCTATGTTGTACAGCCAGTCAGCCAACCATTTTTCTCATGAAAGGAAACACTACGGGCGTTGCAACCATGTGGATCAAGATGTAGACGCCAAGCAGCATGTAGCACTCCCCCTCGCAAGATCGAAGTTGTCCGCAGGGAATCTGTAGGGCGCCATGCAAAGCAATAACAAACAGAAGATTCAACTGTATCATTCTCAACTCCGATTCTTTCTGGAACGACTGAGGAGCGAGCGCATCACGGCCTTTGATTTAACTTGGAATGGCAGTGTGATTAACAGAAAGACCACTCGTGCTTCAGCATTGAGTCCATTACGCGGACATGATTCAACTGAAACTATCAGAACTCCACCGACGATTTCATTCGTTGCATGAGCTATTTTGCAATGAGAGTACTAGTGAGGCCACGATCACGTGCCGGTTTGATTTTCCTGGATGCCTAACAGCAACCGCGTGAGAAAGAAATGGTTGACTGTCTGCAGGTTTCGATTTCTTCGCTCAAAGGATATTCGAGGCAGCAGGCTTTCGGTCATAGTCGACGTCTTCGAACCTGATGTGCAAGCGAGGATACATAAGCGCAGCCTTCCGTTGTCTAATCTACAAGAGATCCATAACACCGATCATCGTAGCCTATCCTCATCTTCTATGAACTGGGTTCTTCAAGCGGGATCAATCCATCCGAGTGGATGTCCCTCAACGTTATCGAGCACTCGAAAGGCAGCGGGTGGCTAGAATGTGGCAAAGCTCAGCTGAACTGGGCTCGATCCGGGTGGCTCCTGCGTACCTCACGCTCTGGCTACTCTGGCGTTTGACCGGTTTCGAGTCGCCGCCGGCCTTTATCTGGAACACGGACAGAAGGGCGCTGCATGCTAGGAATATGGTCGAGTCGGCGAGAAATCGGCCTATATTATTATGGGTGGTGCGAGATGCATCATTGGAGGAGCTTACCTGGACACATCCTGTATTCGAAACATCAGCCAGACGGAGACTTCAGGCGAAATCTCATGCTTACCGTCGTCCATATCCGAATGAGATGCTTCCTGCGGGGTCTTCCTCGACCTTGCGCCCGGCTTCACCCAGATACCGCGCGGGATCGAATTCCATTGGGTTTTCGTATAAACGTGAATCGTAATGCATTGCCCTGGCAAACAATGATCGAGAGTTGTTTGGACGAAATAAGCCATCGAAACCAACCAAACGTTCGGAATGATCGCTACGCCCTTGGGAATCAACATCGGCGGGCCATCGGGGAGAGAGAAAACGAATTCCTCCTTGACTGTGTGGGGCAGACCTGTCCGACCAGAATGAGAATCACGCGACTCATTTTGCATCGGGGACGTGCTGACCTGTCGGACCAGAAACGAACCACCTCAAAACCTCTTTACACAAGGCATTCGTATACGGGAGCTGCTCGCGGTCATCCATCGTAGGCAACCTGCCGCGACCCACGACCTCGTCGATCTCGGCCTGAGCTTTGGCTTGACATTCGGGATACAGACTCATCGCGAGGAAGAAGCCCTCGAGTTGCGCGGCTGTCTGTAGAGCATAAGTCAGCAGACACGCAGAGCTTTTGGCCTCGGGTGCTCACTGTGTCGCTCGCTCCGACATGGATGACAGCGGCGGCCCATTTGAGCGAATAGTCGGTGTGGCCGCCCTCTTCGAAGAATGTAGAGAGGAATGACGTCTGGGCGCTGCCGTTTGCCTGGATACATCATGAGAATCAAGGACTGCTGAAATCCACACAGAACGTACGATCTTCTCTTTCGCATGACTGAAAACCAGGTCCACCGTGTCGCTGACCTGCTGCCTGATCGCCGCAGCGGCACTATGAAACCCACCTCCGGGCAGCCAGGATGGCCAGTATCTCACTTTAGGATACGTTCCTCAGCCATCCCCATCGAAGATCACGCGCAAGACACTCACGGATCGGAAACACATCAACCATCCACGCGCCCGGCATGGTGGCATCCACGAAACTCGTCGCCGTGACATGCAGCGCATCAAACAGCGCGTCCCCGCCCCGCCGCAGCTCATGCCCATACGCGATCCGCATGCTGATCCCACCCGTCGTCGCGCCGACTTCGCTCACATACCGGCCCGGATCACGCACCAGCGCACGCAGCAGCCGCGCGATCTCCGCCTGCACGGCCGGGCGCCATTGCGCCACGGCGGCGGGTGTGCCGAACATGCGGTGCATCATCTTGCGCTCGCGGCGGACGCGCGCGCCGTACGGGACGAGCACGAGCGCGTCGTCGAACCCGCAGAGCGCGCCGGCGAACGGGAACGCGGGGCGGTCGGCGGTCAGCGGGGCGAATGCGGGCGCGGACAGGAGGGCGTCGGCTGCGGAGGCGGAGTGTACGAGGATGAGGGTGCGATTGAGGATCCGGAGCGACGTGATGTCGCCTGCGGTTTTGGAAGAGTGGGTGATGGGGGAGGACGGGGAGGGAGGAGGGACTCGCGCGTACCGTACTTGTCTCCCATCTCGGTGAATCGCAGCCATGGCTCGACCGGCGACACGTCGAGCAGATTGCCGAGAAGTGGTATCCCGCGCGGGCCCGGTGGAAGTGCAGGCAACCCTCGACGGCGGGAAACCCGGAGTGCACGAGCAAGGACAGAAAGCAGACCCGCAACGCCCACGGCACTGAGCGTAGCGAGGAGAAGATCAGGCCGACTGGGCAGCATCCGTACTGTGAGCGTTATGAGGTGAGATCGAGAGCAGAGGAGGAGGAGGCTATACGTAGGTTGTTGAAGTGGGCAGCTTTTCCTGACCCGTCTGACAGGATGCATGCAGTATGTCTGCAGCTTGGCCAATGGAATGGCGTATCAGGCCCAGCGCAGATCCGACATCAAGCGCGAGAGGGACGCGAAAAAAGCGTGTGATGCAACACATGTATATTCCAAAGACCGTAGTGTTGTTGGTAGTAGCTTGGGTTCTGCGTCTTACAACCTTACTGGTCGTCCAAGCAGACAGACTGACGCGTGACGGTGGGAACTTCCCAAGTGCCTTGACAGCGGCACTCCCACGCTCGGCAAGCACAGGGGTACAGGTCTTAAAGATTGCTCAGATAACATTTGTGTCAACTTAGATGGTAGGCTGTGCAGTCCATTTTCTTCTCTCAGTTTTCACTGGCTTCAATATTTTTTTCTTTCAGCCCTTCCTTTGTTTTCTCGAGGCGAACACTTCAGAAGACAGAGGGAGCTCTGGGATTCATGGAGGGCTTATAACCCGAAAAGGAAGATTGAAGTGTGCGAAAGAAACGATGTCATGGAGCCTCACAAACTATCACAAGATGGAGGACGATAGATGACGTCCTCTACGCCTTACAACTCCGGCATGCTCTACGGTCACCACTCTAGTGAATCGTAGTCTGGCGCGCTCATCCGAGGGCTCAGCATGTTGGTGAAACTTCGCCCGACCCACTAGCGATCGAGGAGAACAAATGCAACGCACCGGATCGTCCAGATCCGGTTGGTCAATTCCAGCTGCCTAAGTGACAGAAAGTCATCCGGACGCGACTAGCGCCTCTCCTTGCTTCTCGCACGTACATACATACGTACAATTATTTCCTTCTCTGTCTGTGCCCCGTGTCCCCGACCTCCATGTCCTTTCCCATCCAGCTCCTCGTCTTTGTCGTCCTTCCCTGCGCCCTCCTGCTCTTCTCGCGCAGGCAGCGGGGACGACGTGCACCCCTCCCACCAGGCCCGCCTCGCCTCCCACTCATCGGGAACCTGCTGGACATACCCGCGAAGGAGCCATGGCTCGCGTTTACCGAAATGCGCGCGAAATACGGTACGCCTCTCCCGCTTCACTTCCCCTTATTGTACCCAGCGCCCACCATGACCACAACCACACAGGCGACGTGACCTCGCTCACGATGCCGGGCCGCACCATCATCCTCGTGCACACCGCGTCCGCGGCCACGTCGATTCTAATCCACTCGTCCGCCCTGACCTCCGAGCGCCCGGTGCTGCCCTTGGCCGGCGCGCTGTGCGGGTACGACACCCAGCTGCCACTGTCGCAGTACACCGCGGATGGCCCGCGCGCACCGGGCGCTGTCAACAACCGCGTCAAAGCGGAGCGCAAGTGCTTCCACGGGTTCCTCGGCACGCCGGGGGCGGTGGCCGCGCTCGTGCCGCGGGTCGTCGATGAGGTCCGCGACTTCCTGCGCGCGGTGGAGGGGACCGAGGGGGATGTCATGCACCACATATCGCGGTGCGCTGTTTCTTTCTTCCGACGCACTCAAGCGACATGCTGTTGAAGTGAAGTCGCTTAGTGCCACGATGAGGTTCAGTCTTCGGATCGCTTATGGACATAAGGCGGACACTGGCACGGCGCCCGACGCGTTCGTGCGCGAAGTGGAGATCGGGTCAGACAACTTCTTCGAGATGACGAAGCCGGGCGCGTCTTTCGTCGATTTGTTTCCGATCTGTCAGTGCCTCCGTGACGCGGAGACTGATATCACGACGCTGATTGTGCTCTAGTGCGCCACTGGCCGTCGTGGCTCCCCGGCGGCGACTTCCACCGGGTCGGCGCGCAAATCCGCAAGCACCTAGAATACACCAGAGACATGGGGATAACTCTTGTGAAACAGCGCATGGTGGGCCCATCCTGCTTGCGACTACAATCTCAGCCGAAAGAATCTCTATAGGCGCATGAGAGCAACGAGCGGTCGTTGGCGTCGTCCATGATAGAGACGAAGGAAGACGAGTTTCTGACCACAGTAGCAGCATTCGCTCTCGGGACAGGAGCCAGTGACACCGTCCGTGTTCAGCCATCTCCAACTGCATCAAACTAACATGATCCCTGCTCGTAGACGGCATCGCAGCTCTCCGGATTCTTCCTCGCGATGGCACTGAACCCGGACATCCAGCGTGCGGCCCAAGCAGAGCTCGACGCCGTCGTGGGACGCAGCAGGCTGCCCACGCTCGAGGACCAGTCCAGTCTGCCATACGTCGATGCAGTGTGCAAGGAGGTCCTGCGGTGGTTCGTCTCAGCGCCGGCGGGTTGGTCCGTTCCCTCGTTATTCGCAACTGGTCTGAAACAGGCGCCAGGATTGCCCCACCGGGCGAAGCAGGATTTCGTGTACGAGTCGGCGACCGGCCCGATGCTGATCCCCAAGGACGCCATGCTCGTCCCGAACATCTGGCAACTTGCTCTTGTCTTCCTGTCCAGCTTGGGACGCTGAAACATACCCTTGTCAGGAACATGAACCGGGATCCGGACCGATATGTCAACCCGGACAAGTTCGACCCGACCCGGTTTATCGCCACGAAGGACAAACCAGCTGAGGAAAATCCGGCCAAAACGTCTTTCGGATTTGGACGACGGTGCGTGGACCGTCTAGATATCGGATCCCTGCTCACTCCATTTATTCGCTGGGAACAGCATCTGCCCTGGTACTTCTCACCGCCCGATCTTATTTGGTTGCCGGAGCTAACTGGTCGAAACAGGCCGCCTATTGGCCGAATCATCCCTGTTTCTGTTCTGCAGCGCGGTTTTGTCTGTCTTTGACATCGGAAAAGCGCACGACAGCGAAGGGAAGGAAATCGACATCGCGCTCGGATTCACCACTCAGACGGTCATGTGGGTCCAGTGTTTTGTGTCTGTCGTTCCAGCCCCGTAGTCTGACTTGATCCCTCGTATCGGCAGCCACCCCACGCCCTTTAAGTGCTCGGTACGCGCAAGAGATGGAAGTGCGAGAAGTCTCATCTACGGGGCCTGAGATTCTATTACGATATCGTTTGCACGGGAATGTGGGATGATCGTTATGTGTTTGTGATGGTGCTTTGGGTACCTCTAGGCTCTTTAACGTACCGTCCAAATTGAGATGTCTCCCGCTCGATATCAGTGCAGAAAACGATTGAAATGCGGTAACACATCAGGATCGAGCATCACTTTGTTGGTGTACTAATGCGAGATCCGTGGACAGTGTCCGAATCGTCCAAGTACACCGGAAATGGAAATGAGAAATGAAACCGAAGCACATGGGACACACAGCCTGTCATCACATTGTTATGAACCAGGCGCGGCAGTCAAGCAAAAGACATACATTACTCGAACACGAGGCCGCACAACGAGCACATACAGCGGTGTGATGGTGCGCTCCCAGCCGAAGAGGCTCAAGGAATAAAGCGTTTCTTCCTGACCCAGACTAGAGGAGTGAAACGACATCACGCATGGATCTTAGATCACTGATAGAGTTGCGTCCGATCAGCCAGCGGACTGCCCATGCGATACCCGTGCCTCATGCGTGGACGGAGGCAGAGCACTATCACGAAACTCCAAGGTCACACACCGAGTTCGGGACGACGACGATAGCAATGCGACGAGAAGAAAGCAAGGTGTACAGACTACATGCTGATGCGAAAGCTAAAGACATCGGAGATGGGGGTCGTGCAGGTCATATACATACAATGTAATGTAATGCAAGTGCGTGATGAACGTGTGTAGGTCAGGTCATTCATGTCATGCAACCGTCAAGGGTCCGAGGGGCTCGTCGAGATGCTCGTGATTGGAAACAGAAGGCAAGCCTCGGGTGAAGAAGAAAATGGCGATCAAGAAAGGCAAGGAGAGGATGCAGTGCAGATGAGAGAGGCAGTAAAGCCATCGACCTCGAATCTACACCGCATGCGCTACCTGCCTCAACGGGGACGGCGGCGCAAGCTGTCGCCCAGCCCGGCTAGAAGGCACACAAGCCCGCCGGATCTTCAACGCGTCCGGGTTCCCGTGTTTCAACAAGAGCCGAGCGACCAGCGCGTCCACCGGAAGCGTGTCAGGTGTGCTGCCTGAGGACCGGGATCTCGATCTCGGCCGCGCCGGCAATCCGACATCCGCCGCAGCCTCCACGAAGCGCAGCTTCGGCTTTGGCGCGGGCGTGTTCGCCCGCAGGTCACGCGCTCCGGATAGCACAGCCACTGAGGGCGGACTGGAGGGCAGGAGGATGCCTCGCGGGCGCGGGGGCGATGAGACCGAGCCTGAGCCCGCGTGCTGACCCCGTCGCCAGCCGTGCGCAACGAGCTTCGCGCGGAGACGGTCGGCCAGCCGGGCGTCCTGCGTTGCGAGCTCCACTGACGTCGCCGCGGGCGTCATCATGACGTCCTCATGCATGCGCGCGTTCTCCTTGTCTGCGATATCCAGTTCGGCGAGCGTCCACCCGTGCTCCACCCCCGCCCCGTACGCACGGAGGCTCCGCTCGACGAGCGCCAAGAAGCGCAGCTCCGCCTGTGTCGGCGGCGGCACAGGTTTCCCGGCGACGGGCGTCGGCGCGACGGGGAAGTCCCGCCGCGACTTGGTCCTGCGGTGGCGCGTCGGCGGTGGGGCTGCTGTGGCTGCGGCTGTGGCTGGGCGCGGCGGAGTCTGCACATGCACGGTCCGGGCCCGCGGTCGACACGGGACCTGGAGGACGTGCGGCGCGTCCAGGGCGAGGGGCGAGATCTGCTCGTCCGTAGGGAAGGGCACGGCCCTGGGCCCCTTTTCCGTCATCGGGCTGGGGATGGGGACTGGAGCGGATTTGCCGATGTCGTTTTCGGTTGCTGCGTGGGGTGCGAACGTGATGCACGCAACGGGAGGCGGGCGCGTGACGCCGGCACTGGCGAAGGACACGGTGCACGTCGGCGGGGACTTGCGGCCAGAAGAGGGTGGAGGGGAAGAGCGTCGGAAAGGTAAAAGAGAGTGTCGTTTTGCGGGCGTGGTCGTGTCGTTTGAAGCAAGGTTCGGGTTGGGTGTCTGAAGAGGGGCGGGTCTAGGCGCCTCAGGAGAGCAACACTGGCGCTTGGTCCTGCTGTTGCCCCTGCGACGTGCGGCCTCATCTTGGAACAAAGAGAGGGCTGCAGCGTCGGCGAGACGCGTGCGCGAGGAGTCGACAAACACTTTGATGCTCGTCTTTGTCTTCGTCGCCTTCGCTCCGGCAGCGGCCGCATTCTGGGTGGGGGAGAAGAAAGCGATGGCCATCGATGGGTGGTTTGAATGAGCAGAGCCACCCAGCGGAGCAGAAAAGAGGAAAGAGCAAGAGAGCACAAGACAAGTGAAGAGCGGAAAGGGACAAGCGAAGTGATGATGGACAGGGATTGGGATCCGAGTCACGATCAGGTGATATCCCAGGGTGCCTCGTGTTTGTCATGTGATCTGCTCTGCCGCATTCTGAACGCAGTTCTACGGACCCTGTTCACTCAACTTTCAGGGATGCGGGAGCGGGTGAATACCTCCAATCAACCCGAAGATTCATTGTTCCTCCTCCCAGTGCCGCACCTGACGTGTGTGCCTGCACGTCGCATCCTCCATCGTTTCTTTCAAGAATTCCTTTGTGGAATCGGAAAACATGTCTGTAGATTTCACCTCGCCGATCAACTTACCTGCTATCTACGTTCCGGTGTTCTCTCGCTGGTTTAAGCAATTGAAGACCCGTCCGATATCACACTTACCTCCGCGACAGCCAGCTTGATCCGGGACTCGGAACGGCGTTCAGTCTGTGCAGTGCACTGCCAGGCTGTGCCCCATGCTTCTGTGATCATCCCATCTTGCCTCTCCCGATGCGAATACCTGTTCTGCGAAATTTGATCTGGACATTTACTCTTTCGCGGGATTCATAGACACTAACATGTGGAATTTTACCTGGGAATTCGCTGCTCAGGTTCAGAACCGATTGTCCGGTGGCAGCATCCACCGAATACCACAGCCGCACTCATTCCCGAGCCTGAGCTTCGGTCCGCTTTCACGGGCGGTCCCCAAAATACTAGCGAAGATCACATCTCTCTAAGATGTTTAGCGACAGGGCAGTGCGCATTCTTGCTACCGACTGCCGAGTCCCTGTGACCCCACATTTCTCACGATGATCCATACGCCACAACCGCCACGTCACGCCACGTAACCCACTCCTATGCACTGCTGGCCGCCACGACCCACCGCAGCGGCGGTGGCTGCAGCGGCCCGCTCAGCCGAAATTGACGCGCAGATTCTGGACGACGCGCGCGCGCGCCGGGAGCAGATCCCCGTCCTCGTGCTCGGCGAGCCGGACTCGGGCCTGCCGACGCTTGTGCAGCAGATGAAAATCCTAGCCGGGGGTGGGTACAGCCCCGCGGACCGGCGCGCGTGGCGGGACGTGCTGCGTCGGAATGCGTGGGTGTGCATCGGCGCACTGGCGGGATTGGTGGGACGGATCATGGCCGAGACACCGGATGTCTTCGGGGAGGGGAGCGACGAGATGGCGTGGGCGCGCGCGCTTGTCGGCGCGTTTCCCAATGCGTCTGGATCCAGATCCGAAGACGAGAAGGAAGATAAGCTTCATTTAGGGGCACCGATTGCGCAAGACGAAAATGGTGCGAAGGTGTGGACTCGAGCGGTCCAGTACGCTGCTCTCGGCCTGATCAACCATCCGGCCGTAGCTGCTGCTCTGCACGCAGAGCCCAAGGAGCTCTCGATGCCCAGCTCTACAAGGGAGTACGTCTCGCGACTGACATGTCTTCCTGACCGCAACTCATCTCCTTCCAGGCTCTTGCCGGCCCTGAACCGAATCGTCGACCCAGATTACCTCCCCTACGATGCGGATATTCTCCTTGCGGATGGGCGAAGCTCCGCGATCGTGGAGACCGTGGTCCACATAGATTCTTCCAGGTCCGTCCTGCAGCCCATCCGCGCCGTGGGCCGACGGCACTGACCCCATTTGAGACAGACGCATCATCATGGTCGACGTGAGTGGGCTGTGCTCGAGTCCTCGAAAATGGTTGCATCATTTCGACAAGTGTGTGACGATCTCTTGCTTTGGTGCACGTATGGTCTGCAACCAACCCATCGCCCAGCGTCGATTCTCAGAGCGTGAAATCGGTCATTTTCTGCGCCTCGCTGGTCGGGTACGATGCACCACTCCACGATGCGGGCGGCGGCAGGACGCGTCTGCATCAGTCGCTGATGATGTTCTCTGAACACGTCAACTCCCTCTGGCTTCGCCGATCGAATATTATTCTTTTCCTGAACAATCTACATGAATTTGAGCGGAAGCTCGCCAAGGCGAGTTGACGTGCCTGTGCCACCTGCAGTGTCTGATGCTCGAACAGTCCCCAGTAAAGCAATACTTCCCAGACTACGCGGGCGGTCCCGGGGCGGCTGAAGCCGCCAGCTTCATCCAGAGTCTGTTCGAGAAGGAGAACCACGCAGGCCTGCCTCTTACTTCCCAGTGCGTTGCCGTAACCCTGACCCTGTAAAGAACCAAGTGGATGTTTGATATTTACTCACTTTGCAGTATGACGGAAGCGGCAGACCCAGACAATCTGCGGTCGACGTTCGCTCTGGTGCAGCGATCAGTCTGTACCGCGACCATGCATGTTATCACCGAAGTTGGGTAGAAGTACCCTTGTTACGATAATAATATAGAACCGCAGCTGAAGTATTCATTCTCCGGTCCGTGGCTCCCCATCCGACACAGCTGGATCTCCGACGCGGTCCATGCGCCCAAGTCGACGTCCGCTGACCGCGCTTCCGCATTGATATTCGCAGTGCGCCCTTCCGGGGATGCAAGCGCGAAGACTTCCTGGTAGGAGAACCACTTGGGGGAGCGTCGGGGCCGGCGGTGGCTTGCATTGATGAGAGTGCAATGAAGCTGCAAGTTGCAAGATGCATTCATATATATGAGTTATTGACGCAACGGAAGGACGGAACTCACGAGCACGGGCCGGGTCTCATGAATTAAGCCCTCCTCCTGGAACCGTCGTGCGACAAGGTCTGCGCGCTTTGTGATCACACAATAAAAAGCCACACAGATACCCAGACGAACCGACAATCCTCCTGATCTTCTTCGTTTCTTCCTCCTCCTCGTCTTTGGGAGCCACGTACAGCACCCCCGCCTCCTCGTGGTGCGTCTTCAACACGCCCATGTGGTCCAAGGGCAGCGCCAACAACCCTCCCGCGCTGATCTCGGCCACCTGCGTCTTTAATGACCGCAGCAGCGCGAGCGCCTCCGCAACCGTCTTCGTAGGCGCAGTCGGTTCATCAGCTCCCGAGGGCGCCGCCCGGTCCGCGTCGACGAGCGTCATGACGCCCAGCGTGAAGTGCAGTCGACGGGGGTCGACGAGGATCGAGGGATCGATGCCGACGATGGGCGGCGCGTGCGCCTTGATTCGCGCGTGCAGATGGGAGACGCGGGTGCGCAGATCCGCGTGGTGACCCTGCGTTGGATTGTTTCCTCACTCCGAGCACTAGGAGTTCGTGGATTTGGACGTACAATGGGGAGAGAAAGAACTGGATGGAGTGAATGCGTCAGTAAAATATGGATTGGACTTTCCTGTGATTCGCACAATGCGTGGGGCGGATAGATTGGGGTCTCTCCTGCGCACGTCGGCGATCGGGTTTTACTCTGTCGTCTGGCGCAGTCTTGATGGGTCGGACCACATTGCTTGCATGGTTGGATTGCTTGGGAGTTGATGCAGAACTCGGAGCCATGAGAGACGCTTTTGCGGAGAGGAAGGAGGAAGCGGCAGAGCGTGGCAGGAAAGTGGGAGTCATTTGACGTGTTGACATGCGGTCAGCTTGATTACGTCATTGTCGATGCGAAGGTTGTGCGGTTCCTGCACCCAGTGAGGAAATCGCCCTCCAACTGCTCCCTATTCACTCCCTTGATAGACTCCATCTGAAGGGGACTGTCTGTACATCCCCCGAATACTTGACAAGTCACGGGTTCGCCTTCTGACCACGGGGTTGGGCCTGCCCACTTGAGGGAGCTTTGAAATATTCGCGGTCGGTTTCAATCCATGCTCATCTTCGGCGAAACTTCAAAACGATATTTGATATGGTAATGAGCAGATGGCGAGATTGATTCCATAAAGGCAGGCGTGCAAGTGACCATCATGCGCCAGCATCCAGCACATTTCCGAGGAGTAAGAGCCGGGATTGGTCAGTGCTGCGATTCTGGAGGATTGGATCTCATAGACTGAGGCCTGGAACACAGGTGGGACGAGGAAAATTGGGAGGCAGATCCTCAAGCGGAAAAAGTAATAGCATGCATGGCCTGCCTACGGATTGTTTCCTGATTGGGGGTAGCCGGAGAAGGCTGATTGCATCACTATGGAGGCCCGGAACTATATGCTGATAGGCGGGCCTCCGTATCATTGATATTAGGGGAGGTCAAAGTGCCTTTTGAGAACTCGATTCGCGTGTGATTCGAACTCGATCTGAAAGTCGATTTCAACTACCTTAATCATGTAGAAATCAGGTTAGAAACGGGTTCAGATTTGACCACCCCGCTTTTCCGACGTGTTTGCTGCATATGGTTCATGGCCTTAGAATCGGAAATCCCAGTGCAGCATCACATGATCCTGCTCTCCCCTGACCTCACCGATATCCTCGACCATGCCCCGCTTCACCCCTCGACAACGACGCGCACGAGAAGTAATCAACACCTTCATCCAGTATCAAACTATGCGTTTCAAGCGCCTTTTTCGGAAAAACAAAAAGCAGTGCGCTGCCGCCGATGAATTCGCTGTTACCAGACTGACGGCCGCCAATCCTCTCACAGACCCCGATGAGCTTGGGATTGAGAATTCGACCTTCGATACAAGAACACGGCTCTTTCTGTCTGACGACGACACGGACGATGGGTTCTCTACCAGCAGCACAGACTGGTCAGATATCTTCGGGTCCGATTGGGAAGGTCGTCGCAGCAGGTCGAGCAGATCCAGCTGGAGTGAGTACTGGGAGGTGGATTTGGACAGCATGCCGGATCTTTATTCCGTGGTGCATTCCGATGACTCGGACTGGGACATGGACATCGACGGTGATGGGTTTTCCTCAGCAGGCGACGCAGATGATGAAGACTCGGAAGGAGAGGATTTCTTTGGTGAGAGGGATTGGGCGGACAACATTCATCCTTGTCGGCAGCGCAATCCAGTACTGCGATGGGCGCGTGAGAGCTTGGAAGAGATCTATTCTCGGCGCTACGAGAAATCACGACGTCGGGACAGCTCTGCGGACTCTGAACACCCGCGTGCCTTCATGCACTACGTCCTCCAGCGACACAAGATATCTCGGCCAGAGCTTTTTCGACAGGATCTACGCGTCTCTCCCTGGACATTCGATCGTCTCGTCAACCGTCTTGAAGCAGACCCGGTCTTCAGCAACAACACCGACAACGGGCAGATGGCAATGGAGCAACAGCTAGCGATTGCCCTGTATCGCTTTGGGCACTTTGGTAACGCTGCGAGCTTGCAGAAAGTTGCTAATTGGGCGGGCGTCGGCAAGGGCACCGTGACTCTAGTGACCCGACGTGTTCTCACAGCGATCTTGCGTCCGGACTTCATGTCAGAGACGGTCAGACTGCCGACCCCAGTGGAGAAGGAGAAAGCGAAGGCGTGGGTTGAGGCACATTCTTGCCGAGCCTGGAGAAATGGATGGTGCATGGTTGATGGCACACTTGTGCCACTAGCGGACCGGCCTTATTTCTACGGCGAGAGTTACTTCGACAGGAAGTCAAATTACTCTCTGAATATCCAGGTGAGCAATCACTATCTCCGTGGTTTCAATTCTGTGTTCATCTTGGACAGATCATCTCGCTTCCAAACCTCAAGATCATCGACTTTGGTTATGGATACACCGGTAGCACTCATGACTCGACAGCCTTCCAAGGTACTCGATTTGCTCAAGAACACGAATCTCTTCTAGACAACGGGGAATTCATCTGGGCAGACTCGGCATACATGGTCAGTCCAGTCTTAGGTCCTATGCCGTGTTACTGAAACAGCTATATCTAGCTCGAGAAATGGTGCATTTCCCCGTACAAACAGCCAGCAAGCCTCGAGCTTGGGAACGAAGAGTTTAACAACCATGTTTCCATGGTTCGAATCCGCTCTGAACACGCCATCGGCTTCTTGAAGGGACGCTTCCAGTCCCTGAAAGGACTCCGTGTCAGCATCAAGGACGAACGTACACACAAACTGGCAACATACTGGGTCGCAGCATGTGTCGCCGTTCATTCATTTGCAATGGATTGTGAGCAGGAAGAGCGAGGACTTGGGAACAAGACGGATGAGGATGTTGCTGTGATGGCAGATCCATTCATCGCGGAAGGGCTGTCCTCGGAGTCCGATTCAGCTGAAGGAGATGGGACATATGGTGCGGGTGCAAGTTACACCGGTGGGCATGAGGGCAAACAGCAGCGGGAGAAGCTTAAACGTCGCCTGTTCAGGGCTAAAGCTCGTCGCCAAGAGCGCCGGACTCAGAGGCAACGGCAAGAACTAGGTTTTTCAGATCCGGAGACTATGGACTAATACACACAACTGTCTACCTACATAAAAATTTAATACGTTGACGGATATATGTATGACATATCTGATGAAGATGAAACTTGACTCTGCGCGTCCGACATGAATTCCAGATCACTACCCAACTTGAACTCAGGCGGTGGAAGAGTCAGGCTACCCAGTTCGTCAAGAAGGGATGAGCCGCTGCCGCTGGCATGTGGCGAACTGCCAGATGCGCTATCCATCATCGATGGAGATGCATACTGATACTTGTTAGGCACTCCGTGACGTCCTCGTGCTTTTATCAGACGCAGTTCGTGCAACTGCTTCATCTCTAACTCCTTCATCCTCAGTTTGATGAGCTTTTCCTCCCTCTTCATGCGCTCCACTTCAATCTGCCCCTGCGTGCGGATTTTAGCAAGCTCGATCTCCTTTTGATGTGTCGTTTCCTCGGCAAGCACCATTTCCGTCACCTCAGCGAGCTTGGCCTTCTTCGCTGGTTTGGCAGGTGTAGGAGCGGCAGGAGCGGCTGGGTGAGATGTCCCACGCCTGGGTGGATTCGATTTTTTGTTCGTATTTGTTCCCTTCTTCTGCTCTTGCCTGCTGACTTCAGGATCCGGCTTCGGCAGCTCCTCAATATCGTCGTGAAACTGGACAGTCATGTCAACGACAGGCTTGGGTTTTGGTACACGTGGGGGCGGGGTAGGAGATGAGGAGTGCAAGAAGGAAAGGGTGGCATCGATGGTCAACGCGTCAGCATGCCGGGCTGTGTCATCCCCTTCCTCCTCCTCCTCCCGCTCTTCCCCAGCCTCGACCTTGATCTCTTCATCATCATCAACATCATCCATCAGCTGGCTCTCCGAGTCGGCATCTGTCGAAGGCTCTATACCAAGGACAGACTCGTCGATCACAGTGCTGCCATGTCCTATGCCAGTGGGAACAAGATTTGGTCTCTCGCCAATAAGCTCCCGCATATCCAGGTACCAGGGGGACTGGTCCAAGATCTCCTCTGCATTACGATGAGCCCAGAGAGCATGGTATACAACAAGGTACGCACGCAGCTTATTGGTGAAGTGGTTCTTCTGACTCATGTCAACCTCATTTGCGAGGTCCTTGATGCCTTCGCCGGTGCTCCCAAGCTCTTTGTTGTGCTTTGAAGTGTCTTTCTTGACCCTGGGATGAGTCGTTAGTGACAGGAATCATTTGTTGGTAAGTCTGGGCATACGTCGCAATTCTGTTCTTGATCTTGTTTCCCCAAAAGTTCCGTTCCCCTGCCAGCTTTGCTTTCTCTGCCTCCTCGATAGCCTTCTTGTACTCCGGCTCAACACCTAGCACCAACTTTGCCAATGAGAAGTAATGTGCTGCCTTCTTCTTGCCACCCCCCCTGGCTGTCGACACATTGGGCCCACGGGATGGGAAAAGGCCGTTCTTGATAACAGCAATCTCCTTGATGTTTGCGATAATGCGCTGGGTAAGCTCGGGGCGGCGTTTCCAGCTGCTGGGTTGTTAGCTCATTACATGACAGCATCTTTGTATACGCACTCGATGTCAAAATCTGTTCCTCCGTTGGACTCAGTAACTTGAAGCTCTTCCTCGGAGTCAGACTCTCTGATCTGGGTCTGCAGTGCGGTTGGCTTGGTTTTGGCCTTGGTAGTCGTCTTTGGCTTGGATTTCGTGGCGGAAGCGGCTGAACCAGTGGTCTTTCCTGGGCCTTTCTTTGCCATAGGTAGTAGCTGGAGATTAGACTATCCCTTGTTCCATATCCTGAAAAAAAAATTGATCGGTGTAACACGTGCTATGTGGTGTATCTACTTAGGGTTAGATGCAAAACATGGTTCTGATTCAGTTCTCGGTGAAGCAGCTCAGGACCTGATTCACCGATTCAGCTGATTCGTCATTTTGATGGGATCCGAATCGGATCTCGAAATCGGGTTCAAATCAGTCCTTGAATCAGATGTTGAATCGGCACTTTGACCTCCCCTATTGTTTCGGCCGTTGATGCTGATCTGATTGACTGCTTCTGAGACCCCATAAGCCTCGCTAGGCATACACGAAATCTGTGAAGTGCCATTTCTCTTCCACGGCGTACAAAAGGGCCTGACACCATTTGAAATAAGTAAATTTTGGATTAATTAACACGCTGTGAAGCAGCCGCTATCACTGCGGGGGGATTTAATTTTTTTCTGTGGAAAATGCGTGACAATCTAGAAGTCCGATTTTCACTGTTATGTGTTCAGACAAAAAATATATATTGAAAATAGACGTCGATTTACAGCTCGATTTTTACCATGAATAGACATCTATTCCTCCCGAAAACAGAACTGTAAATAGATCATCTTTTCTTTGATCGATTCTTACTGGGAATAGACGTCGATTTTCACTGAAAATAGAAACAAAGAAAAGATGATCTTTTTTCACTGAAAACAGATTAAAACCACTTGAAGAATCTGTTGATCCTGGCCCCAATTTGCATTCCTGGCCTTGCAAAAGGCTACTGGATGCTACTCACAACATGTTGGAATCATGCTGCAGGACTTGTGATGTGAATTGGGGCTGGAATCAACAGATTCTTCCAGTGGTTTTAATCTGTTTTCAGTGAAAAAAGATCATCTTTTCTTTGTCTCTATTTTCAGTGAAAATCGATGTCTATTCCCAGTGGGAATCGATCAAAGAAAAGATGATCTATTTACAGTTCTGTTTTCGGGAGGAATAGATGTCTATTCATGAAAAAAATCGAGCTGTAAATCGACGTCTATTTTCAATATATATATTTTTGTCTGAAAACATAACAGTGAAAATCGGACTTCTAGATTGTCATGCATTTTCCACGGAAAAAAAATAAGTCCCCCTGCAGTGTATCGGGATGGATCCCAATGACTCATCAATAGCGCATCATTTGTGATGCTAAAAATCTTGCACATTTCGTAGTACTGAAACGCATCGGAAATCCATTTCTCAATGAAACCAAAACAGTAGCTAGACAGTATAAAAGCAGAGTGCCTCCTGCTATAAGGGATATATTGCCTTTTACTTGAATCCACTATGGTGCGCGCAGCTTAGTCACCATCAAAAGTGCACTAGCGCGCAAATCGGGTCAGGCAAAACCAAAATTTTGACTATTACATCTGGGTCTCTGAGCACGACACTCTGAAGGAGAATATTTCAAAGGCACTTATTTCCGGCTTGGCAGATGATCAGACACCGGGAGCACCATATGATACAGTGGATGGACACATAGCAGTGTGGATTGGAGACACGGGGACTCGCAGTTTGAGGTGCGAAAATTCAACTCGACCAAATACAAATTGCACCAGTGGATCTCAGAATGCGCCGCAAGGGCTTTCAATATATGATACATTTGTTTTTGTAGGCTACGCCAAATTGGGGGATGTCAAAATCCCATTACTCACTCAGTTGGACAGCTATGGGCAATCCCTCTTGAGAGATCACTCCTCTCATTAAAAGGAAGTGTTTTTCAAGAGGAAAAAAATCGGGCTAGCAGTACAGGTGTCTATAGTGTCTTTGCGTTCCTAGAGATCCAAAGGTTCTGAATGTCACTCAGTAATTCAATTTTATCGGATATTGTTTGACCGATAATAGAGTTACTGGGGTATTTGGACTCGAAGTGCGTCAATTTCTATAATTCAAAGAATTACTTTTTCGAGACGATGTGAGACAATGTAAAGGGTTGAATACCCTAGCCGGAGCAAGATCGAGGCAGCAGTGAGCTCAGAGATGCCAAAATGAAAAAAGAATGCTGATTTTGAGTACAGAACATAGAGCTTTTACAAAATGAGTACAGAACATAGAGCTTTTACAAAATGAGTCTAGAGATGAGACCAGTATTGAATTAAATGTAAAACAGTCAGTACGTCAGCAGGGATGATGAGCGCAGCACAAAGCGACTGCCAGTTGGGGAAATAGGGCCAAGTGTTAAGATAGGGTCCATCAATGTTTGTACATTTGTTTGTATATTGATTTGGGAGTTTTCTCCCTGTCTCTGACCGTCATCCGGGTGCGACGTGGGCTCGATGTCAACACCAAGGGAAGTTGTTGAGGCGGAGAGAAATAGAGCAGCCAAAGTGGAAATTTGAGCTATAGCACGGCCCAAGCACATCCAGAACTAGAACGCTAATGTCTTGAAGTGTCAGAGGATGGCTAATCCCAAGCTCACAGTCTAGGGTCGAGTAGAACGACAGCAAAAGGGAAGAGAGCATGAGGGATTTGATTGTTGATCGCATCAGTATGGAGGCCGGGAACAGCATGCTGATTCACGGCGCGAAATGAGATCGCTGTCTGATTGATGGATCGCTGCACGTGCTCGGCATCATTCACGGCATATGACATTGTACTTTGTTGCTTGTGCTCTGTAAGGTTTATAAATGCTAGTTAATGTATATACTAGTTAGATATCATATTGTATGTATGCATTCTTGTTAACAAGCGTTGAGTTCCCCTGGTCCTGAAATTGATCGGTCACGTGCAGTTTCGATGAGTCAGCAAGGTTGCCGAAACACTTTCACGTGATCCAGTCTCATTATTGCGGACGCCCTGGGCAGGAATCAATGAGTGTCCTCCATAGGCATGTCATCGTTCAAGCTACTTAAGTAGTGCTGAGTTTGTTGTCCAATGGTACAACTCCGACCTGGTTGGATGCTCGCTTCCCTTGGAATAAGCTCAGGAGGCAGCGATCCCCGGGAACTAGACCGCCAGGGACTCTGCTAAGGCATCAAGAAATGCCTAAATCAATTAGATTAAAACAGTGCCACTCCAAACCGGCAGAAGAAATTAAATATTGTTTGAAAATTGCAACCTGTCTAGACCTTTGTAGAAATAAGCCTGAGCAGTCGAAGTAATGCTGTTGAGCACTCTGAACACGAGATTTTTGGAGTTGTACCAATGTACACAACACTTAAATGCAGATGACTGGTAGATTTACAGTTTACCTTGTACTCAGCAATGTACAGCAGTGACAAAGACTACATAATCAGGTTACTGTGAATTCTTCAAACTGTTGCGCTTTAAGTAGTAGATACTTGGCTAAATCCTCAGTGGCACTACTTAATTAGCTTGAACAATGACATGCCTATGGAGGACACTCATTGATTCCTGCCCAGGGCGTCCGCAATAATGAGACTGGATCACGTGAAAGTGTTTCGGCAACCTTGCTGACTCATCGAAACTGCACGTGACCGATCAATTTCAGGACCAGGGGAACTCAACGCTTGTTAACAAGAATACATACATACAATATGATATCTAACTAGTATGTACATTAACTAGCATTTATAAACCTTACAGAGCACAAGCAACAAAGTACAATGTCATATGCCGTGAATGATGCCGAGCACGTGCAGCGATCTCATTTTGCGCCGCGAATCAGCATGCTGTTCCCGGCCTCCATACATCAGCCCTGCGTCGAATTGTGTCTGTCCCCGATGGTCATATCGCGTTTTTTGTGGGTAGAAACATGTGCAAAGCGTTTCAGGGGAATGGTTACATGTTACAGCATGTATATACTTAACTACAGATGCCCTTGCTCCAAAGTTGCTTGAGCTTGTACTGTAGCATACATGATCCTTGAATGCATGAGCAGGCGGTGTTTGGGGTCTGAGAAATCTGAATATGATAAGATCAACTATCAATCACACGGAACACAAACCTTTGAGATCGGGATGCTCGCTTATCAGCATATAGTTCCGGGCCTCCATACATCGCCTGATTCATCAGACCGTATGGAGGCCTGGAAGGCCCTGCTCACAACCAAGACATTTGACATTGATAGGCGATGCACGTGGCCAGGACCCCATGAACTCACTACGTACTCTTCTTTACGCATGTTTTCAACATCCTAATACTATCTTATTGCATTCATAAAATGACTTGTTGAGGCACAAATTCAACGAGTATGAGATTACAACATAACTGTAGATGACGGGGTTCAGTAAGGACACAACAAAAACAGTATGTATGTAGAATCTTGTGATCCGGGATCAGCAATGGGATATCAGATCAATTGTGGCTGCTTTGTCAGACCAAGCAGCTTGCTACGTCATACTGATGGGACATCAGATCAATTGATTGCTGGGCTCGTCACTACAAATGAAACTACATGTAAATGGATGAAAATGCGCGATTGAGAGCCAGGATCCATCAACATTTAAACGAGTGGCTTCAATCCAAAGAAACGGCAATATCTGGAGCATTTGTGCTTGGTAGGAAACACTGTGAATAGTGAACCAACATTGCCACCACCGAACATGGTCTCCTTCGATATATCACTGATGTTCAACAAATGAGCAGATAGCATTACAAACTGCAAAAAGAAGGACTTACGGCGCTGTCATGATCTGCGGGTCGCTCAACAGCGACTCAGACCCTAAATATTCAGAGCAAATAAGTGATTTCTAAAAAAAAGACGGTGGGTTGAATTCACGCACCCTGGTAGTCAGAAATGAAGACCAATCCACCCGATTTCTCGTACTGCACATGTTGTGTGAAACACAAGAACTCAGCAACATAAAACAAGGGGTGAGTCGGAGCCAAATGCGGAATGGGAGCGCGGTTGTGAACAAATTTGACAAATGGGCTTTCAACAAGCTCCTCAATCACGAGAGTTCAGCGGTGCGAGGATGCAGTTTGAACATTCTTCCCAACAGTGGACTCGTGAACCAAGGCAATGCCCCCCTCCACAAAGTGAATGTTTGGAATAACAAGGCTTGGTGGCGGAGGCCCTGTCTTTGCTAGTTTATGATCAATGAATGAGAGGGAAAGATCGAAGAGAGAGATAGCCCAAAGGAGTAGATTGCATTCCCCGATGGTGTGCCAATACTTGGCTGAGACATCGAATCGCCTCGCGCTGCCCCATTCATCTCTGCCTTGAGTCATGCGCTTGACAGCAACACGTTGGTTGGTGCAACTACCAAGTCCATTCGGAGCAAGGGGGGTGAGGGTCAGGAAGCCCCGATGTGCATCTTTGAAAGATCCAGTGCCAAGGGAAGCGGATAATGCAACCATCAAGGTGCCATCCTCGCACATTGCTGGGTCAAATTCAAATCTGACTGGATGGGAGACGTCAAACAGCTCGCTCATTGGGCGTGGAACGACACGCAAAAATTGGATGCGATCAGAGGTAGGTAGATCTAGGGAAACGATTTTATTGGTAAGTGCGATTGAACAAGATTCAAATGTGCGCTCACCCAAAGGCCCTGCCCTTAACGCTTCTCCTCCGACGCTCAAGGCTTTCCGAAGCCTTGCTTGGTCAGCTTGATCAGGAGAGCGATACGGCCGTTTCATTCCCGCATGGTAAGTCTCTGGTGTGCGGGGACGTTCACTCAGACGGTGCAGAGAGGAATTACCCCAATCAACAGAGCCCAGAGCCCTGACTTTTGATGGAGATCTAGATGCATCACTTGTGGCCACAGATTGCGATCTTTGAGACTTGGAGACTGTGATCAAAAACGACTTTCCAGAGACAGCACGAGATCTCTCCGAAGCTGAAGTTTGGGACTAGGTTGAAACATTTTGTTGGGGAAAATGGGTCGAGGGGTCGATTAGATAATTGTAGTGTAGGTTTGCAATAGCAATGAGGAATAAACTTGGATTGCTTTAGGGCAAACTGATGCCCTTTAGACTACATACCGGCTTAGTTATATACTAGTAATGTAAGTAATCTAGAATATTCTACTATTGACCGGTATATGACTAAATACAATTATCTAATGATCTGGAGCATTCTGGGACAGCTGAGCTGCATCCCAGGAATTCTATTTAATTTCAACACATTTCAGTATAACGAGAGGCGACTGGACTAGATAACATACACGAGTCCGCATCTTTGAGCCGGTTGCAGCAGACTCAGTTGCAGTACTAGTAACCGTCTTGGTGGCTGTCTTGGTGGCCGTCTTAGCATGAGCACGAGATTGGACTCGGGGGAGAGAAGGAAGAGAGTTGTCCTCATCTCCGCCATCCTTCATCTAAGTATACATATAAAAAGGAATTTAATATTAAATGAATGGATTACACGCACCAGCACTTCAGAATCCACAGGCTCGTCTTCATCAGATTTGACTCGATCACCAATGACCTGGAATGGGTAGTGAGAAAAATGTGAGAGCGGCATGCATTTGAGTAGAGGACAGACCGAAGGCTCCAAGCTATGCATCTGCTCTCGGTATTGTTTCCAAGCCAGTCCTGAGACCACAAGAGCGACAGGAACTGGGGCTTTAGGGGAATTCCACAAAGGTTTTGACTGGTTCTTTGCCACTTTGTAGTATAACCCATAATAGATTGGAACTGCACAATCAGGAACAGCTCGGATATCCTGCCAACTACGAACGTCTCACACAGTGACGTTGTTTGGTGAGAAACTGTAGTCTGTGGCTCTGCACAACCAATCAAACATCAACTCAAAGACACGGTTGAAGATGGTTTCAGCAGATGCAGCTCCCGGGATAGTTGTTCCCTCGCTGATTGTCTATTAATCATATCAGCAAGAGAATTCATCTGAAATTCAATGAACATATCCCATACGGTTCTCCCTTTGGTTTTTTCTCAGCCTCGTAGCGAATACCAACAATGAGATTAAGTATCTTGTCTGTCCGAGAGACATATGCGGACTTGGACCAGAAGCCCTTTGCCTCCTGATATCTGGAATGATTTTGGGAATATCCCTTGTCTGACCAGTTGTTGCTTGCACCAGACAAACTTCCAGATGAAGGAGCGGCCAAGTCCCATGCACTAGGAACTGAGACACAAGGACGTGCTGAGACTCCGTGAATGCCAATACAACAATATACCCTTATAATAGTGCTTACCCATAATAGCAGCTGGCGGGGACATAGATCCCCGAGGCATAGCAGAAACATGCTTTTGCGCTTGGTTTGGATCTAAACAGTGGACGTTAGCAGTGTAATGGATTAGAATAGAAGTATATTCTTACCTCCAATACAACCAGCTGCATTCATCTGACGGATTTCATGGGAATTGATGCTTGCGCCGGATCTTGCCGCATATGCCGCTGTTTTAATGCGTCAATGAGCAAATATCAAAGAAAATCTGATAATTGAAGACAATGTATGCACTGGCCTCTATGCCCTTGTAGTGGGAATAACAAGAGGAGCAGACGATCCGAAAGTGACCAGGGTTGCTCTTGCTCTCAGCATTGTATCCCCGTTGGCCTCGACGAATGGTTCTGTTACCCTTACAAATTTCCCGATTCTTGTACCTTGTGTCTTGAAGAGCAACCCGATTGTTGGTGAAGTCAACTTTGAGAGGAGTGGATGCTTGAGACATTTGGAATAGGTGGGGCACGACCCAGAATGGACGCACAGGGAAGGTTTATAAGTACAGTTGAAAGATCTAAATTTAAAACATGCAAAGCTCATGGTCTATTAACAGCGAACCTTGGACGCCTTCAGATACCGACATGAGACGCATGGTCTCTCCTTCACAAATATTTTTATGAGCTGATAAGTTGGCAAGAAAAAATGTGGCATGAGGGTCCACGTTCCTGTAGACACGTGCCTCACTCTCAAAAAAATGCAAGTTACATGCTGCCCGTTTCATCACCACATTGTGATGTTGATATGCCTAGACCATGAAAATTCTTACAAATTGACCTCATTGACCTGGAATGAGGCGGTTTACTGTTGAATAAGGTTAATTGGTAGCGGTGAAGTTCATTTACCAATAGACACGAGTAGAACTGCTGACCGCGGAGGCAAACAGAGGAGATAAGTGAAGCCCATAAGCTCATTTACCATCAGACATGAGTAGAACTGCTGGCCGTGGAGGCAAAATGAGGCGATTGTTATTCATTGCGTCATTATTTTTTCGCTCTCATAAATAGAACATACAAACTTGCCTCTCAGTATCTCGAATCCTCGAGCGCTCTCCCTGTTCCCTCTTTTCCATTTACAGTCCTCACAGCCCTTGCTCGTCAAACCCGGCACATTCACAATGGGGAATCAGCATAAACCAACTCGTATGTGCCTTTCCTTGTCTATCAAAATGCCTCTAACATGGGCGTTGCAGCTTCCAAAACACCTGAGCTTCAGAGCGCAATCGAATATTACTGGAAGATGAAGCGGAATGACAAATTCATTCTCGAGCAGCTCAAGAAACATCACATTGATTTATCTCGCTACGGTCTTGAGTGAGTCCGCAGCATTCTTACTGCTCAGTTTCACTTGATTTCTTTACTTACAACACAAATAGAATAAAGGCTTTCCGCAAAATTCGAGAACACTTTGGTTTCTTTCGTGTCCGAAAACAGGGCCACACCGTGGAGACAATTGGTGACGCCGTAGCTCGGATTCGCGTCATCTATCCAAAAGCTGGTGGCCGAGACATGGTCAACCTGTTGTTCAATGAAGAGAATATGATGGTTTCAAGGTACGTCATGTGTTGGCAAATTATTTCACTGAGACTAACTATGTTTGACAGCGGGATAGTAATGGAATTCTTTCATCGTTTTGAACCTGATCTGGTACGAGAACGTTGCCATGGGCATTTCAAACGAAAGCAGTTTTGGGCTGCTGGAGTGAACAATTTGTGGGCCGTGGATCAGCACGATAAGTGGAAATATAAATTCGGTCTCGCATTGCACACTGGGATTGATCCTTTCATCGGGTATATCCATTGGATGAAGATTTGGTGGAATAATAGTAACCCGTGTCTCATTCTAAGCTACTATCTAGACGCAATTCAAGAACTACAATGTGTGTAGCCCATCTCCTGTCCTAATCACCTAGATTGCTAATATTTCGAGTTTAGTCATTCCATTGGTCAGTCAGAGCGACCCAGGATCCGAGACTGTCAGAATTGCAAACGGGCATACCACATTGCGACACCTGCACGACCCCAATCTTGCTGGTACCTCGCAGCACCGCTACATGCGCAAGAAGAAAAATGTTATGCCGGAAATCACTTGGAGCATGATGCGCCGTCGATTTACACCTGGTTTCGAGAATATTCTCGATGAAGGAGTGAATAATGGCTGGTACGATACTGGCAACCTTCTGCAGGCGTAAGTTTAATCTTATTGCTCGACTCTCTGATCTAACTATATTGTTAGGCTTGTATTTCGGTGGGTGTTTATCCGCTGGTTACAAGCAGAGTTAGAAGGGTACCAAAATCGTGTCAACATGACTGCGAAACGCCAGGATCGTAACAAGATCCTGCCACACGGCGTCCCACAGCACATGCTGGAGTATCCCGAGGAATATGCAGTGCTTGACTTCAAGGTATGTTTCTGACATTTGCACTACGAGTTTCGCGACTTATAAGATCTCAGATCAAAGTCCAGCAACAGCATATTGACGCAGTGCGGCAAGAATATGCGTCACCTGATCATGACATTTTCAACCTTGTTCCGCCCGACTTTGACGCGCTGATTAGTGGATTTTATCAAGAGATTGGGAAGCCAGCTGTCAATCGTGAGACGTGCTGGGAAATCTATCATCAGCTGCTTGATCGCTTTGAACACTTGGAAGAGATTCACAACATGGAAAGCAATGTTGATGAGTTGTGGGGTTTTGCGCTGATCCAAGCGGAGGACCAGTATCTCAACGAGATTCAGCCCATCCTGAACTTGCGTCCACTTTGGGGCGATGAGGATATTGTCGGATTCTATGTGGGAGGTGTTAACGGTGGCGAAGGGCTTGGTACGTCATCATCATTTGCAATTTAATATATCTGAACGTGATAACAGATGATGGGCATCAAGCTCATTTGCAGCAGCTTGTCAATGATGTAGAACCCAATGTTCCGGGGGCGGCTGGCAACAATGACAATGACAATGAGGTTGTCCAAGCTTGGTTCTCAGATGAAGAAGGACCTGAGGATCTGGCAGCAGCGGATGAGTGGTAAAATACTAGCTGTGATATTCTCTGGATATTGCCGTTTCTTTGGATTGAAGCCACTCGTTTAAATGTTGATGGATCCTGGCTCTCAATCGCGCATTTTCATCCATTTACATGTAGTTTCATTTGTAGTGACGAGCCCCGCAATCAATTGATCTGATGTCCCATCAGTATGACGTAGCAAGCTGCTTGGTCTGACAAAGCAGCCACAATTGATCTGATATCCCATCGCTGATCCCGGATCACAAGATTCTACATACATACTGTTTTTTGTTGTGTCCTTACTGAACCCCGTCATCTACAGTTATGTTGTAATCTCATACTCGTTGAATTTATGCCTCAACAAGTCATTTTATGGATGCAATAAGATAGTATTAGGATGTTGAAAACATGCGTAAAGAAGAGTACGTAGTGAGTTCATGGGGTCCTGGCCACGTGCATCGCCTATCAATGTCAAATGTCTCGGTTGTGAGCAGGGCCTTCCAGGCCTCCATACACCGCGAGTGTAACTTGGAATTAATTGAATGGTGCAATTATTAAACCTGCTGGAACCTCACGCAATCCATCTGCTTCCCCTTTCATTTTGAGTTGTCCAAGCCCCGAATTTCTTGAAAAAACTACATAGGTCAAGAATCTTGGGGGGAAAATATCAAGCTCACTGGAGTCCACTGTTATCGATCAAAAACTAAGGCTTCCCGATGGGCGCAGAATGAGCAACTGTTCCAGAGGCTCACGTTTGATTGAAAACATTCCGGTCAGACTGGTGAGTTGGATTTGGGCTCTGGTGTAGATATATACGGGGAGTATGTCGTCAACATGTATAAATGTTCTCGTAAAGTACAACAGTTTGAGTTTGGGATCATGAATGTCCAGTTCAAGTGTCATGCCACCAATGGCGATCGTTAGCCTGCTCTTCTATGGGTTTCAAATGTACAGCTCGTCCTTGACGCTTGCCCAGAATGCGCAACGATCCAGCAACCCCGAATCGACCGCTTCCATCGCCACACCACCGGGCTGGAGGAGGATTCGGGTGCCAGGAGGCGTCGCCGGAACATTAAAAGTCTAGCACGCTCGCATTAAGCGCTAGAATGAATTGACTGATCACCGGCAGCACTTACAGACCAAACGGGCGCTCCTGCAGCGGCTGGCGTCCCGGTGGTGGCGAACGACGTCCAGTACTGCCGCATGTTGGACACGAGGGCCGCATCGGCCGCATTGACCGTCGGCGGGGTCAGGAAGAACGAGTCAAGCTCGTCGCCGTGATTAGACCCTCTGAGGGGGTTATTGTAACTGCCGCGGAATCAAAACGAGGCCCAACTCCGGGAAGAATGAAGAATAAGTACCGGTATCCATAAGCAGGGAGCCCCTGCGCCACGGCGGACCGCGCGCCCAGCAGCGACGTGCAGATGTACCGCAGCTCGCCGTACATCTGCTGCCCCTGCAGACTGAAGCTCCCTGCAAAGGCCGAGAGGGGGTAGTACTGCGCAACGGCGGCGGAGAACGTGTCCTGCGTGAGCGTCGGGTACTGGCCCACGAGGAAGTTGTACACCGTGTCCTCGTCCGCGTCCGGGCTCGACGTGTTGGCGCTCGGATCGGTGATGGTGGCGGACCAGCGCGCGCCCTCGTTCGTGTTTGAGCTGTGGAAGTAGATCGGCGAGTCACGTCAGAGCCTAGATTAGATTGGTATGGGATCGCTGACGGACCCGAATATGGCGGGCACCCGCATGAAGCTCCCGCTCGACAACGCGTCGTAGGTCCGTTGGGTGAGATACACGCCATCGAGAATCGGCCCGAGCGGGAATAGCGCATCCGGCAGAGCGTCCAGAGTCGCCGCGCCTGCTGAAGCGATCGTCGCGGTCGATGCACTCCGCAGGCAATCCATAATCGAGGCACTGTCGTCCCCTTCATCGTCGCATCCTCTGCAGAACGGTGAGTGATAAAGCCTGCCTACAGACTCAGACCCACGCGAGTGAATTGAAGGTGTCGAATAAGGCCGTGACGTGGGGATCGTCGTAGGAGGGAAGATAGAGCGTGGGTGGACTGTCGCCGATCGCCTGACTGAACAGCCCTTGGTTACCATTTCCTCCCTGGGCTATCATCTGTGCGGGATCAGCCCTGGGGTTATTCGGGAGGACGGCACTGACATGATACACGAGCGATCCAGCTCCGGCGCTCTATTTTCGTGTCTCGATCAGCTGTTATAAAAGGAAGCGAGAAGGGGTTCTGATACCTGGCCCCAGAGCGTGACGCGCGTAGGATCTCCCCCGAATAGGCTGATATAGCGCTGCACCCATTTCAGCGCCGCTTGCTGCGCACATCATCAAATCACACGATTGGCACCGGTCCCAGGCACACAAACGGAACCACGCACCTGATCGAGCAGCCCAACATTGATCACGCCCTCGTCGTGGACGGGTGTCCCCGCTGAGTCGGTCAGGTGCCGCAAGGTCAGCCATATTTAGCGCAAGGGGAGACTGGAGCGCAGCCCACCGAGGAACCCGAATTGCCCCAGGCGGTAGTTGAACGTCACGAGGATCAGCGGCTGCGTAGACGCCGGCAGCAGGTCCTCCGGCGGGAACTTGCTCGACCTGCCCGACTCGAATCCACCGCCATAAATGAACACGAGCACGGGCAGCTTGCTCGTCGGGGTCGTACCGCTCGTGGGAATGTACACGTTCGCGAATAGGCAGTCCTCGCTCGTCGTCGCGCCTGCGTTGCGCTGCGACGCGCCGATGCACGCCGAGCCGTACTGGAAAGTATGAGTGTCCATTGACAGGCTATCCGGGAGTGTGGACTCACTGCTGTGGCGCTCACTCGCCCGAGCGACGTCGACGGGGGCGAGACGGGGGCGCGCCAGCGCAAGTCTCCCGTAGGTGCGTCCGCGAAGCGCATGCCAAGGAAGTACGTCAGTCCGGTCGTCTTGTTCGCGCGGCCGGTGAAGGTCGCATCTGCCGGAGTGGGTGAGTCCAGTGGAGCTGGGAGATGCGTTCCCGTGCGGTGCTCACAATCCAGGGCCACGCTCGTCAGTGGACTTTGGGCCGCGGGGACGGCGCACGCTCCACCGGCCAGGAGAGTGAGCAGGAAAAAGGAGGATATCAGCATTTGGCAGACAGTGAGTTCGTGCTAGAAATTACTGGTGGCGAGGAGTGTGTGTCTCATCGTTGAACTGCGCCGTAGACATTTTATACCATTTCCATCCGCCAAGAAGCCCACGGAGAGAGCGAGAGCGAGAGAGACTCTGACGGCAGACAATAGATTGTGTTACGTTCATTCCGGAGAGAGTGGGGCTCTTTTAGTTGTAACCGGAATAAAAGCCCTAATCGGATCCTCGAACCCGTTTTACAAGTCCCGAAACGGGCTGCAAGCGCACAAGCAGAGCCCAGCATCAGAACCCCGTGGGTACCCGAGCCCATTATCTCCCGCGAAACTCTACTTGGAGTGCCGGTCCTGTGGGATCCTTGGCGTGAAACCATCTCCCTGCAGAATATGACACAGCCACGGAGGGCCGGAGCAAGGCCATTGGGTGGGATGGGTACCCTATCTGCGAATAGATAACTGCGACGGGGCTTGCGTTTGGGCCAGAGAACCTGAATGTCGCGAGGCGTTTGATTAATAGAGGCTACAAGGTCCGGTGACCTGTTATGTAAAAGCCTACGAGACGGGTGGATCTAGGACAGATGGCCGGCCGAGTATCTCAGAAAGGTCTTAGGTGTGAATGAACCGGCAGTGGGCAGTAAACCAACATGCCGAATGGGAGCCGAGTGAAACACGTGCGTTTTGTGTTTCGATGACGCTCGATTTTCCATTATTGGGATGCATATGTAGAACTATCAAAGCGCTAGTCGGCCCGTGGACGTCAGCCTGTCTTCGACCTGTCTTTGATCTGTCTCGCTGAGAATGTCATTCATTAGCTCACTGAGATGACGAGTCCTAGCATGCATCCGAGTATATTCCGCTCTCAAAGCAATAAAAAGAACACCGATCACTCCTCGCCCAGTACGCCTGTGATTAACCAAGAAAAAATTCCGATTCAACTGGAGCCTTCAAGATAGCTCGGCTGGGTTATACACCCTGCAAAAGAAATCACGTCAACTCAACCGGGGCAAATCGGGCAGCAACAGAAGGAAACGCACAGAACGCTCATGAAAGGGTTATTCCTAAACTGGCCATCGATATTATCGACCCCAGAGCAATAGCCTGCCAGCGCCTTCACCGTGTGGCCCAGATCCGCGGCGCAAATCCCATACGCGCCCGCGACGTCGTTGAAGAACGCAAGCGCACACCCCTTGTAGCTCCACGCGAGGATCGAGCCCCGCGGGATGCTGTAGAATCCGTTCACGAGCGGCGGGGCGCCGGCGTCGAGGCCAGGGCTGGCTGGGGCGCCCGCGATGAGGCCCGCGAGCGCGGTGCAGTCGGCGGGGACGGGCACCGGCGTCGAGGCGTTCACGGGCGTCGACCCGCTGCAGCCGAGGATCAGCACTGGGTGTGAGATCAGAGTTGTGCGATGCATTTTACGAAGATGCTGGGGACGCACGCTCGTTTCCGGCCTGGCCTGGGGCGCTACAGTAGCACGGGAACGAGCCGTTCGAGCACGGGCAGGATGTGCAGGTCTGCCTCTTCTCCAGAGTCAACGGCTCTGCCTCCGGGACGCGGGCTGCGAGCGCCGCTGGGCAGGAGGTAATGCTGAAGTGAGCCTCCCCGCCGATCGTGGCATTGGCGATAATTTGCCGACCCGGTCCGCACGCTGCGAGCCGCTCGGACATGCCTGGGCTCGACTCAATTCCTGGCCGAAGAAGAGATTGCGGGGATGCATCAACAGCGTACTTTTACCGGCCAACACACTCTGAGCGCCGAGAGAGAGAACCATGACAACGAGCTTGAGAGATTTCCCGACCGTCATCGAGAACGAAACTGCGCGGAGGATTCTGAGCGAGGAAGAACTCAGCCAACGTAACAGACCTTATGTACTGCAGGCCCAACTGATCGCGGCCGAAAAGCCGGTGCGAGGAGTGCGTATCAACCCACATCTACGTACAGCAGATGGACGTTTTCCGAGTACAGCAGCGACGCCACTCTAGACCTCCTGATCCTGAAAGCCTTACGTCTCAGCTGGTGAATCTGCCTGCCGCACAAGAAGTGCAAAGCATCATATCATCTTCATCCGTCCAGTCGCTTTCTGCGGGGTTCATTGATATGTGCATCTGTGAACAGTCTGCTAGGACGTGGAGACGGCTGTGATACACCGGGCGTGATGGGGATGGCGCTACAAACGTGCGAATCAGATCGTATGGCATCAGTCGCAGTTACAAGTCCCGACAGACAAGCACGAACCGATGGAAGAACAAATGAGGCAGGCATGGTTTTCGAGATAGCATACAGCATAGAAGAACATACGGCATATCGAGTCATAGAATCAAAAGAACAGCTGGCACGATACACATACGCCAGTCACAACGCCGGGCAATACCCACGCGAGATTGCACACGCGAGACCTCAGGCTTCAGGCTCCGGATCGATCTCCGGCCTCTGCCCAGCCGAACTCGCACTCGAGAACCGCCGACTGAGCCGTCTGCGGAGCCACGAGAGGGCCCCGCGCTTCTGCCCGACCATACGCAGACTGCTCGTCGGCGGAGTCGGTGGGAAATCGATCCCCGGAACGGACGGGCGCGGCGGCGACATCGGCTCGAACGCGGAATAGTAGTGGTAGTGGTGGTGGGGGTGGAAGTAGGAGTCGGCCCTCGGGGCGTTGGGTGACTGCCGCACAGAGGGCGACGCGAACGGGATAGGCAGGGCCAGCTCGCTGGGAACCCTCGAGTAGGGACTCGTCTGTGTGAAATTGATCAGCAAGGCAGCGAGAACCCCGGTTCAGAGAGATGAGCACCTCCGCATTCTGGCTAGAGATAAGTGGAGAAACATCCCTCTCCCCAAGATTAGCGATATGCCAAGGTCGACTGGACGAGCTGTGAGTCTCTGCCGGGGAGCGAAGAAGGTCGAACTGGGATAGTCGTGTCGAGACATTCGACGGTGCGCGTTGGCGTGCATGTCGTGCGGATGCGCTCGACAGAGCTGATCTTTCGTCACGGAAAGATTCCGGATGGTGCATTGGCAGGGGAGAAAGCTCCTGAGATCCAGCTGTCACTGCGTAGCTGAGTGGTGGGGAGTCCCGGTATTCCGAGTGTGACAGAGACGAATCTGTCGGCGAAGAAGGGTAGATGTGGAGGGGTAGTGTCGGTGCGTAAGGGCTGGTGGTGGGACTCGTCTCGTGTGTGCTGGAACTTCGCGGCACTCTCGCTCTAGCGGACCTATTCTTGTCAGTCATGGCACAATTGGATGTCATGAGGAAACAGTGACCTTTCAGCGAGGTCTGGCAGCGTCGGCGCGTAGGGGCTGTTGTCGGCACTCGGTGGAACTGAAGGAGGGGAAGTTGCTCTGATGGATCTGCAAGATGAGGTGGTCAGCAAACGTGCCGACAGACTGAAGATGGATTCAGATAGACCTATGGCGCACAACGGAAGATTCATGGGCGTCACCGGCTATCCGAGTCGGGGCCCGGGACGACCTGGACGTTCTCGGCCGCGACCTACTCTCGGCCGTCCCAGCCTGGTCTCTCCCAGCAGCAGCAAGAACGGCCCTTTCCGCAACTACCCGCCGCACCTCCGTCTCCATCCTGCCCTCAGTCAGCCCCATCTCATACCCAAACCTCCTCCCCTGCTCCCGTGCATCGCTCACCGCCCTCTCCTCCTCCATCCGCCGTACGGCCCCCCTCGCGTTCGCCGCGCCCTCCTCCGCCGCCCTCCGCGCCGCCTCCGTGCGCCCCAGCTCCGCCTCCGTGCGCGCGAGCTCGGCCCGCGCCGCGCGTAGTTGCACCGCACTCATGCCGAGGTCCGTCTGTGTCTGCGCGAGTGCGCGGTGGAGTGCGTCGTGCGCGTCGAGCACCGTGCGCAGCGTCGCCAGCGCGGACTCGGCCGTCGACGGCGGGGACGGAGACGGGGTGCACCCCCTGCTGGAGGGGTGGACGAAGAGCAGGTGCGCGGCGATGCTGTCGATGAGCGAGTCACGGGAGTGCCGGCGCGGTGCGGGGTTGCGTTTGCGGGATCTCGTCGTCGGCTGCTGATCGGTGGATTTAGACTTCGATTTCGATTTCGGCCTGGATTTCGGGTTCGGGCGGAGTGCGCTTGGAGGTGGAGCGCTGGCTTCAGAGTATCCAGGCAGGGCGCGGAGCGGGTCTGGGAGCGACGATGCCAATTGTGGGTGCGGCGATTGTCTGTGAATGCGATGAGTGGAAAAAGAAAGCTACGGCAACGCATACGGACTCTTGCGTCGATGGAGCAGACATCGAGCTGCAGCTGAAACGGCGACGGTGCGAGGTGTAGAGTGAGAGGTGTGAAGGAGGTGGGTGCATGGCCTCAAGCACACATCATCTTCCAGCCCACACAGCGCATGGATCCAAGCCTGTTCCCTTGAATCCGCGCCTCAGTTCGGATCCAGTCCGTGTTGGGAAAGACGGAATCCGAGGTCGTCACAGAACGCGCACCCAGCGAGGCTCGCAGTGATACACGTGTGCTCGGCGTGGCGAGAACAAAGGTAGGGACCGATTGGGGCGAGATAAGAGTATGGGAGGCTGGGCTCAGAGTGAGCGAGTGGGAGAATCGATGGGATCCTGGGGGGCATTACATCTGTGGTGAGAGACGGAACTCGTCCTTCCTGCCTTCTGGCCTGAGATCGACCGTCAGTCACAGCCGTATTCTCGCCCATTCTTTCCACACGTGAAGTCAAAATGGCCCATAGAGTCGGCAGCGGAACATTCGGATCTAGCGGGTATAAATGGTATACTTTCAGTAGGAGGGCGGCATGCTTGAACGAAGAAAAACCGATTTCAAGACGTGCAGGGTGACGGCGGTGATAGCCGCCCATGCTTTTGATGGTAGGCACCATTAGCGAAATCAAAGCATAACAGCATGTATTAAGAGAAATTCTCCCTCAGCCCACAATGTGGGTATTTCACAGTCCGATACAGAAAGGACGTATATGAAGGATTCCATTTCTTGCTCACGGGGGCATCATTTGTGAGAGGCTAACAACGGGATGAAATTCACAGAAGCCAGTTTCTCGAGTCTCCATTCTGGCCATTCCAGAACAAGCATATGTTTCTCTCATTTGTCAGTTGTGAGAATTATGCGGGAATGGATCGTGATGAAATCCACATATCAGCCCATTTTTAAACTGAACCCTGTTGGCGATGCTTCACATCCTTACAGACAAAAGGCGCTTTGAGGCCACCCCCGTTCGCTGTCAGAATGAAAGGAATCAATTTCTGAAACACTTTCAGATGAGGCCTCATGCGTCTGTTGAACCCAATGAAAGTGAGGACGACGCAACTGGTCCCAGCACATCATTCTACCGCAAACGCAATCAGGATCAGTTGAAAGCATCCGAATCACTGGTTCGGGGATGCTGATCGCCATCAACATCACTCCCTTGATCCTGATCGGCTTGCGTGATCATCCACCTCCTTGCTGACATTTTCCCGTCTGCTGCGTAAAAGTCCGGCTCTCCTCCTCTCTGGTACCCTGCTGCTCATCTTACCGGGAATCCTCAATCATGTCCGACGCCATACCCTCCACCAGCCAAACACCGTCCAACCCTCACCTAGGCAATCTCACTCCCGAGCAGGCCTTGAAGTATACCGAATTCAAAAGTCTGTGTGAAAAGGAGGGCGTCTACGAGCCAGGCAAGACGAGGCCGAGTTTGACTGAAGGAACTCTCATGTGTGTCTCGTTCCGTCGTCACTGTGAGCTGCGTTGAAAGCTCATTGGAGCTGTTCTACAGTCGGTACCTGCGTGCGAGGAAGTACGATCCCGCAGAGGCGCTGCACCAGCTGAAAGACACTGAGGCGTGGAGGAAGGCCAACAAGCTCGATGAGCTGTACGACTCGTTCGACGTCAACGCGTACGAGGATGGTCGGAAAGTCGTGCGTCCCTTCTCACCCCGCGTGTGCATACCCAATCAAACGCTTATTCTCCCGGCACGCAGTACCACCAATGGACGGGCCGGCGAGACCTCACTGGGCGCCCGCTGTACGTGTACGAGATCTCCACGATCAAGGACAACATGGCGGCGTTCGAGCGGTCGTCCAAAATTGCTGCGGTGCCGGCGACGGACGGGTCGGCCCCGATCCCGGGCAAGCTGCGCGTGCTCTTCGCGCTGTACGAGAACATGTCCGAGTACGTCCTCCCGCTCGCCAACGCGGTCCCGACGCGCCCGAACCGGGACGAGCCGGTGTTCACGACGACGCACATCGTCGACCTGAGCAACATGAGCCTGATGCAGTACTGGAACCTGAAGAGCCACATGCAGGCCGCGAGCACGCTCGCGTCGGCGCACTACCCCGAGACGCTCGAGCGTATGTTCGTGAGTCTGCAGTCTCTCATACACCGTCGCTCGCGCACGCTCCCAATCTCATCTTTCCCTTGCAGATGGTGGGGACACCCTCGTTCTTCCCGACTGTCTGGGGATGGATCAAGAGGTGGTTCGACCCGGTCACGACGTCGAAAATCTTCATCCTCTCCGCTGACGAGGTGAAGCCCACGCTGCTCCAGCACATCCGTTCGGAAGATATCCCCAAGAAGTACGGCGGGACCCTAGACTGGGCGTTCGGCGACTCGCCGAAGGTGGACGAGGAGATCGTCAAAACGGCCAAGGGCCTGAGCGCCGAGAATCCGCTGCGTGGGCCCGTGCGCTGGGTCAAGCAGGCGGATGGGACGGCCAAGGTTGTTGCCCGCGGTGTAGCTGATGGAAAGGAGAGGAATGAAGTCGTCGCGGAGTGTTCTCACACGTAACCCAGATATCACTGCTTTAGAACTAGACCCGCTAGACGGAGCACAGAGTTATCTCATCTACTTACCACTTTACCTATTGAAGCAATTGCTCCAGGTCCCACCCAATACGTACTCGTCTGTCCAGCGTAACATTCCAGAGCACACAGTGAACAAGGGTATCATTGGATCGACAGTTCCACGGTCAACGGATCGCATGTCCGAGCACGCTGATAGATACGTATAGTATAGGGTGGCAGCAACTGTAATGACAGCGGATCTGATACACGCTGGGCACTGTACCTCACATCCCGAGGCGGAACAATTAGAGTCCAGGTGCCTGGACGACGAGACCCAGCAGACCCAGCATCGACTCCGAAAAGTCCTTCAAGTTCTGTGCTCCAGTCGGGGTAGCAGCCGGCGCAGAGGCCGACGACTTGATCGAGGCAGAGGCAGAGGAGTGGACGGCACTGGAGCTGCTGCTGGGTTTGGCGCTGCTGCTGCTTTTGCTGCTGCTGCTGCTGCTGCTGCTACTGCTGGTTGTGCTGGTTGTGCTGGGTGTGGGGGTGCTCGAGCTGCTCGAGCTCGACGTGGTCGTGGTGCTCGACGTGGTGCTGTGGGTCGTCGTGGTGGGCGGGGTCCAAGTCGAAGTTGGCGTGGTCGACGTTGTGGGCGGCGGCGTCCATTGCGGGGTCGACGTCGTCTTGTGCGTCGTCGTCGTCGGGGCCGGCGGCGCGGCTGGACCCGTGCCCGGGACCCAGTCCGCTGCATGTGTTTGAGTACAGATTGAAATGGGCAGCAGGCATGGATGGAGGTCGACGCACCGTAGAACACACCGACATTATCATCGTTTTGCTGGCCGCCCACAAAGTGTCCGAACAGTCCGAGCGTAAGATCAAGCGCCTCGGAAGGGCAGCCCATACACTGCAAGGCCGTCCTCGTCAGATCACGCAACACATCGGCCATCGGAAGCGGCGCACCTCGTCAACGATGGTGGCGACGGCGGACATGCCCTGGTAAGTAATATAGATCTGTTCGCCGCAGTGCGCGCCGTTGTCCCAGTTCTGGGCAGAGAGGGCAACGACATAGTCGGAGTTGGAGTGGAACCCTCCACATGCGACTCTGCATTCCTCGTCAGTCACGCGCTCCACTCCCACCAATCAGGAGAACAAAAAGCGCCAAAATCGACTTACTCGCCGGTGGAGACATCGTAGTTGGTGATACGCACACCGGAGCCGCCGTCTCGTTTCAGAGCCGGGGCATGGGTATCACCGGCGTGCTTGCGGGTCAGTTGGCGCGAATGGGCATTCGGGAGGTCAGGGTGCGCGGCGACGAGGGCCACCGACGCGGAAGCAAGAAGGGCGTAGAACAGCATGCGAACACGGGAGAAAGAGGGGGAGGGGAAAGAGAATGTGGTAGCGAGAGTCGTGCTGGTGCTTCTGCGGACAACGACAACGAGGTAGAGGCAAGACGGGAGAGAGGAAACGACAGCGTGGGAACGTTGCCATGTTGATCATCAATCGAGTCTGATGGTTTGGTTTTTGGTTGGCCCCAAGCCTCCGGTCGAAACGAGTAGAAGAGTGCGGGGGAATGTGAGAACCAGTTGGTTCAGACTGATATCAGACGCGAGCCCTGAAATCCCCTGTTTTCTGACCTCGGAAGGACAGCCCTCACGGTTAGAAGTAGCTTCGCTCGGCGTTGACATTGTGCATGTTCCGAAGCCTTCTTCCTTGCTTGGACGCGTCGAAAAGAACTCAAGAGACCGTCGCATTTGATTCCTTCAAATTTCAACGCAAGCACAGCGAAAGCCCTCGACTTGTGTCTCATTACTACCACGGCAATACGAGGGGGGGAGCCAGCAGACCTTGAGATCCCGACTAAACATAAGGACTCGGGCTACGAACACACTGCCTCCCACGACCAGCTCATATACGCTAATTATAAGGAGGATAAACGACATCTCCGAGAGAAGATCTCAAAGCAGAGCTTTCCCGCATCTCATCGAAATTCAATGCGGCTTCACTTAGCCAGGGCCGGAGGCCAACTGGTCACTGCACAGTGGTCGACTTCATAACGCATTATTGGTATCTTCGCAGGATTCCTTCTCTTGTGCAGCTTCATACTCCCAAATCGATATCCCCCCATGCGACCAAGCCCGCACTCCTGAGCGCTGTCAACCCGTGGCATGGATCCATGCAATGCAGCTGCGCAGGCCTTGTCTTGGCTCGGAGGGATAGGACCGGTGCGACGCCGTGTGCTTGGATATTTTCCATCTGAGGGGCCGCTGGGGTGGGCAGTACTCGAGAACGACCGAGATCTGCGCCGCCGTCATGTGGTCCGGTCCGGTAATTGCCTTTATCGGGAGCCTCCGACCGTGGGTGATTGGCGTCGGAGAGCCACAGAGTTGAGAATTTCGCTGATTTTACAGACCTGGCATCAATAAAGTAGACAGCGTTCGCTACTGGGACATACCCTTGAGGGCTTCGATCGCGTAGAATATCATTGTGCAAGGTAGATCGAGAGAAAGCACAGCACGAGCATTTATATACATTTGATCAGCGTCCACGGAGAACACGTCCAAGTATGGATGACTCTGAGACAGAACAACAGGACTGTGACTCGGGAGAACCTGGGAGGTCTAGCTCCTGCGATGAACTACGTACGGGAACTGAGCATTCCATAAGGTCCGACTCACCATATCCCTCTATGTTCTGGGGAGGAACAGTGTGTTTGAAAGCAGCCGAATCCGAACATTGCCGGAAGTGATTGATATTTTTGGCACGATACTTGCGAGTCAAAAGTGCGACGACAAACTGGTGATAATCCGGAGCGAGGGAAGAGGCAAGAGGGCAGAAAAAGCATATTGGATATTGTTCTTAGCCGGTCAAGTCGTTCAGGCCGGCGACCTTTACATGAAGCAGAAGTCGAACTTGGGAGCTTTCAAGGATGTGGAGTGACTGGCATTCTCTGACATAGACAAACTTTCGGGATTGGTTCCAAGAGATGACGATGAGTCGGCCCACCTGACTAACGACTCCAACTTTATATTTGTGCACTGACTTGTACAAATTCATAGAACGTTTAAAAATTAAGGACGTACAAGTGGGTGATTCCTGGGGGCTTTCAACGACGTGCCCACAACACATTGGGTATCATCTCATCCAGTATTACCACGCGAGGCATCGGCTGTAAACCAAGATGACTCGATTAAGCGAGGAGCATGGCAGGGGTCCATCCCTTTTACGCTCGATGGACTTGGCGCGCTGCTATCGTTCCATTGATTTGCTCGTTCGATTCGGACTGTTTGCTCATTTTTCTGCAACAGACATGTGCGTGAGCCCAGCACAATCATATTTAGCTCAATCAGTTGTAACGTGACGGAGAAGACACCCACATGTTGATAACTTGATGCCATGTATCCAGCCCTTCTTCGTAGCAACCTTGCTACCACGCAGCACCGCGCGTGTACTGCGTGATGGCCGGTGCCCGTCCGAGAGCTGGATGGTCGACTTGGCCGTGGAGATAAGTGGATGCGAATGGATCAACCCACTTCTGTGCTGTGAGTGTCGGCCTACATGCCGTCAAGGTCGTGCTTCAATCACCCGGCAGATAGCTACCTCCTCCGAAAGAGACACAAGGGAGTGTGAGAGGCGGAACGCAATGTGATCGCTGCACCTTGCTTGAATTCTGCGAGTCTCTCCTTGCAGCACAGTCATCGGAGCATCATCCTTGGAACGTTCTGAATCCGCAGACAGCAAGACTGTCGTTTCGCAGTACGGTGCAATACCCCTCACAGGGGACAAGCGCACATGCGATAGCAGGCGTCAGAGCTGGTCTTCGGTGAAGGTGCTTTCCCAATACAGGCATATCGTTCCAGTGACGAAGAATCGAGCCAGAGCGCCGATAGTCCACTTGCTCCCGAACATCGGAGCAGGAGCCGCAGAACGCCACACCCGTGTGTCCGAGTCGGCAGCTGGTACTCTAGAGCTGGATACGGGCGGTGCGGCTCCGCTGACGAGAACAAGGACAGGCTCCACGACCAAGGAGGGAGAGAGTTGCCAAAGCTGATTGATGCGAAAACCGTTCGGGGATAGCCGAATCGCGAGCACCGCCCTCGACCTTTCTCCTCATGCACTCTCCCCTGCTGTGGCGAACGAACGGAAGAGAAGCGGTCCGATGTCTGACGCCGCAGCCGTGGAATCCGAAGCCGCCCTTCTTCTTCCAGTGATGATGTTTTCTCCATCAATCGCTGTCCCAGCTCTCGCCGCGCGGTCGAAGCATCTGTCCTCGAGTATTCTATGGAGGCCGGGAATTATATGCTGATAAGCGGAGGACATATCACTGATACGCGAAAGTTTGCCGACATGGCATCAATGTCATGATGCGCTCTATGTCATGATGCGCTCTGTCTGGACCCCGAACGCTCGTTAACATGTATGAAAAAGGCCAAGTACATGCACTGTAGAGTAGCGATAGAGCGTAACTACTTACATGAGACTAGACAGTCCAAAAAACTTGCAGTAACCGGAGCATACATGCTGCTCAGGAAACTTCTCGAAGAACCTGCCTGAATTGCCACCACCAAACAGACCACGTTCGAGAGTCCTGATGATCCAGTCAGATATCAAGAGCACGCAGATTGACACAGCAGTGGACTGCGCACGGTGAAGTCATAACCTGCGGATCCGTCAAGAGATTTCCGGAGCCTTGGATAGAGTTAGTATGAAACAGTGAGCCAGATCGAATGAACCGGCCTTGAAGATCAGAAAGAAAGACCAAACGCCCGGTGTGTTCGTATTGGACATGTTGTGTAAAACAGAGGAACGATGCCAACAGCTTGAGATCTTCTGGAAGCGACGGAACGGGCACTGCACTATTGTTATTGATGTACTTCACAAACTTGCCTGAAATTCAGTGAGCAATATACTCGAGTCGTTGCAGAGAACAAACCCGTTCCAATTAATTCTTCAATGAGATATGATCGTCGGAGTGATGTCATCATTTTGCTCGACTTGCCATCTGCCGCCGCATTGTGAACCAGAGCAACGCCGGCCTCGACGAAGCGGACTTCAAAGATAGGGAGGTCGCCTGGTGGCGCGACATGCTTTGATATGTAGTTACGCACGAAAGAATAAACGAAACTGAGAAGGGTAGTGCCCCAGAATAGGAGATTTGCCTCCGATACATGGTGCGCATATTCATCGATGGGGTTGAAGCGGATCAAGACGGTATTCTTGTTGTTCTTGAACATGCGTTTCGCGGCAACGGCTTGATTTGGAAGCGCTCCGAGGGGTGTGGTCGGCAAAGTGGACAGCGTCAGAAACGCAGAATGAGCAGATTTGAACGAACCGATCCCCAGAGGCTTCTCCGAAGGCTGGAGCGACAGAGTACCGGCTTCCGCCTTCGCAATATCGCAGACAAATTTTTGTCCGCCATTTGCGAGGAGATTATTGAGATCGGAGGTCCCAGTGATACGGAAGAATTGGATTATCTCCGTTGTGTGCAAGGCTGCATAGAGATTAGATCTGAATACTTAAGTTTCATAGTAAGACGCACCTCTCGCAATGTTGGGAAAGGAGCCGCCTATACTGAGTGCCTTTCGAAGACGTTGCTGGTCAACCGGATGATAATCGTCGATTGGACTAGCAGCACGCTTTTTCGAAGTCGCTATCTTGCTACTGGATTCCTATTCCATGTATGTATCGAGTCAGCGACAAAACATGAGAAGGGTAAACGAACACACCTGAGACGAAATTTCTCTCGTGCCAGAGCTTGGAAGCGGCGACTCTGGCAGCGCTTGATCTGGCTGAGTAAAGTCCTGCAAGCTTGGCGCCGATCGAGAGGGTCGAACGGAGCTGAACGAACTGGCAGTGGCAGTCTGCTGGATAAATAATCAAACAGATACAAGAATCAAGATAGAAGCGCTCACCTTGCTCTTTGTTTTTGAGCGTGTCAAACACCCGTTACTCGGTTCCTTAGTAGTCTCCGCGGCCGACAGGACTGTCAATTTGAGGGCCGAAGGCTCAGGGGCACGCTGTACCATGTGCGAGCGTAGCGCAGATGAGACGGTATCGGCATTATCCTTTCAGAAAGTCAGTCGTGCCAAATACCGGAGAGTACTAGTATACGCACCTGAATAGAGAGTGTGTCCAGCTCCCGGGCATCACGGTAATTTTCATATCTGAGCCATTCTTTGGCGTCGATGACAAGTGCAAATTGAAAGGGCTTTCTCGGTCGCTGAAACACGAGTTGGCCCTTGTCGGCACGAGCCTTTGATGTCTTGAGGCAACGCTCATAGAGCACGCTGGATCCTGGGAGCTCCGCGTGGACATTGATCCACGTTTCAGTATCGCGTACTAAAAAATTAGACTCATCAAATACAAATTGAGAGTCAGTTTCCTGAGCGATGGCTTGACGAAGCTTGGGCGCCACGTTATCAAACACGGCTGTGATAATTTCGCTTGCGGTAATTGTTGCAGGGACATTCTTGCCCTCGTGAATCGTCTGGAAGCACAAATTCGTGACAAAAAATGATACACGTCACCGTAACATACCCCAAAGACTTGCCCAGTAGGTCGACCACGAGTCTCATAGCGGACACCAATGTTCAGGGTGATCCACTGCGGCGACATCCCAGTATACGCTGATTTGGTAAAAGCCCCGCGTGCCGCGGCATACTGAGAGTGAGCAGCAGAATAGCCTTGGCTTGAATATTGCCCCGGATTAATTGGTGCACTGGACGATCCGGAACTTGATATCGGTTGGTTTGGAAGCGAAACACGAGGACCTTAAGAATTCAGATATTAAATTTGAGCAGATCATGATGTACGTGCCTGTGGATCGCTGTGGGATCTCAAGGGGCGGTCCCATTAGACCCGATGGAATGGCCGCAATCCGGCCTCCACGAGATGCGTCTGCGAATGCTCAGTCAGAAGCAGGGTATAGAACAAAAATAACATACCTCCAACGCGTCCTTGGATGTTCCTCTGCCGGATAGATTCTTTCTCGCCTTCCAGATCGCCCCGGAACGTTGCTGCACAGATTGTGATTGATAAATTGCATCAGTTTTAGCATCTAAACGTACCTCGGACCGAGCTCGAGGCTTTCCTTGCGTAATGCGCATGGCAAGCTGCACACACAAGCCTGCCACCGGAGACAGCAGAAAGGTTCTCCACCCGGAAGCGAGGCTGACCGGGCAAGATCAGCAAGCCCTTTGTGAGATCAGAACGGTCGCGAGTGTAGCATCGGGCTCCAGTCTGGCACACAACGGGCTCCTGATCAGAACTATCATCGGTGAAGTTGGCAAAGAGGGTTGATCCAGACATGATCAGAGCACCAGTAGGCGACGATTAAGTCCCATTTTGTGAGACGCTTTTAAGGCCTTTGAGCGTCAGCAATTAGTAGTGGGTCGACAATCTCGGCTGTGTTGCCAGAGTGCTCCCCCAGGCTCGGTAAGACTGCCTCGGTCTCAGTAAATTTCACGGTGTGTCATGGATCCTCAGTTCTTAATCAACGTGTTTGGTGGAATGGATGTAGCGCCTTAAGCATGTGCCCGGCCGCACTAGGGCTCCGCCAATTACTGGGCTGTTAAACCCTTGAATTTTCCGCGGTGGTATGCAACGAGCACAGCAAGCGCTCAACATGTGCGATTTCAGTGTTGATGCTGATGTTGAATTTATTACTGCCGCCCTGCGTGTTCTCAAGCGAGGCCCTCGTTGAGAAACAACGACTCACCAAAGTACATGCCTGGGAAGTTGCACTACCGGACAAGGAGAATAATTATATCAATTGGGATCCGATCCGAAATGATATCTAGGTTTGTAAAAAGTCCTTCGGTTATCAACATTAACATTATCAACATGAGTTGAAAATAACTCCGATCAGCAACGTTTTTGTTTACCCTGACTTTCTAAGTACATGCATATGCCTTCCACTCCGTACTACCGCCGTACCCAGCTCGTTGATCGTGTTCTCAGATCGCCACTATAAAGTGAGTCCTGGCTTATTCGCACTCCAACAGAAGCTCCTCCTCGGTTCTTTTGTGCCACCAGCGGTCTCATAACTCTCTGAATGCCCAATCAGTACAAGCCCGTTCGTACGTGTTACACTTCCAACTGTTTCACCTTGCCCTTGCTCTGGAACGTTCACAGCTAATGCTGAAGACCTCCGTCCTTTCATCGAGAAGTACTGGAAGCAGAACAAGAAGGATGTCGAGATCGTCGAGCTGCTCAAGAAGTATCACATCGATCTCAACAAATACGGCCTCGAGTGCGTGTATATTTGTGTCTTCATTGTGCAGGCTACTAACCGCTCTCAATTAGAGTTCAAACATTTAGAAAAATTCGCGAGAAGCTTGGTTTCATACGCACGCGGCGTCAAGGCCACACCGTGGACACAATTGGGGTATTTATTGTCAAACTCCGTCCGATCTATCCCAAGGCTGGCGGACGGGAGATGGTTAGCTTGCTATTACACGAGGAGAATGTGCGCGTGTCCCGGTGTGTGATCCCTCCAATTGTGTTCTCATACGCTCACATAGGTATGTTTCTAGCGAGACTGTAATGCGCTATTTTCACACTCATGAGCCCGATCTTGTTCGTGAGCGCCGACGTGGACACTTCAAGCGCAAGCAGTTCTGGGCAGCGGGTGCCAACGATATATGGGCTGTAGATCAGCACGACAAATGGAAGTATAAATTCGGTTTAGCGCTACACACTGGGATTGACCCATTTCTCGGCATGATTCATTGGTTGAAGATTTGGTGGAACAACAGCAATCCCCGCCTTATATTCAGCTATTATCTGGAAACCGTGGAACGGCTTGGGGGTATGTGCAGTATTGATCTCTTCGGACTTATATTCACGACGTTTTTATCGCAGTCATCCCACTTGTGACCCAGAGCGATCCTGGGTCAGAGAACGTGGGGATTGCGAATGGACACACACAGCTGCGTCACTATCAGGACCCCTCACTTATCGGCACCTCTCAGCACCGTTGGATGCGAAAGAAGAAGAACATCATGCCGGAAATCACATGGAGTCAGATGCGGCGTCGATTCACTCCTGGCTTTGAAGACATCCTCGACGTTGGTGTAAACGAGGGCTGGTACAATCCGGGAGTTCTACTCGAAGCGTGTGTATCTTCCTTACTTTCAAAGCGATCTTCGACTTCTGAATCACAGCGCAGCTTAGTCTTCCGTTGGGTATTCATCCCGTGGCTTCAGGGCGAGCTCGAGCTGTATCGGCATCGCGTGAACAATACCGCAAAGCGCTGTGATCGTAACAAGATCCTTCCTCACGGTGTTCCGACTAGCATGTTTGAGTTCCCAGAGGATTACGCCATCCTCGATTTCAAGGTACGAGTCCAATTTCATCAAGTACAAGCCACTAACTACTAGTCCCTTACAGATCAAGGTCGATCCTATCGGTATTGAAAAAGTCCGACAGATGTACGCACCACCTGATCATGACGTCTTTCTCCTTGTTCCCCCTGACTTCGAGATCGCGATCTTGGATATCTATGCAAAGCTTAATAGCCCTATTGTGGACCGGGACTCATGTTGGGATGTATATCTCCAGCTCCTGAATTGCCTCAAGGAGTTGGATCAGCTCAACGATATCGATCAGAGTGCCGATGCAAGGTGGGGGCATGTGCTGACCCAGCCGGTCGATGAAAACATTCCCCTTCTCCCAAACTTGCAGGAACTGCGGGGCGGTGAGGGGGTCGTCGGAGAGGGTGCTTATTATATGGGTGGAGTCAACAATGGGGATGGTCTCGGTATGTTCCATTACTTGGGAACCTTACTGTTCACTGACTCGTCTCCTTTTGGAGGTCCTGAACATCACGCATGTCTGAACGCAATGATCAACGATATCGAGCCCGAAGTGGATCCCATGCCCAACTCCCAGTTACCGGATGACGCTCACGCATTGTACGCATGGTTCTCGGACGAAGAAGACTCTCAGGATTTCAATGATCATTGGTAGTACATACATGCTGACGAGCAGTGATGCGCCCTAGCCCTGAAATCAATCGATCACGTGCACGAAAAGATCCAATGGATTTGTCAGCGAGCTCGTCAAGGTTGTTGCACGTGATCATTTGATCAATCTATCACGTGCACTGAAAGATCTCAATGGATTTGTCAGCGAGCTCATCAAGGTTGTTGCACGTGATCATTCTGATCATCACTAACGAGCGTTCGGGGTCCAGACAGAGCGCATCATGACATAGAGCGCATCATGACATTGATGCCATGTCGGCAAACTTTCGCGTATCAGTGATATGTCCTCCGCTTATCAGCATATAATTCCCGGCCTCCATAGTATTCCATGGCTCTAGATCGCGAGCCTGTCTCTCGTTCCTGCACGCCGCCGCATCCCCATTACATACATGAACTTCGAAGCCTCTCGAACGAACAGAGAACTCGCGTACCCGAAAACGCGCCCCGGGCATGGCGCACGTCCTTCGGATCAAGGCTGAGGCCTGAGGCTCTGTTTGCGGCATATACCTCGCTCCGTTTGCACAGTTCGGCGGAGCCGCCTGTCGCTCGCGTCATCGGTGTCCGCACAGGACGCGAGCCTGGCGCTGCCGACGAGCTCCCCGTGCCCCGTTCGCACCAGCAGCAATGCCGCATACACACAGACAGACACACAGACAGACACGTGCCGCGAGGCCATTCATCCGCTAGCGAGCCCCGTTTGTCTTGACTCTTGAGAAGCCACCGAACGCCGCAGTGGGATATGTTTCACCCTTGACACACAGCCGTAAGACTGAAACTGCCGCTGTCGTTCGAGCGCACACGCTCCCCACCACCCACCAACCCCCTTCGAAGCTGGCGGTCTGCACTCAAGAACCCGACCGTATTCGAATTTCGCGGGGCCCATGTGCAGCCGCTGGAATCTATCTTCTGCGCTCTGATCCACGTTCAAGTTTCGTACGGCAAAGCGAATCGCATAGTGCCTCGCGCTGCGGGCGTTTCCAGCTGGACCATAACCACATCTTACCTGTGTGATCGAGACTGACTGACTGACAGATGGACTGAGACGGACAGGTCGTCGTTACCCAATGCGAGTCCTCAGCAGTGCATGTGCATAGCCCAAAGGAATGTGATTACTTCTACCCAGTATTTGATACATCCAAGATATACTTACAACAAATAAACAGTGATTAAGAATACGTATGTATGAAACAGCCCAATGAGAGTGAGTAGGTCAGTATGAGATACAATACACGATAAGCAGTTACAGCAGAAACCAAATGATATGCAGATGAAGAGAGAGATTTTCGCCGCTGCCGTCGCTTCAGCCCACGCTGCATCACGCAATGACACACTCGCTAAGCCGGCTCGGGGTGTACGCCTTGCCGCACTCGCCCTCGGAGCCCGCACTCAGCGCCGCATACACCGAGCGCGGCCGGCCAACGGCGTTGATCCTTGTCAGCAGCGTGCGCGCGAGGAGACGCACGCGGTCCTCCGACGTTGGATACGTGCGCGCCAGATAGGGGCTGGGCGCAGCGGGCCGCGACGGCGATGGCGCAGGGGGAGTGTGCGGCCGGCGGGGTACGGCGGCGGCGGCGCTCGATAGCGCGGATGGGCGGGGAGGGGAGGGGAGGGTGTATGATGGAGGGGGTGGACGAGCGAGGGACGGGGCGGGCGAGCCGGCGCCGGAGCCGGTCGAGGAGAAGGCCCACGTCAGGGAGGCCGGGGAGGAGAACGGAGAGCGGCAGGGCGGTGTGAAGGACGGTGAGCGGCGCCGCTGGGCCGCTGGGGCCGTGGAGAGGATGAGTGGGCAGGGGGAGCGGCCGCGCTCGCGTGGCCGTGCGTTCTGCGACCAGCCTGAGGCGGTGACCCCTGCCGCAGACGAGCTGCGGACGACTCTCGATGACGGTGTCGAAGCGCACGAGCGAGTCTTCAGCGGGGTCCGTGGGGACACGGATCCCACCAGGGACAGCTCGTCCCCGTCGTCCGCGAATGGGTCGAAGCGGATCGTTGGCGTTGCGTGCGGGGGTAGGTCGGGTCCGGACAGCCGGAGCTTGGGCTTTGGTGTGGGTGCGGGTGTGGGTGCGAACGAGATGGGCGAGGAGAACGATCCGCAGACAGGCTTGTACTGCGCAAGCGGCTCGAGCGCTGCGCGTGTGTTCCAGGTTGCGGTGGTGGGGTGCAGAGGCGCCCAATGGAAGGTGACGGACTGCGAAGCTGAGAGACAAGTCGCCATGGATTGTGTTGAAGAGCTTGAGGATGGATGAAACGACGAGGGAGAGGCAGCAGACGACGAGGTCGAGATATTGGGGGCTTATTAAATTGACGAGGGCCGGCTTGGGGAGAGGCCTTATAAGGAGAGTGGGGCGGGGTGATCATTCTTGCTTTGGCGTCTGGCAAAGCGCCGCGGCACTATGGAGGCCGGGAACTATATGCTGATAAACGGAGGACGTATCACTGATACGCGATAGTTTGCCGACATAGGATCAATTTCATGATGCGCTCCATGTCATGATGCGCTCTATCTGGACGGCTGAAAACGTTATACTAATGACCGATGTCTGAATCGTGGATGGCCGCTCGGCAGATATTGATCAGATGATTGACGCAATGATCAAGACCCCAGGTAGCCGACTATCGCAATATCGCAACATCGTAATATTCGAAAAGCGCAACATTCAAGATAGTGTAATATTCGAGATAGCGTAGTGAGCATGTAATTACTGTAATTCACTAATCATTTTCGCGGGAGTCTTCCTCATCCGAGAACCATGCGTACAGATCAGGACCAACAGCTTGCCGCAGCTGATTGATACGACACGCACCCGAGCGATCCGTTGGCCGAGAAGCCCTCTAGCAGCGGCGACTTGACACTCAAGTTGGTTTCCAGCATGTACCCCCACTCGCGCTCGATCAGATCAATTGCCCGCTCGCCCTTGCCGGCCACAAAATGCGCTTGGATCTGTCGCGCAGGTGACACGCAAACCACAAACCACCAGCGCAACACGCACCTCGAAGCCACGGCCTGATGGGCGTCCAGAACTTCATCAGCCCGGCGCTCACGGCCTTGTTCTGTGCGTCCGATGTCGTGAGGTTGTACAGGACCGCGAGCGCGTTGCCGTCCTGCGGGTGGATGCTCCTCGGCAGGTCGTTGCTGCGGAACCGGCCCGCCGCGGCGTCCCACAGCAGGCTGTTGAACGCAGTTTTGATCTTGGTCGCGTTGGCGAGGTATGTGGCGGGGAGGGAGACATTGCCGAGATGCGTCGCCAGGTCCGCCGTGGTGACGAGCGTCTACGAGCTTGATGAGCGCGGATACATGATGCGAGAGACAGAAATCAATCCTCACGCGATAAAGCAACGCGTTTGCCGCAGAGTTGTGTCCGGCGCCGCTGGCCCTGCCCCAGTCGTTCGAGAGCGCAGACGAGACGTTCATCAGGCCGGTCAAGTCCACCTGGCCCTCAAGGAAGCCAACCGCCTTGGTGTAGTTCGCCCAGACAGACTTGATGAAATCGAGGTCGCCCGTGTACAGGAAGTAGTTGTGCGTCCCAATGAGCGACCACGAGATGTACGTGTCGCTTCCCTGGTTGTTCAGCGGCGGCCCGGAGTACTGCAGCGCGCCAGTCGTCAGGTTTTGCGTGCGGAACATCACCATCAACGAGTTCTTGGTCGGCTCCATGTCGCTCAGCGCGACGAGCTCCGTGTGTGTGGAGATGCCGCAGTCGCCTGATCCGTCGCATGAGTCCGAGGGTTAGATCGCGTCCATGAGCATGAGGGGTTACCTGGCCAGATGTTCCTGACAGTACCAATGTCATCAGCAGGGATTGCACACACAGATCGCGACCGACCATTCCTCACCTGTCGCGTTTTGCACCATCGACGAGGATAGGCCCAGTGGCAGCTCCTCCCAAGGCATCGTTGGACCAGCCACCTACAAATGTGATCGCACAGTTTGAGTCCAAAATTCAGATCCACGCCGACACGAACCTCCTGCTGGGCACGGCTCCTGTCGCGCCGTGTGGGGAGGGATTGTGTTGGTCTGCACCCTATAGTGCCTGCTAGCGGTCAGCCCCCACCCACGCCACGCTCTGCCACATCAGCCAGCAAACAGGCGATGACGCACCGGCGTACCAGATCTTCGTGAGGAAGTCGATGTCGTGGAACCCGGGGTCAGGTGCAAAGAAGTAGCCCGGGTACGCCCTGAGATCATCCCAGTGGGGCATGAACGTGATCGCCAGCGAGATGTTCGAGATCGTCAGCGGGTCCGCGCTCGCACTCACAATCGTCAGGAAGCGGAACCCGCCGCGCTGCTGTCCCACGGTCTGCGTCAGCAGCCCCGTGGCTCGCGGCACGTGGAACGTCTGGATTCTGTCCCAGTTCTGCAGCCGTGCGGGCTGGCACGAGTCGTCCAACTTGAGCGGGCTGATGAACTCCGCGGACTCGGTGAACGACAGTGAGAACTGCGACTGGGCCGTCGCGTTGTTGATCGTCAGCGACAGGATCCCCCCAAGCTACAGTATGGGTGTGTGAATTGACCCTCGACGGCGCTGTATCAGGGAGGCCGCGCACCTCCTTCCCCAGTCGAACACGACGTACGAACCGCTGCCCTGGAATGTCGCCTGGGAGTCCGGACTTGCGACGAGCCTGCTCGCGCCGGCGACCCGGCCGCTGATCCTATCTCGAATGTTGCGCTTTTCGAATATTACGATGTTGCGATATTGCGATAGTCGGCTACCTGGGGTCTTGATCATTGCGTCAATCATCTGATCAATATCTGCCGAGCGGCCATCCACGATTCAGACATCGGTTATTAGTATAACGTTTTCAGCCGTCCAGATAGGCGCATCATGACATGGAGCGCATCATGAAATTGATCCTATGTCGGCAAACTATCGCGTATCAGTGATACGTCCTCCGTTTATCAGCATATAGTTCCCGGCCTCCATACGGCACGCGATGCCCCTTACGATACGCGGCTGTGCTGTCACAGTGTCACATTACACACGTCTGATCTTGATGTCGCCGGTATCCAAACAACACACAAATGGTCCATTGTGTCGTTGACGGGCATTGTGTCCGGCAAGGCTATAGCTATAGCAGCAGGCCATTTGCATCCCTTGTCAGTATGTACCACGCAGGGGCTGAAGCTGCGGGACGGCGACCAATCAGCCTTGCTTCCGCAACGGCCCCCCACACTTCGCTTACTCAGCGCGAGCTACGTGTCCACCAATCCACTCGCTCGGTCCAGGCTCCACCGTCATTCAGACTCCTCTCCACCCATCCAGGCCCGAAATGGAATCCGGTTCCACAGCATGAGCTCTGATGCTATTCTCTCAAGCGTCGCATCCGTCTCGAGGCTGCGTAGCCTCGCTTCTATGTCACGCATGTCCTACCTACATGTTCTGCTCACTCGGCTATCGCTGGACAATGGAAGGCAGCCAGTTTTCGGGAAGAAACGCCTATCTATCACTTCACTTCTATTATGTGCTCTTCACGAGTACAATTGCCGTCTTTGTCCGGATTAGGACGCCTGGGACCCACCCGCCGCGCTTTGATCAAGTGATTCGACAACAGGCAGTTATCCCTGCGGTCATTGTGTTAGTCTCAACAATGTTGCTGAGCCGAGCGTGTGTTGACACGACTGACATCTTGTTCTCGGAATCCCTGTCCGCCCAGCAGCGCTTTTCTTTCAGTCTCGTCACATTCGCAGTGTCTTGCTATGCTCGTCGGCCATTCAAGTTGGCCGAACCTGATTAGCATGGCCTCGATTCCGTGCTTTGTGATGATTAGGTTGTGTTTAGCTCGCTGCGTTAGCTCGCTGCGACTGTGGCTTTGGGCTCCCTTATCGCCACTAGGCGATGACAGTCACAGCCATGGAGTCGAGAGAAGAGGGTGGAACCTTGTCGCACAATTCATGCTTGCTCCAACAACCACCCCCACTCCCACAATCCGGGCCGCACTCCCATCCTAACTTGCACCACCACGCTCGGAGCTGCGACGAGGCACATGCAGCTGATGGCTTACAGCCAATATGCAGTCTATAAGGGCCGCGGACACTCCGTATCGGGTCGGTCCGCCAGCTTCAGGACTTTTACTCTAAAAAATTAGCGGTTTGGGGTCACTTTTACTCTATTTCCGGACCGGATAATCAAAAAATTTCTCCCACGCTATGAAAATTTCCAATATTTGATTTCTCATTACCCGATTTGTTGAGGCCATCAGTCCCGGTTGTGATCGAGCACCCATGCCGGTCGCTGTGGCTCACGGGAGAGCTTACTGTGCTCCAAAATTGCGTGATTTGGCCATATTAGAGTCATATTTTTGCCAAAATCGGTCGGGCTTCGCCCGACTTTTACTCTATGCCGGACCGCTTCCGCGCTCTGGAGCTCGATTTTACTCTATTTTCGGACCGGAAATCCAAAAATTTCCGGCCCACTTTTACTCTATTCCGGACAGACATAATACGGAGTAGAGCTGTTCAGCAGAACCAAAAAATCAATTTGTTTTTTACGAGTTTCCTGGTTGTGGAGTAGACTTTACTTCCCAATTACGTAGGTGTGGAGTGTCGTAGGAATCGCACCGAGGCCGAATTCTGACCGAAAAGGAAACATGCCACCGAAGACGGATCTGATCATTCTGCACGTGTAGGCAGATTGAATGCATCGTTGTCCTCCATATTGGCGAGAAGACCGAGAACAACCGCGAGGGTTCAATTTACAGTGTTAGTGAGGAAAGATGGCATCCTCCGCCATGGAGTTTGAGTTCAGATGAGGACAGAAAATGAAGTGGTGGTTTGGCGGCTCGGCTCATCACATGATCATGGTAACGGAGTTCCCGGCGTTCATCCGGTATTGTTTGCAACTCAGATTTTCCTAAGCTCCACTCATATTTTACAAACTACTAGCTAAAAATCGTGTTTGAAACGACTGCTGAACAGCTCTAGTGTCCGCGGGCCTAGTCTATATTGATATGCTCAGGGGACCTGTCTGTCGCACGTGGGACCGCCCCATCCCTGAGGAGCCGAAACTTCACACTCCCCGATGTCAAGCTCGGCTGCAGTGCGAGGTTCCTATAGGGTCCTGTCCTGAGCCAAGCTGCCAATGTGACTAGCCCGGACTCAGTCGTCTGTCGGATTGTAACTGACGGCGAGGCAGTGGGCAGTGGCCTGGGGCGAGTCCCCAGATCCCGTCGCCGACGCCAACCATCCGGCTCATACATACCCAGTCCGCGTTCTCGGCCGCTGTATCGGACATCGGATCGACTCGTGGGTTACTCCGACCATCTCCGACCTCAGACAGGGCCGGATCACGGAAGTAACCCTCTGTGCTCCGACACGTCGAGACCCGGGCCAGCCGGCCGTTGGCAGGCAGATAGGGGCTTGGATCAAAGGTGGCTGGGTGTAACAAGTTTCACACCCTTTCATTTATCGATCCCGGAGGAGAGAGAGTTGATGAGAACAGATGGTTTGACACTCTGCTCGTTGGGGCCCCGGAAATTATCAGCAGCAGGAAAGGCGCGGGTGCAGAGATCACGACAGCCATCAGGGTGGACCGGTGCTGGAACAGGGATTCCATCCGTGCTCATGTTTCGGACCCAGCGTTGCTTCGTCGACCGCCGCTCCACAGCCAGCTCTCGCTCGTTTTCCCCCTCCCCTCGAACAAATTATCAAACACGACGAGGGTACCGCCGCAGACCCAACACGTGCAGCTCCGATGCAAGCTGACAGCAGAGATGGCCGCACGGGAGGCAGAGCTCTGATGAACGCATCGTAGGATATGGACGGGGTTTGCTCGCACCAGCACCCCCGTTGCGAGCGGCAGTCGAACTGTGTGGATCGTCTCTGCAAGCGCCGCTTGTGCGGGGGGTGCAGTCGGCACTGCCGCGCTCTACGATCTCACGTATGGGTTAGTCGATAGGCTTTAGTGCCGAATGAATCAGTTGCTGATGCGGTTGTTGGCGCCAGAATCAACACAGTCGAGGGTTTCAATGTCCGGTTCATTTCGATATTTGATATCGGGCGTCGTTATCCTCGAGAAGGCAGTGTGTACGCCTAGGCTGCAAGAGCAGGGCAGATCGAGCACTGCGTCAACGCTAGGCGTATCGACCGCTCGCCTGACGATGGCATAATCCTTCGTAGACGCGTCTCGGTAGTGGCGCGACCGATCAAACGAGATCCGATCATAATTACCATTCACGTTCAACCGAGACGCCGTCTCAACTGTCAGACATCTTGACGAGAGCGACCCGTGCCTGTCGACATGTCCCACGGCCCTAGCCCACGTCGTCTCAATCCCGTGGAAGCGCATCATCGCAGGCTGGCAGCACCAAGTCGTCAATCACTCGAATAGTGCGGGTGCGGCGCGGCGGTTATCAAGTAAAGGCAACTTTTGCTTGCAGTGTCGCAATGTCACTGGCGTGGATCTACATATGCTGGTACTCCGATCCCCACGCCAGGAAAATGATGCATTACCCTTTGAGCATCTCTGAAGTGGGTGAAAAGCGGAAAGCGCTGCAACAATCGATTTCCTGCAAAATACATAGCGGGGACATAATCACAATGCTTCCTATGAGGAGCAATAATTGAGTTGTGGCTTTATCCTAAGTCATCGTCTGTCCAGTGGTCGTGGAAATGAGCATCCCAGGGGCGACGACGGAAAGCTGGACAACACGGCAAACACCCACCGGGCACAACACAGGCACATGGAACGGCCACAACGCATGAAACACCGGGAACTCAGCAAGCCCCCAGCCGGCTGCGCACGTACACGCACCCAGCGCTCGGTCCCAGCCCGCGCGGGCGCCCGACGGCGTGGATCCGATTCAGCAGCGTCCGCGCGAGGAGCCGCCGGCGCGCGTCGGACGTGGCGTAGTGGCGCGCCATGAACGGCGTCGGCGCCCCGGGGACAGCAGAGCGCGGCTCCGGGCTCGGTGCGGGGATCAGGCTGGAGGCTGAAGCGTGGCTCGTGAGGACCATCCCCGGTGCGAGGCCCGGCGAGGGCCGCGCGCGCAGACCGGCGGCGGAGCTGGGGATATGGAGGGCGAGCGGGCGGGGCCCCGAGCGGCCGCGCCGCGGGATGGGCGTCGTGAGGATGGGAACTGTGCTGGATGGTGCCATGGTGCGATGCTGCAGGAGACGTGTGTTTCTCGCGCAACGGGGAGAGAAGAATCGAATCGAGGAATGCGACGGAGGAGAAGAAAGGTGAATGAAGGAAAGAAAAAAGCTGGCGCGAGGCCTGGCGCGGTGAAAGAAGATGAAGGTTGTGTGAAAGAGGCCAGCTGAAACATCTCGCCATCAAATTGCCGATTTGAAAAACGGCCAGGCAGTGGCTGGCGAGATTAGATGGACCATCAGTCCATGATCGATTCAGTAAGCCAAGGCCAAAATTTCTTGGATGGCTGTCGGTATCCACGCGACTTGGGTCTTCGTAAAGTCGGTCCTGGATGCATTGAGTTCTCGTCGTAACTTTTGTCCGTCCCATCACTCATGCGTCACGTGATGCCACCTCCTCTCCCACGATCTTTGACCATCCACGCCTGAACCTTGTCTCCAAAGCGTATCACTTGGTATTCAATATTTCAAGATGTGGGCCCTCTCTGAAAAACCTTTGTCTCTGGCTATTGTGGCCAAGCGCCGCGCTTTGACCCCCTTCTCATTTATAACCACCACTGCCCTGGGTTGCTGTTGAGTGCGTCCCAATTTGCTCTCCCTCAACAATGTTCACCGCTCACCCCCAGATCGACGCATTCGACCCTGTTTGGGATGATTCCTGCTGCGAAAATGACGGCCTGTCGCAGTTGGAAGTCGGACTGCGCACCGTCACGTTCTCGTCAGGTCCATCGCTGTGAGTGGCGTCGACTGTTGTGGTATCTAGGCTGATCCGCACTCCCAGTTCGGTAGAAATAGATAGCTGCCAGAGTGGGGACGATTTCTTGTATGAGATGAGGGTGTATCGGGGCAGAATGTACTCGATTCGCGAGTTGAGTGTGTACGTGGAAGCCCTGCTCACGAATGAACTAGATATGATCTAAAACTGGTCCATAGGGATTTGTCAAACGCGCATCCGGCGCCCACAACTGCACAGCTGGACGCCTGGACAGCACATATGCTCAAACTGATAAATCTATCGACGCTCGTTATCCGACAAAGTTCAGCACTCGTCAGCCGGCTAGCATCGCACAGCTACTCCGGGCTGGCGTGCGTAACCTTGTCTCCCTCACCAGCCATCTGGTCCTTCCTCGCAAACCACACCCAACTCCGCGAGATCCACATCAAGGGCCGCGTCTCGCAGTCCCTCCTCGGCCCCCCACCCTACGCGTTCTCCACCCTCACCTTCCCCGAGCTCGAGATCTTCGAGGGCCCCCCGACCCTCGCGCGCGCCGTCATCCCGCGCTCGAAGGTGCACACCGTGACCCTGCACATGGAGTCCGACCGCGCGCCGGCCGCCCCACACGACCCGACGGAGATCGCCTTCCTCGCCGCATCGCACGCGACGGTCACCGCGCTCAAGGTGTACACGCCGACGTGGGCGTCCCCGCCGCTCGCGCATATCGCGTGGGCCGTGCCGAACCTGCGTGCGCTTGAGCTGCGCACGGCGGCCCCCGCGCGCGTCGCGGAGCTCGAGGCATTCGTCGATGCGATGCGCTGGGCGGGCGGGCTGTGGCTGCTCAAGCACGTGCGCTGTCTCACGCTCGGGACGATGGCGCCCGTGCCGAGCGATGCGAGATGTATGAGCGCGGCGCGGTGCGAGGTCGTGAAAGACCGGATGGTCAGCAGCTGGCCGACGTTGTTGAATGTTGAGCTGCCTCAGGCCTATCAAGCTTCTCGGGGAAAGTTTTGATATCGAGGTGGGTATGTTGAGAATTTGTAGTCTCTTGTATGTATCCTCCCTGAACGCTCTTGGGCGAGAGAAGGATCGAGTATCGGGAAGTGCTGAAAAGATATCCGAACCATGGTATTGCATGACCTGGCTATAATATCGCTCTGGGCTCTCAGACTCGAAAATATCATACTTATATCATATCTGGAAATGCTCCAGGGCTGTTAGCGCAGTTGGTAGCGCGTCCGCTTAGCATGCGGGAGGTCACCGGTTCGACTCCGGTATAGTCCATTTTGATACTCAATCCTATGAGTCTCGACACTTTGGGCCTTCCTTATCACTGTTCCCAATTTCAAGTCCTGGCTGCTTCGATCAGTACCGCCTTCTGCACAGCTTATTCGTCGGGAATGAAATTATGATGTTGCGAAAACTCATTTGCTCACTGACTTGAGCCCAATCACAGTCGCGGTTCAATGTCACAGAGAGTATCAAGCTGGGAGGACGATATGTCAGAACCCAAGGCAAACAACGCAACACCCTTCCAATCATGCCTCCTCTCCGCACTCTGCATTGTGCCCTAACCCGCTCCACTGCTCACCAAATGGATCGGAGCTCCAACTCCACACGCACATTCTCGACCGTACCCAAAGTGCCGTGCGGTTTAACGGGATTCGACGTATGAGGTCACTGGGTATCGCGCTTGGTAATCACTTTCATCGATCTCCACCAGCCTTCCGCAAGTTCCGTAGGATGCATCTGAATCGCAGAGCTTAGCCATACCAGAAGGCGGCCGGTGATCGGGTTAGGGTCCTCAACATATCCGCGGAACAGCGCACGTGATCTCGATGTTCAACTAACCCGCTTATTTGACATCAGTAACAGGTTCGGGGATGTGGGGTGACAGGCGCCTATTTACGACTTGAGTCTGCAGACATACTTTTAATAAGTACTCCCCGAGTGTTTTTTTTTTCGCGATGGGGATGTGAAAGTGGTCCTGGTGGCATAATTCAACACATCACGTGAGGGTTGAAATCCAAGGATCCTTTTACTGACACGTAGCCCGCGCAGTATACAATCGCGTCGAGTTCCTGATCGCCTGGATCTGGTATCGGCCCGGCGTGACGCGCGGCTTGCTAGGTATCCCATCGCGCTAGGAAACGATTCCTGTGTCGGTGATTAGCTCGACGGCTTCCGGGATCACGGTAATATTCATTTGGGCAGGCGCGCCATGTATCCGGGATCGAATACGATGCGTTTGCAGCCGGGTCCTACTTGCATAAGGTGCTATCGGGATCCCGATCAATGCGATGGGTTTGGCCTGGTGAGGTTGACCGCTGGCCGGCTCCGAGGCGCGTGTTTGTGTCCATGCCGGGGATCGATCGGCCGCGAGCGAGTAGAGGTGCACGTGACCGTCTGCAGCCCAGCCATACATCGCATGTTAGCCCGAGCACCGGGGGCTTACCCAGTGGGAATGTACATGGCTGCGGTACTTCGGTCGGTATTGTACCCCGTGAGGGTGGCGCGCCTGCAAAAGAGGGGCAGCACACACTCGACGGGTCCCACCGCATCCCATGCTTTTTGAAAAAGGTGTAGCACTTCATCGAGACTGAGAGCACTGGGTGGCACGTGGTGACTCTGCACGAGGGAGTTTGACTTTGTGCAGTTCTTGATTCGGATGGCCATGGCCAGACTTGAGAAGCCGCTGACTTGGACAGTGTGCGGATAACGAAGCGGAGGGCTCCCTCAGCGCGTATGATTAGCACATCCAGTTCGTCGGGCGCACTCGCAGAAATCTCGATCTCAATCCGGGGCCGCGGCCAGTGTGAGATAAGAGGGAGCAGAGCAAATGCAAAACAGACAGAGTTCGATCAGAGCGTCATCGACCGGATACTGGGCAAATCGGTGATATTATATACACAATCGACTTGCGTGTACAATTAAAGGGAGACCACGGAGCCTTAACGTTGAATTTTTAGGAAATATCTCATCGTCCTAGCTGCAGTTGGTCGAATCGCTAGTGTGCGCAACAAACTCGGTTGCCAAGTGCGGCCTTGAACGGTGTTGACCTCGTTTCTGATGTGGTTCTTTTCCAAGACAGACGCTATTCTCTGACACCAGAAATCGATGGGATAGAATCCGAAGATTGGAATAGAATCTGGCGTGTCATGTGGGGAACGCTCCCAAAAGGGTAGCCTCGGCGTGTGAGAGGGATTGGTTCATCGCCGATGTACACGCGTAAGAGTCCCACATCAGATAGCCGCCCATAGGCTCAAAAGCATTGATCTGTCGACCGCCGATAGTGGGAACGTTTCGGCAGGTACGTTTGTATACCAAATTTTATTCACCATGCATGCTGCTAGACTGACAAATCAGCAACGTGCTGCGGCCAGGCATGGTTCCAGACTCCCGATCACCCGCTGTCCGTCAATCGTCAGCTTCTGAATCTGCAGCGAATCATGCCATGGTCCCCGGAATTGCATCCTAATTCCTAAGCGGTGCTTGGCTAGGAACCAGTGGCTAACCTCGTCGACCAGAATCCATACAATCGGGCGACTCAATTGCTGCCTCTCTCTACCAAGTGCTTCCGATTCTGAACGCTCCAGACCTCAAAAAAACGAGTTTGAGTCCCCTCTTGACGACCTGACGGACTGTGCGTTCAGAGTACGGCTTCTGCCCCGCTGCCGGGACGGAACAGATCATCCGACCCATGGCTCTCGACGGCAAGATTCAAATGGTCCCGGTCCCCCGGCATCGCGTCCAAGGAATAAAGTGCGTCCGTGTGCCATCCAAATTCGATTCTTCGCGCGTGAAGATGAATTACAGATCTCTTGTCTCCCCTTTGCCGCGCTGAAACTGGAGCAAACACTGGTTGTAAAGTAAGCTCGATTTACGTCAGGACTCCGATTTTTCGGAGCACTTACACTCACTGGAGAATTTCAGTGTTTCCCCCCTCCCTGGGCAAATCTTGCTCGATGCCGCAGGTAGCAATCTTTAATATTGGCTATTACATTTGCCTCGTTGTACACCGTCCTGAAAGTCACCCTACTAGAGTACCGCGCACCGCTTGATGACTCCCGCTGGGCCACTGCAGTACAACCGCACACTCCCGCTATAGTCCCGCTGGACCGGCTCTGTGGGTGTCCCACGGCTAATTTTGAATGCCTCTCACACACGGCTTGTATTCCGCGGCGGCTGCATATTGATACCCAGATCACACAAAATGAGTTTACACTATACTTGAGAGAGATATTATCCTACATCCCGGACATTATGATGGTATATACAGGAGCGAGAACTCCCTTGCAAAGTAACAGCTGTTTGGTAAAGTAGAAACGGCGGCAAGTCCGGAGCTCAGTGCCATTCCTAATTCAGAGGCATCTTCACCAGGTGTCCCCCTTCGACTTATTTCATGAGAAACAAGCGCGTATACACTGTGCCAGATTCTCTGTGCACGACGTTGAGATTTACTGCATTGAGACGGAGAAAGCAAAGACTCACCCCCATGAGTGGGTTCATGTACGTGATTGGTTCTTTGTCCACTGCGGCGATAATTTTGTGCACGATCGCACAGGCGGAGTGCAAGAAGTCCTCCGGTGTCTTACGAGCCCATACCAATCTGCGCAGTTTCATGAACGCGTAGTGGGTGATGGTTCCCGCAAAAAGAAGCACGCGGCTGAGGGCTCCACCGTCCCGGTTTTCTGCCTCGTAGTCATCCAGCTCCAGTAACCATGACTGAATCAACTTCTCGAGATTCTCCGATCGCTCCAGGAGATCGCCGAATTGCAAGGGTGCTATCAGTCTGCATCAGTGTCTATGGCGGGCAGTGCCTTCCGCAACACGAACTGGTGATTAATTCCTCAACGCCCTGCCAGAGAGAAACGGACTTCGTGAGAAGAACGGCATGCCCCGGAAACCCGGATGTCGACCACACATCGTTCAATACTTTGCATTCGCAATCACGGAGAGCTGAAGAGAGCGGTTCGTGAGAGGCGTAGCCCAGCGCTGTAGACCATGCATTGTCTAGGGATAGTAGGAAGAGATAGGCTGTTCGAGATCGTATTGGATCGAGGCCAGGACACACTTGCTCCGGGAGCCCACAGCCAAACGCCAGACCCAAGGCGACGGACATATGAAAGCGGGCTTCTGTGTGACGGTCCCGAGCAAAGAAATACTGGGCCAGCAGCAGCTCCGCCTGCAAGACCTCAGCGACGTTGACAGTGGGCATTGCAAGCTCCTTCGGCAACAGATTACACGCAGTGGAAACGAGGAAGGACTCCAGGTTGTCCATGCTCGGATGTGCCAAGATATGCGCGGAGAGCAGGTAGATAGTGGCTGTAAGTGCCGGACTCATGCAGCTCGGGCGACCAGCGATAGGGCGGAACTTGTTCAGGGCTTCGTCGAGAAAGAAGCAGAAGTCGGTCGCGTGCGCGAAAAAAGTGTCCCAGCTGAGCCACGGTAAGCAAACAGACGATAAGAGACGAAGGAAGGTCATAACGAACAAGACGTGGGCTACATGCAGAGGAATGACTTCGGTGAAAGCCTCTGGGGGGAAAGGTTCAATAGGATCTCGTGCTTGAGGGGAGGAGGGAGAGGTCGAGGACAGCGAAGGGGGGCTTCGGGGCGAGAAGGAATCAGCTGGAGAGCTAGCACAAGGCAAAGACGACATCGATGAAGAGCTGCGCGAGGATGGGGAGATTGACGCGGAAAGAGATGCGTCTCTCGACTTCTCCTTTCTCTTGGGTGCAGATTGACGCTTGTCGTTTGCGCGACGTCGTATTTTTGCCTCGATATCCATAATCTGCTCCTGAAGGATCTGCACCCTCGCCTTCTGTCCAAGGGAAACGTATTCGCAATCGTCCACGCATTCTGAACGCACACACGGCCCGCACGACGGGAGCGCACCGTCACACCTCTGCGAGCTCGGTCATCATGAGACAACAGAGCGGAGAGGCTCCTACACACCGTTTTGCGAGTTCGACAGTGATAGCAGGCCTTCCCGCGCTTGAGGTGAGCCTTCTCGTGGACAGAGGGATCCATCGGTCGAGGGAGTAGTTGATTACGGATGAGAGTGACTAACATTCCTTTATGTACACCGACTGGAAGTTGACTGGATGCCGATTCCATTCCTTTTACGGATGGCGTTGAGAGCCAGGCTTTTTTGGCACTCAGTCTCCATCATAATCGGTCATATTTAATTTTCTATGCTCCCAGCCAGTGCATCGAAAGTGATACACGAATTCTCACCGGTGACTATGATATCGGCCAGCGAGAAGATTTGAATCATCTTTTAATCATCCTTTTCGTCCAAGCTCGTAGAGTTGTCCTCAAGTTCTCTCTACACCGGTCTCTTCCTGCTACCCAGGCTGCCGTCGGGACTGGCGTAGAAACCCGGAGGATGACGTGAATACAGCGAGTCACGCACAGATCTCTGCTGAGTTCCGAAATCTCTTCGGAACTCACCAGAGATCTGCCTTTCAAGATGTCCCGGTGCTTCTACCCAAAAGCTCTTTTGCACAGAAACATCTAGCTGGCAACCAAATTCTGACCTCCGACACTATAATTCCGATAGGATCTCATTCACACTTCCTCAAAGGAATTCCTCGTGTTCAGTTTGAGGCACGGATGCGTATCTGGATGAATAGCCGGTGTTTGTGCTTCGAGTCCTTCGGCCATTTCATACTTTTCTGCCCTCCTTCGACGTCATATTTCCGTCATAATTCTTCCACGGAAATTTCACCCACCCTTGAGCACTAGGCACTTCTCAGAGCGGATTCCGCGCTTTCATCGTCAGTCATACTAGTGTTGACTCGCCGTCACCTTTGGTTATCATATCTGTTTGGTTCCCGATCCGTTCTCTCAAAATTGTGTGCTCCGGATCTCAAGAACAGCTTCTGAAAGTCGTCGGGCATTTCGGTGAGACTGTAGCGCCAAAGATCGTGGATTGAGTCGGATCTCCGGTCACTCAGGCATACGTCCATTCGGAATCGAGTACGGTTGATCCAAAACGAATATTTTCTCCTCTGTAAAATACTGTGAAAGATGGTCCGGACCGCCTTTGAGTCGCTGAGGACAAGAGATACAAGTGTGTTCCAGGGCCTGAGTTGACTTGAGCGTGCCAATAACTGCCAATTCGGTACGTTCTGGCACTGATAGACCAAACGGCGCTGGTCTGAGATCTTCAACGCAAATACTGACTTGGTCACATCAAACTTGAAAACCGGCGCTCTGACCATTTCAGGAGTCAGAAAGGTCCAGTCGTGAAAGTGTCCAGGGCGCATTGAGGGCCTGAGTTTGATCCAGACTGGCTGATAGGAATGAGCTGGTCCGAGCACGCTTCGCCTCCCTCATATTCTCTCTTCGAAACACCATTTCCGCGGGCGCGATGACGTCGGGTTCGGTGATCGCGGCATGAAATGTCTGAGTCAGCGTTGAAAGACGCGTTTGAGCCCGTAGTGGCGTGTGGACAGAAGCAAGATAGCAGATCTGAAAGTTAGCCTGCAGGTTAATGATAAGCAGCACCCAATGCAGCAGTTTGGCGATTAGATCCCGAGAATATTCCCAGCTGAGTTCCGATGTTCTATCCAGCCACTCAAGGGGAAAAAATTGACAGCTTTTGACTTCCCTTTGCGTGTATTAACCGCATTCTAGGGCTCAGATTCACGCCGGATTCCATGCATCTATTCCTCAAAAAGATCTTGTGGAGTTGGAATACCGCAGTGCACGAAAGAAGGAGCTCGCAAATCCGATCCTATTTGCGGGCTCCGTGTCGCTGGGTCCGATTCCGATTAATTAAAACCATGTCTTGTCTTTCTTCCGACAGATAGAGCCCATCGATAGCGTCTGTGGAGCTCCGATTACAGTCACGAGGAGAACGCTGGACTTATTTTGGGACGTGGGCATGCTGGGCCAGATGTGAAACCAAGACCACAGTTTTTTCCCCCTGTCATGCCCGGGAAAACTTGAGAGAGCGATCAGGAATGTCGTGCTCACTGAGACGTCCCATATTTAGCATCCTCAGAAATAGAGTCACACCAGAAACTCATCAACAGAAACCATCGCAGTCATGGCTGATAGATCGCGTATAATGTGAAGACGAAAGCCGTGGCCGCCAGAGCAAGGTCCGGAGTGCGTCCCCGCGTAAACGTCACAGCTAAAAACATTAATCGATATCCTCCTGACCTGTTTACCGGGCCGTAGCCGGATGACACGACAGGTGGCAGTGTCACTATCAACTGCTCATCACCGCTGCTGAACGCGCTCGAAAGGCCAACAATTCTGACCTATACTGTCAATCTGCATCTTCGAGAGCGAAAAAAAGCATCTACGAGTTGTAGATGCTTTTTACGACCAAGGTTGCTTACCTAACACAGGGATGGTCTGGACTGCCCGAGGAGGACGAAATCAGTCAAATGGACTCCCAATTATTCTACTTTGATTAGTGATAGCGCGCAAAGGCAGTAGGCATTGAGCCTTGATCACGTTTACATTTTGTCCAACCCTAAACCTATCTCCAGCGCCATTACTCAACAATATTCATCCAATGCCATACTTTTTGGGGCCAAGCGCTCTACCTAACGTCCACCAAATTGTCCAACATAGTGAATAACATTTGACTGCATCAAGGTCTGCGGTGCTCAGATGTCAATCAAAGCCAGGGCGTGATTCATGATGTCATTGGCGTTTGTTGATTGAGGGCGGTGCACTCAGACGGCGATCTCATTCCCGACACCTAGCGCCATGTTCACCTTGATCAAGTCTCATCTCAAGTCCCACGCTTCTAGTTCACATCCGACATTTGAACCTCCGCCGGGTGCTCCACCGCCCCCGATTTACACTCTCGCCGCAGGACAAAAGGTGAGATTAATCGGCCAAAGGTAAGGTCCTTCCTTCAGAACCTGACTGGCGCCGAATGTGCAGCACGAGTACTCATCCTGCGATAACGCCGCGCCAGACGACTTCGAACGTGCTAACCAATTTTGCGCCGCCCATCCCGACATCCATCCTGCACTCATCTTCCCACGCGAGTACGTGGAATTCGGTGCGGATCGATGGGCGCTTCTGTCCATGGAATCGGCAGGTCCTGCTAGCGGCTTTACTGAAATCCGTGTCGGCGAAACTCGTCTGGGTAGATCACAACATGTGCTCGAGCTGCAGCGGAGTGAAGGACGATGCGGGACCTTCAGTCACGTTGGAGACAGCTGCTTTACGAGCAACCTACCCATTATCGCGGGGAACTATGCCACGCACGCCAAACGGGGTGTTTACTTCGAAATTACGGTTCGGGAGATGAGAGGGGAGGGCACAACAGTCGCGCTAGGTGCGTTCCTTCCGCCAGTCTCAGTGCTGATATGAATATTGACTCCGCGCCTGAAGGGATGCAGTGCCTACCGTACCCTCCACACCGACTGCCCGGCTGGCATCGACGCAGTGTCGCGCTGCACTTCGATGACCGGCGGCTATACTACGAGGACCCAGAAGGTGGGCGTGATTACGTGCAGGGACGGCCGCGACAGCACTGTCTCCCCGATGTGCAGCCCGGGGATACGATCGGCTGCGGCTACGCATTCCGCACCGGCTCCAATGTGGGGCATCTGTTCTACACGTACAACGGCATACTTATGCCTATCGCGTATCATGGCATATTCGATCAGCCCCCCGACCGGGAGGGCGCGGGCTCTTGCGGCTTCGATGTTTACGCAGCAGTCGGCGTGAGTCGAGGGCCCGTTCACTTTGATGTAAACTTTGGCGGGAGCCGGAAATGGCGATGGCGCGGACCGAGTCATGACCGGGTGTCGCAGCTTGCGGATGAATGGAGCGCAGGAGTTTGGAGTGTTGCAGAGATATTCAAGCAGGTCGGGGACGGGCCACCAGTGTATGCATCAGAGTAGGTACTGTCTGTCAGCTCGTCGTTAATCGTTTTATCATTCCTCGACTGGCTGTATATATTTTCAAAGCTCTTGGACTATTACTAGTTTCTCAAGTCCTCAATTCTACGTTCGAAGCCTCTTCCTCTCTTCCATGTCATGTGATGCACTCGGCAGATTAATGGGCATGATGGACTTAGAAATTCCAGATGAATCCCGTAGAAGCATCTGATGTATGCAATGCGATATGTAATCATTGTGCATTTGAAATTGAACTCATAAAAGAGCTCGGGCAAGTCGTTAAGATCATCTGTAGGTTCTGATGAGCGTACTCGTATAAATATTGAAGAAAAGAGTTTCGATAAATGCAACTCTCAGTCCACTTAACTGGCACCATTCATCTAATTTTCTCCTTTAGCTTTTTTGAAGGTAATTATGTATTTTCAGGCTTCACGAACCACGTGTTAGCACTCTCTGGAATCAACAGGCCGATCGTCGATATGATCAGATCAATCATGCATCGGTGTGCACAATTCAATTGAAATATGATATCATCAGCAGCGTCAATGAGCTCCGTCTTGCATCGCTGTCACACGTGGTCAGCCCTTTCAGCAGGTCACCGGGGTCGTTTGACAAAGCGTCCTCACTCGCTGAGATTCGACATGGGAAAATTTAACCCAACTCTCGCACTGCTCCGCGAGGGTATTTTCTGCCAGAATCTGATCCCATGAAGCGGGTTTACCCCGGGACCTTAAAAAGTCGCAGCGATTAGGCAGCCAGCGGCGTAATCACGGGATTGATAACGAGGATACCCGTGCGAACCCACCACATGGCGATCAGATGGAACTTTTTTTTTCACGAGCAGCTTTCCGACAACGAGACAACGAGGAACGGCATACTACACTCGGTGCGCAAGCGAGGACAGAAGCCCTCTACGAGCACGACCGCAAGAAATGACCGTGTAGGACCGACGGGCGATGGCCTGAGAAGTCGTGTCACCGGGCACCAGAACCCCAAGGATTTCTAAACGTTCTTCGAATGTTTCCGTGTTGCCGTATCGAAGGGTGGATGGCACGACCATGTGGGGCGCGCTGTTATGCATGTATATAAGCACCGCGCGCACACGATAGGCCCTGCGCTAGCTGAATCGCGTGCCCAGCAGTAGCATGCTCCCCCTCGCGCTCTCCTCTGCCTCTGCGGCGCTGCTCTTGGCTGCTGCCTCCACCGCCTCTGCCGCTGCACCAGCGTACGTCGCTTCTTCTGCGCCTACCTCTTCTTATCTCACACGCTTTTCAGCCCGGCAGACCCGTGCTCAGCCGCGACAGCGTCAAAATGGGTGTCGAGCAAGGTCGCGCATGCGTGCGAGCTGGCGGTGCCGTTCAACCAGACGCGCAGCGCGTTCGTGATCGACTCGGTGATCAAGTCGCTGCAGTACTACTCGCTCGAGACGTGGTTCCGCGCGTCGCCGAACCCGCTCATCCCGCACAGCGTGGACGTGCGCGCGCTGCTCCAGGGCGTGAACAAGACGACGAACACGAAGGGGTACAAGACGGACTGGGACTTTAACCTGGCGGTATGTCGTGCGGTTCAGCGCCAAGCGCATGAGGCTAAAAACACGGGCTGCGCAGATCACGGACGCTTACAACCGCGAGGCGGACGGCCACACGCTCTTCGCGGCGAGCTGCACCGAATCCTTCAGCTGGAACCTGCCCTTCTCGATCGCCACCTTGGCCGACACGCCCACGTCGCTCCTCGCGCACCCGACGTTCCTCGTGAACTACGACTTCCCGAACCAGGGCCGGTCGGGGCTCGAGGCGTACTTTGAGAGCATCGGCGTGCACGTGCGCCCGTATGACGGCGCGCAGGTGCTGTCTATCAACGGTATCGAGGCAGGCACGTTCCTCACGGCGCTCGCACAAGAGTCGAGCATCTACAACGGCCTCGTCGGCGCATACGAGACCCTGGGGCCCCGTTACATGCGTCTGATGGCCCGTTACTCGGCCGACACCGCTGCGGGGTTGTACACCCAAGAGGTCGGACGGTTCGGGATGCGCGCTTTCTACCCTGGCGCAGACTCGGTGACGGTCACGCTGCTGACGAAGAGCGCGGGCATTCAGACGATCACAGTGCCCTGGGCCGCGACGCTCGTTGGTGGAGGCAACTCGACCGCGTCCTTCATCGAGCAGAACTGCTTCAGCGTGCCGGGCCTCGTCGCAAAGCGGGAGGTGGAGCTGAAGAAGCGGCAGAAGCAGATCAAGGCTCCGCCCATGAACTTGCGCAAGGCTGTTGTCGCACCCGATGCGCAGGCTGCAATTCGTGAGAACGTCACGCCGCTGGCTGCTTCTGCGAACCTGGTTACGCCGAATCGTAGGTCCTGTGCTTTCGCTCGATGCACCTTCTGACGGCTAGTCACCAGTCACTTCGTTCGGTCACATCACTACGCTCGACATCTACCAGCTCAAGGACCACCCGAAAGTCGGCGTTGTATACTTCCAGCAGTTTGAGCCCTCCGATGGCACGGGCGCGCAAGCGTACTTCAACGGCATGTCCAATACCCTATTCTCGGGTCTCAATGCGCTCAAGGCTGCGGGCGTGGAGAAGATCATCGTCGACCAGTCCGGCAATCGCGGTGGATTCATCTTCGCTGGCGCGATCGCGATGTGGTCGCTGTGGCCTAAGGACCTGTATCCCGGATTCCCCGCCGTGTTCCGCGAGAGCGACTTGATCCGCCGCGAGGCCCAAGTCGCTGCTGAGTCGCAGCTTGGGGCTTCCGAGTATTCGTACTTCTTCTACCGTGATCTCAGTGCGTGACATGGTCTTTCCCTTCCCTTCATTGCCGTTCTGACCTGCGCACCCCACAGACAACGTGCTCCTGCAAAACAACTCGCAGTTCATGGAGACGCCCGTGCCGCAGACGATCAACGGCGTCAAGGACGCATACTCGAAGCCGTTCTTCGACGACTTTGGCGACAACTCGAGCAGCGTGACGAGCTTTGTCGACCCGCCGTTCAACGGGACCGACATCGTCTTCGTCGCCAACGGCATCTGCGCGTCGACGTGCTCCGTCTTCAGCAGCTACCTGTTCCAAAAGCACGGCGTCCGCTCCGCTGTCTTCGGGGGCACGCCGATCTCGCTCGTCTCCCAATTCGACGGCGGCGTGAAGGGGTCCGAGGTGACCGACTACGGCAGCGTTCTGTCTGAGCTCGAGACGGCCGGCCTGCAGGACGATCCGCAGGCGCCGCAGCCGCTGCCCATCTTCGAGTCGTTCAGCCTGAACTTCCGCAATGCGATTCCGTACATCGACAAGCAGGATGGTATCCTCGAGTATGTGTATGAGCCGGACACGAAAAAGTTCCAGTTCACACATGAGACGTGGAACAGGCCCCAGGCCGTTTGGGAGTTTGTGGCAGACCAGTTCTGGGGCAAGAACTGAGGATTAGGGAAGGCATCTTCCTGTCGTATACACGCGTATCAGTTAATTGAAACTTGTACACATCAGCATTGGTCGAGTCGGATGTTGCGAGTGATATCGCAGGAATCGGAACTGGCTTTGACACTACCTGTCAAACAAGCTCGCAGATCCAGCGCCGGTGTGTGGATGCGGCCTCTCGAGGAAAGGTTTTTCCTCAGTAAATTGAGGTAAACCCGACCGTCGCCTACTCGGTGAGGACACCGGACTGAAATCATTGATGTAGTAAATACTTACAGCATGTCTAGGTATCTTCTCACTCGATGATACTTTCAATCGATGGTTTCGATGGTCCAGATAGACATGGACATAATGCAGTCATTCCTGTTTCAGTGCAGTAGACTACCTGTTCTATATGTTGAGGAGGCATTTCCGACGACCGATGAGGGAATGCTGAGGCATATTAGAAACTTAGTGGACTTGCAGAAAGGAAGCGAATCCAGGGAATACAGCGTTGAAAAGTAGTGGAACATCGTGGTCACTCAAAACAACCACCTCGAAACTCTCCTCCAATTACCCCTTCCCGCCCATTTTCCGCCTCATTCGAGTCGACATCCGGCGGTGGCACATTCGAGTAAAAGTCCATCTTCTCCAGATCCACCATCCTTGTCTTGCGGATGAGCTTGTACGCGATGTAGAGCACTGCGCCGATGGGCAGGTTGACGTACGCGATGATGAAATCCGTCGTGGACCACTGGCCGTGCACGAAGACCCGGAAGCCATTGAACACGACGATCACGATGCTCCCTGAGATCGAGGAGAGTTCACCAGAGGGAGATGCAGACGGTGAAGGGGAAGATTGGACGTACAGAACAGCGACCAATACGCCGCCCACGGCTGCAACCTGCTCCAATACACGAAGCGCGTCCGGTCGATGCCCTGCGCTTTAAGTCCGGCGTGGAAGCGGATGTACACCCATGAGATGATGCCTATCGTACCATCAAATGAGATGCTGTGTGCCTGAATGGGAAGCCCCTCACCCCAGCTGGCGAAGGCCCGGATGGTGGTGAGATTGGTGAGCCAATTGAGCGCAGTCGAGGAGCCCTTGTTCACCGCCATGTACGCGAGCACGAGAAACACGCTCGAGAACGCAAGCGATACCATTGGGAGTCCGCCCTGGCGAGCCTTGGCGTTTATTCTCACAAGATTACGCGGAGACGCGTTACACGCACTGGGGTCGTCGTGGCGAAGATGCGCGGGGCCTGCCCCCGCAGCGCCATTCCATAAAGCTTCCTCGACGTTCCATACAGCCCGCTGCTCCCCGCGGAGAACGCGGAGGTCAGCACACCGGCGTTGATGATCGCTGTGAGATCAGCGAGTGAGGAGGTTGGTAACGGGGTCGAGAACTGTTGAGAGACTAACAGGGAAGGACTTTGACGCCGGCACGCGTCATGGCGAGAACGAATGGGGAGTCTGCGGCCGTCCCGGTCGATTGGAGCAAATGGAGGTCGTTGAATGGAACGAGCATGCCTGAACCGCATCAATGAATTCATGAATTCTTCCGAGTGTGAGTTCGTGACGCACCAACGACGAGGATGCCGCACACATAGAACAGCATGATGCGGTAGAAGACTCGGCGGACCGCCTGGGCCAGTGAGCGGCGCGGATTCTCCACCTCCGCCGCGGTCATCGCGAGATTCTCCATGCCGCTGTAGGAGTAGGCCTGAGAACGTCGGTCAGCCGGCTGATTGCGTGCGAGCGGGAAGGGAGACGGACAGCCTGGAGCAGTGTGGTAAACCACCCTGCGAATCGCCCCGCGTTCCCGGTGGAAATGTACGGCGCAAAGGCGCCGGGATGCTACCGTGGGATGGCTCGTTATGATGCGAGCACCTCTGCGGAAGGGAGAGCACACCTCCCAATACCGGAATCCGATTCTATCCCCGTGCGGTCCACCTCCCAGATCGATAACTGGTAGCTCAATGAATCGTTCTTTCAAACTAGGCAACGAGAGTGAGAACTCACCCAGCCCTCCGACGACACAACCGACGACGAGCATGATCTTGATCATGGCCTAAGGCACGGACGTCACCCATTGGTCGGTTGACGAGAATCGCGGCGAAGCCAACTCACGAAGATGAACTCGGACTCGCCAAACCAGCGGACACCGAGGAAGTTGATCGCCGCACAAAAGACGCTGAGGAGCTGCACCCACCAGTTTGAGCGAGCGCCCACGCGGGATAGAGAGGGCTTGGTGTGAGGGACGCACCGTGATCAGGGCGACCAGATGCGCGGTGGGCATCGGGGTGTCCCAGAACCCGATGACGAGCGTCGCGCTGATGATCTCCGTCGGGAGGGACACCACGCCGCCGTACCACTGCACCCAGCCCAGCGCGAATCCGACCGCGGGGTCCACGAAACGTTCCGCCAGATGGATATCTGCGGTGCGGGTCGTTGAGAAACGGTGATTCGTGCTCTGAGGACGTGAGACGGAGACTTACATCCGCCGGAGATGGGCATGTAGCATATCATCTCGCCGAGGGACATGAGCATGCAGTAGCTGATCGTGCCGACGTGAATATATGCGAGTCTGGCGCAGTCGGGATCTGTGAACTGACGTCGAGAGAGAGGGAAGGCGGGACTGCGCACAGAGCACCAGCAGGTCCCGCATGCGCGATAGCCTTTCCAGAGCCCAGGAACAACCCCGTACCGAGCGTCTGCGGACCTGAGAAACAAAGAGCAGGAGAGAGACCAGTCGAACCGCACCCCGGCAATAGCTATCATCTGGATATGCCTCTGCTTCATGTTGCGCTGCACGCCGTCGTACAGGCCCGTGTGGACATCGACCTTGATGTCCTGCTGCTCCTCGACGTCGCGCGATTCCTTATGCGCACTGGGGAGCACTTTTTCCTCATCCAAGTGGCCGGTTTTAGACATGGCAGGTCTGGAGGAAGAGCGTCCTGGGGCGGTCCGCGCCTGTGCTCAAGTGGAAGAAAATCGCGCAGCGCGGCGATGGGACGGTGGAGTGTGTGCCTGCGTCAGTGCTCTATCGCCGACGAACCAGGTAGTAGTAGGCCCGTATCCGTGTTCATCTCCATGGACAGAAGCGATAATAGGTTCAGGAAATGGGCAGACGCAGCCTAGACCTGCCCAATGCATATAATGATGTGATGGCTGATCCCATCACACATCAGGAGCTGTGTTGCCCAAGAACTCTCCTAGTCGGTTTTTTGTAGGCCTGGGCCCGGGAGCTATCCCAGTAGCGATCATCAGCTCGCGGCCCCAAACAGCACCCGAGCCAGAGCCTCGATATATACATTTCTCAGCGTGCCTGGGCAGCACGCGGAATAACGGCAGATGGATGCCACACACATCCAATGTAGACTAGCCGCTCGGGGGTAACTAACAAGAGAACCAAGCTAGTCCTTTCTGTCTGCCTGTCTACTGAAATCCTGTGTGTCGCTCGACGATCAGACGGAATTTGAAACAAACCCGGGACAGCTGACCGCCGAGACTCGCAGGGTATCAGGCTGCCCGGCGGCCGGAGAGCCGTTTATTACCCCACATTAACCCCACTGATGGGTGGATGGGCTTGGGGTAGTGCGGGGAAGGCCGGTGATGCGTGGGAAATCGCATTATGATCGATGAATTGGATAATACTACTGCGTAGACGACGAACGACAGGCACATGCCGTCCCTGGTAGGTACTAAAGGTTCTGCCGGAATTGAGTACCAAGGATATGCGGGGGCACCGGATAGGGCGGAAGCATGCGCGGGTGCAGATTTTGGGGGGGGCACCGCTGCCTCCTGCCTGGATCCGTCGGCTGCCGCGATGCACCACCAGACTTTCCCATCGATCTGCGAGGTGCGCACACAGACGAAGGCGCGGCACGAGGGGCGATTTACTCCGTGCGTATCATTCTGTCGCACGACGCAGGGTCACACGGCCTGCTCACGTTACTGCGCCAGATTATTGCGTCCCCACGCTTGACATATTTTCCCCTGGGCACACGGGGGTTCGCGTTAAACAAACATACATAAGTAAGCGTCCGAGATTTTTACACTCTCGCTCGCTCGTACGTTGTTGCCTCTCTGCCACGTCCGTACCCCCTCTCCGCCGCTACTGCACTGCCCGCACGACACGATGAACCGCCCCCGGACCGTCTCGCACGCGAATGCGGAGCGCATCCTGTACCTGAATGAGATCAACCACCGCTCCGGCGCGATGTCGCGCTGGGAGCGGCTGCGGCACGGGCCCATGCACCCGTTCGTCGAGTGCTTTGCTGAGGCCATGGGCGTTTTCATGTAGTGAGTCGTCGTGGCTCTTCCTCGCCGCCTTGGCACGGACACGGACACTGACGCCGGGCACAGCGTGTACGCCGGTGTGGGCTCGCAGGCCGTCTGGGTCGTCGGAAACCTGCTCAAAGAGGTCGGCGCGTCGTGTATGTCGTGCTGCTCCTGGCTGCCGGTGGGATGGAGAGGCTGACGCTGCGGTCAAGCGATTATGCAGATTGGGTTTGCGTACGCCGCTGGCATCTGCCTTGCGATTACGGTATGCTCCGCGACGTCGGGCGGGCACTTTAATCCGTGCATTACCATCATCATGGTGCTCTTCAAGGGCTTCCCGAAGCTCAAAGCCGTCCGGTGCGTTCCTCCCGTTTTTGCTTTTTGGGTTAGACTCCCTCGGCCCGGAGCTTGCCTTCTCTCCTTCACACACACACGTGGGCTGACCACACACACCCACGCAGATACATCGTCGCCCAGCTGCTCGGCGGGTACATCGCGTGTCTGCTGATCTACGCGCAGTACCGGCACACCATCCTCGCGATCGAGGCGGCGACCCCGCCGGCCGTGCTCGCGGCGATCCAGTACACGCCCTCGGGCCTGCCCGGGATCTTCGCGCTGTACGTCGCGCCCGGGAGCAGTCTCGGGCAGGTCTTCCTGAACGAATTCGTGTGCGACTTCTTCCTCGCGATCGTCATCTTCGGCGCCACCGATGCGAGCAACGTGCTCGTCCCCCCTTCGACCGCGCCGTTCATCATCGCCATGGCCTAGTGCGTGCCTAGTCTGCTTCTGCGTTGATTCTCCTCCTCTTTAACTGCGGGTCAGTGCCGCTGCCATCTGGGGCTTCGCTGCGGTGGGACTGTCCGCCAATGCAGCACGTGATCTGGGTGGGCGGTTCGCGGCCATGTCCATTTGGGGATCCGCCGGTGAGTTGTTGATTCCCCGTGGAAACTTTCGAGAAGGTGTCTTTTTCCTGACTCACACCGAAATAGCCGCCGGGAACAAAGGCTACGCAGCCATTGCCGCGCTGACGAATATCCCGGCCACGATCCTCGCATGCTTGGTCTACGAGCTGGTGTTCGTCGACTCGGACCGCGGTGTGTGCTTCGCGCTTCTCGCTTGGATTCCCTGCTCAAAATCACTGATCCGGATATTTTTAGTGGTGTCCCAGATGCATCGGGAGTACCACGACGTGCATGCACTGCACCGCAAACACGGACACGCGGCGGCGGCGCATGGTGCCGAAGATGACCATACGAGCAGTGAGCATGAGAAGGGGACCGTCGGGGTTAATGAGCGGGTCTGAGCTCAAGTCGTGTTTTGTTTCTGTGTTATTACCATACATGTATCATCATTATCGTCATCCTCCTCGTCATCATCGTCCTGGGTCATTCGTGGAAGGATGGGTATTAAACAAGAAGCATAACTCCCACGGGTTGTTAGCGCAGTTGGTAGCGCGTCCGCTCAGCATGCGGGAGGTCACCGGTTCGACTCCGGTATAGTCCAAGGCTATGCTTTTTGCGGTTTCCCGATGGCCTCAATCCCGTGCCGATATCACCTATTTACACCATCTGAACCTTTTGGTTTCTCTCCCACCTCCATATTTGCTACCTCGCACTATCCGCTACTCGCGATGCCTTCCATTGCTATGGCTTGCTGCAGAGTTGAATCATCGAATGCACCCCGGTAAATCATACGACCTGTACATTGGAGTTCCCCTTGGCATACAAGCCGCGCGATATTCTATTTTGGGGTGGCATATACTTATAGCCTTAACATTTATGAGCAGTCATTTGACAGACTACCTACTCTCCTCGCCCCTAATCTCGACCCCACGCTCCTCCGCGTGAACATTTTGAAACCGTGGGAAGAGCGGTCAGCCGCGACGCGCCATGGGCGCCTCCCGCACGAAGACAGCGGCGACCAACGCACAGGCCGCCGCGGCGCACGAGAACCAGAACGTGACCTGCAGCCCGCGCTCGTACGCCATGCGCACGACCGCGGCAGTCGCCGGCTCGAGCTCGTCGATGTACGCCAGCGATTCGCGCACACGGCGGATGATCTGGAGAGGAAGAAAATCTGTTATGACGGGTATGGCGGTGGAAGGGGGGAAGAGACGCGCCTCCTCAATGTCTATCCCGGCGGGCAGGGTTTTGTGCAGCGTACTGCGGAGGGAGTTTTGGAGGAGGGTGCTAGCTACGGAGAGACCGATGACGGAGCCCAGCGAGCGGAAGAGATACGAGCCTGGGAAGTGCATCTGTCAGCGTTGAAGCGATATTCTCCGAAGGGAACCCACCGGCAGTGGCCATAGCCTGATCGGCTGGTCCAGCGTTTGAGATGAGGGCAATGAGCGTCGTTGTTATTCCCAGACCTGGGTATCTTGAGCAAAAGTAAAAGAACCGATTCGAACAACGCCACACACCGTTCCCGATCGAAGCAAAGGTTCCCGCTGGACGATTCGACATCGGTCTGGGCACAAGCAATGAACAGCTCGTGACTCACCGATCACGACGCCCACACCGGACAGGATAACGACACCTGTCTGCAGCGTGAGAGCGAAGATCGCCACGAGGAACCCAACATATGCAGCCACCGTGGCCCAGTAGTACCTGCCCGTCACCTGGATAATCAGCCCGCCCGCCAGACTCCCGAACACACCCGCGAAGACGCCCGGGACGAGCCAGAAGCCGACCTCGCTGGGCGTCTTGCGGAGCACGGCCTGGTAGAAGAACGACATGTGGAAGATCATGTTGAACCCGGCCATGAGCGCGAAGAAGTTGACGAGGTACGCGCCCGCGAGCGCGGGGTGCGCGACGATGCGCTTCGGCGCGAATGGCTCCTTCGCCCACCGGAACTCGATCACCAGGAACAACACGAAGAGCACGGCGAACACCGAGAGCGACGCGATCGTCGTCGGGTCGTGCCACGCGACGTTGCCGCCGCGGTCGAGCCCGAAGAGCAGGAAGAAGACGGTCAGCACGAGCGCGAAGGCGCCGGGGAAGTCGACCCGCTTGAGCTTGGACTTGAGGTCGGACGTGTCGCTTTCCGGCAGATGCAGTGCAAACGAGACGCTGATGAACGCCAGAACCAGCGCGGGAACTTGCATAAAGAACCCCCTGAGTTGTGATCAGGCTCGAACGGACGTAAGCTTCACACGCGGACGCACCACCGCCAGCCGATCGAATCGACAAGGAACCCACCGAGCGGCGCGCCAATCGCGCTTCCTGAGGCGTATATAATATTCATGATGCCTTGCCACGTCCCGCGCTCCCGCAGAGGCACCATATCCGACATGATGATGCTCACCACGCTGCGTGGGCCGAGTCAGCGCGCGTATGCTTTGCAGAGTGACAAGGACAACGCACGTGCTCATCCCCCCACCACCGATGCCGGTGAGCCCACGCGCAAGGATGAGCTGCAGCATCGTCTGCGAGATGCTACAGCAGAAGCACCCGAGCGCGAAAATCGTATACGCGAAGAGCAGGCATGATTTTCGGCCGAAGATATCGCTTGAAGAACCGATAAGACCGAGACGAGATAGAGATAAACAAACTGCTAACCTGAGCTTCCCGTAAAGCGGCCTGCCGGGATTGCGTCAGGTCAGTCACTGCACGGGGGGCCAAGCCGAAAGGGAGAAGGGGCGTACTGGAAGCTCGTCAACGTCATCATATACGCCGTCGATATCCAACTCGTGTACTGCAGCTGCTGCAGCTCGCTCCCGATTGCCGCGTACGCTGGAAAACGAACGACGATAAGCAGGCCGCCGGCGCCCAGCCAATCCAAAGCCCGACCGACGCACAGGAAACGACAATCGTCTGGTCCATCGACGCGAAGAATATCCCAAGTCCCATCGGCACGAGCTGCACCCCAGGCGCGTCAGTCCAGCTCGCCGCGCGCTTCAGGGAGCGCAGGAAAAGTGGCTGTCACGCACCACCGCCAAGAGATTCCGCGGCACTTTCGCCGCCGTCGCATCGCCGCCTTCCGCGTCGGAGGTTGCCGCGGGGTCGGGCGCGGGCGTGCTCCCGTATTCGGGAGCGGCCCCGTTCGTCTCTGGTGAGAGCAGCGGCGCGCGTTCGTCGGGCTCTGCACCGGGTGCCATGGTGGTGGTGGTTTTGTCCGAAGGGGGAAGCTGATCCTCCCGAAATGTCAGCGTGGTGTGTCACCAATCTGATGGACGGACAGTCACGTGAACATGGCCGGGCCGGAGGCACCTTCGGTTGTTTGATTTCCGGACACCGGATTCAAAATTGCATCAACTGGTAAGAGTGAAAGCGCCCCGTGGCCATCCTAGCGACTAGATGATACTGCTGTTGAAAAAAAAAGTCCGAGTAAAATTCTCCTCTAGACACTTTCGAAATGAACTGCCACACTTCCAGGTTGCGGTTGTTCAGCGTCTCTTGACAGTGGGAACAGTCAGTGGGGCTCTGGTTACCACCCCAGATCCTTCGCAGTGAAATCTAGGATGAGAGATTCAGTCGGTGCGCTCTTCGGGCCCTGGGATCTCACGTTCTGCAAAGAAACTTCCCCGCGACTACTTGGCATTGCAGCAGCCGCGCTTGGCTTTCTTGAATTGAATGTCGAACACCAGCTGAGCCCAATCAGACGGATCTTCAGATTCAGACGAATTTCGAACGAAGGAGAGTCAGGAATGAGAGGGGATGTCTTTTGCGCTGGGCCGTTGAGACCTTGCTGCCGTTTGTGCATCAGTAATTTCATCAGCTTGTTTGTCATCCAGGACGGTGGGAAAGATCTGTTGCCATCAACTGATTCGGCCCCGCTATTTTGATTGGTTGCATTTGTTGCCATCTTTGTTCGTTTCTCCATGGACTGAAACGAGTTCTTGGACTGGACGACACGGCTGTGCGGGGATAGAAATGGGCATTTCTCGCTCGGGTGAGCGGACCTTCCGCCTGCGCGCTCGCTGTCCCGTTTGTGTTCATTCGCTGTCGGAACGTCGTGGGCCTCAAGCTTTGACAGCTCCCAGGTGCGTCGTTCGCAGCCCTTCCTTCCTCCCGATACGGCCAGATTGAAATAGGGACCAGCATATATAGCCTTTCGGCGTCGCGACGAAGGGACACATTGAAGCCCCCCCCACATTCGTTCATGAACTGCACATCCTCCCGTCCGTCTCCCCACGCTTACCAGAGCGAGATCCCTCCTCCCAGTCGCTTCAGCGAGCGACACGACGAGGGGATACACCACAGGCTCCGCGCGGCGCTCATCTCCGCCCGCATCCGTGCGATGCTGCGCGAGACGAAAGAAACCACCCTGCTCCTCCCCCCCCTTCCGACCCAGACCCAGACACCCACACCACCGCTTTCTCCTCCCGCTCGCACCCATACGCTCTGCCCGATCCTGCGCACGTCCGACCGAATCAGCCATTTGGATGCCCAGATGAGGAACGGGCTGCCCCCCGTGGGCCTTCCGGAGTCGCACTACTTTCTCCTGCCGACGAGGCCCCAGCATCGTCCAGACCATGGCGCACCTACCGCGCCGTCGAGTTACGCACCGAGTCCAACCCAAGGACGGCATACATCCGAGAAGACAGAATACGCTCTCAGCCCGACTGCGACGGCGTACCAGTATCCCGGGGGCGTGACGCGCGTGATGACTGGCGGGGTGATGCTGGGGGTGAAGACGCCCAAGGAGAGGTCTGTGCGTGCAGTAAGGCCATGGTGATGCCGAACTCGGCGTGCAGTTGAGATTGGCGGTATGTATATAGCTAGCTGATGTATTTATTGTGGTATAGACGAATTCGTTCCTTGCTAGAGCTGCCTCCTTCGAGGTTCCCGAAATATCCAGCATTACCCCGAGAATCCGGCTTAAAATTGTGATAAACGACCTTCTCGAGCGATATGCCGTCGAGCTATTGTAGTATGTAGTCTGAAAAGGGATGTTCCTCGCTGAACAATGCATTTGACGGTTCCTACCGCGGTACTGCGCAAGTGCTGTTCTGCCCGGCGCGTGCTTCACAATGTCACCAACACATTGGTCCCAAATGCCGACCTGTGGGTGCGCTTGGCAACAAATTAACATTCAGGCAGTCTTGTTCAGCCCACGTGATGGATGTCGTGCACTTATACACCTTGTCGCTCCTTCGTGACTAGCAAGCAGGAAGTGCCCACTCAATGAACCGACCTTCGAACTTGGCCCGCCCCAGCCGTCTACACGATTTACGGCGACTGAACAAAAAAAATCGCTTTGCAGTACCACTGTGGCATTTCGAGTTTCATTCATAGCTTTAGAGGATAATGAAATGTGTTCGTAGGACAGGACGGCTACCCAGGTATCACGGTATCTTGCGATTGGAATCATGATACAAAACCAACCAAATCAAGCAAGTAAAAACCGTTCCGCGTACGGATGCCCGCTGTCCTGCATCCAGCTCGAAGTCAGCGGCTTGGCCGTTTCTGCAAGGAGTGGAACAAAATTGCCGCATCAGTCGTCGGCCAGAGATCAAACCATCTGCTGTATCAAAACGCACCATTGACCTGGAGCGCTGCATCGCGATACCGATCGCCAACGCAGTCCGTCGTCCACAGGTAATCGGACACGGGGTTCCGGATCCACAACGCCCGAAGCCGAGGCAGGCGGTCCGCGAACGCGACCCTGGATGCCCGCGCCATGTCGAGGCGGATCGGATGGAACAGCACGTCGTCCTCGCCCTCGTCGTCCGCATCCGAGTCGTCGCCGTCGCGGTCCGAGGTCAGTGCGTAGCGGCCGACCGTGTTCCAGACGAAGCAGAACTTCTCCAGGGAGCGGTGACGGCAGAATTCCGACTGCGGATGCGCGAGTTCCGTGAGGAATGTCTGCACACCGAAATGAGTATTCGGTCAGTAGAAGTATATGAGACAGATGGAAGCGAACCTCGCAGGTATGCACGTTCACGATCGGGTGGATCATCGCCAGCCACGAGATGTCGTGCACCTTGAGATGCAGCTCAAGCAGCGACGGGAAGAACACAAGGCATTGCTGCAGGACGTCAGGCTGCATGATATGGGCCGAAAGGAGCAACGTCCTCGTCCCGACCAACCGCGCAGACGTCTCCTGGAGTTGTCGGGGACGCTGTGGCAGGGAAGTGCGGCAGACAGCAGTGAGGGCCCTCGTATGAATCGATCCCTCTCAGCAGGACCAGCTCTGATCCAGGCTCCGGCGGTGCAGCGGGCCACTCGTGCAGCTCCAGCGTGCGCAGATGCGGGATGAAGGCGGCAAACGCGTGCAACAAGCCCCAGTCCAACCGCAGCGACACACGGAGCGTGTGCAGACGGCGCATCAGCCACGCCACAGGATCCGACACACACTGCTCGAAGAACACCGTGGGATCGAAGAACGGGATGACGAGCGCCTCAAGAATAGTGCGGTCGAGCACCTGCACCCACCGGTGCCCGCCGGCCGCACGCACGTACTCCGGCGTCCCCCCGATCGCACACGCCATGCTCTCCACACGCACGCTCCCCGTGAGCCCCTCCGCCTCGCCATCGCTCAGGCGCAGCTCGCACCCCGTCACGCGCACACTCCCGAGCAGCTCGAACGCCCCGAGCGCGCGCAGCGCGTGCGCGTCGATGCGCACGTGGAACAGCTCGAGGTGGCGGATGCGTACGAGCTGCATGAAGGCCGTGAAGAACGCGCGGTGCACCGGCGCGGGGTCGACCGTCGATCGATGGAAGGACGAGAACGCGCAGCGGCGCACGTGCGGGGCGACGCCCGGGTCCGCGCACATCGCCTCGAAACGCCGCACGTTGTGCACCACCTCGTGCTGGCCGGCGAACGCGTTGTACACCATCGTCGTGCCCTTGGTCGAGGCCCGGAACGGGTGGAAGTCGACGGTGTGGAACAGGAGCGGGTGGACGAGGTCATGGAAGAGCCGCGATGCCAGGTGCGGGGCCCGCAGTGAGAGACGATCGACGTGCGAGAAGATGGCGATCCATAGTTCGTTGGGGAAGTGCGCCGTCAGTCTGGTCATTGGCTGCGTGCTGTGACATTTTCGGGCGCGTCACGCAAGCCACGGCACGTGCATTACTTCCACGCCGTATCATGGCTGAACATCGCATCAGATGAAATGATCCTGCTTGGTTAATTCAGTATTTCTGTGCGATTCGATTTGAATTGAGATGCAATTGCGCTCTGCACCGATCAACACGGTTCTACAGCACCATGATCGGAGTTCTAGCTCTGTGCGTGACTTGAGCTGACAAGATAAGATATGAAAAGTTGCGTGTCATCGCGGAACGGAGAGATGTGTTCCCTCCGCGGTGTGAACTGCTAAGCCACGTTCAGACGTCGAATCAGTCAACTGACCAAGAGCTTTGGCATTTATCGGCTAACGACCTTCCCGGGTTCTAGGCCCGTTGCAAGAGAACATCCGGGTTCTTGGAATTGTCCCCGGACACGGCCACCAATAACTTGAATAGGAACAAGGCCAACTGGGTAGTAATTTCGGTCATGTTTCGTACACGGCGGCGGTTTCGGTAATTTGACTGTCATCCAAGTAATTTATCAAAGGATGCAGGCACCCTTTCAGATTCGGTGAAGCCTCGGAGCTTATCGTGGCCGGCGTCCTTGCAATCGTGGTCAAGGGGATTGAAATGTGAAGTCCCAATGCCCTCGTAGGTAGTAGCGCTCACCAAAACAACGGGATCTGCTCCAACACAGGTTTCTCAACCCAAGTTGACTTGGAACCTGGCCCGACACTCCTCATTGTCTGAGGGGGACGTTGAGCCCACTGGAGCTCCTGCGGATAATTCTCTATGACTTGGTTATTTTGACCTCGTCGGCTTTGCGAAACCATCGCCCAAGTGCCCCCGGCCATCCGATTCCCCACTACTTATACATATTGCAGTAGGAAAGTAGCGAGAGAACGGGATGGAATCATGCCTGGCTAGAAGACGGTGAAACATGACCAAATTCCTCTCGCCCTTCCTTTTCACGAACAGACAAAACGACCTCGTCATCGGAAGCTACCAAAATCAGGTATACATTAGATGAGTTTGCATAGAGCAGGTATTGAATTATACGAGAGATATGAAACAATCTGACTTAATTACACGCCGCAGAAATACACATTGTACTGTACACCAAAACCTATTGCTGCCTTAGAAGTGCGGAACAGTCAACGATGGCGAGGGTAAATTGATGCGACCGCTCCCACGACTCATCGTGTCGACCTCGGAGGGCCTCCGGAATTGCAGCACTCCCACACTCATATCTGAATGGGCGATGGACGCAGCGTCATCCGTAGGATAAGCCGAGAGCAGGCTGTACACGAGCGACGCCGCGTCGGTGTCAGCGTCGGAGTGACGGCGGCTCATCGGGTCCTCGCTCAAGAATGCGAGTTTCTCAAGCTGCTTGCGCAGGTACGCGTCTCGCCGTGCGTGTTCCGACGCAGACGGGGTTGGAACTGGAGCACGCACACTTCCTCGCCCGTCCTTGGTGTCGGAAGTAGAAATCCCAGACGGCGAGCCAGGCACCTTCGACGGGAGGACGAAGGAGTGTTGGCGGGGCTGTGGGTCTTGACTGCGCCCCGGAGTCGGTGGGAGGAGGCGAAGTGGGGCGACGGAGCCCTGATGCGCGCCAAGTTGCGAGCGCGAGCGTCGTCTAGCCGTGGGATTCGGCATGTGCATCGGCGAGCGGGCCACGCCAGGCTTGATCGAGGGGCGCGGGAGGCTCACGGGCTCCAGGTGCGCTCGCGGGGGTATGAAGATGGGTGTGGGGCCGACCAGCGGCGTCTCCGCTGCGAGCCTGTTCGTCTTCGTCGGCTCCGCGTCTGTGTCCTCCAACCCCGACAACTTCCCCTGCCCATCCAGTCCCAGGCGGACACCGAACCTCGGCTTCTCAGGCTCGGCGGTCAGCCTTTGGCGGTGCACATATACGCCAGCGATCACCATAACGCCGAGCGCGGCCAGAAGTGCCGCGATGAGACCCAGAACCTCAACGGCAGGCACTGAAGCTGCGGCTTCTGAGGCCCGAGGTTTCAATGGCGGGATGCTGGAGAAAGGGCATGAGCATTAGATCTAAGGAGAATACGCCGTGTGCGAACCGTGCAAAACTGGTGTCCAAATGTGGCACATAAAGTGCGTGGCTGGCGGGCGTACCATGAGCCTCTCGGCCTTGACAACGTCTCAAAAACGAAACACGCACGTATTGGCAACGAGAGAGAAGGAGAAGACAAGAACTGAACTAGCAGCCATCAGGACTAAGCCCACGACTGAGCACGGAAAAAGCAACGGGGAAGAAAGAGACCGAGTGGAGGGGAAACAAGGATGGGAAAAAACAAGCCCGCTTCGCGACAACGACGACCAAGGCGACCTATGTCCACCAGATGCCCGAGAACCAGGCATCCTTATAGGCTCTCATTCATCCATCCGTCCATCCATCTGCGACTGCACCCGGATCATGACGATCGCACTGACGGACCGTAACCACAGCCATTTCCCAGCCGTCACGCAAAGACAGCCTCCGAAATGCAAACTTTGGAGAAATCCGGATGTCTGACTGGCCGAGTGACTCCTCCCGAACTGCTCGCGTGTTGCCAGGTCGGCGTGCACCCAACAGCGGCCTGGGAACGACGCCCAACGTCAGAGAGACCAGCCGACAATCTCCGCTCTACGTTCGCACGGCGTGACGGGTCAGGGGGGTCGAGACTCGAGACTGGGAAATGCAGCGCGGTGATAGCGTGCATGAAGGAGGGCGAGGAGCGACGGGGCAGGGGCAGGGTCGCCTGCTCAACGTCGTCGTCGTCGTCCAACCAGGGCAGAAAAGCTGTGCTCCCGCCTAACAACACGCGATCACGTGTTGGTATATTCTGTCGTGGGGGCTGTGTGGTACCAAGAAAGCACCGACAGGCATGAGAACCTTGGAACGAAGATCCCGGATCGTGCGAATCATCTAGGAACTGAGTTCCTCACGGAGATCTTCATCTGGAGTCGGCGCAGACACATCGCTGTGCATACTTCACTCGCCATTGAGTGATGGTGCTCAATTCACCCGGCTGATCAGCGAGGCGGACCGATTCGGCCTGTCTTCAATACGCCGTGCACAGGTTTTGTGCCTTACGTTCTTTTTTGGTTTCAGAAGTTTACCGGAAACTTCAAGTTACTTGACAGAGATTCATTTGACGGTCAACGGCGAGAGATGCCGACCAAATGAGCTGAGCTGTCGGCCCCGTCACTGGAGCCTCCGGATTCGTGCCGGGCGTTCTCCGCTTGCATACTCACTCATCTATCGAAGCTAAGATTACTCAAAATGACGTATTCATTTTGGCATGTCGATTGTTCAGCTCCAGGCAGCCAATTCAACCGGAGAATTTTCGGGAGGGGGTCCATCAACGCATCGATCTCATGAACCGAGACCCGAGTCCGACATGGCGCATTTGCCCGATCGAGTTCCCCGACTGTTTCCGTAGTCCCGAGCCGCCTCGGGGCATTCAGATGGCCTGTTCATTAGTTGCATTCCATAGCTATCCCCCAGGGGACCGCCTTGTTTAGTTTTTCGTTGATTACTGGTATGGTCAAGGAGATCCTTGCGGGCCGTGGAAATGAATGGCCCTGTGTGTTGCTTCGAAAGAACCATTCATTTTGTCGTTGTATTGTCTCAAGGAATATCAACCCGCAGACAGAACTTATGGCCGAGTCGGAATAAGGGTGTTTGCCTGCGCCCCGTGAGGCGTGAAATATTGCGGAGGTGCTGGACATGTGTCACGTAATCGATGATCTCTGTTGTTGCTTGGGAACACCTATGTAGCTCTCGAGGCCCAGTGGAAGCAATTAGACACATGTCAGTGTCACGTGTGGAGGTGCAGCACCTAGCTCTCACGTGCAATGACATTGTTCAAGCCGCACGTGCTCAGACGGAACCGTGGGTCACGTGGGTCGTGTCACGGTGTCATTACAACCACTGATAGTGAATCTGAGTTTGAACTCACTTTGACGGTCTGGTCGCGGGGAGTGATTTACAGTCAGTACGGCTCCGCAGGAATAAAGAGCGTATAAGAGCCGCGGCGTCTGCGCCTTCAAACTCCCCAACTCATAGATACGACTTTTCTCCACCTCAATCTTCAGCCAATTTGATTAATGGTGACGTTACGGCACATCCTGCAGTGCAATGTACCTGAAAAAACCTCACGTCAGTCATCCGACCTCGCAGCAACCTACGCAGCCCTTATCTTGGCTGACGCCGACGTCGATCACACAGTAAGTAACGTAGATAATACTGCGCTAAGCTGGATCCTACTCAGGAGAACTTGCCCAGGCTGAGAAGATTCTGACCCTCACCACCGCTGCAAATATCGAGCTCGAGCCCATCTGGGCGACGCTACTTGCGAAGACGCTCGAGGGCAAGAACGTGAAGGAGATGCTGTCCGCGGTGGGCACCGCTGCAGGACCTGTCCTCAAGCCGGATATCGACGCCCGTGCCGCAGACGAATCGAATGTCGAACAGGATCTGGATCCGGCTGACGGTGGGGAGGGGAATGACACGGATTCAGACTCTGATGGTGTGGTAAGTCCGGGTCGACGATATTCTGGTGTACATCTCCTGATGAAGGGCGTCAGTTCGGAAGCATCTCTCTGTTCGATTGAAATGCTGCATGGTATGGAAAGGTGTACGTCAGACGATCTCGAGTGAGCGTGTTAGTGGTGGAAGTGCCACGTCCCAGTGAAACAGCCCCGTGGGTTCTGGATCGCACCAACTCTAGACGGATCCCACAATCCGAGCTACATGGCATTCATCATGACTGGTTCCAACTTGCCACGTCTCATTTCCCACAGGGAATATTGACTGTCTCGTCATACGTGAATCACAATTATGACTCAGTTGAAACCGAGGACCGCTGCAGTTGATGACAGGCACAGCCACATAAAATTTCTTGTCACCGTAGCCCATACTCCCGTGTGATAGCACGGCCTGCGTTACAGGCAGCGTCGTGAGGGACTGCCATGGAGACTCTGCAGATGTGCTCCCCACGCCGCGGGGATGTGTAGTTCCAACTGTGCGGGTGCGAGTACTTGAGATTTCGTGGACAGTATTCGCACCCGGTCTAGCGACAAGAACCCAGACCCACCTTGGGCGGACGCGAGCTGGATCGTGGGATTGACGGAGATGCGTGGAGTGGCGGAGATCAGCTCCGGGTCCAGAGGGTCCAGATTATGGTCCCTGGTTTGGGCGAATGCAGGCAAGTGCCAGTTGTCGATGTTGTCGTCGGGAGGATAAACGAGAGCAGGGCTGTGCTAATGTTACAGGGGCACTCACACCGGCCGTCGTTTTTTCGTGTATGCCCCTGTCCTTGTGCTTGGATCTTCGCTCGTGTTCGTCAGCTCTTCGCTTGATCGCGTGCGTCGTTAGCGTTGTTGCGTGCGCTTCCTGGAGCATGCGTTCTGCGCGGCTCGAGTTGACAGTTCGGACCTCTCGGACAGTTCTAGTCGCAGATCGGCGGGGGGTCCGACTAGCACTTGATATCTTATCTGTCGGCTGCCCGCTCTATCGTGTGCGTGCGAAGTGCGCATTTTGAGGAGGGATGGCCAATCAAGCTTCGTTGACCTCGCTAATTTCGCTCCCCGTAGGGTATCGCTTTGTGTCGGGGACACGGCGGAAGAGCCTGTCAACTGAAAGATAGAGACGCGTCAACCCCTAACAAGTCTTCCTGCACCGCCAAGCAACTAGTCCGCTGCGAACAGCATCCGCCGTGACACAGTGAAGGTACAATCCACGAGGCGGCCAGCGTGGTGGACCCAACCCGTGCGCGCACGGCGCTGGCGGCGAAACACGGTGTTATCATCACACCGGATGATGGCAGTGTCTCGGCATCTTCCGCAAGCGCTCTTCTTCCCGTTCGGGCATTGTGTCAGTGCGATGTCGAATGGCACGATAATCGGTCGCTCGGACGACTGTGGCGCAATCTGCCGCCGTATTCACGATATCTTCTCAGGAGGAGCGAATTATGAGCGGCCGCTTCGCTCGCGTGTCGGGAGATTGCGTTATCTTCTCAAGAGTCTTGGAAGGCTTCGGAGCCCTGATATCAAATGCATGATCGTCGAGGAGGGGCGGACACCTCCAATTGTCACGACAGCGCCTCAGCATCTATCGATCTTTGCGTTGATACGAACCTCCGGTCCTTCGTTTCTCCGCCTGAGACAGTCGGGACAGGAACAGTGGGGAGGAACGGCATTGTCCATGTTCCCTGTCATATCGTCTCGCTAGTACACTCCCAGGTCGGATTTTTTCTCAGTGGCTCATCCGTTTTGGGCAACTCATGCCTCATCCTCTCAAAGTGCGCATCTATCCTATGCCGCTCAACCGTCCCACGGATGGGATGCCCTGGATTTACTGACAGATTGCGCCCGATTAGGCCAACTAAGGTTCGATTCCTCTCTCTTATCGTCCGAACGTTGATACGAACGGAGGCAGATTGACCCCCCATTGATTACACGCCGGTCATCGGCTCCGCACTTATAAAGGAACAAGCCAACATTCGCTAATCGCCGTTCCATCTGTCCTCCCCACTTGCTTCCTCCACTCACCGTCCTACTCCACTTGGGCAGGCATGTCGAGCACAAGCCACTCGAACGAGAAGGATGGCTTCGACGGCGACAGCAAGAAGTCTCATGACGTCGCGGTGGTCGACGAGCGGGACGTCAAGATCGACGTGAACACCGGATTGTACGACGGTGTGCAACGGAATATGAAGCAGCGGCACATTCAGATGATTGCCATTGCGGGGGTGCGTCGAAGCTCATTTCTCTCGGCTCTACTTCGGCCTGATTAGCTCGCAGACGCTGGGCACTGGACTTTTCTTGGGTTCCGGAAAGGCCATTGCACACTCTGGACCTGCGGGTGCTCTGTGAGCGCTCCCTCTCCTCATGCTGCTCGAATCCTAACCGCGCGTTGACAGATTGGCCTACGTACACGTTGGCACAATCACCTACTGCATGCTCATGTCCCTAGGCGAGATGATGTGCTACATGCCTATCTCAGGAGGATGTAAATCTCCGTCTTCCTCCACTTTTCATTTTCTCACGCGGGTGCAGATATCCACCTGGCTGAACGCTTCATTGATCCTGCAGTTGGTTTCTCACTCGGCTGGCTGCAGTGGTACGGTGGTGTGGTGTCCCTTCCCACCGAGATTATTAGCGCCACGCTTGTTATCGGCTTTTGGGACAACCCGATGCCCACGGCCCATCTGGCTGGCTTGATCACAGTGCGTACCTTTCGTGTCGTACTCTCGACCGGGCGCTCAAAAGGCTTCCACGTAGCTCCTCCTCTTTTTGTGCGCGGCGATCAACTTCCTCGGCGTGCGCTGGTTCGGTGAATCCGAGTTTATCTTCGTGCGTCGCTCCTCGCTTCCGAGTACTCTCTCTGTCTTCTGACAGACCGTCGCCTGCAGGCAATGATCAAAATCATGCTCGTGGTCGGATGTATAGTTGGGGGACTGGGTGAGTCGCACGTGCTCTATTTAAGCGGAGCGCCACATTCTCACCGGTGCCAGTCATCGATCTTGGGGGTGGACCCAACGGTGACAGAATCGGATTCCGATATTGGAAGGTGCGTGGTTGATTGGCCCGTCGGTTTGCGTAAAGGCAACTGACACACGCCGAAGGATCCCGGTGCCTTCGCACCCCTCATCGTTTCCGGGAACGTCGGCCGCTTCGCTGGCTGGTTTACCACGCTCCTCCAGGCCGTGAGTTCTGAACTTGGAATACGTCACGATTCGCCGTGTTGATTGGTTTCTCGCCAGGCTTACTCTTACAGTGGCATGGAGGCTCTCTCGATGACCGCTGCGGAGGTCGAAAACCCACGCCGGTCCCTTGCAAAGGCAGTGCGCCGGGTGTTCTACCGCATCATGTTATTTTATGTCTGCGGAATCCTCATCGTCGGTACGGCATATTTCCCACGTCTCGCTACTCGTTTCACTCACGCCTGATAGGCATGCTCGTCCCCTTCAATGACTCTCATCTGCTCCAGTCAACCGGTACAGCCGCCGACTCGCCATTTGTGCTTGCAATGACGCGTGCCGGCGTTAAGGTCCTTCCCTGTGCGTTTTCACAAGAATTCTCTACCCGGCCCGATGCCAGCGTCGCTAACCAAATCTCTCACAGCGATTATCAACGCCGGCGTGCTGACCTCCGCGTTCTCCGCGGGCAACAGCGGGCTGTACGGCACGTCCCGCATGCTTTATGGGATGGCTGTCCGCGGGCAGGCACCGCGGATCTTCGCAAAGACGACCAAGGGCGGACTGCCCATCGCCGCCCTCGCGTTCTCGAGCATGTTCATCGTCCTCGCGTACATGGCTGTGTCCAAGGGCGCATCGACGGCCCTCAATTGGCTCACGAATCTAACGACCATTATGGCTTTTGCGACCTGGGGTGGGTCTCTCTGTTCGTGTAGGGTTGAACCCAGCTGATCGTGTGGCAGGTATTATCTCCTGGGTCTATATTCGATTCTACAACGGCCTCAAGGCGCAGGGTATTGACCGCACCAAGTTCGTCTACTGGAACAGATTCCAGCCATGGCCTGCGTACTGGTCGCTCTTCTGTGCGTGACTTCTCCCTCTCCCACTACGGGTCGCAGTCTCACATGAATGAATGCCAGGGAGCGTTGTGATCCTCGTGTTCAACGGCTTCCATGTGTTCATCCACGGCCAGTGGTCCACGACAGACTTCATTATCGCTTACATCAACCTGCCCATCGCCGCGGTGCTCTACCTCGCGTACAAGTTCATCCGCAAGACTAAGATGGTAAGCCCGGAGAAGATGGACTTCTATTCGAACGTGCCGCCTCCCGAGATCGATGCGGAGGAGGAGTCGCCGGCAGGGATGAGTCCTCTTGGGAGATTGGCGAGATGGTTGTTCTGAGTTGTGTCTTGTATCCTGTATTTACTCCGTTTCCATTTGTGTATTTATAACTTCTACCCTTCGATCGGATTCAAGAAACTCGCGCCGTCATTGGCTAGGGCGAACAACACATGTTGCCAAGAAGGCCCCAGCAGCGGACTGGTAACCTACATTGGCTCGAGGAGCTCGAGGAGCTCATGGTACTGGGACCTTAACATCTTCTGAACATTGTTGGTCTTGAAGAACACCACCACCGGTCCTGAACTGCCGCCAGTGAAGATCTGCAGACTTCGTCGCGCCGGAAAAAGGGGGCACTATCGAATCCTGCCAGAACCCTACGCGACAGAAGCACGGCGGTGTAAATCGTGAACGGGCTGGGTTTGGGGCATGTCGCTGTTCAGATGAATCAACCGGTTCTGTTCAGCCGTATCGATAAAGTCTGTCCAGCTTAAGACACCTGCCGGGCCGATGCGTAGCTCGAGGCTTAGATGACTGCCCACCACCGGACGAGCATTTCAACTGCTGCGGGTGGAAGTGAGACATATTAAGATCTAGATGGCAATGAGATAGAACGACACGCACCTCAGTTCGTTCCAACTTCCTCAGCCTTTAGCAATGACGGAAACCGGCAGTGCAGATGATGAGCGGGGCAATCACTCTTATGACAATGACGCGACTGAGTTCGGGTTCTTTGAACCCATTGCTCACTCGAGTTACGTGGGGTTTGGACACCCGCAGTGACGCACGCACAAGGTCCTAGTTACCAGTGTTGACGAGACCCGGGGTCTAGACCCAAGGTCCAGGGTCTTGGGTCTTCCAACAGTGAGTAGACCCGACCAAGACCTTGGGTCTAGTAAGGTCTAGCTCGTGTGTACATGTTTGTTTATTTTCCCAATTGGGACAAATTTGACGACATTCATTACTAATCAGTCTCCACGACTACGGTCAAGGGATCCCCGGGCGCTTGCTCGTCTAACGCTTCCATCTCCGTCTCGAATTCCTGCGTACTGTCCAAACAGTACGACCGCAGTGAACCTCCCCAAGGAGATTCGGTGTTGAACATAGCTGGGTCGAAGATTTTCTCGAGGGGGATGAGCTCTGGGGTCGAGAAGTGGAGGGTCACGCGCGGGTTTCTGGCCGCCTCTGCAATCTCATCCTCCTGAACCTCGTCGTCCAGAGCATCGCCGTCATCTGGCAAGCACTGCAGTGTGCGCATGAGCCGCTCCACACTGTCTCGTGGGAGATCCCTGTCGTTCTCCCGATCTATCTCCATCTCTTCGTCATCACTATCGGGCTTGTCGAGAACCTTTGTGTCGTTTGTCTCGACCGCGAGACGGAGGACCTCATACCCGGAGTGCTGCTTCTTCCGTTGTAGGTGGAATGGGTGGGCCTCATTGATTCCGCGACGAACAATGAGGCTTTTGTGTGCGCGTTCTGGATCAAGTAGGTTCCGTGTTTTGTCGCTGTAAGTACGTCCCATGACACTGAATGCCCGTTCGTTAGCACCGGAGTTGGCGATCATTGCCAAGATTCGTAATGCCATGTGGGCCAGCAACGTTTTCTTCAGGCCATTCCACACGGAGTGCATGAATGCAACCGTGTCCTAGTGTGACCAAGTGAGCACGAGAACTCGTTGAGGTAAGTGCTTACCTCGTTTCCAAATGCATCTCGAAACTCAATCAGGGTCATTGAATCTGCCGAAAACCTCTGTTCGCCATCGTAGTAAGCAAGATACTCTGCGAAGAGTTCCCTTGGGACATCCTTCCGTTCTTCGATCTTGAACAGACGCATATACACCCGGCGAACAACACCGAAGAGGCCACCTCGGCTCAGTGAATGCACACTGGAGCTGAAGAAGTGCCCTCGAAGGAAGGGATTGAGGAAGACGGCAAGAATGTAGAGGTCTTGGTCCCGCTTGAGTGCCGTCCATCGTTTACGCAGGCTGCTCGATATCGCTTCGTTGTCACTGGTGTAAACAAAGGTGGGATCGACGCGGTACTGGTGATCAAGAAGTGCGAGGGTGACGAGAACATGGTCAAGTCGCGTATTCGCACTCTGGGTCACATTGGACGCAATGGCTAGTGGGTGCAGATAGCGGTCAACCCTAGTAGCACTTGAGTAACAATTGGAGCAACTGTTTTGGACGATCCTACCGTTGAACTCCGCTCCAGAACAATCCTGTTCGACCGCTATCTATGAGACTGATTACTTCATCCGCAGCAGCGAGCGACTTTTCATCAGATCCCCCTGCAAAACGGAGGTCTTCGAGACGATGGTTGATGAGATCGAAGAGGGCCGGTTGCAATTGAAGTAGTCGCCGCGTCAACATTGAATGTGTTCCCCATCGAGTGATTCCTGCTCGAACAAATCGTTTCAGACGTTCCCAGCATCAGTTCCCTGCGCTCGCGAGCCAAACGAAACTTCGAGTGCATGATTGACGACACATTTGTTATCTCCGTATTCTGCCACCTCCTCCTGATCCAATTGAAAGTCACGAAAATCGTGAGTCGTGCCGATCGGGATCTTGGCGGGTAGAGATTTCAGACAACGTGCCAGCTCCTTCAGCTGGTCCGTATAGTGTGCGGGTCCCCCGGTGGTCGACATGGGCGGCGATGTGCACAGAAGCGCGCTCACAAAAATTGATTGATGGATGATGTAATCGGTCTGTAAACGGGCCGATTTCACGTCGGAAATAAAAACCGTGTTTATAAACAGCAGTATGTATACCGGTATGCATACACCTTCCACATACAGAACCCTAAGTACCAGCCCTCAACTCCACGATGAGTCCCAGGTGTCCCTTGCGACATAAGTGGTTTTTTACTTGCGCGTTGCTGGACGTGCGCAAAAATGAGTGTTTTATGACTAAGCTGCCTAATTGGGACAAGACCCCAGTAGACCGTGCCAAAAATCGTCGGTGGGTAGACCCGACCTAGACCCGACCCAAGACCCCGGGGTCTAGGTCTAGTACTAGACCCGACCCCGTCAACACTGCTAGTTACAACGAGGGCATGCCCGCAGCGTCGGGGTGTCGGAGGAGATTCGGAGACAGTCCTCTCAGTGGCAGCACTTCGGCGGCTTTGGTCCTGAGACAGAAGTCTGTCCTTTCAGTCGGCGATCAGCATTATGGGGGGACATGGTAAGAAACTGAGAAAAAACGTGGGGAAAGGGTGTGTGGGGCCGTCACGACTTGATCAGATCATGTCACCACGATCTGCGAACAATTTCCGGCCTGTCAAGTCAGAGGTATTAGAAATCAGGGAAACTGATGAGCACTGGAATCTGAATTTGGACGCATCGGCTTTGACTTTCTCAACGGCGAGAGATCGCCGTGTGGAGTTTCAGATGATGCGTCCCACCGCACCAGTGAGTCGGGAATATACTGTAAGTATCGGACAAAAGGTTGGCAGGTGATTGTTGAGTCAAGAATTCAATGGAAATACTATCCGAGCACAAGTGTGATTCATAGAGTTAATATAATTTAAGCCTTCGTTACCATCGTTCCTTGTGGTATGAATAGAATGAGTGGCTGCCTCTCGCGTGAGTCGTTTGAGTTCCACCTGTCTCTACAGCAAGCTGCGCTTCGTTGCGTCCCGCCTGGCCTTGAGGAGCAGAGCCAGTTCGTTGCCACCGGTCCCACGAGTTTTTCCCACCCTTTCCATCATGGCTGCGACAGGACATGCAGCCGATGGATGGCGACTGGAGCGTGACATGGACACGATATAGAGACAGGCAATCCGCATGTGAATCTCTCGCAGTCTTTTGAGAGCCATGACAGCATTGTTGTATGGCTCTCGCAGGGCCGGAGTCCTCTCGGCAACTTCGCGGAGTGATCGGGGGCTGTTGGCTAGAGAGTGCAAATAGTCACGGTGTTTGCCCGGCATGTATCTTCGCATGCGCTCCATGAAACCAGTGTCGGCCCTGTGATAATCGGCGGCCGAGAGCGAAAAACGCCGTGACTTCAGCTTGTGGTCGATGTCAAAGAAGAGGTCCAGGGCATGCATGATACTGCTCTGCCCTCCAGAAGGTCCACTGAGATCCAACTTGTCTGAGTCAGGTACACCCTCGTAGACCCAACCGGGGTGCGACGGGCCCTCCGAGTCGCTGCCGTTGAACCAAGGTCTGATGGTGTGGTAAAACACGTGAGGATCCACATTATCACGGATAGTCTGGATCATGTCGCTCATCTCTTCCACAACGCCCACGAGCCGCATGAGGTTCCGAGACAGTTTAGAGACGCAGGAAAGTTCATCCAAGTCTGGAAGTGCGGAAAATTCGTCGATGACCTTCAGTAGTTCGACTCCACGAAGTTCAACAAGCGCAGCAGTGCGGTAAAATTGTGATTCGTCCTCGGTTCCAGAGAATAAGTTGGTGTAATGGATGTTGATTGCCGATGTCGGCTGAGTCGCGTCGATGAGTTCGTAATTCCACAACACGGTATCGGCAAAGGTCAGAACTGGAGCAATGCCGAGAGACCGAGAGACCGCCACGAATGGAACGGCGAGGGCCTTCGGAACCACAAAAGGATCATTAGAACATCCTGGGGGAGAAGAGTGGATGAAGTAGTGTGTTAAGTAAGCGAGAACCACATGGGCCCGCTGGAGACACCGGATGTTTCCCTGCAGTGCATTTGCCTCAACAACTGGCCACTGCCGGAGCTGTTAATCCCGGATGAGGCGAGAAAGTGAGAGTGACTCACGGCTGAGATTTTCGAGCGCCATGCTTCTGATGAAACGCGCTTTTCCATCGCGTCTTCTGAGTCATCATCCCACAAAAAGACTTCCGTCTCTGCTTCGGTCAAAGCGATTTCCCAAAAAGTATAATCACCGGTCAAATGCGGCAAAGGTAAAGGTGGGAGAAACCCCGTCTCTTCGTCGATGTCGTAGTCAACTGGTGATAGCGAGATCTGCCCCCTGCGGATGGTTGATAATGCGCTCCGTAGAAGGGAGACAGTGGAATGGAAGCAATGGTGAGGAGACGGGAGGAGGTCAATCACACTCATAGTAGAAAAGCGGCGGGGGATGAAGGAGGTAGATGAGCGAACGCCACGAGAGGGAGGTCCACATTATATAGCGAGAAGCTGAAGAAAAATTTCAGCATGCGCATTGGGGCTGGTCTCAAGCCGAACTGAACCGGGTGATGGTGTTTGTTCAGCCTTACCGAAAATGGTAAGCGGTGCGTTGGACCAAATTTGGACAGTTGCAACACATACTACATCGGGCTATCAACATCGGGATGTTGAAAGCGTACCGCCGAAATTACACTACTGTCTTTCTCTCTGAAAAGAGGCGCGTCCAAATCCTCCGAGGTCCCAATGGCAGTAATCAAATCTTCCCCGGATGAATGAGGCCGTGGAATAAATTTCGGCTATCATTCTCAATACGATGCTCATTGCTGGCTATCTAATTTCTTGAGAATTATGGCCCACTGGAGAGCTATCACTTTGTGAAATGTCTAGGGTACAGCCTCTCATCCCGGAGGGCAGTCAGAAGTGAATCTGCTTCTCAAAGAAAGAATCCAGATTAGAGGATAAGGTTTGTAGTCAGACATCCTCTTTGACGGGCCACGGCTAGAACTGGGCATTGTCCATCATCTCAGAGTTCCATCAATAAGCAAAGATCCATAAGGTCCACTCTTCTCTCGTGGATAATCTTGATTTGAACAATATCAGACCGTCAACGGATGGTCGGCAAAGCTTTTGTGGACATGTCCTGATCTTCTGAATTAATTCCAAGTAATAAGCTTTGCCGCCGAAGGTGCTTGACCTCGTTGTAAGGAAAAAACCATGTGGAGGATTTGCGATAATCTCCCTACAGACTATACCGAAAACCTAATTTCTTCGTTTATTTCTTACTAATCACAACACGGCTACAAATCCCAAGAGATTTCGTCATCACTTGAATCAAAGATTGATTGTGTGCACGCGCACAAAAGGGAACCCGGAAGGTTCAAGGCACGACTGTCAGTTTCAGAACGGAGGCATAATCCAATCTCATGGCTAAAATTAGACAAAAACGATCTGCGTCGAGATTGTGTAGGGGAAAAGATCAACATCTTGCTTCGAACGACGTGGAAAAATTGCATACATATATATGACATGAAAATCCGATCCCCGGACGCGCCCGTCGCAAGCGGGCACGTCTCACATGTCGTAGTCAATTGCGAAACACTGACTTTCGAACGTGCTCCTGTCCCATGTGTTTCTGTCTTCTTGGGTGCAAACCTCTCTTTTGACTGCCGTGATTTCAGGTCCACGGGCTTCTATATGCCAATCGCACTATCCACCCCGGAAAGAGTGTTTCACATGTTCGGAGACGTAACCCTAAAGGGAAAAATAGCGAGGTCGATTGAGTTATCCGGAGGCACGTCGAATTGGGTCACCAGTTGAATCTCACATATCATGAACAAAAGGCTCCTAGCAATGCTATTTTGCTCATAGATCGCTCCCTCTTATGTTGCAAGCTCTCGGTGTGTGCTATGGGAAATAGAGAAAGAGAAGTGTGATTTTGCTTGTCAAAGAACATCGCGTGCGTTCTAAACGACTTGAGTCACCCCAAACCCCCATGCACTGCTCATGACTCTGCTCGACTGTTCGAAACCGAGCGCGCTAGGGAGAAACAGGACGACGCGTGGCAACGGTAGTCACCACGCAAGCTCGCTTGAGTCCTTCACCTCTTAGCGTGCATGACAGCGGATCTGCCTTGAGGTGTCCACGGAGAATGTCACCGACAGTCCAATGATGAAGCTCGGATCAATCCCAGTGTTGCTTGGCTGCTTAGCGCACGGTTGTCCCTGAAAAAGCGGTAAGAGGTTCTCGCAAGGCTCCTGGAGTTGCCCATACCCCTTCTCCACGTCTGAGGCCCGATTTCTCGATATTCCATGTTACAGTACAGTCGCTCATAAGGAATAATGTCCGGAAGAGCTGAATGATATTCCTTATTGCTGTTATTCCGCAACATAACTCATTCTAAATGCCCTGAACACACTGTATATTCAATAGAAGGGTGTCTAATGTTGATTTCTTGAAGAATTGAGTCAGTTCCGTCTGCTTTTCGACCGCCTAAATCTCCTTTGACAATGCTGCCGGAAACTGACGTAGCTGGGGTCCCAAATTTAATTGTGCATCCAAATCAGCCTGCTGGTTGCGATTGATCTGCTCCAACATTTCCACACTGCGGGGGGACTTTTTTTTCTGTGGAAAATGCGTGACAATCTAAAAGTCCGATTTTCACTGTTCTGTTTTCAGACAAAAAATATATATTGAAAATAGACGTCGATTTACAGCTCGATTTTGTTCATGAATAGACATCTATTCCTACCGAAAACAGAACTGTAAATAAAGGATCTTTTTTTGATTGTTTCTCACTGGGAATAGATGTTGATTTTCACTGAAAATAGAAACAAAGAAAAAATGATCTTTTTTCACTGAAAACAGATTAAAACCACTAGAAGAATCTGTTCATTCCAGGCCCAATTCACATCACAAGTCCTGCGGCATGATTCCAACATGTTGTGAGTAGCATTCAGTAGCCTTTTGCGAGGCCAGGGTGTCAGGGGACGCTGCGCTCCTTGGGCACGTGACCATGCATGTGACCCACTGCGCCCTCTCAGCCGACCGGTGCCTGCTCACCTGTCAATCACCCAGCCTCCTCCTCCTCCTCCGATCCTCATCTCCATCCATGCCGACATCCGCCCTCTTCCTCATTCCCCTGGCCATCTCCCTCAAATCCCTGCAAGCAGTCTAGCCAAGCCCAATTCCTTGCACCAGGGAGTGCTACTGCTGTACACACTTCTCCCCCTTCACTTCGGCCTTCCCCCCATGGATGTGGTCTACTGCCGTACAGGCTCGTACCAGATGCCCTTGCGCTCATCTGCACCACCCCTCTTCCCAGTTGGGCATTGGTCCTTGCCTCCGATGTCTCCACTGGCCGGCCCGGCACTGGCCTGGCCACTGGGCTCCTCCAGTGTGGCCTTCCACTGTTGGTGTCTCAGGAGCTGGCCATCACTGGCCCCTCTGAGCCACTCATTATCTTATCTGGGTTTGTCATCATCTACTTGTCATCTGCCATTGTTCCATGGCAGGGATATCCCATCATCATCAGTCACTTGTCACAGCTGACTATATAGTGTGACACCTGGGCACATGGATTGTCATAGTTTGGCCCTTTTTCATCCAATCATCAATGATCTTATCTCATCTCAGCACGGATTATCTTATTGCGGATCACAGCATCTGACGGTCCAGGCTAGGGGTCTAGGGGATTATCTTTATCAATTCAAGGCTGCACAACATATGCTCCAGAAGGTTCTACTACAACCCATGACCAGTGCTCCATGCGCTACATAGCCTTATGACTCATTAGTTGTAGATATGACTCAGACTGGATTTGGGTATAAATACTGTAGCTACTTGGTTGTATTCTCCAGTCTTCAAATTGACTTCTCTTTTTGACACTATTTCTTGTTGATTGTCATATAATTCAAAGACTACCCTCATACCCTCCTACCTCATACCTCTTACCACTGCATCCCTCACCGCTACGCCCGCTATATCCTCTTAAAACCTTATCAACCAACTTACCCTTTTACCGAATCATCTAGTTGTTCCCTGCGATCACAGTGAAGGGTTTATCTCGAGCAAACAGCACCAGGCCACAGGTAACGTTGAGCCCGACCCAAGCCTTACGGTATCTACAAGGAGTGCGGCGGAGACCTTTGGGAAATCGCACCTCGGGATCATTGGGCACGTGAAGAGCTAGGCCCAGGATCTTTTTCCTAGCAAAAGAACCCTTCCTCGAGTGCTTGTACAGCACACGAATCCACCATTTCATTCCAATTCCCATCGTCGTCTGGGAGTCCATCTCCTCCTCCCATCCTACCATCGTCGCCCGATCTGGCGTATCAAAACCAACCCGGACCCTCCAATCCCTATCTCGCCCTCCCACCGCCTGAAGACAAGATTCCTGACCTTGACAAGTTGCCCTCTGAACAACCACCTTCACCCCAACCTACCGTGTCAGGACATCACCGCATCACCCTCGCCGCCAGCCCCCCCTGATTTGACGGGGACAAATCCAAATATATGGGCTTTGTGGACTCATGCACCACCTATATTGGTGCCTATCAGTCAGAATTCTTGCTGGATGAGACAAAAATCCTCTTCATCTTCTCCTACCTCCGCAACGAGGCTGGCACAAGCTGCGCTGCCTCGAGATGGGCAATGAACTGGAAGCAGTGCAACTTTGAAAGCCTTAATGGAGTAAAGGCTGGGGTCACCTCGGCGACCTTCTTGGAGGAGCTTCAAAGGGCCTTTGGGGACTCCAACGCAGAGCAAGTCGCTGCCGCTCGACTCATGGCCCTGCGCCAGAATAAACAATCCTTTGCAGATTATATCTCCGACTTCGAGATGCTAGCTGCGGACGCAGGGTACAATGTGGTCACCACCACCGACAACAAGGGCGAGTACAAGAAGGGGGATCAAGACAACATCCTCATCAAGTTCTTCGAGCACAGACTCAGTAGCAAGATCACCAGTTGCCTCTACAACACTGGTGTCCCTCTGCCCAAGGCATATGGTGCCTTCAAGGACTGGTGTGTCAACATTGAAGCAAACGCTCTGCGCAATCAGCTGCGCAAAGCATCGTATGGGCACTCCACACCACGACCACCTTCCCAGTTCCATCCCCAGGCGGCACCAGCAGCGCCCACACCCGCTCTGACCCGGCCGGCTGCCAACAAACCGGTCCCAATGGAAATCAATTGCACCCATGCCCGTGGCCGCAATATCATCTGCTACAGTTGTCAGCAGCCTGGGCACATTGCCCGGAACTGCCCGGAACCAAGGAAGAAGCGCACATTCTTCAATTGGGCCACAGTACTTGAAGAGATCGAGAACGGGGACAAGAACAACAAGTTCCTCAAGGAGATCACCGAGAAGCTATGTGAGAAGGGTTTTTGAAGTGCTCCAATCCTCTAGCTAAGGAGGTGGAGCGTCTGGACTATGGACGTTTTTCTGTACTTGTTTCGATTAAAGATATGAACAATATTCCTCACCATAAATACACGCTCCCTGACTCACTAAGTACTAATATTCACAATTTTCTTGTTGCCGAGATGCAGAAAGAACAAAAGGAAAAAATAGCTCTCAGTAGAAAATATTTACAAGATAAAAAGGATCAGAAGACAGCGGCTACAGATAAATTTTTCTTGGACTCCTACGTATTTATGGCTTGTGGAGAAGAAACCACGTCAACAAAGACCAAAAAGGGGAGCATTGCTCTGGAGGCTCGATCCTTGAAAAAGGAGGAAGTGCCTAAGGAATCTGCCGAAATCAAGGTTCCAGAAGCACCCAAACACACCAGGGTGCCAGATGCTGTCCAGAGGAAATTGGTGGCCGAGAAGCAGAAGGGCCCTCAGCCCAGCAGATTGGCGCAGGAATTGCGCAGCTACCAGGCCAAAAGGAAGAGGCATTCGATGGACGTATATGTCCAGATCACGGGCCTGGACTCAGGAAAAACACGTGGAGTCAAGGCTCTACTCAATAGTGGTTGCAGTACCTGTTGCATTGATACCGACTATGCATGGGCAGAAAAACTGGATATCCAAGAACTTCCCCAACCCATAGTGGCTTGTAACGCCAACAACACCGAGAACATCAGTGGCCGGATCACACATTACGTTGATTTAAGGATGAGAATCGGCCCTCATGTGGAGATATGCATGTTCCTTCTGACGTGTTTGGGAAAAGCTCGGATCTTCATTGGTCTTGATTGGCTGACGGAACACAGCCCCGAGGTAGATTGGCAGGAGCTGTAAGGGCAACTCCTGCCAGCCCGAAGGAAGAGAGCACACAGCACACAACAACCTCACATGAGTCTGAGCACAGAGGGGGATCCTTAGAGACTATCAAATACAAGGGAGGTATACTACTCACCTGAGCACAGAGGGGGATCCTTAGAGAACGGTTCAAGGATCCATGTGCCCAGGTGTCACACTATATAGTCAGCTGTGACAAGTGACTGATGATGATAGGATATCACTGCATGGAACAATGGCAGATGCAAGTAGATGATGAAAAACCCAGATAAGATAGTGAGTGGCTCAGAGAGGCCAGTGATGGCCAGCTCCTGAGACACCAACAGCAGAAGGCCACACTGGAGGAGCCCAGTGGCCAGGCCAGTGCCGGGCCAGCCAGTGGAGACATCGGAGACAAGGACCAATGCCCAACTGGGAAGAGGGGTGGTGCAGATGAGCGCAAGGGCATCTGGTACGAGCCTGTACGGCAGTAGACCACATCCGCGGGGAGAAGGCCAAAGTGAAGGGGGAGGAGTGCGTACGGCAGTAGCACTCCCTGGTGCAAGGAATCGGGCTTGGCTAGACCGCTTGCGGGGATTCGAGAGAGATGGCCGGGGGAAGAAGGGAGAGGGCGGATGTTGGCATGGATGGAGATGAGGATCGGAGGAGGAGGAGGAGGCTGGGTGATTGACAGGTGAGCAGGCGCGGGTCGGCAGAGAGGGTGCAGTGGGTCACGTGCATGGTCACGTGCCCAAGGAGTGTGGTGTCCCCTGACAACGACCTTACTTGGGCTGGCTTTCTCCCTGCTCGAAACGTGCGAGAAAAGCCTTGTGATGAGGCTTTCCAGGTTCCACTCAATGACACCAAATTGCATGTCTCCCAAGTTGGTCGTCTTGAGGAGCTTTCTCCATGTGTTCAGTATCTGCCCCCAAGTCAGCTGGGAGGGAAAGCATTGTCTCTCTTGCCTTACCTGAATGCTGGGCCACACAGATAGAGACGATTCGCTGAGGGGGATGGAAGTGAAGCTGCACAGCGGCCCAAAAACAAAGTACAGGAAGGCGGGCTGCCAGAGCCCCAGGGGTTGGGATGTGTCTGTGAACAGAAGTGTCCTACGGGTGCTTAGGGATAGAGCGTTGGAGAACAGAAAATAAGCTCACTTGCTGCTGTAGGACCCCTCTACTTCCAAGCCAAGGCAAGGTAATAGTCCGTTGTTGAGGATGAACGGGGACCTGCTCAGCTGGGATTTGGTCAATACGTTTCATCAAGAAACTACCACGCTGGTGTACCTCTAGAATGAAAATCATAGAATAGCTGATCTGCATGATGTTTGCGGTGTGTCTTGTCGTGTCCGCCATCCTCTCAAACTCCTTCAGCATGTCCAGTTGTTCTCCAGTTCTGTCTGCGATGTCTGCATCTGCGAGCCCTCCCGCATCCTTGTCTTCCTCCTCTTCTCCACCCGTTGCCTCCGTTGCCTTGCCCAGGATCGCTTCCACAGACTTCTTGACTTGGGCAATACATTTCCCAGTCAACTGTGTTCTGTCAGTTTGCCGCCTCCGGATCATGCACATGAAGTTACGCAGTTACCAGAACATTGCCTCCATTGCATTGAGTCTTCGATGCCCGAATAGGTTGCGGGCCTTGAGGCGGGGATGACCGCGACAATGCGTAGTCGAAGAAAAGGAACAGCAAGAGGTAGTACCAGACCCTTGACTCCCCAGTAGCCATCCCAGTGGGAGACGTCTGTCTCTCCTTCTCCCCTAGTGCCATCATCATGCTGTCAATCTCCTTGGGCCACTTGTGGAAGGCCTTGTGACCGTTCAGATTGAGCTCGTAAAGGCGGTGCTGATATTCTTGCAGGAAGGCGGGAACCGGGATGGTCACATATTCCCCAGAGAGTATGTGGCTAGAGTACCAGCGCACTGATTGGTACAGGTTCATATGAGTGAGGCGTTTGAATTGATTCATGAGGGCAGCCTTGATCAGGTTTGTAGAGCAAAAGATTGAGCGTCACGTGGAATGACGTTGCAAGCTGCATGGAATGAGTGAGGCTGTGCTTGATGATGATGGGGTGATGGGTCATGTGAAATGACGTTGCAAGCTGCTTGGACTTATGTAAGGCTGAGCTTGATGATCATGGGGTGATGGGTAACGCCCCACATTTATTCTTGAAGATGAGAACATCCATACTTAATAGATAAACCATGTCTGGTACAGAAGCATGAGGATTAACAAATTTACCGTTCAATTCACTGCAGTACACTATGGATCTTAAGGGTATTGGACTGTAAGCTAAGCATATTGTATCGTATCGTATCAGCAGACATTCAGACGTATTCTTCAAGTATTCTATGCGTATCATATGATCAGAACTACAGAAGAGTAATGTAAAGTAGTTCCAGTGGGCAGTGAGGACTCGATGTAGCAAGTCAAAAAAACAAGCAAAGAAAAAAAACAATCTACAAATCCCACTCCAGTGCACGCTGAGTCACGGCCCACTCAAATACCAGCAGGTGGTTCTTGAGGCTGAGGCAGTGGTTCCCGGGCACCAGCTTGCAACTCCAGTCAATGAAAGACTCAAAGCGGTGGGACGCTGGGACAGCGGATAGCGAGGCTGGTAGGAACGGGCAGCTCGCCATGTTAGGGATGCCCATGGAGGCTGATGCGACGGTGTATATGAGCGCCTTGATGTGACCGGGAACGGGGCATCCAGTGCACATGGTGTGGTGGCAATGCATCTGGTACCCACCCTGTACTGTGGTGGGCCGCAAGCAAAAGAAACACCAGCCTTGAGCCGGGAGTGGGAACCCAGCATACTTCCAATGCCGGTACTTGCGGTCGGAGAAGCTGCAGAGATCGCCCGGGCAATGGTCATAGTCGTGCTGGTCCCAAGCGTTGTTGCTGGTGATAAAACAGATTATGCAGCAGCCGGACTGCACCTGGAAGAAGTCCAGAATGCAGTTCACACGCTCCATCTTGTACGCGAGATGGAAGCAAAGAGGGGTGGTCTCAGCGGGGGGTGCAGGGAGGCCAGCAAAGACAGTGGCGGGGATTGCACAAGGGACAGAAGAGCGGCCGTGGATCACGGGCGCGCCAGGCAACGCGATGTAAGCGTTGCCGAAAGGGTGCGAGGGAGCATGCATGGATGTCATGGGTGAGGTGGCAGAAACAGGATTTGTTGGTGGCAAGGGAACGGGCATGGATGGCAGGGGCGGAGCGGAGGGAGTGGACAACGGGGGCGGAGCGGAGAGAGCAGGCGAGAACGACAAAGCAGAGGGAGCAGACGAGAACAACAAAGCGGAGATGTCTGCAGTGGGTTGGTCCACGTGACTGGACCCAGCCATGCCAAAAGAGTGGGTAGCCAGGGAGGGTGTGCACAAATGAGAGAAGGCGTGAGGAATTCTGCCCATAAACAACAAGGGGACAAGCCCGTGAGACGTCAGGACATACATGGGAAGCACCCCCCACCGAGCAGCCAATGCAGTTGTGGCATCGCCAGAGCCACGTGGGTGATTGCACGCCATGGAAAAGACATTGTCAGGGGCGGGTAGCAGCTCGATGGGAACCAGCGTGTATGCGGCGGTTCTGGGGGCGGAAGGCACCATTGAGTAGGTGGGGAGACTAGACGCATCAGCAGAAACAGATGTGTCTGTAGAAGTGTCTGGGTTAGCAATTGTAGTAGCTGGCCATTCAAAAACAAGGACCGTGAGCACCACTAGGGTTAGCCTGCCCAGCTGCTGCTGGGCCTGTGGCATTGCCGTTGTCATGGGTCGATTGCATTGATGGTGGGAGGGGCAGAAAGAAGAGTGGCGCAAGCAAGCAATGAGATGTGGCTTAAATGGTGAAGAGACGAGAAGATTGGGTCACACAATAGTCACAATAAGAGAAATCACAGACAAATGTCATTGCAGACTGGTCCAGTCACAGAAGATAATTTGAGTGGTTGGAGCCTTTGGAAGCGAACTACAAATGAGAACACGTCGATTCTGTGAAGGGTTACAAGAAGTAGGTACAACTAGTCCTGCTGCAAGAATGTCGCCATTGTTGTGCAGTAATTGATTAATGACACGCCTACGGAGCGTATGAGCGCGCAGCCGTACGGGAAGAGACACGGGACTAGTCGGAGGTCGAGGGAAGTGAGCTGCGGCTCTGGCTCGCGCAGTATTT